GTTGGCTTTCGCTTTGAGCGCCGCGAGCGCCAGGCCGTTCCCGACGATGTCCCCGGCGTTGACGATTATGATCGCGAGAAAATCGAACGCGATGACGTCTTTCCTCTCGCGCCCTAAGTCGTCGTACGCCGTCCGTCGGAACACCAGCGGCGAGTGCAGCATCAGCCCGTAAAAGTTAAACGTCTGCACGAAGGCGACGGTCCACAGGCAGAGCGTCCGAAACGCGTTGACTCTCGTCCCCACGAGGTTGTGCGCCACCGACGTCGCGAGCTTGACGTTCGTCTCCGCGTCCGGCGGCGAGTCCGAGGATTCGCCCGCGCCGGTGCTTCCGCCGAGCTCGCCGCCGAGGAGAGACAAGCCGAGGAGGGCGTCGTCCGCCGTCGTCGCCGTCGTCGCCGAATTCGCCGAATTCGCCGTCGCCGGCCGCGTCATCCCGTCGTTCTTCTTCAGCTCCCTCTCGCTGATGATCTCCAGGCCCTCGGGGAGAAACCTTCCCGTGTTCTCCGCGCATATCCGGTCTAAGACGCGCTTCGCGTCCGCCGTCTTCCCTCGCTCCGCGGACCACGTCGGGGACTCCTCGAGGTAACACGACATGACGCACGCGAACGTGGGAGGGACGGCGGTGAGAAACGTCAGCGTCCGCCAACCGCGCGCGTCCAGCGTGAGCCACCCGAGGATCGTGATCGCGACGACGCCGACGCTGAAGGATAAGTTCGCGACCTGCGTCACCGCCGTGCGGACCTGCGCGATGAAATGGAAGGAGAGCTATTGTGGTCAGAACGCGCGCCGCGACGACGGATTAGATTTACAAGATCTGATCGACCGACGCGCGCGCGAGAGAAGCGATGAGAGAAGCGCGTCGATCTCGACGGGATCGGGTCCGGGGGCGTCGCGCACGCACGTCGTCCGGGCACGCCTCCGCGAGCATGTCGATCGGCACGAACGCGGCCCCGACGCCCATGCCGACGACGAACCGGCACGCCATGAGCGTGTTCACGTCCCACGCCATCGCGCTGAGGTACCCTCCCGCGGCGACGAGGAACGACGCGAGGATCGCGCACGGTCGTCGGCCGCGCACGTCCGCGAGCTTCCCCAAGACGAAGCACCCGGCCATCTGCCCGGCGAATATCGACACCGCGACCTGATCCGTCTCGAACCCGTTCAGGTTGAACTCCGCGCGGATGTGCGGGAGCACGAGCGACAGGAGCGCGACCTCGGCAGCCTCGGACGCGATCGTGACGCAGGTCACGAGGAGGAGGAACGATTGGTACGTCCGACCACCTCCGCCGCGACCGGCGCTCCATCCCGCGGACTCGATGACTTGCTCGGGGGAGACGCGGTCGTTCTTCCCGAACGCGGTTCGAAGGCCGCCTCCCACGAGCTTGTACGGCATCGCGGCAGCGCGTGCGCGCGCGCGAGGAGACGCGGACGAGTCTGATGACGGATCGACGCGTTTCGTCGTTCGGGAACGCGTTCGAGTGCTGTGCGCGCTTTTGAACTGCAGTGCGCGCGTGCGTGTGCGTTTCGACCACAGTAGTTTCTACGCGCCCGCCCCGCCTCTCACCTCCCGTCGACGTAATTCAACCCGAACGCGAGGAACACGACGCCCTGCGCGCACAGGAATATCGCGTAGTACCACATCGCGTGCACGCACACGCCGTACAGCCCGCACGACAGGAAGAACGCGCCCATGCACAGTTCTCGCGCGTACACCTTTCGCGCTCTCTTCAACTTTTCCGGCACGCTCGCGGCGACTCTCTTCGCCGCCGCCTTCGCCTTGACGCCGACCTCGCTGCGCTTCACCTTGTCGACGAACCTCCCGAGCTTCGTGGTGACGACCCACTCGTGCGCGTTCGACCAATGTAAGAGCCCAGCGAGCATCGCGGTGAGCTTCACGATGCACATCGCGTTCTCGAACAGCACGTACTGCGCGGCGACGCGCCACCCCCGCGGCGTGAACGCGATCGTGGACAGCGTGACGAGCACGGGCGCGTACACGAGCGCCCAGAACGGGATCGTCACCTCCGGCGCGGTCGCGCACAGCGGGATGAGGACGCAGTACAGGAAGAAGGACACGACGTGCGTGGCGAACATGCGCGTGCCGAAGAAGAAGACGACGAGGTAGCACTTCTTCGCGAACGGGACGTCCTTCGCCGTCCACACCGCCGTCGTCGCCGCGCGCCACAGCTGCATCGGTCCGCAGCTCCAGCGATGCTGCTGCTTGCGGAACGCGTCGTAACACGCTGGGATCTCGTTCGGGCACGTCACGTCGTCCAGGAATATGAACTTCCACCCTCGAAGGTACGCGCGAAGAGAGAGGTCCATGTCCTCGACCGTCGTCCGGTGGTTCCAGCCGCCGGCGTCTTCGATGCACGCGCGGCGCCACACCCCGGCGGTGCCGTTGAAGTTGAAGAAGACGTCCGCGGCGTGGCGCGCGTACTGCTCGCAGCGGATGTGGTAGTTCAACGATATCTCCTGGACGCGCGTCAGCACGCTCTCGTCGCCGTTCGTGTACACCCACCGCGCTTGCGCGAACCCCGCGGCGGGGTTATCGCGCAGGTAGACCACCGTCTTGAGCAGAAAGTCCGGCTCCGGGTCGAAGTCCGCGTCGAATATCGCGACGTATTCGTACGCAGCGATGTCTTCCATCGCCTCCTCCATCGCGCCGGACTTGTACCCCGAGCGGTTCGACCGCCACCGGTACGCGATGTTCGCCCCTCGCTCTTTCCACTCGAACACCTTGTGCGATGATATCGGGGTGGAGTTCAAAGGCGTCAGTTGAAGGTGAAAGGCGTCGAGGGCGGGGATTGAACGCGTGGGATGGGTGGAGAGATGCGACGGCAAAAGTCCTTAAGGATCGGCGTTCACCACGCGAACGCCGTCGTACGGGGACCAGTGTGAGATAGAACACCTTGTGCTCGATCCGACGCCGCGTCTCCGAGCACGTCGAGTCGTCCAAAATTTGCACGAGAATTCTCGACCGCGGATACTCCAACGCGCACGCCGCGTCGATGACGTGCTCGCAGACTTCCTTCTCGTTGAACATCGGCAGCTGCACGACGACCGTGGGGAACAAGTGCACGGTGTCCGGGGTCACGGTCTGCGGGTCCGGCATCGGCGCGCGCACACGCCACCGCGCCGAGACCGGATCCTTCCGCGAACAGAGACGCCAGTAGGCGGCGACGTAGACGTGAAACATCCTGTCCGCGGCGACGAGGGAGGATAAAAACGCGGTGGTCGCGACGCAGGCTTGAAGGAACGGGATCAGGAACACGGCTCGGAGCTCTCGCGCGAGGACGCCGGGCGGTAGGGTCGACGAGGGAAGCGCGGTGGATGAGACGGACTGCGTTGTAAAACGCGTTTGATTTTTCTCGAGAGGACCGAGAAGGGAGGGCGCCTCGCCGAAGACGGTGAGCTTCTCGGAGACGTACGCGGCCGCGCGCTGTCGCCGCGCGGCGTCGCCGATCGCCTCCGCGATCGTCGGCGACGCGAGGTGGTACAGCGCCGCGATCGCGGCGACGCACAGCGCGACGATCGCCGCGCCGCGAGCGACCGACGCGACTCGACTCCTCGGCTTCTGCGGACCTCCCGCGTTCGCGCGCGTCGACGGCGACGCGGGGGGGGACGCGAGCGCGTTCACCGGCAGCGACGCGTGCGCGCCCGCGCGCGCGCGCGCGAACGACCACGACCACGGCGGCATGCCGTCGCGCGCGATCGTCCGTCTGCGAAGAAGCGAGGGCGAGGTCGGGTGGACGGGGAGGGGGAGGGGGAGGACGCGAGCGAGAGTGCCGTCGCCGCGCGCGGCGAGCGCGCGCCTCGGCTCGTCCCGGGCTGCTCCGGGCCGCTCCCTCGTTCGGTCGATCGCGCGCGGCGCGGGCGTGTGGACGCGGTCTGTCGTACTGTATGTAGAACGGTTTCATCGTATTAAGCCTTATCACAGCCCTCAGCTATTCCGCGTTCGAGTTCTGTTTATAGTTTTCTCTTCGCTCCCAGAAGAGCCCTCGTCGACGTCGTCGACGACTGGGCGGCATCCGTCGTCGTTCCGTTCCGTTCCGTTCCGCTGCTATATATTCAACGTACGTCTCTCTCGTCCTCGCCCTCACGCGTCCATCGGGAGGAGGTGCTGGGAGAGGTACTTCGACACCGTGAACCCTTGGAATCGGTCCACGCCGAGGAGGTCCTTCAGCTGCTTATCCGCGACGACCCACCGCTTGTTCGCCGGGTCCATGAGCTCCTTGCTCTTGAAGTACGACCACAGTCTGCTCGTGAGGTTCGCCCGCGAGATCGTCTTATCCCCGCCGAGGAACTTCGTGAGCGCGGGCGTGCACTTGTACGGCTTCTGCAACCCTCCCGCGGACTTCTTCGCCTGCTTCTCCTTCCTGAGCTGGTCAAGACCGGCGGCGTCCATGGGCACGTACGCGGCGATGTCGCGCGCGTACCGCAACTTGTCGTCCTCCGCCAACTTATCGTACTTGGCGCGCGTCGGCGCGTCCATGGACTTCCACTGCTCGCCGAGCTGCTTCGCGATCTCCGCGAACTTCAGGCCGGGCTGCGACGCGTTGATCTTCGGGCGCGCGATCTGCACGAAGCACATGTACGCGCCTTTGGGTCCCTTGGGCTTGTTCGGGTCCGTGACGTCTTTGCCCTTGCCGCGACCGCGCTTCTTACCCTTCTTGTCGTCCTTGGACTTCTTCCCAGCCTTGCCGCCGGAGCCGTCCGCCTTGCGTTTCGTGCTGTTCGTTGTCGGAGAAGATCGAGCGCGAGCGAGGGAGGGGGTGGCGGTCAGCGTGTCGATTGTGTATCGAATGAATTGTTCGTAGTCTCGCGTTTTCGCGAATCGTGTTGATTAAATCGTCCGATTCGACGACCGACGAAGACGGCTCGACGACGACGAAGACGACGACGGCGAGCGGGACGCGAGGGAGATGGAATTCGCGCGCGGACTCGGACGTACCCCTTGGATTGCTTCGCCGTAAGGTACTTCTCGACCTGAGCGGAGAGAGAGAGGGAGGCGGGGGGTTCAAAATGAAACGTCAGCGCGGCGATCGAATATTCGGAGCTCGCGAGCGGGTGAATTGCGTGAATTGCGCGCCTCGAGGGCGTCCCCGAGGCGTCGTAAGACGCCCGCGGCGCCGCACGCGATGGAGACGAGGCGCGAGGTCGATTAGAGGAAGAGCGATCACCTGTTCGCGGACGAACCCGCGCTCGATATCGGTCTTGAGCTCGGACTCGAGCTTCGCCTGGACGTTCTTGACGGTCATCGTCTCTAAATCCGCGTCCGCGAGGATCACGTGGAGGCGCTCGACGACGAGGGCGTTTTTCGTTTCCTTCTTGGGCGCCATGATCGTTCGATTTTACGGTAAGGCGGGGGTGGGGTGTGTCTGACGTAAACGACGAAAGTTGCCGACTCGCGATGCGCACGCGAAATGCCCCTACGCGACAGTAATCGTGGTCAGGAAAACCCTCGTCGGGACGACGCGTATGAGAATTGTTCCTGGAGGAAATTGCGCGATTCGTTCCCCCGCGAGGAGAAACACACGCGCTTTCACCCTGCGGGAAAAATCACGGAAATCTCGATTTTTCCCGAATTTCCCGGTCAATCGCTGACCGCGACGCATAGGGTTCGCTTCGATGACAATTCCAAAACGCGGGGTAAATTCACCGCAGACTGAAAGCGCGTGCGCGTCGCGTTCGGTCGGCCGGCGACGAGTTTCGTTTTATTATTCCCGTCGAAAAGAATCCGCCGTCTCCCGCGCCGCGCGCTCCTCTATCCTCTTCTCCTTCGCGCGCGATTCAAAACGCCTCGAACAACGCTAAGATCGCGGGGTCGTCCACGACCCCCCCGCGCTGCCACGGCACGTCCCCCCGCTCCAGCACCCGCTGCAGCGCCGGGTCGTATATCACGTTCCGTCGCCTCGGCTGCAGCCGCGGCGTCGCCGAGCCGCGCTGCACCGCGCACACGTCCACGGCGTCGAACCAGGGGTGCTTATACAGCTCCGTCATCTTTCCGCACGCGCCCAGGCGACGATGCTCTTCGTTCTGGAGTAACCCCTTCACGACGCTCGACGTCTTCTTGTCGATGCTCGAGGGGAAAACCATGTGGTCCGGGTCGTGCGACATGAGCCGGCGATACAGGTCCTGCCGCGAGCCGCTGATGGACGAAAACGGCGTGTCGCCGGTGACGAGCTCGTAGATGAAGATCCCGACCGCCCACAGATCCGCTTCGAAGTAACACCCGCGGTGAAGTAACACCTCCGGGGACATGTACTGCGCGGTGCCGCAGATGGTGAACGATCGCTCGCCCGGTCGAAGCGCTTTCGCCATCCCGAAGTCCGCGAGCTGCACGCTGCCGTGCCCGTGCAGCAAGATGTTCTCCGGCTTCAAGTCGCGATAGACGTACCCCAAGCCGTGCAAGTGCTCCAGCGCGGTCGCGACTTGGATCGTGAATATCACCGCGTCGTTCCGCGAGGGCAGCCCGTGGAAGTTCATAGCCTGAAACAGATCCCCGCACGGCGCGTACTCTAGGACGAGAAACAACGCGTGCGCGTCTTGAAACGACGCGAGGAGGCGGTTGATGAACGGGCCGCGACTGACGCGCTCGTGCAGCCGCCGCTCCTCGCTCGCGTGCTTCGCCTCGCCGACGTCCACGAGCTTCGACTTCCGCATCACCTTGAACGCGACGATGTTCCCGGTCGCCCTCTCGCGCGCGAGGTACACGGTCCCGCACAGCCCTCTTCCCAACTCTCTGAGCAACGCGTAATCCCCCGCGCCGAGGTCTCGACGCGGCGGCGGGAGGTCCGGGAACGCGCCTTCGCCGAAGAGCGATTTCGCGGCGTCCGCGCCCGGCGGTGACGGCGCGACGTGCGCGTTCGCGAGCGCGTAGTTCCGCGCTATCCCGTCGTCGTGCCACGTCCCGTCCTCCGGGATGATGTCCGGGGACGTCGCGCCCGCCGCGCGTACTCCGCCGACGTCCGACATCCGTTCGTCCGACTCGAGCTCCGCGAGTCGCGGCATCTTCGTGGTCGCCTTGCCCAGCGAGCTCAGGTCTTTCACGCTCGCGGAGTGCGTGATCGACTGCGGCATCCCGGGCCGGAACGGCGACCCGCTTCCGCGATCGGCGCCGTGCCCGCCGCTCGTGATGTTCGCGTTCATGTCCGCGACGGAGAACGACCGGTGCAGCCCGCCGTGCCCGTGCGCGTGCGCGTGTGCGCCGCCGCCGAAAGCGCCGAAAGCGCCGCCCCCGTTCACGCCGTCCGTCCGCCCCGCCGGCGCCGGCGACGCGCAGCGCGGGAAACCTTCCGCGCCCATCGCGCCAATCGCGCCCGACGCCGCCCCTCCCGCTCCCCCTCCCGCCGTCCCTCCCGGCGGCCGCCACTCCGTCTGGAACCGGTTCAGATCCGCGATCGACTCCGCCTTAGGGTCGTTCCATACAAAGCGATGTCGGGGTGGAGTTCAAAGGCGTCAGATGGAGTTGAAAGGCGTCGAGGACGGGGATTGAAAGCGAGGGGTGGGCGGAGAGAAACGCGGGGCAAAGTCCTTAAGGATCGACGTTCACAACGCCGACGGGGTCGTATGGGGATCAGTGTATAGAACGCGCCTTTCGCATCCCCGCGCCGGCTTTGGCGCGCGATATCGTCCCCCCGCCCCCTCCCCGTTCGTCGTCGTGCGCGCCCTCCATCGCATCGTCCGCGTGCGCCGTCCTCGTCGGCGACCCGCGCCCGCCGGTCATCGTCGCGATCGCGGAAGCGGGGACGCCTCCGCGCTCGAGCCCGCCGACGGCGACGTCGCGCAACGCGCGCATCACCTCTTCCCACTCCGCGCCGCCGCTGACGCGCGTCCCGACGCGTTCCGCGACGCGCTCGTCCGCGACGACGGACCCCTCCACGACCGCGGTCGGGACGCTGTCGGAGCCCCACGCGGTGAACGTGCGGAGGGAGTCGAAGTCCACGCCGCGGTGCAACAGCGTCGCGGCGACGTCGCGGAGGAGGCCGACGCGGTCGGGCGCCCTGAGGGTCGAGGGTCCATCATTCAAAGCGAACGTCGGGGTGGAGTTGAGGGGTGCGTCAATCAGTTGGAGTTGAAAGGTGTCGAGGTGTGTCGGGATTGAACGCGAGGGGTGGGATAACAGTGACGACGGGAAAAGAAAGTCCTTAAGGAACGGCGTTCACCGCGCCGACGCGGTCGTACGGGGACCGGCGTGACATGGGACGCGCCTGAGGCTCAGCGCGTGCCTCGGCGCGTCCACGCGGAGGAACGCCTCGCCGCTGATCTTCACCGCGTCCGCGCCGTGGACGGAGTGCCACGCGCCCTGCTTCACGACCGCGTCTCGAATCGCGAGGGATATCGGGTTCAGGTGCGCGTGTTCGAGCTTGAACGCGGTCTCGTCGTCCACGACCCAGAAGCGATAGGCGCGCAGCGCGCCCGCGCCGGAGATCTCCGCGCGCAGGATCCTGAGCCCCTGCGCGTCGACGCACAGGCACAGGTCCGCGAACAGACCGGGGCGCGGGGTGTACACGACTGCGACGCGGGGAGGGGGAAACGATGGCGTGAGGGAGGACGGCGAAACGGCCGCGCGGGCGTCCATCCATCGTGACGATATAAAAAAAAGCTGCCGAAAGGCTGGACGAGGCTGCAGGATAGAGCGAGCGATCGATCGCGCGGCGAGCGCGGCGGGGCCGTCTCGCGCGCGCCGCGGGGGAGCGACCGCGCGCGCGTCGCACCTTTCACGAGCGTGCACTCCTTGTCGATCTTGTTGCTGACCTCGACGCCGCGTTTCGGCGGCGGCGACGGCGTCGACGGCCCCGTCGCGGCGTCCCCCGCGCCGCGCTCCATCGCGGCCGCTCGACCGCGAGCGCCGCGACCGCGGTCGGGTGCTCTCTTTTTTGCGGCGGTGCGACGCGCGCGATGGCGCGCCGCGCGCTTCGACGCGCGGGTCGAGTCGCGACGCCGCCGCGAGGAGGGACGCGCGCGGACGCCTCGCGCGTATCGACGACGCCGCGGCGCGCTCGGTTCGTCCGGCCGTTCGCGCGCCGGACCCCCGCGCTGTGACGCGGATGCCGAGCGTGCGGTCGCCTTTTCCACTGTTTTCCCTTTTCTTTTTCGCGGCCGTGGAAACTCGCGCGAAGCCGGCACCAACGAGCAACGAACGACCTTCGGAAGTTTCAGAGGCCGCAAAAGAGGGACGACGCGCGTATGAACATTTAGTCTAAACTATTTACTATTTTTCACGCGCGACCAACTCCTCCGAAGCGGCAGCTTTCAGCAGCAGGCCGATCGAATGAAAGCGCTGCTTTGTTGTTCGACGCGCGCCGCCGCCGCTCGACGAGACGGTCCCCGTCATGACGTCCTCGTCCGCGACCGTTTCGTTCGCGCGCGTCGTCGCGCCCGCGCGCGCTGGGGCCGGATCGCGCGCGCGCGCCGCCGCTCCCGCCGCGACCGCGCGTCGTCCGTCCGCGATTCCCGCCGCGCGCGGGACGATCCTCCGTCGCGCGAAGACGAACGCGAAAATTCTTCGCGCCGTCGCCGTCGGCGCGACGGACGCGGACCGCGACGCGCTCCTCGACGCGCTCCTCTCGACGCCGCCGGAGCGCCTGGACGACGCGGTGGACGACGCGAGGACGGACCTCACGACCGCGTTTTACGACCGCGCGACGCGACGCATCGACGAGCTGAACGCCGCGGGAGAGGGCGACGCCGCGGACGCGATCGACGCGCTGTGCGCGCGCGTGAGCGCGCTCGCGGAGCGGTCGTTCGGGTCCGCGCTCCTCCCCGCGATCGCGTCGGGGGACGACGACGACGACGACGACGACGACGGCGACGACGACGCGTCGACGAACGAGGCAGCAGGCCTGACGAAGCGCGAGGCGCGCGAGCTGAGCGAACGCTGGGACGCCATCACCGCGAGACTCGCGGAAGAGGGGGAGTCGAACGCGCTCGCGCAGGCGGAGAAGAACCTCACATCGAGGCGCGACGCCGTGCGCGCCATCTTAGGGAGGGTGCCGCTGAAGGCGAAGGAGCTGCGGTCGCTGAATCTGGTCACCGCGGAGCGTCGCATCATCGACGTGCTGCTCTCGATTCCCCCCGGACGCGAGCGGTCCGACGCGCTGACGGACGCGCTGACGCCGCCGGAGGACGACGACGACGGCGCGGGTACCGCGACGGGGCAGGGGGGTGTGGGGCAGATGTGCTTGGAGCGCGGCGACGACGGCGAAAGCGGCGACGTCATGGACGCCGCGCTCGTCGGCGAGGAGGAGGAGGTGTTCACGACGCCGGCGAGGCTGCTGGCGGCGGTGGAGCTCGCGATGAAGGAGGCGAGAGGGGACGACGCGGGCGAGGGGGTCGGGGAGGAGGACGCGCCGGGTCCGACGTTGGAGCAGCTCAGGTCGTTGCGGGAGGACGTCGCGGCGAGGTGCGATTTCTTATGACTCACAAAAAGCGATGTGATGAACGCGTTCGAGAACGATGAATGAATGAATGAATTGAACGCGCGACCAGTCGTCGCGGCTAAATAATCTTAGATCGATCACGAGCCTCGACCCGCCGCGGGGCTATCCGCGCCGGGCTGCTCCGACGCGGTCCCGCCTTCGCGCGCGGCACCGTCCCCCTCGCCCTCGCCGCCGCCGCCGCCGCCGCGGACGAACGACGCGGAGACGTATCTCGGGTCCACGATCGCGTCCGCATCCGCGGCGTCGACGGCGTGATGGCCGTGCCGCCGCCGCCTCGAGGGCAACGTCTTGTTTTCCTCCGCGTTCCTCCGGATCGCCGCGCGCCTTCGCCTCCGCCGCGCGTCGTCGTCCTTCGCGTCGACGTACGCGAGAACCCCGATCGTGGTCACGACGCCGCCGACGGCGAGGTTCTTCAGCGCCTCCTTCCACCCGCCGCCGCGACGTTCGCGATGATGACGGTGATCGCGCGCAAAACTGAAACTCTCCCGCGGGCGCTCGCGATCCAACACCCCCCCGATCGCCCCGCCGCGACCGGCGGCGACGATCGCATCCGCGCGCGCGGTCCGGTCGCGCTGAAACTGCCTGAACCCGACGTCCATGCCCTTCACCATCCCCCACATCCCGCACTTGACCGCGAACCGAGCGACGTCCTGGTTCACCTTCTGCTCCTCAAAGTGCGACAGGATGCACTCCGACGCGGTGAGCCGACCGTCCGGCCCGGGGATCGCGCGCATCCTCCACGCGCTGAAGTACGGATCCACGCGCTTCAGATTGGGCGTCTCCGGCGTCTGCGAGTGCGTGCAGTGCTTGTTGATGGCCCAGTACGTGTGTCCTTCCACGTCCTTCCACGTCCGCCGCGTGAAGACGTAATCCCTGTTGCTGATCACCGGCAAGGCGCGTTCCCAAAACACGCACTCCGCGCCCGTCCGCTCGTCCCTCTCGAGGACGCGGTGTCGAAACAGGAGCTTATCCCACGACGCGCGCGTGTCGTCGCAGTTGAAAAAGTCGCACATCTCCTCCACGGTGCTGTTCTCCCACACCGTTCGAGAGAGGTATTCGGTGCCGCCGTACGGCAGGACGTGACGCCACGCGCGGTAACTCAACCCGGGCAGCGACTTGTCCATCATCTCGCTCCATCGCCCGTTGGACTCGAGGATAGGGAGTCGGTTCGGCATGTCGCCGACGCGGTCTTTGAAGTCGTCGTAATCCCTGACGGTGACCTCGTTCTCCACGCGCGAAGAAAACGCCGTCGGCGCGGCGGCGACGTCTTGAAACTTATCCGCGAAGCACGTGTCCTCCTTCGCGCCCGTCTCCGTGTCCCCGGAGATGTTGGCCCTTCTCGCGTCCCTCGCGCCGCCCCTGCTTCCGCCCGGCATGACTCTGCGCAGACGGAACGGCACGATCTCGAGCCCGACCGCGCGTAGCACCGCTCGAATCGGCGGCAGGTTGAAGACGACGAGCATGAAGTGCCGCAGCGTCACCGCCGTGGAGAGCGCGAGCCACGCGCGGTTCGCGCGGCCGCCGTTCGGCCGAAATCCCAAGACTTTGTACGCCGCCGCGGGCCCGAAGAAGAACAGCGCGAAGAGTGTGAGGACCGGGAACCAGATGTGCGCGGTCTCGAGCACGAAGAGGAACTCGTACGGGAGACCGCCGAGGACGAGGTCGGTGAGGCCGAGCGACTCGAGCACGCCGCGCAGCGGGCCGCTCTTGACCGCGTCGTTGACGAACGCCGCGGAGTCCTTGAGGAGGGACCCGAACGGGAACCCGACGTCGCTCGCGGCGGACATTTTGACGGCGGCGCGAGGTTCTGTCGCGAGGATAGGACGCTCAGATCCGAGGGTTCTTCGCCTCGGACGCGCCGAGAAAGAAAAAAAATCGAGCGCGAGAATTCGCCACGTTTCGCTTTCCCGCGGCGGCGGCGACGCGCGCGCGCGCACGATCTGAGCCTCGCGCGCGCCTCGAACGACGCGAGTGCCTTCTCTTAACGCTTTACTCGCGGAAACGCGGAACGTTCCCGGAGCGTGGCGCGCGCGTGCGGACGCGCGTCGCCGATTGACCGCCCGGCGCGACGGTTGCTTGCTGACTCAAAAGCGAGCCAAGACGTCATTCCCAGATTCTGCGGAATCTTTCCGCGGGGATCGATTTGCGACCTCAGGCCGCGCGCGGATCTCACCCTCGTTTTCGCGAAACGTACCGATACACTCGTATGCGCACGCAGTAGGAACGACGGAGAGGGTTTCGCGAGAACCGCGTCGGTGCGAAGAGTGCGCGCTTTTCTGTTTGCTCTCCGCTGCCGCGGGCGCGTTCAAAAACGCCAGGCGACAGAACTCTCGAACGACGTCGTCGCTTCTCGCGTGTTATGTACAGTACACCATCTCTCGACCCCCCGCCCGCCCCGCGCTAAGCCATCACATCCCCTCTTCGTAACGATCAGTTCCTACTCGTGCGCGCCCGCGTCTAACGTCCGCATGAAGTCCTCCTCCGCGAACTGCAGCGACCGCGCCGCCTCCACGTGAATCTTTTGCCGCTTCAAGACGTCGATCAGCTTCATCTGTTTCTTAAACGCGGCGACGAGCTCAGCCTTCTGCCGCTCCAACCGCTTGTTCTCCCCGCGGAGCTTGTCCGCCTCCGCCCGCGTCGACGCGTTCCCGCCCTTCGCCGCCTCCCTCGCGCGCTCGAGCAGATCTGCAGGCGCGTTCCGTCGTTCGAGGCGACGTCGGGGCGGAGTCGTGAGGCGTCAGACGTGGGAGTCGTGAGGCGTCGAGGTGCGTCGGGATTGAAAGCGCGCGAGGGGTGGGCGGAGAGAAACGACCGCCGGGAGAGAAAGTCCTTAAGGATCGGCGTTCACAACGCCAACGGGGTCGTATGGGGACCGGTGGTGTGACGACGAAAACGCGCCTTTATACCGCTCCGCGTCCTCCAACGCTCGGTTGAGCCGCACGTCCCTCGTCTTGAACTCCGTCTCCGCCGCCTTGTTCGCGCGCGACGCGCGGTCCATCTCGCGTCGCAGCTCCGCGCACTCGCGTTCCTTCGCCTCGAGCTGCGCTCTCGCGTCGAGCGCCGCCTTGCGCTCCTTGTCCGCGGCCGTCTGCTGCGTCTTCTGCGCCTTGGCGGCTGAGGGTCGAGGGTCCACACGAGCGATGATATCGGGGTGGAGTTCATAGGCGTCAAAAGTGGAGTTGAAAGGCGTCGAGATGTGTCGGGATTGTGAGCGAGGGACCCTGGGCGGAGAGATGCGCCGGGCGAAAGTCCTTAAGAAACGGCGTTCACCACGCCGACGCGGTCGTATGGGGACCGGCGTGAGATAGAACGCGCCTGAGAGCTTTTCCGTGAGCAGACGCTTGAGCTCGACGTCGCGCTCCTTCAGGCGCGCGTGCGCCTCGCGGAGCTCGCGGGCTTGCGCCGCGAGCTCGTCCTGCAGCGCGCGGATGCGCGCGCGCGCGAGTCGGCCGTACTTGTCCTCGTCGTACGCGTCCTCCCACGCGTCGTTGTGGTCGCGCGCGTCGAGGTCGGGCGCGGCGGAGGCGGAGGCGGACGCTCGAATGATGGACGACGCGTCGCCGCTCGACGCGCGCGCTCTCGTCTTGGACGCCGCGGTCGCGCGCTTCGCGGCGGCGGGAGGCTGCTGTTTCGACGGGCTCTTCGCCGCCGCCGCCGCCGCCGCCACCTCCGCGCGCTTGGCTTGCGGCGGCGTCGGCGGGCGCGCGCGCGCGTCGTCGTCGTCGTCGTCGTCGTTCGGATCGTCGTCGACGTCGGAGTACTCCTCCAGATCCGGCGCGTCCGCCGCGCCGGGGGACGGGGGGATCGTCCCTTCCACGACCGCCTTCGCGCGCGCGATGGACGCCGCCGCGCGCTCCTCCAGCGCGGCGTTCCGCCGGAGGAGCTCCTGCTCGTACCGCGCGAGGTCGGCCTCGGCCATGGTGCGTGGCGACTCGCGTCTTCTCTTCGCGCGCGCCTAAATCAAATCTCTCCGCTGGCTGTCGCGACGCCGGCGGTCTGAACCTTAACGCGCCGTCAACGCGGGGGAGGGGGGGCGACAGCGGCGGCGGAGGGACGCGCGGCGCTGGGTTTCTCGCGTATCGGCGACCGAACGAACGAACGCGCGCCGGTGCGGTCTCGAGTGGACGAGCGCGGTGCGATTTTTGAATTCCTGGTGTGCGAGCCTGGCAGAGGTCGTCGTGCCGATTTTCTACACCTGTCTCAGCAAGTCCATGACTCATCACAAACGCAGTCACCCCGACACGAAGTACCCGTCTAACGCGCTCCCTTTACCCCCCTTCCCCCCGCCCTTCCCCCGCCGCACGGCGACGCCCACGCCCGACCCGCCCCCAACGTCGCACCCCGCCCACGAGTACGACGGATTCGCTCCGACTCTCCCGCCCGCGACGCTCCGCGCGCGTCCCCGCGTCGGCTTCATCTCGTGCCGCGTCACCGACACCCCGGGGGCCGCCGCGGTCGCCGCCTCCGGGGGGACGTACGGGTCCGGCGCCGGCACGCCGTCGCCCGGAGCGTAGGAAGGCGGGGTCCTCCTCGACGTCGACGTCGTCATGCGCGGAAGGATGATCTCCGCGTCCGTCGCCACCTCCCCGCCGGCTTCGTCGTCGTACCCGTCGCTCGAGTATCCCGCCGCTCCCTTTACCCCGCCCCCGGCCCCGGCCCCGGCCCCGCTCCCCGCGGCCATCAGCGGCGCGTCCCTCCCGCCCAAGGCCACGAGGCGCGATTTCAGCGTCTTGTTCGCGCGCATCGTGTCCGCGACTTGCTTCGAGAGCGTCTCGATCGTCGCGAGCGCCCACTCGAGCAGCACCTTGTTCTCGTCGTCGCCCCCTCCGTCGCCGGCGGCGCCCTTCTCCGCCCTCTTCGCCGCCGCCGCGCGCAGCTCGTCCAGCGCGATCTTGTCCTTCCTCGCGCGCTGCAGCTGCTTCTTCATGTGCATCACGGTGTTCTCGAGCACGATCTCGCGGTGCGGGTCGCGCGCTTTGATGCGGTTCACGTCTGACGCGTGCCGCTTCTTCGTCTCCGCGAGAACCGCCGCCTCGTGCGCGCGCCACGCCGCGTTTAAATCCAACAGCAACGTCATGAACGGGCCGAGCGGCACCTTCGGGACGACGTCCTTCAGGAACGCCTTCGTGAGCCGTAACGTCTCCTTTGGGACCCAGTTGGCGCCCTCGTCGGCGTAGTCGCCCCCGTCGGATATTCCGTCGGAGGCGCCGCCGCGGTCGCGCAGCGGCGGGTAGCGTTCCGACGTCGCGTTCTTCTTCTGTAGCATCTCCGAGAGGGTGACGTAGTGCATCCCGTCCAATTTGGCGGTGTCGCGGACGAGCCTCTTGAACTCCGCGGTGCGCTCTAGAAGCGCGACGAGGCGGCGGTTATCCAAACGTAATCGCTCTTCCGCGGCGGTCGATGCGTTTGCGTTTGGAGTGGAACCCGCGCCCGCGCCCGCGCTCGCCGCGCCGCCGCTGCCGTCCGAAGTCGTCGTCGTCGTCGCGCGCGCCTCCTCGAGCCGCGCCATCGCCTCGCGGTACCTCCCCTCCAGCTCCTCCATCGCGAGCACGTCCGCGGCGTGCCGCTCGCGCAGGTACTCGCTCTCCATCTCGAGCGCGTCGACGCGCGAGGTGGACTGGTCCAGCCGAGCGTTCTCGAGCTTCAGACGGAACGACGCGTCGTCCAGCGACGCGCGAAGTTCGTCGCTCTTCGCGCCGGCGGGCGTGTCCCTCGACGCCAACATCGCGTTGAGGGTGTCAATCTGCGCCTCGTGCGCTTCTTTCATCTTGTTCCTCTCGCGCTTCACGACCGCGAGCTCGTCTTGGAGCTGCGCCGCGCGCTCCGCGAGGTCTTTCTGGTCCCCGGAGACGACGCGTTCGCACTGGCGGTATTTGACTTCAAACTCGCGCGCGCGCGACTGCGCCTTGGCGACGTCGCGTCTGAGCTCCGAGACGGTCATCCCCTCGGAGTTCTTGATCGCGAGGTGGTCGTCCAAGTTGACGCGGATCGCGTTCCACAGATCGCGCGCGACGTACACCCCGCGATCGTCTCGCGCGCGCTCCACGAGCGAGGGAAGGTCGTTCGCGCCCGGCGCCGACGCCGCCGGGACGCCGCTTCGGCTGAGACTCGGGACGTAGTTCGGTCCCCCGAACGATGCCGCGCGCGTCTCGCTCCTCCCCGTCTCGATCGACCCGGTCTTCGATCTCCCCGCCGCGGGCTTCGCGTCGCGCTTCGGACGTCCCCCGGTGTTGGATTTGGATTTGGATTTCGACGCCGCCGCGGACGCGACGTCGATATCGTCCATCGCGCGGAGCGTCGCCTCGAGCGAGAGGAGCGTCGCGGCGATGGGATCCCCGGACCCGAAGGATGAGACGGCCGCTGGGGCGACGGTCGAGGACGTCGAACCCGGCGCGTCCTCGAACTTTGGCGGCGCGCTCTTGTTCAGCGACGTCGCGACCGGGTTGCGGTCGGGGCGCGCGAAGACTTTGACCATCGGCCCGCGCCCGCGCGTGGACGCGGGGCGGTCCGCCATTCGTTGCGTGGAGTTTTAAATTGGTTGGTTTTTCCTCGTCCGTCCCGCGAGGTCGATCGAACGCTCGCTCTTCCGCGCGCGTCCCCCGCGTCTCTGGATCCGCGAAGGTCCCCGCGCGCGCGCGTGGGAAACCTCCTCCGCGTTCGCTCGCGGGCGTGGACGTGCGATGCGGCGCGCGCACCGAGGCGCGGGCGGAAGTGCGCTCCCGCGCCCGCTCGCGTCGACAACCCGACGAGCCCTCCCTCGGGACTCGAACGGGCAAATCGCGCGAGTCGCGAGTCGTCGTCCGCGTCCGCGTCCGCTACTTCGTCGGAAAAGCGCGCGCCGACGCCTATCCAGACGCGATGGCGCACCGGCGCGCCGCGGCGTGCCTCGTGAACGCCGCGAGGCTCGACTTCGACGCGAAGCTCGACCTCTCGAAGATCGCGGACGCGTGCGGCGGCGCGTCGTGCCTCACGCGGCACGACGACAGCACGCCGTCGCCCGCGGTCATCGCGACGCGCGCGACGAACCACGACATCGTGATAACGAAGGAAGTACCGGTGGACGTCCACCTTCTCCCGCCCAGCGTGAAGCTCATATGCGAGGCCGGGACGGGGTACAACAACGTCGACTTGGACGCCGCCAAAAGGCGCGGGATCGTCGTGTGCAACGTCCCGACGTACAGCACGGACGCGGTCGCGCACCTCGTCGTGACGCACGTCCTCAACTTCTCAGGTGCGTTCTATACAAAAGTTTTTCACCCATCGCCCGGTTTCAACGTTTGATCGATCTCCCTTTCAACTGACCGGTGAACTATTTTTGTATGGAATGGCCCTCAGCGTCCATCGTGCACCAGCAGCGCGTGCTCGCGCGCGGCGACCGGAGCAACTTCGCGGGTCCGAAGCTCACGCACGCGCACGACGAGGTCGGCGGGAAGACGATCGGGCTCGTCGGCGGCACCGGCGCGATCGGCGCCAAGGTGGCGGACATCGCGGCCGCGCTCGGGATGAAGACGCTCGTGTGGAGCAGACGCGCGACGACGACGGCGAGGTGGGAGGCGGCGCGATCGCTGCACGACCTCCTCGAGAGGAGCGATTACGTCTCCGTGCACTGCCCTCTGAACGCGGAGACGCGACACTTGATCGACGCGGTCGCGCTGGGGAAGATGAAGAAGACCGCGTACCTCATAAACACCGCGCGCGGGGGCGTCGTGTGCGAAGAGGACCTCGTGGACGCGCTGAAGAAGGGAACCATCGCCGGCGCCGGGTTGGACGTGCAAGAGACGGAGCCGCCGCCGGAGGACTCGCCGCTGTACACGCTCCCGAACGTGATCCTGACGCCGCACATCGGGTGGAAGCGCGTGGAGACGAGGCAGCGGCTCATGGACATGGTCGCGGAGAACATCGCCGCGTTCTTGGACGGGAAGCCCGTGAACGTCGTCAATCCGTAGGCGCGGTCGCGGCGCGCGTAGGTATTTCGCGTCGTTGTGTCGTTGTTACAAAATCGCGTCGTCGCCGCGTGCGTAACCCGCGCGCGAACACATCGCGAGAGACGTCCCGGCGCGTCGCCGGTTTCGTTCGTCTCTCGGTCACTTCGTTCCGCGCTCGGCTCGCTCCGCGTGGCGACGACGCCGGTCGTGATGACGCCGCGCGGTCGGCGGGCGAGAGCCTCTCTCCCGCCGACCCGCGTCGCGACGAGCGCCCCTTCCCGGGGCGGCTTATCAGCATCCCGCCTTCTTCTCCTTCGCCGGCTCGGGCTCGCGGCACGACTCCGCGGCCGGGACGTCGTCCGTGTGCGCCGCGTGATGCTCCGCCATCGTCTTCATCACCTTACCGATGGCCGTCAGGAGCGACATCGCCGCGGCGCCGACGGGGGCGGCGACGGACGCGCTCGTCCCCGCCGCGGACGCGAACGCCTTCGTCGCCGCCGCCGCCGCCGCCGCCGCCGACGCGTCTTCGTTCGCCTCGACCGCGGTTTCGGTCTTCTTCTTCGGCTTCACCGCGGTGACGTTCGCGCTCACGACGTAATTCTCCGCGCCGGATCCCGGCATCCAGTCCTTGATGAACTCCCTGCTCTCCGCCTTCTCCTCCACGCGCACATCCGCGAACCCCGCGTCCGTTAACATCCGGACCAGGTCCGCCGCGACGGGCGCGCCCGCGACTCAGCACGACAGCGCCTCCGCGGTCTTCAACCGCGCCGGGAGCTCCGCGGTGGAGACGACGTCGCTGATCGCGAGCCGCCCCCCGGGCTTCAGGACCCGGAGCGCCTCTCGCAGCACCCTGGGTTTGTCCGGCGAGAGGTTCACGACGCAGTTGCTGAGGGTCGAGGGTCCATACGAAGCGATGATGTCGGGGTGGAGTTCACAGGCGTCAGGTGGAGTTGAAAGGCGTCGAGGGCGGGGATTGAAAGCGAGGGACCCTGGGCGGAGAGATGCGCCGGGAAAAGTCCTTAAGGATCGGCGTTCACCACGCCGACGGGGTCGTATGGGGACCAGTGTATAGAACGCACCTGATCACGACGTCCACCTCGTCGTCCGCGCACGGCAAATTCTCGATCTCTCCCAGTCGGAACTGAACGCGCGGCGGGGCGAGGCCGCGCGCTTTCGCGCCCTCGCGCGCGCGCTGGAGCATGTCCGGGGTCATGTCCACGCCGATCACGACGCCGCGCCCCCCGACGTCGTTCGCGGCGAGGAAGCAGTCGATCCCCGCGCCGCATCCGAGGTCGAGGACGGCTTCCCCCGGTCGGAGCGCCGCGAGCCGCGCGGGCGCGCCGCAGCCGACGCCGAGGTCGGCGTCGCCCGCGAGCGCGAGGTCCTCGCGCGTGTACCCGATCGCGCCGCGGTTGGGCGCGGACGAGACGCAGCACCCGCCGTCGGCGGTGGCCACCTTGGCGTAGTCCGCGGCGACGGCCGCGCGCTGCGCGTCGGCGTTCGACGACGATGACGCGGCCGTCGCGGCGGCCTTCGCGGCGTCCGCGCTCGCGCCGCCGCCGCCGCCGCCGCCGCCGCCGGACGCGCAGCACGGGGTCGTCGCCTTGCGAGGGGACCCCGGCGGAGAGCCCGCCATGGCGACCGGCGTCGGCGCCCGCGCCGCGTGCATGCCAGTGACGGTCTCTTCGGCCTCTTCCAAGACGTCATGTGAGCAGGGTCGTTCCATACAAAAACAGTTCACCGGTCAGTTGAAAGGGGGAGCGATCAAATGTTGAAACCGGGCGATGGGTGAAACACGTTTGTAAGAACGCACTATCCTGTCCCTTCAACGACCACTTTTCCCCGCGCAGTCCCCGCCCCCCGCCGCCGCCGCGCGCGGATCCGAGCATGGCCTTCGCCCCCGACGCGCACGTCGCCGCCGTCGTGTTCTCGCACCTCGGGACGGAGCCGAGCGATCGCGTCGCGCTCGCGGAGGTGAGCGACGTGTTCAAGGACGCGGAGAAGACGGACGCGTCTTTGCCGGTGCCCCCCGACGCTCTGTACGCGCTCGGTCTGAGGTTCGAACACGGCGAGGAGAAGAAGGAGTCCGACAAGGCGCTCTACTGGTGGCGCAAAGCGGCCGAGCGCGGCGACGCCGCTGCCATGTGCGACATCGGGTGCTGCTACTTCGAAGGCAACGTCGTGCCGGAAGACCGCACGACGGCGTTCTGTTGGTTTGAAAAGTCCGCGAGTTTAGGGAACGACTACGCGACCTACAGAGTCGGGGTGTGTTATGAACTCGGCCTCGGCGTGAAGCAAAACGTCCCGAAAGCGCTCCAGGCGTATTACGACTTGGCGACGATTTTTTCATACTCACATGGCGCGTGGGCCCTCTCGGAAATCTACGAACACGGTCGCTGCGGCGTGCCCGTGGACGAAGAGAAGGCGAGGAAGTGGTATCGCGTCTTCGAAGACCTCCGCGCCGACGAAGAGGCGTCGGAGGAAGAATCTGATTCAGACGAAGAGCCGGAGACGCAGACGAACTGACGCGAACGGAGCTGACTGACGTTTCAACGCACGACGAACGAGCATCACGCGCGAACGACCGCGCCTCGACCGACCGCGCCCCCGCCGGCGGAGCGGAGCGTCGACTTTCTTTTCCCCGGCGCGGCGCTCCCAGTCCTCCGACTCGCTTTGACTCTACCTCTCCCTCCCTCCCGCGGCGACGTCCGCGGCTAACGTGTCGATCAAGTCTATCGGCATCGCGTCTAACGCGACGCCGTCCGGAAGGACCGCCCTGAGCGCGCTCAGCTGGTGCGGCGCGATCACGTTGAGGACGACGACGCCGCCGCCGCCGCCGCCGCCGGCTCTCCCGCCGCCGCCGAGCCCCGCCCTCGTCCGCCTCGCGTACGCCTCCCTGCTCTTCGGCGTCTCCATGTTGATCACCAGCGACGCCCCGAGCGCGCCCTCTCCCGCGCCGGGGCTGGGCAGGCACGCCTCGGACGTCACGAGCGCGAAGACGCCGCCGCGCGCGAACGTCGTCGAAAACGTCTCGCCATCCTCCCTCCGTCGCGCCGCCCTGAACCGCTCGAGCGCGTCCGCGCGGTCGCCAGGCGGCTGGTCCGCGCGAAGCGACGCGACGACGACGTCCGCGCGGTCGTCCACTCGCGCGACGTCCTTCCCCGCGCGCGCGATGTCCTCGACGGCGTCGTCCACGCCGTCGCGCGCGTCGCGGACGACGACGACGGCGACGACCGCGGGCTTCCGATTTGTCTCGCCGCGCGCGATCGATCGGTCGGACGACGTCTGGCGCGCCGCGGCGAGGGCGACGTTGACGACGAGGTCCGCGAGCGCGCGCGGCTTCGCGCGCGGGTCGGGGAGGGCGACGTAGTAGTGCGACCCGCCGCCGCCGCCGACGGCGGGCGGCTCCATCGCGCGGCGCCGCGCGCGCGGGACTGTGTGTGTGTGATCACGACGAGAGACGGCACCGCCGATGTCAGATTCATCCGATCCCGCCGCGGTCGTCATCACTCCGAGATGGCGCGCGCCGCCTCCGCCGCCTCCCCCGCCGCCGCCGCCGCGCGTCGCCGCGACCGCGGCGGCGTCGCCGCGACGGCGTCCGCGCTGCTTCGACGCTTCGGCGACCCGAACGACGTCGCGATCGCGTCGTTCGTCGCGCGCGTCCTCGTCGTCCTCGACGCCCTCCTCTCCGTCGCGATCGTCCGTCGCGTCGCGTACACGAACATAGACTGGAACGCGTACATGGGCGAAGCGCGCGGGTACGCGTCGGGGGAGCGCGACTACGCCAAGCTGAGAGGCGACACCGGGCCGCTGGTGTACCCCGCGGGGTTTCTGTATCTCTACGACGCGCTGCGACGCGTCACGGACGACGGCGCGGACGTGCGACGCGCGCAGATGATCTTCGTGGTGGTCTACGCCGCGCATCAGGCCGCGGCGATGGCGGTCACCGTCAAAGCGCGCGTCGTCCCGCCGTGGGCGTTATCGCTGCTGTGCGTCTCGAAGCGAATACACTCCGTGTTCGCGCTGCGGATGTTCAACGATGGCGTCTGCTCGCTCGTCGCGTGGGTCGCGATCTGGCTCGCGCAGTCCAAACGCTTCGTCGCCGCCGCCGTCGCGTTGTCCGTCGCGGCGTCGGTGAAGATGAACGCGCTGTTGTTCCTGCCGCCGTTCCTCGTCCTGCTCGTCGGCCACGAGCGCGTCTCGACCGCGTGCGTTGCCGTCGGGGCGTTCGTCGGCGTGCAAGTCGTCGTCGGGTGGCCGTTCCTGTCGACGTACCCGCGAGAGTACGTCGGTCGCGCGTTCGAGTTGGGTCGGAAGTTTACTTACGAGTGGACGGTGAACTGGAAGTTCGTGTCGATCGAAACGTTCTCGAGCGATGCGTTTTCGTTAGGGTTACTCCTCGCGCACGTCGCCATCCTCTTCGCGTTCGCGCACGCGCGGTGGTATCGCAGAGGGGGCGGGTTTTTCCCCGCTTTTTTCGTGGACTTTTTCGAGCGCGCGCGAACCGACGCGGCGGCGTCGAAGCGGTTGAAATCGCTGACGGCCGCGGACGTCGTCTGCGCGATGGCGGAGGGGAACTTCATCGGGATCGTCTTCGCGCGGTCGCTGCATTATCAGTTCTACGCGTGGTACTTTCACTCCTTGCCGTTGCTGTTGTGGTCGATCAGCTCGAACGGATCCCGTCGCGGCGGAAAGGGCGGCGGGCGGCTGCGGCGCGCGCTCGCCGTAGCCGCGAGGGTGGGCGCGATGGGTGCGATCGAGTGGTGCTGGAACGTGTACCCCTCGACGCCGACGTCGTCGCTCGTGTTGTTCGCGACGCACGCGGCGTTGCTTATGTCGCTGTGGCTCGGCGGCGTCGGGATCCCATCGGGGGGACGAAGGAGAAGCCGCGGCGGCGTCAAACGCGCTCGCTCGAAGAAGAAACTTTGGTGACGAGCTCGGCGTCCTCGCCGGTTTAATACGATAGCGTAACGACTAGGTAGAGTAATAACTTAAAACAACGATACTACAGCGATACCTAGGTGCCCGCGTTCAAGTGTTCGATGGCGTACAAGGTCACGGCGACGACTATCGCGCCCGCGCTGACCCTCTTCCCGAGTCCTCGTCCGAAAAAATCATCCTCGCCGAACGCGTCCGCGCAGCCGCGATCTCTGTCTCGCTCGCGTTCTCTGACCGCGGCCACGAGGCGCGCGTCCACGACGGAGTACTTCTGAAGGAACCTGACCTTATCTCTGCGCTCTATCCACCAATGAAACGCGAGCCCGAAGACGATCTTCACGACGCACATCGGGATCTGCCGGTTCAGACACCGCACGTACGCGTTGGCGCTGCCGCCGCCGCCCTCCACGTAATGCCGACCCGCGTGCCCGCACGAGTCCACGACGTTTCGAAAGATGAACCACTTCGCCTGCTTCGAGAACTCGAACCTCAACATGATCATACTCATCACCATCGTTATCGGTCTCAACGGCAACCACACCTTGTTCCCGCGAAGCATCGAGTACTGCCGCGCGCCGAGCGCGGTCCAACATAAACCCTCGCAGACGACTTCGTACGACCTCTCGTACGCGACGGGCGCGACAGCCTGCGGCGAGGCGAGGCGAGGCGAGGTGAGGCGCGCGACGGCGTCGGCGGACGTCGAGGAAGTCAGCGAATCGAACGAACGACGCGCGGTTGGTGGTACCGCGTCATCGGTGAAGGGCATCGCGTCGGCGTCGGCGTCGGCGTCGAGGACCGAAAGCGAGGAGAGGATTTATCACGTGGTGGTTATCACGTGGTGGTTGATGACATCTCGCACCTTGAAGACGAGGGCGGCGAGGAACGCCAGCGCCCACGCGTACGCCACGAGGTACCCCAGCGGGCTGCGTATCGGCACCGGCCCTAAGCTCACGCCGCTTCGGACGTCTTTCCATCCCGCGGCGGTGAACGCGGCGAACGCGATCCACAGGCCGGTGCGGTGCACGTTGGCGTAGGGGCGAATGATCGCGAGTCGGTACGCGCGCGTTCGCTCGAAGATGAGATTCGAGAGACGCGCGGCCTCGTGCGCGTCGGAGCGGTCGACGCCTTCGATTTCGCTGCTGCGGCGTCTGAGTTCATCGAGGTCCGCGTCCGTGCTGTGGTCCGAGGACGCGACATCGCGCCGGCGGCGGCGCGGCGTCGACATCGGACATGTGACGCGCTCGGAATCACTTGAGCGGACTTATCTCCCTGGTGCGGCGCGGGTGCGGGTGCAACGAAACCCCTCGGTTAGATCGGTTAATCTGTTGATGACGGTTTGCATTTTTCCAGACTAAAAAGGCACGTGCCCGACCTGTACGTTGTACACGTGTACAGTAAGTTGTAACTTACGTAGATTAATACCTTCGTACGTACTCAAGTGTTGTGAAGGATCGACTTACTGTATGATCGACTTATGATCGACTTATGATTAAAATACGTACGAAAGTACTTTCGTACGAAAGTACCTTCGTACTCAAGTGTTGTGAAGGATCGACTTATTAGTTACCGGAAGAAGTGTTACAGGTTAGACCGTCGTTTAGGGTTCCACGCGTGATTTTTCCTGGATTTTTTTCCCTATCTTTTTACATCCTAACTGTTTACTCATACAGGCGCGAGCACGTACTCGTACTACGCGTCGGCGACGCCCCCCCGACGCGACGTCCAACCGTCCAAAGAACCGTCCCTCCCGCCGTCCGTCTCACGCGCGCACGCCGAACCACCGGTCCCACGCCGACCCGCCTCTGGTCGCGTAAAAACACACCCCCAGCGGCGAGCTCGCCGGCCCCGCGTATTCCACGCCCGCGCGGTCCTCGAACCGACCGTCGACGTCGACGTCCTCCTCGTCCTCGTCCGATGACGTCTCATCGCCGCCGTCGGATCCGATTCCTCCTCGCGCCCCTCTCCCCAACGCCCGCACCGCGTCGTCGTCGTACTCGGACGCGTCGATCAGCCCGTGATCCGCGAGCTTCTGCTTCAACCCGACGAGGTTGCTCCCGAGCTCCGCGCGGCTGTCCGCCATCGCGCGCACGAGGTCGTCGATCGCCGCGGATCGCGCGTCGTCGACGCTCCGCAACTCTGAGGGTCGTTCCATACGAGCGATGATATCGGGGTGGAGTTCAAAGGCGTCAGAAGCGGAGTTGAAAGGCGTCGAGGGCGGGTATTGAAACCGAGGGGTGGGCGGAGAGAAACGCCGGCGAAAGTCCTTAAGGAACGGCGTTCACCACGCCGACGGGGTCGTATGGGAACCGGCGTGAGATGGAACGCGCCTGAGACCGACGCCTCGAGCTCCCTCGCGCGCTCGATCAGCGCCCTGGACGACAGCACGAGCGCCTCCTGCTCCTCCGACGTCATCGTCGTCAGCGTGGGCCGCAAGAACACGATCTGCCCGTCGTTCACGTGCGCGGACACGATGGACTCGAGCCGCGTCACCTCGTCGCGCAACTCGCGCAGTCGCGCGTCCCTCGATTCGAGATCGCGTCGGTGCGCGTCTCGCGTCGCCGCCGCCTCCGCGTCCATCGCCGCGACCTCGCGTCGCAGGCCGTCGCGCGTCTCCCCCGCGAGGGAGGGCCCCGCGCCGATCGCGCGCCCGACGCCGCCGACGCCCTCGATCGCGCTCGCGCGCACCGCGCTGAGCGCGCGCGTCGTCTCCGCGAGGATAGATTCGCTCACCTCGCGCGCGAATCGCTCGCGGACGAGCACGTGCTGCGTCTCGAGGAGCCTGCGCTCCGCGATCGCGGCGCGCGCCTCCGCGGAGCCGTCGTCCAGCGCGGGGAGCCCGCCGCCGGTTCTTCCGTCCACGAGCGCGAGATCCCACCGTTCGTCGCCGTCGTCGCCGTCGACGGCGCCGGCGCCGGAGGAGGACGCGTCATGTGCGGGCGCGGCGTCGCGCGTCGGCGGCGGCGGCGGCGACGGCTTCTTCTTCTTCGCGGCCGCGTCGGCGACGGATGACGCGGGGACGCTCGAGGCGTCCGTCTCCGTGCGTTGCTGCGCGCCCTTGCCCATGATCGCTCGCGAGTGCCCGCGGCGGGGCGGGGCGGGGCAGCGCGCGGGTGTTCGCGCGAATGAAGATCCCAACACCCCCGCAGCGTCTTCGTCTCGCGCTCGTTCGAACCTCGCCTCGTCGAGGGTCGGGCGTCGGTTTCAAGGTCGAAATGAAACCGCGTCCGGGGAAATTTTCATCGGATTTTCATCGGTGATTTTTCGCGAGCGCGACGTCTGAACCTGAAAACTAAACGTCGCGCGCGCGCTCTCCCGCCGCGGCGCGCGGTCACACGCCTCCGCGCTTCTCGTCGACGCCGCCCACACGGCCGCGCGACGATGGCGATGCGCCGGTTCGCGCACGTCGCGTCCAGGCGCTGGATCGTCCCCCCGCTGGGCGAGACGTCCGCGCGCGTCGGCGGCGGCGGCGTCGGGGAACGCGCGATCCGCGCCGGCGGTGCGCAGACGACGCAGCGCGCTAGGTTTTGGAACTGGTTCCTCGGATCCAAGGACGGCGCGGACGAGCGCGACGACGACGAGGCGACGAAGAAGAAGAGGAAGGGCGACGCGCGCGGGGACGACGCGGACGACGCCGCGGCCGCGCCGGCGCGATCCGGCGCGGACGATTCCGCTCCCGGGGGATCGCCGTTCAGCCGGGCGATGCGCGACGCCGCGACGAGCGACGATCGCGACGCGTCGTCGTCGACGTCGTCGTCCTCCTCCTCCTCGAGCGACGACGACGACAACCTTCGCGACGCGCCCTCGGACGAGGTGCGCGAGCTCGCGAAGGCCATGAGAGACGTCGCGCGCGGCGACGGCGATCGCGGCGACGATCGATCCGAGCGCGCCGAGCGCGGAGATCGCGGCCGCGACGCCTCGGCGCGTAGTAGAGATGAAGGCAAGCGTCATCGTTCCGACCCTCGCGGCAAACAGAAGCCGGTGCTCTTCGTGAGGAACGTCCCGAGCCACTTCAACGCGAAAAAACTCGCGGAGCTGTTCGACGACGCCGAGAAACACCCGGTGCAGAGCGCGAAGTTCAAGCGCGAGCACCCGGAGCACGGCGCGCACGGCCTCGTGCTGTTCAGGTCGCGGCGAGACGCGGACGCCGCGCTCGAGACGATTCGCGGGAGAACGACGGCGGCGGCGGCGGACGGCGCGGGGGAGATCGTCGCCGAGTACGCGCGAAACCCGGACGCCGTCGGCGGGTCGAAGCGGTCGAAGGAAGGCGGCGACATGGAGGATGAGGATGTCGGAGGACGAAGGCGGCGGCAACCCGAACGCGAGCGCGGCGCGAGAGAGAAGAAGGACGCGAAGTCGGAGAGACTCGAGACGCGACGCGACGCCGCGACGCGCGCGGAGGGAGAGGACGCGCCTCCCTCTCCGGCGCCTCGCGCGCCGGGCGAGCCGTTCGTGCCGAGGTACGCGCGCGAGGCGGCCGCCGCCGCGGAGAGAGCCCGAGAATTCGGTGAAAAGAAGACGCCCGCGGCGGATCGCGAGGGGGACAAGCACGCCAACCTGTACGTGCGAAATTTCCCCAAAAATTTCGACGATCGCGCGCTGAGGAGGCTCTTCTCGAAGCACGGCGCCGTGCGCGCCGTCCTTCTGATGAAGGACGCCACCCTCCTTTCGCCGACCGCCATCGTTCGGTTCCGCGACGCGGCGGCGGCCGCGGCGGCGATGGAGGCGACGGCGGGCGCGATGATCGAGGGGTCGCACGAGGGGTTGCCGCTTCACGTCGAGTACGCGTTGTCGCGAGAGGAACGCGAGGCGATGCGCGCGGAGCGGATCCAGAACAAGATTGCGTACAAGGAAGCGAAGGAGGCGCGCCGAGCGAGGCAGGAGGAGATTATGAAGAAGAACATCATGCACATGCACGCGGAGAACATCCCGTCGCACCTGACGAGCGACCAGTTCAACGAGATGTTCGCCGCGTACGAGGTGTCCGCGGCGAAGCTGTATTACGCCAACGGCCCCAAGCCGTCCGCCATCTTCGCGTGTCCCGCGGAGTGCGCGGTGGGACTCGTCGCCGCGTTCCACGATCGCGAGCTCCCCGGGTGCCCCGCGCCGATGAAAGTCACGCTGAGGCAGGAGAAGAGCGCGGAGAGGCAGAGGACGCAGGCGCGGCGCTACGGCGAGGTGGAGGCGTCGTTCGAGAGCGACGACGCGACGCGCGCGAAATACCGCGACGCGGAGGAGAGGACGCGCGTCATCGCGGCGAAGATGCGCGCGGAGATCGACGCGGAGAGGATCGCGCGGCGGAGCGATCGCGATCGCGCGCGCTCTCGGCCGGGAGGGGGACCGGGACCGGGACCGGGTAGTACTGAGCTCCCGCCGCGGGCGAAGCCGTACGAGTACGTCCCGAGATCCAAGCGCGGCGACGACGCTTCCGACGCCTCCGGGCGACGCTCGACGGTGTACGTCGACGGGAAACAGCGCGCGTACGGGAGCCGCCGCCCCGGCCCGGTCGCGGGGCCCGACGGCGAGATCAACCCGGAGCGTCCTCGTCGCGCCGGGGTCATGGAGCGTCAGGCGCGCAGGAGCGGCGGCGGCGGCGGCGGAGGCGGCGGCGGCGCGGCGGAGGCGCGCGCGAAGCTCGAAAACGCGACGGCTCGAATGCGCGCGCGCGGGAAAGACGTCGCCTTCGGCGGCGCGCGCGAGGAGCGCGGACGAGGACGGCGGCGCGACGACTTCGGCGAAGGCGGCGGCTGGGGAAGCGGCGGCGGAAAAGGCGGCGGCGGCGGGCGCGGCGCGTCGTACGACGACGACCCGGAACGCACGCGGCTGTCCCCGGAGGTTGAGGCGCAGATGAAACTTCGCAGAGAGGAGGTGCTCCGCGCGGCGACGGGCGACGACCAGTACGACTGGGACCCCGCCAAGTTCGAGCGGTTCCACAAGGTGCAGCTCACGGAGAACCACATGCACTCCGAGTTCATCTCGTGCCCGATCGTCCCCGGGTACACGCGCGAGATCGATCGGTCGCACATGAGGGGCGAGAAGCTTCTGGACGCGAACAAAGATTGGATCATGCGCGTCGCCGGCATCGGCTCCGACGAGGAGTACGAGAGGATCAAGGCGCAGACGCTCGAGCGGCACGAGACGCTCAAGAATATCCAGGAGCAGCAGCGCGTGTATCGCGGCGAGTCGCCGTTCAAGGCGGACTTCATCGCGGAGCGGAAGTCCATCGCGGACGAGGTGGCGGCGATGAAACCGTCGAACCCTCTCGCCGAGTTCGCGCGGAAAGCCGCGGACGCGCTCGACGCCAACCCGAACTGGGCGTACGACAGGAAGATCGCGACGATGAAGAAGCTGATGCGGCTGAGCGACACGCTGGCGGCGGAGACGGAGACGACGACGACGGCGGCGGCGGCGAAGGAGTCGCAGTCGCAGTGAAGAGGAGGAGAGTGCGGGGGGAGGGGGAGACGCGTCGTAGTCTGAGACGAGCTCTGAACTCTAAAAAGACGACGCGTCGGCTCGCGTGTTTTTCCCGGTCGCGAAATTGGCACCGAACCCGTTTCACTGGTGCCCAAACGCGCGTGTCGCTGTCGGCACCGAGAGACAATAAATCGCTGCGTGCCGTCTTCTGGAAAACCCCGTCGCGTCGCGTCGCATTCCCGCGCTCGCGCCGCCGCGCTCGGTTCGAACGTCGACGTCGACGCGCGAACGTTCGCTCAGCCGCGCGCGCTCGCGTTTCCCCGCGCTCGTCTCGTCCTCGCGCGCTCGGCCGCGTCGCCGCGGTCGCCGCTCCGGATCTGAATCGAGCGTCGCTCGATCGGCGCCGAGGGAGGTTTCGTCAGAGCGTCGCCGTCGTCGCCGTCGCGCGCGTCGCCGCGGGTGCGTCTCGACTCCTTCGCGCTCGAGCGCGCGATAAATCGCCGGGTCGTCGGTCTTCGCGCGGGATCGCCCCGCGCGGAGGGCGAATCCGTCGTCGAACCCGCGCGCGCGGCGCGTCCCCCGCGGCGTAATTCGCCGCTCGAGGAACACGGCACCCGCGGCGTTCGTTCCCTCTCTTCGGGGAATTCGACGCGACGCCGCGCCGCGCGTTCCCGCGCCGTCGTCGTCGCGTCCATCCCGCGCGCGCGCTCTCCGACCGCTCACGAACCTCCTCGACGTCCGCGTCCTCGCGTTTCCGACGACAGAGCGGTCGTGCGCCCGTCGACGCGCGCGCGAACGCGGGGTTCACGGCCCTCGCGCGCCTCGGTCAATCGGCCGACGCCTCTCCGGCGGGCGCGCGGCCGCACCGAGCGAACGAATTCCCAGTACACCGCCCTAATTCCGCAGCCGCCGCCGTCCTCTAAGACGGGCGGCGGGCATCCTCCAGCGAGATGATGGTCAAACCCGAGGGCGCGGAGGACGACGTCGACGTCCCAACGCGGCGGCCGAAGACGGTCGTCGGCGCGTTCACCGCCGCGATGGAGGCGTCCGACGACGACGACGACGACGACGCGGCGGCGGCGGAAAACGACGGCGCGCGCGATGGGGAGGCGAGAGGGTCCCTCGGCGACGACGACGACGCCGGCGCCGCGGCGAACGCGGCGGCGAACGCGGCGGCGAACGCCAAGGACGACGAGGAGGACGACGAGGAGGATGACGACGACGACGACGCGCGCGGCGCCGCCGAGGTCAAGACCGAGGGCGGCGTCGGCGGCGGGGACGACATGGACGAGGGCGCGGACATGCTCATGCTCCTCGGCGAGCTCGGCGCCGCGGCGGCCGGCGGCGGCGACGACGGCGATGGCGACGCCGCCGCCGCCTCCGCGCCGGCGGGCGCGAAGTCGCCGAAGAGCCCGGGGGGCGCGAACAAGCGCAAGGGCGGCGGCGGGGGCGGTAAGCCGGGAACTTCCGGCGCGAAGCCGCAGGGAGGCGGCGGCGGCGGCGGCGGCGGCGGCGGCGCGGGCGCGGGCGCGGGCGGCGCCCCCGGAGAGGGCGTCTCCGGCCCCGTCGGCGAGTGGCTCAAAGCCGAGGGCGAGGCGCGAATGAAGATGGCGGACCACCGTCGTCTGATCTACCGCTGGACGAACGCCATCTATCGGCTGCTCGGAATGAAAATTCCGCGCGGCATGGGGTCGCTGTTCGACAAGGGCGAGAAGAACAAGCGCGAAAAGTTCGACCGCTTCCTGTCCTACTACTACGGCACGGAGACGTTCGAGCCCGGGACGTACTGGTACAACAACGCGGACACGATACAGTTCTTCATCGAGCTCGTGAGGATCGCGACGAGGAACAAGACGACGCTCGAGCCCATCACGATCCAGAAGCTCTTCAGGAAGAAGGACCCGACGCGGCAGGCGAGCACGTGGATCATGGTCCAGGAGGAGCTCGACAAGACGTCCGTCACCGCGGCGGATCTGAGGGCGCTGTTCGAGGGGCCGCCGAGGGTGGAGCACGGGTTCCCGCGCGGGCGACCTCTGTTCGTGCCGATCCCGAAGAACCCGAAGGGGCACCACAAGTACAACAAAACCGGCGAGAACGGGGAGTCCGTGCCGACGTCGCCGGCGCCGCCGCCGAAGGAAAAGAAGGAACGCGGCGGCGGGAAGTCGTCGACGAATGCGGCGAACCGGGCGGCGACCGCGAACCAGGCCGCGGCGAACGCGGCGAACGCGGCGAACGCCCATAGCGTGGCGGCGGCGGCGGCGGCGGCGATGGCGGGGTTCGGCGCCGCGGGCGGCGTCGACTTCGCCGCCGCCGCCGCCGCCGCGGCGCGCGCGCACGCCGCCGCGGTGCACCAACACGCGCACGTCGCCGCCGCGCACACGAACGCGCTCGCCGCGCACGAGGCCATGCTCCGGCAGTTCGCGTCCGCGGTTCCAAACGCGTCGGGGATCGCGACGCCGTCCGCGCAAACACGCGTGGTGTACGACCCCGCGACGTCGGCGGCGATGAACCACGCGCAGCGACAAAACTCGCTCGCCGCGCTTCTCTCCGGGTCTACATTCTCTGGGAAAAATGACGTATCGAGGACGCCGTCGAGGGACATGTCCGGCGTCCTCGCGGGGGAGATTTTAGCCGCGGCGAGCGCGCCAGGGGCGTGCGAGGGGATCACGCTCGCGCCCGGGTCGTCGCCGGTGGGTGGGAACGTCGCGACGTTCGGCGGCGGCGCGCGGCGCGTCCGCGGCGACGGCGACGGCGGCGGTACAGCTGGCGGCAAGCGGCGGAAACTGGACGGCGCCGGGTCGACGCACCACGCGCCGTTGCTGCGACGGATGGAGTCGAACGGTGACGACGAATTCGGCGACGAGCCGTTAAACTATCCGGAGACGCCCGCCGCGCCGACGCGTCTGGTCGGCGACATCTTCTTCGGCGTCTTAGGCGACGTCTTGGGCAAGGTGTTTAACCTGAAGACGTCCTTCGGCCCCACCGTCTCGGGCGCCACCGCGTGCGAGGAGGGCCGCGAGAGGCTCGCGACGCTCGCGGAGGAGCTCGCGAAGAAGCTCCCGGACCTCTCGGGCGCCGCGGAGGACGCGTCGAGCGACGGCGGCGGCGTCCGCGGCGGACGCGCGACGAGGGAGCCCACCGTCGATCGAACCGCGCTGAACGCGGAGGTGGACTCCGTCGTCGTCGCGAGCAAGGCGGCGGAGACGGCGTGGCGGCGGTACACCGAGGCGACGACGCGCGCCGCGCAGAGCGCGCGACGCGCGAAGGTGGCCGCGGGGAGATGCGACGCCGCGAAGCGAGAGCTCGCGGGCGCGAAGATCGCGCGAGACGCGACGCTAAATCTCGGCGACGGCTCCTCCCTCGGCGCGTTCTCCCTCGACGGGTTCGACGCGGGCATCGCGCGCGAGGTGACGGCGCGCGTCGACGCGAAGATCGCGACGCTGACGGCGACGGTCGCGGAGCTCGCCGCGACGGTCGCGTCCGCGACGAAGGAGGAGGCGGAGGCGCGAGGGCAAGCCGCGACGTCATCGCGCGCCTTCAAGCCGCCGTACGACGAGGTGCACAAACGCGCGCTCAGGCTGCGCTTGGGCGCGGAGGAGCGCGCGGAGCGGCAGATCGCGCGCGCGCTGGGGAGGGCGGATCACCTGGTGGAGCACGCGGAGCGGCGACGCAAGGATCTCGAGAAGAGAGCCGCGGGGAAGGGCGCGGGGAAGGAGAAGGAGGCGCCCGGGAAGGGCGGCGCCAAGGGCGCCGCGACGACGAACGGGACCAGGGTAACCGCCCACGCGACGACGAACGGGGAGAGAGAGGCGATGGAAGAGCTCGCCGCGCGGGCGAAGATCGCGCGCGAGGGGCAGGCGCTGTTGAGACGCGCGGCGGACGCCGCGAAGACGGCGATCGAGTGGAGCAAGCACGAGATCGAGCGGCTCGACGTCAGGGACCGGCCGTGACGCGACGCGACGCGAGACGAGACGAGACGCGATGCGTTTTTTTTTTCGATCGATGGATGGATGGATCGATCCGCCGTCCGCCCGGTCTACGCGCGCGCGCGCGCGGTGAATATAAACTTTGAGATGCGAATACAACGTATGCGCGCTACTACAGTACAGTACAGTACAGTACAGTGCGCACGCGCGCGGCTTCACTGGATGAGCTTCACGAGGCTCGCCGCGATCTCCGCTCTCCGCTTTTCGCACATGCGCGGCGACGGCTTGAAATACTTTAACATTCCGTCCCACGGCACGGGCTTTATCCCCGCGCGTTGACAGATCATCGACCGCACGCGTTCCGCGAACTGTATGCCATCCTCCCCCGGTCGTTTCTCCTGCGGCTCCATGTACCACACGTCCGCGACCACGGCCCACGACGACATCAGCGACATCAGGTGTTGCGTGAACGACTGCCGCCGGCTGTGCCAAAACGTCTCCGCGAACGTCTTGTTGTACTTGATCGCGATGGGAACCACCTTGCACCCCAAGTCGAACGCGCCGCGCTTAAACATGACGCAGTACTCGTTATTCACGCACGTCCCCTCCGGGAAGATGAGCAGCGGCAGACGGTCCGGGTCCCTCACGTGCTCTCGTAGCCTTCGCTGCACCATCTCTCGGTCTTTGCTCTCCGTGCGGTTGAACCGAATGCAGTCGATCGCGTCCATCGCGGTGTTCTGTAAGAAACCGACCCACCCTTTGTTCTGCTGCGCGATCGCGCTGAACGGCGTCATCTGCGTCAATATGATGTAGTCGATCATCGACGTGTGGTTCGCGACGTAGACGTACCCCGCGCGCTTGTTCGGCTTGGGACCGTGGTACTTGATGACCCCGCCCCAGGTCACGATGTAAGACGCGGCGTACATCTTCACGAGCTTCCTCTCGAACTTCGCGCGCGTCTTCCCGCGGAACAGCGCGTGCACGACGCCGAACGAGGAGAAGAAGAGGAACTGCGAGCACATGAACACGGTGAACCGCGCGGGGAAGAGGACGAAGTACCGAACGATCACGCCGACGACCCACGTCGGGAACAGGTAGAAATTCCAGTTCCACGCCGGGTTCTCGCTGTAGTTGAAGCACCGGTGGAACGAGTCGTCCACGATCGCGTTCGCGGCGTCTTCGAGGACCCCGCTCGCGTCTAACAGGCGCGGCAACACCGCGTTGTTGCCGCCTTCCGTGAATCGCATCGACGCCGCGCGCTCGATGGCGAGCCCGGACGTGACTCTCTCGACGTCCTCGGACGCGCGCGCGCTCGGGGACTCGAGGTCGCCGAACTCCTCCGCGACCTCGCGCTCTTTCGTCTTCGGCGTCTTCACCGGCGTGGTCGCCATGATTCCGGGACGCGGGGGGGATCGAACCCGGGGGGTCGGAGCGCGACCCGAGGCGCGGGGCGCGATGGAATGAATGCCCGCCCGACGAGGGATTCTTCGATCGAAACTGAAGTCGCGCGCAAGCGCGATCTCGGATCACGCGCCGCGACGCTTCGCCTGCCCTCCCCGGGGCCGTTTCATCACTTCGCGCCGCGCGGGGGAGCACTCGCGCCGTCGCCGACGCGGACGCGCGCGTCGTCGCGAGCGACGCATCGCGCCGCGCGCCGCCGCGATACGCGTCGATCGACGCGAGTCCGCGGCCGATCGAAGCGGACGCGAGCGCGGCGCCGCGGGGACGACGCGCGCGCGCGTCTCTCGCGTCGCGCGAGATCAGATCTGATCGTCGCGCGCGGTCCGGTCGTCGTCCGAAATGGCGTCGTCGTCGTCGCCGTCGCCGTCGAGGGCGCCCGCGATCGAGGACGACGGCATCCCGGGCGGGCCCGGGGTGTACAGCACGCGATGCCCGCCGCTGCCGCGGCTGCGCGTGAAGGAGAGCAGGGACGTCGTCCGACGCGCGACGCTGCGTGCGCGAGGGATCTTCTCGGAGGAGGCTTCGGAAGAGCCAAAAGCGGGCGACCGCGACGGCGACGGCGGCGACCGCGACCGCGACGGCGACGGCGACGGCGGCGACCGCGACCGCGACGGCGACGGCGACGACGCGACCGACGCGCCGCGCGACGGCCGAAGCGCGCGCGTCGAGATCTCGACGCGGACGCTCCTCCAAACGCCGCCGAAGCTGAACCGCCTCGGCGGCGGCGGCGGCGGCGACTTCAGCGTCGGCGTCGGCGCGGACCGGCACCTCAAGGTGGCGCACGAGGCGCGAAAGCTTCGCGACGAGCGCAAGCGCGAGATGCTGCGCGCGGGGTGCAAGCCGAAGGGCGTCGCGGGACCGGACGACCCGATCGTCGCCGCGGTCGCCGCGGAGGTGCCGACACGCGAGGAGCGACAGCTGCGCGCGTGCGAGGCGCTGGAGAGGAAGCGCGCGACGCTCGAGGGGGTGGCGCTGCGCGCGACGAACGGTGCGCGCCGGCCGCGCGCGGCGTTTTTTTGGTTTTTTTTTGGTTTTTTTTTTTCTTCCGTCGTCGACGCCGGCGGCTGACCTCCCTCTCTCCCTCCCTCCCTCCCTCCCTCCCTCCCTCCCTCCCTCGCCGCCGTCTCCCCCCGCGCGCAGCGTACAACAACGCGGTCGCCGCGCGTAAAGAACGCGAGGCGACCCTCGAGGCGATGCGCCTCGAGCTGACGCGCATCGCGACCGCGCAGGACAAAGAGAGCGGCGTCGGCGTCGAGACGCGCCGACGCCATCGCGCGTTGACCGAACGCGCGCGCGCGCAGGCGGCGGCCACCGCGGAGGAAGCCGAGCGCGTGACCCCGATGTACGCGCACATCGCGGAGCGGCTGCGGCGGGGCAACCTGAAGCTCGAGCAGGGCGCGGAGGCGCGTTTTGTTCTATCTCACGCCGGTCCCCGTACGACCGCGTCGGCGAGGTGGACGCCGATCCTTGAGGACTTTATCTCCCGGCGGCGCATCTCTCCGCCCAGGGTCCCTCGCTCACAATCCCCGCATACGATACCTTTCAACTCCAACTGACGCCTTTCAACTCCACCCCGACATCGTTCATCGCTTCGTACGGAGAAGGCGCTGAAGGAGACTTCGAGCGACGTCGACGCGGACCACGCCGCGTGCGCTGAGTATCGACGCGCCGCGAGAGAGGCGGAGAAGCGCGCCGCCGACGCGCTCGACTGGGTCAGGTATGCACGCAGACTGGTCCCACCACGACTGCAGCCGCGTTCGGTTCGCGCGATGCGCTTAGATCCTTAATAAGGACTTGACTTCGCCTGCCGCCCCCCGCGCGCGTTTCCGTTTCTCTCCGCCCGTCCCACGGTGTTTAGTACCCGTCCCGCGAACGCTCGACCGCGACGCGTCGCGACGACTCTGACTGACGCGTCCCCGCGCGCCGCCCCGACGTTGTTCGTCGCTTCGCAGGGCGCGACACAGAGAGAAGAAGGAGGGGTGGCGCGCCGACCTCGACGCCGCGCGTCAAACGCGCGAGAAGGAGGCGGAGGACGTGAAGCACGAGCGAACGGAGGACCGCGCGAGCGCGCGACGGTTGGAGATCACGAGAGCGGCGCGCGAGGCGAAGCTACGGAGCAAGTCGTTTCTGTCCGCGGGCGCGAGGGCGGCGACCGCGGCGAGAGAAGAGAGCGAAGAGACGGCGAGGACGGCGGTGATGAAGCTCGCGGCGAGCCTCGGGATCGAGAACACGGCCGCGTGCACCCCCGACGACGTCCTGGGCGCGTTCGAGAAGAGCGAGGCCTCGAAGACGAGCAGCGAGGCGACGATCGCGGAGCTGCGCGCGCGGGAGAAGGAGCTGTGGATCGCGCTGCGCGAGGAGACCGCGACGCTCCAGCGGCACCGACTCGGCATCGCCTCCGCGAGAGTCAGCGAGAAGGAGAGAGACAGAGACAGAGACAGAGACAGAGACGGAGACGGAGACGGAGACGGCGGGAAGAAGTCTACGACGCGGCGCGTGAGCGTGATCACGACGATCCCTTCGATCGCGCGGAAGCCCCCGCGGCCGTCCGCGTCTGTTGGCGCTGCCGTGACGCCCTCCGCGACGACGTTGCGCACGGTGAGCCGCGTGTCGGACGAGGAAATCACGCTCGCCGCGCGACGCGTCGGCGTCTTCGAAGAGAAGCTCTTGGTCGGCGAGAAGAAACTCGTCGCCGCGTTCAAGCGGTTCAACCGCGCGATGACCGCGCTCGCGACGATCGACGAGGGCTTAAACTCGATCGACGACATGATCGACGCCGCGTTCGAGGTCATCGGACGCCCGAGCCGGGGCACGCGGTTCCCCCCCCCGCGCCGGTCGCGCGCGTCCGTCGCGTTGAAAACCGTGGACGAGAGCGACGGTTCGTCTTCCCAGGACGGCGGCGGCCGCGGAGGCGGAATCGGAATCGGAAGCGTCGCGGGCGGCGGCCGCGGCGCCCTCGGCGGTCTGAGCCAGAGCCTTCCGCGACGGACGAGCGCCGCGATCGGCGGGAGGCTGTCTAGCGCGAGCGTCGTCGCGGTCTCGAGGGCGAGGGCGTCCGTCGGCGGCGCGCGACTCTCCTCCGCGCGACTCTCCTCCGCGCGACTTTCCTCCGCGCGACTCTCCTCCGCGCGACTCTCCTCCGCGGCGCCGCCGCCGGGGGGACGCGAGCCCGAGCCCGCTTCGAAGAGTCTCCGTCGGTTCAGCGTCGGTGGCGCCTTCGTCATGGAGTCTATGGATTTGTCGTCTTCGTGCGCGATGCACTCAAACGACGACGACGACGACGACGCGCCGATCGCGCCGGCGTTCCACGCCGAGCTCCCGCGCGAGAGCCGCGCGTCGCGAGGCGCCGAGGTGCGTTCTATACGCTGGTCCCCAAGCGACCGCGTTGGCCACACATGAACGCCGTTTCTCGAGGACTTTTGTCCGCGTGCGTTTCTCTCCGCCCACACCTCGCTTTCGATCCCCGCCTTCGACGCCTTTCAACTCCAACTGACGCCTTTCAACTCCACCCCGACGTCGCCTCGCACGGACCCTCGACCCAAAGCCGCTCTCCGCGGAGACCTTACGCGCGTACAAGAGGCTCCCCGGCCGCCTCTCCGCGATCGCGTCGCAGCTCGAAGACGTCCTGACGCGGTCGATCCCGAGCGAAGGGCGCATGGCGCGCGTCTCCGTCGCGCTCGGGGTGCGGTCCATCGTCGAAGGCGGCGCCGGGATCGCGATCGATCACCCGCTCGCGGGCACCGGGAAACGGATGGGGAAGGTGCGTTTCGCCGCGCAGGAGGTTGACGACGACCCGGCGGGGATGCGGTTGAAGCGCGGGAGGCAGTACGTCGCGCTCGCCAAGAAGTGGTGCTTCAAGGCTGGGCCGCCCGTGGAGAGCGAGAGCGAGAGCGACGACGACGGCGGCGGCGGCGGCGGCGGCGGCGTGAAACCGTCGGGCGGGTCGGAGTCCGCCGCCGTCGCGGGGGCGACGACAACCGAGTCCGCCGCCGGGTTTAAGGTGCGTTCTATACAAACGTTTTTCACCCTTCGCCCGGTTTCAACATTTGATGGCGTCCCCTTTCAACTGACCGGTGAACTATTTTTGTATGGAACGGCCCTAAGATCAAGTCGAGACGCGGGCGGATCTCGGATCCGGACAATCCAACGTCGAGGATCGTGTCGAGGGATTTGTTGAAGAGCGCGTCGGTGCGAGCGGAGGCGATCCGAGCGAAAGCCGCCGCCGCCGCGCGCGAGCACGACTGAGATTCCGTCGCGTCGCGTCGCGAGGGTACAGTATCCTTTACTTCGAGTCTGTAATTTAACCGGGGGTACAGTACGATGTCACTTATCCCACGGCATCTTGATCCCGCCGAACATCCCCCCCGTCCCGCCGCCGCCTCGGCCGCCGCCGTCCCCCTCGTCCACGCTCCCCGTCGGCTTCGGATCGTTCTTCCTCACCTCCTCGAGCTCGCCCTTCTTCCACTGGAACATGTTCGGCTCGTAATCCCTCGCGAGATCGCTCTCTCCGAGACCGACGTACACCCTCAAGCTCTTTAACCCTACGGTGCCGCCGCCTTTGCTCACGCCGCCGCCGAAGAGCGACTTGGAGCCGTTCGGCATCGTGTCGTAGTACGTCCCGAGGCGACTCCGCGCGACTCTTTGGTCGATGTTGAACGCTAAGCCGTCGGGACCCCACTTCGGCGACGCGTTCATCTCGTCGATGATCGCCATGCCGCTGCCGCCAACCTTCCCGAGCTTCACCGGCGTCCCGCCGCTCCCGCCCAACCCCAGCGGCCCAACGCGCGGGTACACGAACAAAAACGCGGAGATGGCGTCGAGCCACTCGCCGTAGCCGAGCCACCCTTTCGGGTTGTACGCTCCGAACACGGTCCCGTCCTCGGCGACGGCGACCAGCACAGCCGCGCCCTGCCCGTCGAGCTGCGCGGGGGTCGGGAGAGAAAGTCCTTAAGGAACGGCGTTCACGACGCGGACGCGGTCGTACGAGGGCCAGTGTTATGAGGGAGGAATATTTACCTGGAGATGGAACGCCGCGCTCCTCCAGCCGTGCACGTCCGCGTCGAACGCGCACCCGAGCGGCAACGTCTCGAGCTGCGACTGCTTCAGGACCGCGCGCGCGAGCTTGAGCTCGTCCGTGTCGTCGGTCGGGAGGATCGCCGCGACGACGCCCTGGTCGCACAGCGCGGGCCACTGATCCGGCCAGTCTTCCTTCGTCATCCGTTTCAGACCTGCGGGCGCGGGGTCGTCGAGGACGTCCTTCCCGAAGACGTTCATCACCACGCGCGTCACGAAGTCGAGCTCCTCTTTCGGCGCCGCCCCGTCGCCGTCGTCGTTGGACGCGCGCGGGACTAGGACTACGGCGCGACGATCGCGACGGGAAGATCCGCGACGCCGCGACGACGGAAAACGCGGGACGCGGACGGCGGCCGCGGCCGCGCGGGGAAGCGACGCGACGCGAGGACGCGCGCGATGCGCGCGCGGCGACGGCGTCGGCGTCGCCGCGGGGGCGCGGGACGCGAGGGAGGAGGTCATGTCGAGACGTCGGCCGGCGGCGCGCCGAGTCGAGTGGCGCGCGTCGTCGGAGACAGGACGCGCGCGACAGGAAGCGAATATAAAAATCTCATCTCCCGTCGAATATCTTATAAAAACACAGCCGAGAGTACAGGTCCCGTCCCTCGTCGTTCGCGTCCCGCGCGTCCATCCATCCATCCATCGCATCGCATCGCATCACTTCCCCGCCTTCATCATCTCGACGAACGTCTCGAAGCTCCCGTCGCTGTCGTGCGGCCCCGGGGACGCCTCAGGGTGGTACTGGATCGTCATCGCCTTCAGCGCCGGGTAGATCATCCCCGCGCACGTGCCGTCGTTGAGGTTCACGTGAGTCACCTCGACGTCGGCGGGGAGCGTCTTAGGGTCGACCGCGAAGTTGTGGTTCTGCGACGAGATCTCGACCGCGCCAGTGGGGCCGCGCACGGGGTGGTTCCCGCCGTGGTGGCCAAACTTGAGCTTGAACGTCTCGCCGCCGAACGCCTGCCCTAAGACCTGGTGACCCATGCAGATCCCGAACACCGGGAGCTTCCCGAGGATCTCCTTCGCGTTGTCCACGGCGTACGGGACCGCGCTGCGATTGGTTGGTGGGGTAGAGGTGGTATGTGTTGTGGTTTGTGATTGGTTAGTTATTTGATGACGTGGACGTTTGCGTGGACGAGAGAGACGGAGAGCGGATCCGCGAACGAAGCGCACCTCGGGTCGCCCGGCCCGTTTGAAAATAAAACCCCGTCCGGCTTCAACGCCAAGACTTCGGCCGCGGGCATCGTCGCCGGGACGACGGTTATCCTGCACCCGAACGCGGCGAGACGACGCATGATGTTGTGCTTCACGCCGAAATCGTACGCGACGACGTGCAGCGACCCTTTCTTCGACGCTTTCGCGGCGGCGGCCCACTCCCACTCCTCGCCCGTGGGATCCGTCCACTCGTACGGCTCCGAGCACGAAACCGTCGAGATCATGTCCTTGCCGACGATGGTCCAATCCCTCGCCATCGCGACGAGCTCCTCGTCCGTCTTATCGCTCTCCGTCGTGATGACGCCGTTGAGGCACCCGGTGTCGCGAAGACGCCGCGTGATCGCGCGCGTGTCGACGTCCGAGATGCCGATCACGTTTTGTTGCTCCAGGTACTCGGGCAACGACTGAGGGTAATTGTCCATACGAGCGAACGTCGGGGTGGAGTTGAAAGGCGTCAGAAGCGGAGTTGAAAGGCGTCGAGGCGTGTCGGGATTGAAACCGAGGGGCGGGCGGAGAGAGACGCCGGGAGAGAAAGTCCTTAAGGATCGGCGTTCACCACGCCGACGCGGTCGTATGGGGACCAGTGTGAGGAGAACGCGCCTGGCTCGACCGGTAGTTGCTGACGTTGAGCGACAGGTGCCGCACGAGCATGCCGCCCATGTGCGCCTTCGTCGACTCCATGTCCTCGACGTTGATCCCGACGTTACCAATCTCCGGGCACGTGAACAGCACGAACTGCCCGGCGTAGGACGGGTCGGTGAGGATCTCTTGGTACCCTGACATGGACGTGTTGAAGACGACCTCGCCGAGCGCGGTGCCCTTCGCGCCGAAGGACTGGCCGTTCCACACCGAGCCGTCCTCGAGGACGAGCCTGCAGTCGGACGTCTTCCACGGCTTCTGCGCCGCGGCCGCGGAGACTGCGGGGGGAGGGAGGGGAGGGAGAGACGGAGGGAGGGAATGAGGGAGTGAGGGAGTGATAAAAAGCGCACGCGCGAGCGCCGCGCGTGGCGTGTGCGGCGTGTTTTTGAACGAACGCGGGCGCCGCGGACGGCGGCGGCGAATAGAGCGGGAAAAGACGCGCACCCGAGACGACGCGCGCGCGCCCGCGGCGGGCCTTCGCGGCCGTGAACGAGATCCCGGTCTTCTCGCGCGATCGCAGGGAAGACGACGCGCGGACCGCGGAGGCCACCGCGGTCGCGGAGGACGCCATCGCCGCCATCGATCGATCGGCTTTGAGATTCGAGCGGCGCGGTAGCCTCGGAGGCGGGGGGTTCAAACGAGCCGCGCGGACGCGCTCGGAGATCACGCGAGGTGAGGCGGACGAGCTAGGTCGTGCGCGCGGCGATCGCGCGAGGACGCGGACGCCGAAAGTCAGTGTCGTGCGCGCTACGTGTGGCGCGATCCGCGCCGCATCGACGCGTATTACGCTTTTCAAAACCGCGGCGAGATGCGTGAGGAGATATTCCAGGGCACGCTGGGCACTCAGAACAGGTGCGTTCTATATTCACCCATATCTCGGTTTCAACACTTGATCGCGTCTCCTTTCAACTGACCGATGAACTTTTTTTGTATGGAACGACCCTGAATACGTACTGTACACTACCTGTACTCGTATCAGCAGCTCCCGAGGAAATATCGTCAGAACGCGAACGTTCCCGCCATAAATCAATAGCCCCCGTTCCGACCCAACTGAAAGCCGTCTGCCCGCCGCAGCCATGGCGACCCCGGGGTTCCTCTCCGAATACGAGATCGCGCGCGCGAAGATCATCGCGCGGAACCAGAAGAAGATGACCGAACTCGGGCTCTTCAAGAAGGCGGACGATCTCAAGAAAGCGTCGGAGCCGAAACCCGATCCCGCGTCCGAGGCGGAAGCGCGCGAGCGACGAAACGCCAAGGCGAAAGCCCGAGCGGAGAAGGCGGCGCTCTCCCCGTCCGTCCCGTCGCGCGCGTCTGGGCGCTTGCGCAACAAGCCCGCGCCGGTGTATCGTGACTACGACGTGTACCTGGACGACCTCGACTTCTCGAAGCGATCGACCAAACGCAAACGCGGCGGATCCGGCGCGGGCGGACGCGGCGGACGCTCGCCGTGGGACAACACCGCGTGGCCGCACGGCGACGCCGCGCGCGAAGCCGCGGAGCGCGCGCAGGAGTGCATGGACAAGCTGAAGAACCCGTCGTTCTGTAAGATCATGCTTCCTTCCATGGTCGTGGGGGGCTTTTGGATGGAGGCGCCGCAAGGTGCGCGCCGTCGACGCCGTCGACGCCGCGTCCGTCTCGGCGAGACTGCTTCCCATACGACCCCGTTCGCATGGTGAACGCGATTCCTTAAGGACTTTCGCGTCGGCGTCGTCCGTCCACCGTCCGCCGACGACGATCGATCGATTTGAACCGTTCACCCACCCCAACCCGCGAACGACACACCAGGTATCCCCGCGCACATGCCCCCCGGGCCGCTCGCGTCGAAGCACCCGTTCCTTCTCGTGCGACCGCCGAAGCTCGCCATCACCGCGGAGGAGGACGTCGACGCGAGCTCCATCGCGATGGACGACGACGCGGACGAGTGGCGCGTCGTCTGGCTAATTCGCAAGGGGGACGGGAAATGGAGCGGCGGCGGATTCAGCGGCGGGTGGAGGGGGTGCGCGATCGACCTGAAGCTCGCCGTCGGCGACGCGATCGTGTTCGAGGTGTTGCCAGGGCGCAGGGACGGCCTTCTCGCGCTGCAGATGCGCGTGTTCCGCGCGCGGGACCCGGCGACGATACGTCCGACGTGGGAGGCGCTGGAGGAGATGATGAACGATGACCAGGACGCCAACAACGCCGCGGAGGAGAGGAGGGAGAAAGTCTCCTCGACCGCGACGGCGACGGCGACCGCGTTCGAGTACAGCGCCAAAGCGATCGACTCGCGCGGGGGTAAGCCGAACGCGCGCAGGCAATCCGAGGGCGAGCGTCTACTCCTTAACTCCGGGGTCGTCGCGTTGCACTCGAGCTCCGAGGAGGAGGATGAAGAGGAGAGACCGAAGAAGAAACAGAAGCGGATGCGAGCGCCCGTCGCGCCGACGCAACGCGCGAAGCTCCCGTCCGCGCCCTCCGCGGGCGCGAAGGCGGGGGTGAAAGCGTGGGGACCCGCAATGATCGGCGCACGCGTGGAGAAAGAGTTCGACGGCGAGATGTACGCCGGCGAGGTCACGTCGTACGACCCCACGGAGGACTGGTACAAAGTCGTGTACGAGGACGGCGACCGGGAGGAGATTGACGTGACGGAGTTGAACGCGATTTTGAAAGCACGGTAGTACTGTAGTGTAGTGTAGGGCTAGGTGTGCCTACGACGTAACAACTTACTCGTACTCGTACGCACCTCGGGTCTCGCGGCCGAGCGCGAAAACGCCGCGATCATCACGTCCGTCGCTACGCGTCGAACTACCCGCGCGACGACAACACTAAAACGCTACGCATCACACGCGACACACGTACGAGGACGACTTCGTGACGTACCGCACCCACCGGTGCGGCCCTTTCCCTTTCCCTTGCGCGCCCGCGCCGGCGCCGCCGCCGGAGCTCCCTCCCCCGATCTGCAGGTACCGCACGCCCACCCTAGACACGTTGAACATCGGTATCGTGAAGTGCATCGACACCGGCCCGAGCTCCTTCCGCGCGTTCGGCAGCCGCTCCTCGGGTATCGACACGTTCACCCGCAGCGTGTGCTCCGCGCCGCCGGTGAACTTTTTAAACTGCCACGTCACCGCCTTGTCCTGCGACGAAAACGCGGCGTGCTGCGTCCCGGGCGTCGCGCCGGGCTCCAACGTCGGGTTCGCGTTGATCGCGCGCTGCGGCGTGGGAAACTTCACCACCATCCCGGTGCACGCGCACTTCGACGGGTACGTCGCCTTTATCGTGATCACCGCGGTAATCTTATACGGCGTGGTCTCGTCCACCGTCACGCGGACTTTAAACGGCGGATCGAAATCGCACGATGCGCGGTAATTCATGAGCGAAAACTCCCCCTCCGGCGGCGTCAGAGCGATCGTTCGGTCGACGTCGAAGTTACTCAGGTCCGCGGACTCGTGGAAGTTGCAGTCGTCCAACAGCGTCGCCATCCCGGACGCGCCGCCGGAGCCGAACCCGTAGTCGCCGCCCACCGCGGTCGCGAAGTCTCGTCCGCCGATCGCGAGGTCCTCAGGTAGCGCCAGCTTGATCTCGGGCGATCCGTGGAGGAAGTTTCGAATCTGCACGCAGCCGTCCACCTCCGACGTGAGCGTCGCCCCGCTCGCGGCGAAGCACACGGAGATCTTCTCGACGACGTCGACGAAGATCTCGTTCCGGCTCCCGCCTCTCGCCTTATCCCGCGCGGTCGCGAGGACGCTCCGCTGCGTCGCGTCGCGTCTCGCCGTGCCCCCGGGCGTGTGCGTCGGCGCCGCCTTCGCCGCCGCCGCCTCCTTTCCGTACTCGATCCCAGCCTTTACGACGCCCTTGAAGACGCCGTACGGCGTGGAGGCTCTCTTGACCGCCGCTGACGCCCTCGCCGCCGCCGCGCCCGCGCCCGTGGTGGCCGACGAAGCAGGCGTGGAGGGCTCGTTGAACACGTGTCGCTTCAGCGCTTCGGTGGACGTCGACTGCGCGTACCCGGGGTGGAGTTGAAAGGCGTCAGAAGCGGAGTTGAAAGGCGCCGAGGACGGGGATTGAAAGCAAGGGGTGCGCGGAGAGACACGCCGGCAAAAGTCCTTAAGGATCGGCGTTCACCACGCCGACGCGGTCGTATGGGGACCAGTGTAATGAACGCACCTGCGCGTACCCGCGATCGATCATCTCATCCAGGAGTTCGTACGCGAGCACGGAGTTCTTCCTCAGCGCGTCCTCGTTCATGACGCCGCAGTAGTCTTTGATGACCTTCGCGACGCGGTGGAGGAGCTCGAGAACGTGCGACGGGGAGACGTTCTTCCGCGTCGTCGTCGCGAGGAAGAGCCCGTTGGCTTTCACGTGGAGGTAGTGCACGCCGTCCTCCGCGAACACCGCGGGCGCGCGCTCTGAAGCGATGTCGGGGTGGAGTTCAAAGGCGTCAGGTGTAGTTGAAAGGCGCCGAGGGCGGGGATTGAAAGCGGGGGACCCTGGGCGGAGAGACACGCCGGCAAAAGTCCTTAAGGATCGGCGTTCACCACGCCAACGCGGTCGTATGGGAACCAGTGTATAGAACGCGCCTGCATCTTTCCAGAACCGCACCGCGCGGAAGAACGTCTCCGGGGACGTCTTCGGGACGTCGTGGCGGTACTCTTTCTTGATGATCACGTCCCCGCGCGGGCTCAGGATGAACAGCTGCGAGATCATCGCGCCCGCCGACGAACGACGACGACGCGCGGCGTCGCGAGGTGCCCTAATATATTACGACGCGACCGCGCGCGCGCCTCGGATCTGACGCCGACGCCGTTCCTCGCGGCGCCGGGGGTATCGAAGTTCCCGCGTCCGTCGCCCGCGCGATGCCCCCGCGCTCCCGCGTCCGCGCGCGCGTCGCCGTGGACGACCTCTCGCGCCGCCGTGCGCGCGCCTCGCGCGTCGACACAGTGCCCCCGAGGTAACAAGCAGCGCGTCTGGCTCGTCGGCCTAAAGTAGACTGCGACGACATTCCATGCAAAAAAAAGTTCATCGGTCACTTGAAAGGGCACGCGATCAAATGTTGAAACCGAGGGGTGGGTGAAAACGCACCGCATTCCGTCAGAACTCTTCAGCTTGAAAGCAGTGAGAAAGCACGCGCGCGCACTCGTCCTGTCTGCTCTCAGCCTCAGAATAAAAACTCCTCGGTCGAACACGAACGCGACAGACGCGCGCTCGCCCCCCGCGCACGATGTCCGCGCAGGCGTACGACGCGAGCACCCTCGGCGCGCTCGCGCTGTCCGTGTCCTCGTCCGTCTCCATCGTCATCGTGAACAAGTACCTGATCTCGAGCCTCGGGTATCGATACGTCACGTTCCTGACCTCGATCCACCTCTTGGTGACCGCGGTGTTTCTTCGACTCGCCGCGCGCGCGGGGTGGCTCGAGCCGAAAGCGATCGAACGGAGAGCGCTGCTGCAGTTCAGCGTCGTCAACGGCGTCAGCATCGGGTTCTTGAACCTCTCGCTCGGGTACAACTCCGTGGGGTTCTACCAGATGACGAAGCTCGCGATCATCCCGTGCACGGTCGCGATTCAGCAGACGTTCTACCAGAAGCAGGTGCGTTCTATACACTGGTTCCCATACGACCGCGCTGGCGAGGTGGACGCCGATCCTTAAGGACTTTACTTCCCGGCGTGTCTCTCCGCCCAGGGTCCCCCGCTTTCAATCCCCGCCCTCGACGCCTTTCAACTCCACCTGACGCCTTTGAACTCCACCCCGACATCGCTTCGTATGGAACGGCCCGCAGTTCAGCGCGCGCATCAAGCTCGCGCTCGCCGTCTTGCTCCTCGGCGTCGGCATCGCGACGGTCACGGACCTCGAGCTCAACTTCCTCGGGAGCCAGCTCAGCGCCGCGGCGGTCGTCACGACGTGCGTGTCGCAGATATGGACGGGCACGATGCAGAAGAACTACTCGGTGTCGTCGACGCAGCTCCTCTTCGCCGCCGCGCCGTACATGGCGCTGACGCTTGGCGCGGGTGCGTTCGACGGTCATCACACCGGTCCCCATACGACCGCGTCGGCGTGGTGAACGCCGATCCTTAAGGACTTTTCTTCATTTCCCGGCGGCGTCTCTCTCCGCCCAGGGTCCCTCGCTCACAATCCCGACGCACACATCTCGACGCCTCACAACTCCGCTTCTGACGCCTTTCAACTCCGCCCCGACGTCGTCGCTTCGTACGGACCGTCGACCGTCGTCAGTCGCGGTGCCTCTGGACAGCGCGTTGACGGGCGGGACGCCGTTCGAGTTCGAATACACGCCCGCGGTGGTCTTCACCGCGTTCCTCACGTGCGTGATCGCCATCGCGGTCAACTTCAGCACGTTCTTGGTCATCGGCAAGTGCGACGCGGTGACGTACCAGGTGTTGGGGCATCTCAAGACGATGCTGGCGCGTCCCATCTCACGCCGGTCCCCGTACGACCGCGTCGGCGCGGTGAACGTCGATCCTTAAGGACTTTCTCTCCCGGCGTGTCTCTCCGCCCATCACCCATCGCTTTCAATCCCGACACACCTCGACGCCTTTCAACTCCGCTTCTGACGCCTTCCAACTCCACCCCAGGTGCTGGGCTTCGGGTTCACGGTGCTCGCCGCCCCCGCGAGTTTTCGAAACTTGTTCGGGATCTTCGTCGCGTTGTGCGGGATGGTGACGTACGGCGTCGTGGAGTTGGAGGAGAAGAAGCGCGCGGCGGAGCTCGCGCCGGCGTCGAGCGTTGGGAAGTGAGCGAGCGGAGCGATCGAGCGCGGAGGAGATGAGCTCACTGTAGAGGACGTCGCGGCGGACGACCCGACCCACCGGGACGATGAAAACGTGATGAACACGCTTCCGTCGTGCGGAGCGGAGTCTGCGTCTGGTTGAAAAAAAAAACAGTCTCTCGCCACTTCGCCTCGCGCGCTGCCGCATGCGCGCGTCTTCGTCGTCGTCGCGAGCATGGCGTCCGCGAGCGCGCGGTGCCGCTTCTGCGGCGAGGTCGACGCCGTCGCCGCGCTCGTGGACCCCGGGTGCGCGTGCTACAAGAAGCGCGAGAGCGACCTGTGCCATCGTTCGTGCCTGAGGGAGCGAATCGAGCGCGCGTCCACGGGCGCGAGCGACGGCGCCGCGGACGCGTCGAGGATTTGCGAGACGTGCGGCATGCCTTTCCGCGTCGACGTCGTCGAGAGGTTCGCGCTCACGACGAGGAGAGTCTGCGGAGAGAACGCGGTGGCGACGGGCGTCAGCGTTCTCCTCGTCGTGACCACGCTCGCCACCTTCGTAAACATGTCGTACGCGCGAGCTGGAACCGTCGCGACGGTGGACGACTTCGACGGAGGGCGAAGAGGCGGCGGCGGCGGCGGGGAAGGGAAGTGGGCGACGGCCGCGGTCGTCGTCTTCGCGGTGCTCGCGATGCTGTTCGTGAGGAAAGCGCTCGCGCGATGGAAGAGGCAGCAGACCGAAGTCGTGCGCGTGGACGTCGTGTAGTCGAAGGTAGATGTAGCATCAAAAATATTGAGGAAAAAGTCACTTCGCCTCCGCGCGACGACGCGCACGGCCATCTTCGAGGCGTGCGTCGCGCGCGTCCGAACGAACGAACGCGCTCGAGATGACGACCACCCCTCCCGCCGCCGCGAGCGCGCGCGCGTCGTCGCGGTGGGAGATCCTCCGAGTCGCGGAGCGGATAGGCCCGAAGTTCACGCTCGGGGACGTCCTGCTCCAGCTCCCATCCTACGACGGATCGTCCGACGAGCTCCGCGGCGAGCTCGTCGCCGCCGCGGACGCCGCGGGCGCGCACGTGGAGTCCGCGCCGAACGGCGAGGTGATCTACGTGTTCCCCCACCGCGCGCGCGCGGCGGTCTTGGCGCGAGACGCGCGCGAGAACAGCGCCGCGTTCCGTCGCAGGACGTGGCGAGGCGCGCTCGCGCTCTTCCGAGGGCTGTTCGCGACGTTCCTGATCGTGTCCGTGTGCGTCATCTTTCTCGCGCTCGTCGCGATCACGATCATCGCGCTGACGCAGAACCGCGGCGGCGGCGGAAGAGGCGGGGACGATGTCCTGCCGGTGTTCTTCACCCCGGGCGGCGGCGGCGGCGGCGGCGGATTCGGCGGCGGACCGTACTACCGCCATCACGGCGTGGACAATTTCTGGTTCTACCTCTACATGCGCGACATCTGGTGGTTCACCTACTGGAACGAGCACGAGCATCGACGCATGATCTACGAGCGCGGGATGTACGGCGGCAGGTACGGCGCGCACGTCGGACGAATCAACGTCGTCGACGAGAACGGCGTCGCCATCGGCGTGCCCGTGAGACCACACGGGGGGAAAGGCGGTCCCGGTCGAGGGGGAGGTGAGACTGCTTCCCATACGACCCCGTTCGCGTGGTGCACGCCGTTCCTTAAGGACTTTTCCCGTCGTCACTCTTCACCCGCGCTTCCCTTTCAACGTTTGACCGGTAAGACGTTCAACTGACCGATCGCTTCACCCACGCAGGCGGCGGCGGCGGCGGCGGCGGAGGCGGAGGCGGAGGAGGCGGAGGAGGCGGCGGCGGCGGCGGCGGCGGATCAGGCGGTGGTCCGTACGGCCCACCCGGGGACTGGGCGCGTCTCATCGCGGAGGAGGACGAGGACGAGGCGCGCGCGAAAGACGCGAACCGCGAGCTGACGTTCGTGGAGAGCGTCTTCGCGTTCGTCTTCGGGAGAGGCGCGTATTCCTCACACTGGTCCCCATACGACCCCGATGGCGTGGTGAACGCCATTCCTTAAGGACTGCGCCCGGCGCGTCTCTCCGCACACTTCTCGCTTTCAATCCCCGCGCGCGACGCCTTTCAACTCCGCTTCCGACGCCTTTGAACTCCACCCCGACGTTCTGTTCGCTCGTGTAGGCGACCCGAACGACACGCTGGAGCCTCGGCGGTGGCGCGCGATCGCGCTGCTGTTGCGCGCGAACAAGGGCGCGGTGTTCGCGGAGCAGGTCGCGCCGTTCCTGGACACGTTCTTGCTCGGCGCGGAGGGTAGTAACGCGCGCGACGCGGGCGTTTTCGACGCCCTGAGGCGGCGCGTCGGGCTCGGCGCGAAGAAGCGCGGCGACCGCGAGCGAGACCCGTCGCGGATGCACGAGGGATACATGCTTCGCGTGTGCTCGCGGTTCGGCGGGCACGCGGAGAGCAGCGACGACGGGAAGCTCGTGTACGTGTTTCCGTCGCTGCAGACGAGCACCTTGGACGACCACGACGTGGAGGCGGCGACGGTGGCGAGCTTGGGACGATCCGTCGCGCCGAGGCCGAACAAGACGCTGCCGCCGCCGATTCCGCCGCCGCTGTACGAGCGCCCCAGGCCGGTGTGGGAGGGCGGCGAGAAGCTGCCGCTGGTGATCGGCCTCGGGGTTCTCAACTTGGCGCTGGTGATCGTGTTCCGCGCCGTCGGCGGGCTCGATTTCCGCGCGACGCGACCGCGACCGGTCGGGATCCGGTCTCGAGGGGTCGCCGGCGCGCGCCGCCGTTACGCCGCCGGCGCGCGGGAGGACATCCTCGCGGCGGCGACGAAGCAGACCGCGGCGATCAAGGCGGCGCGCGACGCGGCGATCAAGAACGGGACGGACCCGATCGCGGCGGCGAAGGCGGCGGGCGGCGTCGTCGTGTACGAGGAACTCCCCGCCGCGCTCCGCTTCCTCGAGCTCTTCGTGAGGCTCGCCAAGGTGCGTTCTATACACTGGTTCCCATACGACCGCGTTCGCGTGGTGAACGCCGATCCTTAAGGACTTTTCCCGGCGCATCTCTCCGCCCAGCCCTCGGTTTCAATCCCGACACACCTCGGCGCCTTTCAACTCCGACTGACGCCTTTCAACTCCACCCCGACGTTCGCTCGTATGGAACGACCCTAAGTGGGCGTATCCCGCGTTGCTGCTGTACGCGATCACGTTCTTCGTCGTCCCGTGCGTCCGCGCGGCGTACTGCCACTGGGAGAACAAGAACATCGCGGCGAGGAACGCGCGACGGAGGATCGCCGCGGGGGGGGCGCTCAGGGAGATCATCGCGGTAGGAGAGGACAAGCGCGACAGAGCTCGCGGCGCGCAACGCCTGGAGATCGTGACCGAGATCGAACCCGCGGTGTAAAACGTTGTAAAAGCGCGAGCGAGTGGCGAGTACTAGCGAACGTGAACGCGCGTGAATCATCGCCGATCCGTTACAAATCAAAGAAGCAAACGCGCTCGCGCCCGCGCCGCGTCGACCGACGCCGCGGGTATCGCGCGACCTCAGTTCGCTTCGCTCAGTTCGTCTGCAGGAGCGTGATGGCGTAAAACCCGAGTTGGAACGCGACGTTGATGAACAGAAAATTCACAACCACCTGCGGCCCTCCCAACGCCTCCACGAGCGCCTGCACTTGCCCGTACTCGCTGTTCCGGTCCATCTCGTTCGCGCCCGTAAGCTTCGCGTCGAACACCACGAACGGCTCGCCGTTCATGTTCTCCGCGCCCAGACGCACGATCTGTCCGTTGAACACGCGGAACCTGTTGTTTTTCCTGAGGGTCGTTCCATACAAAAAATGTTCATCGGTCAGTTGAAAGGGACCCACGCGATCAAATGTTGAAACCGATGGACGGGTGAAAAACGTTTGTACAGAACGCACCTGAGCTCTTGTCCGTCCACGTACGTGCCGTTCGTGCTCCCGAGGTCCGTCACATACAGACGTTGCCCCTCCATCTCGAACTGGCAGTGCACGCCCGAGACGCACCCGACCTTCGCGGCGTAGTCGATCCCCGGCCCGCGGTCGCGGCCGACGACGACGACGTCGTCGGTGCGCAATCGTAGCGGCCGCAAGCTGGCGCCTCGCACGGGCTCGGGGTCTAGCGTCCACGTCGGGATGTCTCAGGGTCGTGCCATACGAAGCGAAGTCGGGGTGGAGTTGAAAGGCGTCAGATGGAGTTGAAAGGCATCGCGGGCGGGGATTGAAAGCGAGGGACCCTGGGCGGAGAGAGACGCCGGGAGAGAAAGTCCTTAAGGATCGTCGTTCACCACGCCGACGCAATCGTATGGGGACCAGTGTATATACGAACGCACCTCCATCCTTGATCCCTTCCTTGAGCGTCCGCTCCCAGTTACCCATCTGCTTCTTCTCCGGCTCCGGCTCCGGCTCCGGCGGCGCGGACCGCGACGTGCGCTTGACCGCGGCTCGCGACCGCGCGAGCATCCCGGATGCGATCCCGGCGAACGGATTGCCGATCGCCGGCGCCTCCTCCTCCTCAATTTCGTCCTCCTCCTCCTCCTCATCGTCGCCGTAGTCCAGATCGATGGTCTGCGACAGGTTGATGGACTTCCCGAGGCTGCCGAAGGACGCGAACGGGTTCCCGAACGCGGGCCCCTTGTCCTCTGTCTCCTCCTCCTCCTCCTCCTCCTCCTCCTCCTCGGGCTCAGATGGCTCGTCCCTGGACATGAACGACGCGAACGGATTCCCCGCCGCGGACGCCTTTTCCTCCGCGTCCGCGACCGCGCCGAGGACTCTGCCGCCGATGCTCGCGAACGGGTTGCCGTCCACGACGGCGTCCTCCTCTTCCTCCTCCTCCTCCGGCACCTCCTCCGCCGGGTCTTTCTTGCCGAACCCGAACGGCAGCGCGTCGACGCGGACGACGCGCCGCGAAGCGCCGCGATGCGCGATGCCGTGTCTTCGCGATCGAACCGGCGCGGGGACGATCGCGGCGCGACGCGCGCGCGGCGCGGCGGCGACGCGGGGCGGCGTCGCCATCGCCGCGCGCGCGGTCGTCGCGGAGGCGGCGAGCGCGAACATGGGAACGGACGGGGTCGTGTGCGTCTGCGTGCGGGGGTGGCGCGGCCGCGAGTGGCTACGAGCGCAGCGCGCGACCGCCGGTCGAGGCGTCGAGCGCACCGCGAACGCGGCGCTCGACCAATCATCCCGGCGCTCGGCGATGAGCTGTCAGCGCGTATGGACAATCAGTCAGGACCTCGGAACTCGTCGCGTACTCGTAGTACGCTCCGCGCGCGGTCGATTTTTCCGTCTTCCCGGGCGTTTCGCTTTCGGTCTTCGTCAGAGTGTCGCTCGCCGCGCGCCGACGCGACCGCCCCGCGCGCGATGCCGGCGTTCCTTCGCCACCTCCGCGCCGCGAGAATCGCGCGCGAGGAGAAAAACACGCGACGCCTCCGCGCGGTCGTCCCGAGCGTCCGCGACGTCGACGACGCGGTGCGCGCGCGCCCGATCTCGCGTCCGTCCGTCGCCCGGGCGATCGACGACGACGACGCGTTCTCAACCGTCGCAAGACGCGAAGACGCGAACGCCGCGCGCGCGCGCTCGACGCGCGCTCGACGTCTCGTCTCGCGCGCGTCCGCGTCGAGCGACATTCTCTCTCGCGCGCGCGCGTCTCTCCGCGCGGACGCGACCGGTCGCGTCTCCTCCGCGCGCCCCCGCCGCCGCGCTCGGACGCGACCGATGGTTACCCCCCGCCGTCGTTCGATCATTCGCTGACCGCCCAGATCCGTCTCCTCGTCCGATCCAACCGTCGTCGTCCCCAGGTCGCGTCGATCGATCGACCCCCAAGAGAAGTCTTCTGCAGCAACGAGATCACGACGTCGCACTACACCGCGGCGAACTTCATCTTCAAGAACCTGTACCAGCAGTTCCAGCGCGCGGCGAACGTGTACTTCCTCGTCATCGGTTGCCTGCAGTTGGACGTTTTCTTCCCAGGGCTCTCGCCGACGCACTGGAGCACGACGATCGGTCCTCTGGTCGTCGTCCTGACGATCAACGCGGTGAAGGAGGCGTACGACGATTACTTTCGGCACAAGTCCGACGACGCGGTCAACGCGAGCGTCGTGACCGTCGTGAAGCCGAGGAAGAGAGCGCACGGCGGCGGCGGCGGCGGCGGCGGCGGCGGCGATTCGACGACGACGACGACGACGACGACGACGACGGAGGACGTCAGATGGCGCGACCTCAAGGTCGGCGACGTCGTCCGCGTGAAGAACAACGCGGAGTTCCCCGCGGACATCGTCCTGATGCAATCCTCAGACGCCACCGGCGTGTGCTACGTCGAGACCGCGAACTTGGACGGCGAGACGAACCTCAAGGTGAAAGCCTCCGCGGGCGTCGGCGTTGAGAGCGGGGAGGACGCGGACGCGCGCGAGGTTTTCGAAAAGCTTCGAGACGCGCGCGTGGAGTGCGAGGCGCCGAACAACCAGCTGTACAAGTTCGAAGGGAAGCTCGTCGGCGTCGCGGCGGGCGTCACCGAGAAGGTCGACGCGGCGGCAACGGCGGGGATCGAACCGGCGGCGAACGACGACGACGACGACGACGACGACGCGTCGAAGGACGCCGTCGCCCCCGCGGACGTGCGCCGGGCCGACGGTTTCTCGCCAACGTTTTTCCCACGCGAGATCCCTCTCGGCGTGGACAACGTGCTTCTCCGCGGGAGCACGCTCCGGAACACGACGTGGATCCTCGGCGTCGTCGTCTTCACCGGGAAGGACAGCAAGCTCATGAAGAACATGACGCGGGCGCCGCACAAGGTGTCGCAGCTCGAGAGGCACATGAACCTTCTCGTCGCGTCCATCGGTTTGTTTCAAATCGTGATTTCCGCGACGCTCGCGGGGACGCAACAGAGATGGTTTAAAGACGAGATGGAACCGAAAACGCACGCCGGGGATGCGTTTCGTCACTGGTACCTCGCGTCCACGAACGAGTGGCCCGACGTCGAAGGCGGCGTCGGCGCGGCGTTCACGCAGTTTATTCGTTACGTCGTCCTCCTCAACGCGCTCATTCCGATTTCCTTGTACGTCACCTTGGAGCTCGTGAAGGTGATTCAGTGCGGGTGGATCCGATGCGACCGGAAGCTGTACGATCCGATCTACGACGTTCGATGCGGGTGCGATCGCGCGTTCGACCTACCCTCTCGTTCGCACCCGTCGCGTCTTTCCCCGCCCGTCGAGTCGTCCGCGTGGCGTTCCGCCGGCGTCGCGTCGAGATGCGCCGGGCAAAGTCCTTAAGGATCGGCGTTCACCACGCGAACGCGGTCGTATGGGGACCAGTGTACAGAACGTCGCGCCGACCCGCCTCTCTCTCTCTCTCCTCCCCGCAGGGTCCGAACGACGACGCTGAACGAGGAGCTCGGGCAGTGCCAGTGCGTTCTGACCGACAAGACCGGGACGTTAACGCAGAACGTCATGGCGTTCGTGAAGTGCAGCGTCGACGGCGTCGTGTACGCCGCGGATGTCACCGCGAAGGGCGACTCAGCGGACGACTCAGCGGACGACTCGGACGACTCCGCCGCCGCCGCCGCGAAGAAAGACGCCTTCGTGCACTCGCTCGCGCGCTCGTCCCCGCTTCAGCGCGCCGCCTCGGAGAACGACCCTCGGGTCGTCGACTTCCTGACGCACCTCGCGGTGTGTCACACCGTCGTCCCCGCGGTCGCGACGGAGTCCAACCCGGGGTACGCCGGACGTTTATACCAGGCGTCGTCCCCGGACGAGGAAGCGCTCGTCACGGGCGCCGCGGCGCTCGGGCGCCGGCTCGTTCGGAACGCGAACGACGAGATCACCCTCGAGGTGCACGCCCCGGACCCGGACCCGGATTCGAACGCCGCGAAGTCACTTAACGCGAACTCAAACGCCGCATCGACGGAGACGTTTGAGATTCTCGCGGTGAACGAGTTTTCCTCCGCGCGGAAGCGCATGAGCGTCGTCGCTCGCGACGCGCGAGACGGCTCGCACGCGCTGTTCCTGAAGGGCGCGGACGCGGTCGTCCTCGAGCGTCTCTCGGAGTCGCACGACGCGGAGATCCTCGACGCGACGAGGGCGCATCTCGACGCGTTCGCGAGAGACGGCCTGCGCACGCTCGTGTTATCCAAGCGCGCGCTCTCCAAGCCGGAAGTCGACGCGTGGCTGTCGACGTACCGAGACGCGTCCACGGCGCTGACGAAGCGCGAGGAGCTCCTAGAGCGATGCGCGGACGCGATCGAGCGCGACTGCGTCCTCGTGGGCGCGACCGCGGTGGAGGACAAGCTGCAGGACGGCGTCCCGGACGCGATCGCGACGTTACGCGCCGCGGGGATGCTCGTGTGGATGCTCACCGGGGATAAGGCGCGTCCCGGTTACGCACGCCGGTTCCCATACAGTACGACCGCGTTTGCGCGGCGCGCGCTGTTCCTCGAGGACGGACTTTCTCTTCTCTCCCGGCGGCGCATCTCTCCGCTCACCCCGCGCTGGTTTCAATCCCGACGCGCCTCGACGCCTTTCGACTCCGCTTCTGACGTCTTTCAACGCCACCCCGACGTCGCTTCGCGCGGAACGAACGGAACGTCCCTCAGCTCGAGACGGCGGTGTCCATCGCGAACACGTGTCGTCTGATCGACAAGGACGGCGACCTGGTCGTCCTCCAGGAATCCGACTTCTCGCCGTACTTCGACCAGGGGTTCCTGAAGCGCAAGGCGGCGGAGGCGGAGGAAGATCGCGCGTGCGGCGGCGAGTTCGGGCTCGTCATCGAGGGCGGCGCGCTGCAGTACGCGCTGCTCGACTCGCAACGCGACGCGTTTTTGGACTTGTGCCGCGCGTGCAACGGCGTCGTGTGCTGCCGCGTGTCGCCGGTGCAGAAAGCGCGCGTCACCGCGCTGATGAAAGATAAGGGCGGGATGATCACCCTTGGCGTCGGCGACGGCGCGAACGACGTCGGGATGATCAAAGCCGCGCACATCGGCGTCGGCATCTCCGGCCGCGAGGGCAGAGCCGCGGTGCTCGCGTCGGATTTTTCAATCGGGCAGTTCCGCTTCCTCGCGCGGCTGCTGCTCGTCCACGGGCGGTGGTCCGCGAAGCGCAACAAAGAGGTCGTGCTGTACGCCTTCTACAAGAACTTCGTGTACACGACCGCGAACGTGTGGTTCGGGTTCCTCTCCGCGTATTCCGCGGCGCCAGTCTACTCCACCGCGGCTATCGCGACGTTCAACGTCCTGTGGACGTCGCTCCCGACCATCGCGCACGCGGTTTTCGACCAGGACGTCGCCGCGGACACGGTGATGAATAACCCGGAGCTGTACCGCGAGACGTCCAGGCTGCGCGGGCGAGACTTTTTGGTCTCCGCCGCGTTTTGGTCCGTCGGCGCGGCGTGGCACGCGCTGTGGTGTTACTTCGCGTGCGTCGCGAGTCTCGGCGCCGCCGCCGCGTCGACGCGCGACGGGAAGCCGTGGGACGTCCACGCGATCGGTATCGCCGCGTTCACCGCGGTCGTCCTCGTCGTGAACGGCAAGGTAGCGCTGCGCACGAACCACTGGACCAAGTACAACGTCGCGTTCGTGACCTTGAGCGTGGTGTTGTGGTTCCCGTTCGCCGTCGTGATCTCCGACGCGGTGCGTTCTATACACTGGTTCCCATACGACCGCGTTGGCGCGGTGAACGCCGATCCTTAAGGACTTTTCCCGGCGCATCTCTCCGCCCATCCCTTGCGATCAATCCCCGTCCTCGACGCCTTTCAACGCCAACTGACGCCTTTGAACTCCACCCCGACGTTCGCTCGTACGGAACGACCCGCACAGTGGGAATCGTTCGGGATGTTCCCGGACGTCAGCAAGGCGCACGAGGCGCTGTTCTACGAGCCGCGCTTCTGGTTCGCGCTGACGCTCGCGGTGTGCGGGAGTCTCGTCGCGGACGCGGTCGTCGAGAGCTTCCGACGCGCGGTCCGGCCGTGCGATTTCGAGATCTTACAGGAAGCCGAGAAGGACGCCGCCGCCGCCGCCGCCGCCGCCGCCGCCGCCGCCGCCGCCGCGGAGAGGAGGAAAAAGTCGACGACGTCGGCGGCGGCGGTCGCGTCGACGTCGACCGACCCGTCGTCGTTCTCGTTCTCGCTCCTCGGAAGCAGCGGTGACCCGCGCTCGACGCGACACGTCGGCGTCGGGAGGCACGGCGCCGCGGCGGGGACGCTTCCGACGACGACGCATCCGTCCCCGGCGAGCAGCGGCGAATCGTTCGGCGATCGACGCGCGCGGCGGAAGTCGAGGAACCCGAGCGTGATGCAGGTCGTGAGCGACCACCGCGCGCACTCGCCGGACTGGCACCCGTGACGACGTGCGAACGAACGAACGAACGAACGAAGGAGGGCGCTCGCGCGGCGCGGGCGCGCGCGTTCATATTACAGACTAAGGTATTTATTTCCGCGCGCGCGGTTCGGCGCGCGTGTGCGTTTCTCGCTGTTGTCCATACGAAATTTTGCGTACTCGTACAGTACTCTATGGGTTTTTAGTCTGAATCGAATGAGCGCACCTTGTTTATCCGGAACACCGCACTGCTTACGTGTCCCGAGACTCCCGAGATCGACGTCACTTCCACGCACGCGTCCACGTCCACGCGCCACCACACGATGTCCGCCTTCGCCACCCTCCGCGCGCCCGTCGTCGTCAAGACCGGGAAGGCGTCTGCCTTCGCCCGCGGGTCCTCCGCGGCGCTTCCGGTGCGCGCGCGCTCGCCGTCGTCGCGTCGGCGATACCCTAGCGGATTATTCTCCGATGCGCGGTGGTTTGTTTTATCGCGACGACGCGCGCGTCGCGTCGCGTCGCGTCGTCCGACCATCGCGCGTCGTCCGCGGTCGGTCGCGCCGCCGCCGTCGCCCTCGCCCGCGCGCACGCCGTCTCCGTCTCCGTCTCCGACGCGGACGGACCCGTCCATCCCTGACCTCGCTTCCCTCCACCTCTCTCTCTCGCTCTCTCTCTCGCGTCCGCAGGCATCGCGCGCGTCGCCCTCCGTCCTCCGCGCGTCCTCCGTCCTCCTCCCCGCCCGCCGCGGCCGCGCGCTGTCGCTCACGACGAAAGCGCGCGCCGCGGGCGAGGGCAAGGACGGGAAGTCCGTCACCGGTAGGAAGCCCAACCCAGAGTTCGCGGGCGAGGACGGCAAGCTGTGGGTCTGCCAAGGGTGCGGCTACATCTACGACGGATCGCTCGGGAAGTGGAAAGAGGAGTCTCGCTGCCCCGCGTGCGGCGAGCGGCGATTCGCGCTCAAGACGCGGGGAGAGATGCAGATCGCGATCGGGTCGATCATCGGCGTGACCGTCCTCGTCGCCGCGCTGTACGCGCTCGTGAAGCTCGCGTGATGAGGGAGGAAGGAGCGCCCGTCTGACCGCCGCGTTCGGTCGTCGTCGCGGCGGGATATCTATGTTTGTCAAAACCATTTTACGTCTCAACGTTTCCAATCGATCGATCACGCTAGGACCACGCTAGGTCGTCCGTCACTTCGGCCCGTCCCCCGGCCCGAAATCCTCCGGCCGTCGCTTCGGCGCGAGCGTCCCGGTCTCCTTCAAGTTATCGAACATCTCCAGCGCGTTCAAAATGGCCTGGTCCATGTTGAAGTACTTGTAGCTCGCGAGCCGCCCCACGAACGCGACGCCCGGCTCCTTCGCCGCGAGCGCGGCGTACTTTTCATACAACGCGCGGTTCTCCGGGTTGGGCACGGGGTAGTACGGCTCGCCGTCCGCGCACGAGTACTCCCTCGCGATGAGACTGCCTCTCACCGCGCCTTTCTTGATCTTATTGGGCTGGTTCGGCGTGTGTTTGTACTCCACCACGCGCGTGAACGGGACGTCCGCGCTGGGATAGTTGACCACCATCGCCTCTTGGAAAAACCCGCCGTCGGGCGCGTCGACGAACTCCTCTTCGAACCGCAGCGACCGGTACTCGAGCTTCGGCATCCCGAGCGCGGCGTAGTACGAGTCAATCTGACCGGTGTACACGAGCAGCTTATGCTTCGGCAGCGTCCCTTTTTCTCTGTGCGCGAAGAAATCGCAGTCGAGACGGATCGTCACGTTCGGATCGTCGAGCAGCATGTTTTCAAACAGCCGCGTGTACCCGCGCGCGGGCAACGCCTGCCACGCGTCGCCAAAGTACCGATCGTCCGTGCTCGTCCGGCACGGCAGTCGCATCAGCACGCTCGCGTCTAGCTCCTCCGGGTACTTATCCCACTGCTTCTTCGTGTAGTGCTTGAATATGACCTCGTACAGTCGCGGCCCGACGCGCGACAACGCGGCTTCTTCGCCGTTCGCGGGCTCGCTGGCGTGGGTGAAGCGATCGGTCAGTCGAACGTCTTACCGGTCAAACGTTGAAAGGGAAGCGCGGGTGAAGAGTGACGCCGGGAAAAGTCCTTAAGGAACGGCGTGCACCACGCGAACGGGGTCGTATGGGAAGCAGTCTCACCCTCCGTGCGCCGGCGCCACGCGTTCGGACTCGTACCACCTCGCCATCGCGTCCTCGTCGCGCACCCCCGCGTCGAAGAGCGCGTTCACCGTCTCTTGCGTCGGCGGGATCGGGACGAGCTTCTTATCGCCCGCGGGGCCCGCGCCCGGGACCGGGACGCGGCCTTTCACGCGGTGGTCGAACGGGATCCACTCCGAGAATCGCTGGACGTACTCCCAGACGCGCGCGTGTTGGGTGTGGAACAGGTGCGCGCCGTACTTGGACGCGCGGATGCCGTCCTCCGTGACGTAATCGTAGCAGTTCCCGCCGATGTGATCTCGCTTGTCGATGATGACGGAGGTCATCCCGAGCTCGGCGCTGCATCGCTCCGCGAGGACCGCGCCGCTGAGGGCCGTTCCATACGAAGCGATGATGTCGGGGTGGAGTTCATAGACGTCAGGGGTGGAGTTGAAAGGCGTCGAGGGCGAGGATTGAACGCGAGGGACCCTGGGCGGAGAGATGCGCCGGGCAAAGTCCTAAAGGATCGGCGTTCACCACGCCGACGCGGTCGTATGGGGACCGGTGTGATGATAGAACGCGCCTGAGTCCCGCGCCGACGATGAGGAGGTCCACCGAGGGCGGGCACGTCGAGAGATCGCCGGAGAGGATCTCGGGGGAGAGCGGCAGCGGCGCCTCGGAGGCTTCCCCGCGCGCGTGCGTGGCGTCTGGAGGAGGGGGCGGTCGGGGTCCCTCGGGTCAGATGGATGAAACGCGAGAGCGCGAGAGGTGGGGAGACGCGCGATGGAGCGATCGAGCGATCGAGCGAGCGAGCGATGGGACGATCGCGCGTCCGACGTTCGAGGGGTCGCGCGCGCGAGCGCCGCGCCGCGCACCGACGCCGCACACGCCGGTGACTTTGTTCAGCGCCGCCCACTCCGGCTCGGCTCTTCCGACGCCGACGCTGGACGCGAACGGTCCCGCGGGCATCGTGCGTGACGCGCGCGGCTGTCTCGCCGTGCGCCTCGCTGTGCGGTGCGCGTGTGGTGTCCGTCGACAGCCTCTCTTCTCGCGCTCGCGCTCGCGCGCCGAACGAACGTTTGAACGTCTTTTTAAGCCTGCGTGACCGATGAACGGAAGGTACTTTTCAAAGGTCGACGGGGCGATTTTCAACGGAGAACGCGCGAGCCAATCGCGTGACACATGTTTCTCCGAAACGAATGTGAATTGCGGATTACCACGAGCAGTGTCGCGGGCGCGCGAGCGAGGCGTCGACATGGGCGGCAAGCTCTCGCGGCTTCGCCGCCGCAAGGGCCCGTCCACGCCGTCGCCGCACGCGTCCGCCGGATCCGACGACGCGGAGGTTTTCGACGTCGAGCGATTCGCGGAGGAGACGTCTGTGTTCTCGCGCGCGGTGAAGAAACAGAAGAAGCGATTGGACAAGCAGACGACCGCGACGAAGCGCGCGTGGGCGGCGAATCGCGCGCTCGCGTCGCTGGAGGTGACGTCGCCGAACGGGAAGAGCGGCGCGGCGGCGGCGGTTCAGGCGGCGGCGACGACGACGTCGCCCGCGTTCCGCGGGGCGTCGCATCCGACGCGACTGATGAGCACGGATTCAACGAGGAGCGGCACCATCGCGTCGCCTGACGGTGGACGGCCGTTCAAGGCTCGGACGCACGATGCGATCGCGTCGCCGTCCGGACACGGCGCGTTGATGTCCCCGAACGAGCGCAAAGAGGACATCATGATCCGCGCCGCGGTCGCGTGGAGGAGCCGCTGGGCGGAGCAGAACAAGCAGCGGGAGCGGTCGCACAGGCGACGACTGCGAGAGCAGAAAAAGATGCAGCGAGACTTTTCAAACGCGGTCGGCGAGAGGGACGACGAGCGGTGGCGGGCGGCGCGAGGCGACGGGAGAGAAGGAAGGCGACGGGAGCGGCGGCCGTCCGCGCGGGATTCTCTCGCGCTGTACCGCGAGGACGACGTCGCGTCGCCGCCGCCGCCGCCGCCGCCGCGATCATCAAAATCCAAATCCAAATCGCCGGAACCCGAACGCGAGGACGCGAACAACGACGACGACGCGCGCCGCGCCCCCGGCGGCGGCCGCGTCCTCGGGCCCTCCCGCGGCGGGCTGAGGGCCGGGTACGAGCAGGTCAAGGTGTTCAGGGACGGGAACTCGCTGTTTCACTGCGCGCGGCTCGCAGAGATCGTGTGTCAAGCGCGGGAGAAGGAAGCCGCCGCGGGCGCGTCGAACGGCTCTTCGACGACGCGCGACGCGGATTCCGTCGCCGCCGTGCTTCGACGCGGGATGCGGTCGCTGGGGAAGTCGCAGGCGAACGAGACGGCGACGCATCTGCGACGAGGCGCCGCGGCGAAGATCGCGAGCGTGGAGGAGGACGAGGAACGCGCGCGAGAGGCGGCGTCGCCGCCGCCGAGCGGCGGCGCGTCGCGCCCGCCCGCCGGCGTCCTCGCGGACGACGTCTCCCCGAGAGCGCTCGACGCCGCGATCGTCGCCGCGATCAAGGGCTCGAGGTTGCTTCGATCGAGAGCGCTGCCGTCCGGCGCGCCGCTGGATAACTGGCGCCGCGCGATGCGTCGCGTCGCGGACGCGAGCGAGGACCCGTCTCTTCGCGACTCGGACGCGTATTTGCGCGCGATGCGCGTCAGAGACGCGTTCGCCGACGCGGCGGCGCGGCCGAACGTCCCGAGCTCGTTCGTGGACGTCGCCGCGCTGAGCGCGTATTTGAGACGGCCGATCACGCTGATCCGGGGGCCGGTCGGCGTCGGCGAGGACGACGACGACGGGAGCGGGAGCGACGACGACGGGAGCGACGGCGACGGCGGCGGCGGCGGCGGCGGCGGCGGTTCAGGCAGCGATAACCAAAAGGCCGCCCGACGACGAAAGCGGTGGCGCGCGAGGTGCGCGACGGAGGTCGTCGGCGCGGCGCACGCCGCGCGCGGCCGCGCCGGGTTCACCCTATTCTGGGAGCTCGGCGAGGGCGTCCCGCACGGCCTCCCCGCGGGCGACTTCATCCTCCTCGTGCCCAGAGGGAAAGAAGAGCACGAGCGACGACGCGCGCGCGCCGACGCCGCGGCGTTCACGCGAGACGTTTCTTCGCTCCCAGGCGTGTCGCCCGTCGCGTTGGGGACGCCGACGTCGCGCGGCGGCGGCGGTTCAGGCGGCGGCGAGCACGCGCGCGGCAGCGGCGGCTCCCCGGGAGGGTGGTCCCCGAAGACGTGGGACGGGATGGGCTCGCCGGTCAGCTCCGGCGCGGCGCGCGCGACGGCGGGGGAAGAGCGCGACGAGCCCCGCGCGCCTCCGCCGCCGTCGCCGCCGGGCGCCGCCGCCGCGCGTCGCCGCGCCCGCGCCCGCGCGCCCGCGCCCGCGCCCGCGCCCGCCAGCGCGATCAAAGGCATGCTCAACGCGGCGTCCGACGGGCACAAGCACGCGGTGCGCGCGCACGCGCGACGCGGCGTCTCGCTCGCCGAGGCGGACGAGCGCGGCGACACCGCGTTGCATCGCGCCGCGGCGGGCGGCAGCGTCGGCCTCGTGAAGGTGGTCCTCAAGCACGCGAACGCGCCGGGTCAGCCCTCCCTGCGCGGTCTCTTGGAGGCGACGAACGCGGACGGGGAGACGCCGCTGGCGGTCGCGGTGAGGCACCGCCGCGTCAAGGCTGCGACGTATCTCCGAAACGCGGGCGCGTCGGACCCGAGAGGGTTGGTGTCGACGCTGTCGCTCGCGCCGGGGTACGGCACCGACGGCGGGTACTCGTCGTCGTCGTCCATCGGGTCCTTCGGCGGCGGCGAGAGCTCGGACAGCAGCGCGCTGAGCGACAGCGACGGCGGCGGGAGCGAGCTGTCGTTCGCGTCCGCGAGCGAGTCCGACGGCGACGGCGGCGGCGGACGACGGCGACGCGCGAGGAGGGCGGACGTGGACGCCGCGAACGCGGCGTGGACTGTCGCGGCGCGTCCGTCCGCGGCGGCAGCGGGAGGAGGAGGCGCGTCGTCGAGTCGCGCCAGCAGCGTGACGTCTGGCGCGTACGGCGAGGACTACCGGAGCGAGGACGACGGGTACGACAGCCGCGGCGGGTGGTCGGACATGACGCCCACGAGCGGCAGCGAGCGCGGCGACGCGAGCGAGACGGACGGGAGCTTGTGGAACAGCGAGTCGGAGAGCAGCGCGGGGGGGTCGGACTGGGACGCGAGCGATTACGACGACGACGACGACGCGCGCGGCGGCGGCGGCGGCGGCGACGAAGGCCACGGCGAACGCTTCGCGGCGTACGCGCGGCGTTATTAGGCGCGAGTAGGAGAGTAGTCCGTCGGTCGTCGCGGGTTCGCTGACTCGCTCGTCATGATACAACGACGCCCCCACCGCTCATCGCGCGTTCTTCTTTTTCATCGGGAACGCGCGCAGCGCGCCGCTCTTGAAGCCCGCCTCGAGCGCGACGGCGGCGAACGCGAACACCAACACGCCCTCCCCGACGAGCAACGCCGCCTGCGCCCACGTCTCGAGCGCGCTCGCGTCCGAGCCGTGCAGAAACACGTCCGCGGCGCCGAGCCCGCGCGTCAATCCGAACGCGCCGACGACGCCGCCCTTGAGCTGGTCGTTCCCGAAGTCGTCGCGCACGGCGTAGCGATACGTCACGCCGAAGACGAGGCAGGAGACTTAGGGTCGTTCCATACGAAGCGATGTCGGGGTGGAGTTGAAAGGCGTCAGTTGGCGTTCAAAGGCGTCGAGGGCGGGGATTGAAACCGTGGTGTGGGCGGAGAGAGAGGACGGCAAAAGTCCTTAAGGATCGGCGTTCACCACGGCGACGCGGTCGTATGGGGACCAGTGTATAGAACGCGCCTAAGACGCCGGCGACGGATTGAAGCGCGACGGGGTCGCCGAACCCGGCGCTCGGGGACTGCGACAGGAGCAGCGGCGACGAGAGGAGCGTCCCGGACAGCGCCGCGAGCGCGCCGGCTTTGCCGCTCTCGACCCTCTCCGCGTCCTCGTCCACGTCCGACGCCACGGTGCTTCCCCACTTGCCCGACGACGACGACGACGCGTTCATCTCATTATTCTCTCCTCCTCCTCCTCGCGCCGCGTCCATCTCTCGCGCGAGCGCCTCGCGCTCCGCGGCGATCGCGTTCATCTTCGCCTCCGCCCTGAGCACGGCCTCGCTCTTCGCCTCGAGCTCCGCGAGCGCCTTCTCCTGCGTCGTCTGCAGGTTCTCCGCGCTGCTCTGCGCGCGTCCGCCGTACTCCATCGCGAGCTTCTCCCTCGCCTCCGCCAGGTCCGCGTCCACGCGCAGCGACGCCGCGTTGCGCGCCTCGCCCGCGATGAGCGCCTCCTGCGCTCTCACCGTCGGGTTCGACTCGAGCATCGACTTTATCGCGTCGACGTCCACGCCGAGGTCGTCCGCGTCGACGACGTCGTCGGCGTCGGACGACGACGACGACGCGCGGACGAGGATAACTCCTCGCGACGGTCCCGGAATTGACGCGGGACGCCGCGACGCGACGCGCGACGACGCGGCGACGCGGGCGCGCGCGGGCGCGTGGACGCGCGAGGGGGGCGGGGCGGCGCGCGAGGGCGGCGCGGAGACCGTGGTCGCGACGTGCATCGTGTGGGCGGGGCGGCGGCGAGCGCGCGCCGAGGGCAATCGTCAACGCGCGAGGCGGTGCCGGGTTTTACGCGCGCCGCGGTCATCGTATCGAACCCGGTAGGGCGTGCGATCAAGCGTTCGTCATCGCCGATCAGGCAGGCTCGCGTTCATCGGTTCGAACTCGGTAGGGCGTGCTCTAGATGATCGGCGCGGCGCTTTCACGCTGCGGACAAACCGTGTGGAATGTACTCGTACGCGCCACTTTCGTATGGAAATCAGTCACGAAATAATGTGTCTCGAGTACTACATATTAACATACGTCCAGGTGGAAAAAAACTCGAGTTTCTTCGCGCGACCGCGCATCGAGTCGCCCTCTTTAGCTCGCACGGACCACGCCGTCGAGACGCCAAAAGTGAGTCTCCGCGCTTCTGCCCCCGTTCCCGCGTCCAGCACGTCTTCGCGTCGTTTTCGCCGCCGACCGCGGCGCGCGCGCGCGCGTCGCGACGTCGCCATCGCGCGACTCCGGCGCGCGGGCCGGGGTTCAGATTTTCGCGTCCCGCTCGCGCCGTCCACCGCGCCGGCGATCGCCGACGACGCCGCGGAGGATTCGTCCCCGCCGCGCTCGATCGCGCGCGTCGGGTCGCGTCGACGCCGTCGTCGCGCCGTCGTCGTCGCGTCGTTCGCGGCGTCGTCGCGGCGTCGCGCGTCGCGGCGTCGCGCGTCGCGACGTCTTCGATTTTTAGGGTTTCCGCTCGCACGAAACAAAATCGGCGAAGAAACAAAACCATCACGTCCACTCGCCGACTGGGACTGACCTTCTCCCCCCCCCGTCCTGCGCCTCTCCCTCGCAGTGCCTCGCGGACCTAAGAAGCACCTCAAGAGGCTCAATGCCCCCAGCCACTGGATGCTCGACAAGCTCGGCGGCGTCTTCGCCCCGAAGCCGAGCCCGGGCCCGCACAAGCAACGCGAGTGCCTCCCCCTGTGCCTCATCCTCCGCAACCGCCTCAAGTACGCGCTCACGTACAAGGAGGTGACGACGATCCTGATGCAGAGGCTCGTGAAGGTGGACGGCAAGACGAGGATCGACAAGTGCTACCCCGCCGGGTTCATGGACGTCGTGTCCATCGACAAGACGGACGAGCACTTCAGGCTCATCTACGACCAGAAGGGCCGCTTCGTCGTGCACCGCATCACGCAGCTGGAGTCCCAGTACAAGCTGTGCAAGGTGCGCACGAAGAAGCTCGGCGACAAGGGCGTGCCGTGCGTTAACCTCCACGACGGCCGCACCATCCGTTACCCGGACCCGGAGATTAAGGAGTCCGACACCGTCATGGTGGACATCTCGTCCAACACGATCACGAACCACTTCAAGTTTGACGCGGGGGCGCTCGCCATGATCACCGGCGGCCGCAACGCCGGGCGCGTCGGCGTCATCCAGCGCCGCGAGAAGCACAAGGGCTCGTTCGAGATCATCCACGTGCAAGACGCGGCGGGGCATCAGTTTGCCACGCGCGCGACCAACGTTTTCGTCATCGGCGAAGGGAACAAGCCGATGGTGTCGCTGCCGAAGGGCAAGGGCATCAAGCTGTCCATCGTGGAGGAGCTCGAGAAGCGCAAGGAGGCGTGAGCGATGGTGATGTGATCTCGAGGGCGACTTGGAGTCTTCTTTCGTCGATCGGCGTGCGTGATTGATGATGTGACGTGATGACGACGCGACGAGGGGAGAATGTGGTGGGTGAACGAGCCGTGGACACGGCTCGTGCGGCGAAGGATGGCGGCGGGACTGCGGAGACGCCGGCGTCCGACTAAGATTTGTAACGCTCGAGGAAAGAGTACTACGCATACGGCTAACTAAACACCGAACGAATACCATCGCGCGGCGTCTCGCACGCCACGGCGCGCGAAGAAAGAATTTCGAAAAGTTCGAAAGAATTGCTTAAGTTTGATTGCATCGCGTGGGCGTTAACGTAACGCGCGTCGTGCGCTTCTCTTCTCCTCTCCCTAATAAACCAACCGAGATAATAAATCGAGGGCGCGGGGCATCCTTGTCATAAAAAGGCCGCCTCGTCCACTTTACTCGGGTGCTCCGCTAAAAACGTCTCCGCCTCCTCCTTTACCTTATCGTTCCCGCTCGCCATCGCGTACCGCAGCGCTTGCGTCATCGCCTCCCGCGCCCCGTCGATGTTCCCAGCCATCACCGAACATCTCCCCTTGTAACAAAACGTCGTGGATAGAATGTTCGCCTCGTGTTCGTTCCCTTCGCCGAGCTCGCCCGCGAGCTTCTCCGCGTCGAGCACCGCGGCTAACGCGAGCTCGTGCTTCCCCGCTTGTAATAAAGTCAGCGCGATGCGATTATGCGTCGCGGCGACGAACTCTTGCTGCCCGAGAACTTCGAAACGCTCGGCGCCCTGACGCATGTGTTGCACCGCCTTTTTGTGATCGCCCATCGCGTTCTCCACCTCGCCGAGCGCGACGAGGAGGTCGCCCATGCGTCCGTTGAGGTCCGCCTGCGAGAGTGGGAGCGAGCGTGGGGGCGAGATATTCACTTGATGTTAGTTAACGCGCGTCGAGAAGAGAGAGAGCATTCTTTTACCCCCCACTTTGCCGGTCGGGTTCCCGAGCGAGCGAAAGATTCGATTCGAGCCTCGAAAAAACGCGGCGAGCGCGCATACATCCATCCTCGCGGCTGCGCGCGTACCTTCATGAACGGCGGCATGTTCGCCCTGCCGTCGTGCGGCTTACACAACGACAACCCCTTCTCCAGCGCCTTCTTCGCGTCCTCCATGTTATCCTTCGCGAGGTACGCGTCGGATAAGACGCGCATCGCGAGGCCGTGTATCGTCGGCGGCGCGATCACCTTGTGACAGAGCTCGTCCGTGCTCAGCATCATTTTAATCGCTCGGTCCGCGTCTCCGTCCCGAAGCGCCGTCGTCGCGTTCTCCACGCTGCGCATCACGAGCGCGGGGACCTGCGGGAGAGGAGGGGCGGGCGCGCGCGGAGGGAGGCGTCAGCGGGGTGACGAGACGACGAGGAGGCGCGCGCGGAGGACGGCGGCGACCGGTCGACCGACAGATCGATCCCACAGTTCGACACACACCCTCCGCGGATAGGGTTACGGTGGTGGCGCGAGACGACGCGACGACGCGAGGGGACGCGCCTTTCCGGGGTCCATCTTCGACGGGTTATCCAGCGTCATCGCCATGGTTCCGGTCTTCTCGGGACGTTCCCGCGAACGCCGCCGCTACCGCGCGTCTCGTCGTTCCGTGGGCGCGGCGCGAGAGAGACGGCCGCGCGTTCGGATCGATCGATTCCCCGATCGACGAGATGCCTTTTTCTCTCCGGCGTCTCCGGCGTCTCCGCGACCGTCGCGCGCTCCGCTCGCCGCCGGCTGTCGATTCCGCGCGCTGCTCCTCCGCGCGACCGTGAAGCTCGTTCGCCGTGTCTTCGAGGCGGCGTTCACGCGCCCGCGCTCGCGCGAGTGAGTCGGAGCGCGGCGCGAGGACGCGCGAAGCCTCCGGTCGTCGCGGCCGCCGCTCAGCGCTGACTGGTCGAGTCACTGCACTCACAGCACGCGCATCCAGAGAGAGATCGGCGCCGTCCGCGCGCAGAGGGCGCCGATCGCCGATCGAAGGGGTAGACGCGCGGTCGTCGCGCGCGGACGACACATCGCGCGCGACGCGGCCGGCGGGCCACGGCGCGGGCGGATGCACTCCGACGCGATCTCCCGCGGGGCCCGGGACGACCGCGGCCGCGGCGGCGAGCGGCCGTCCACGAGCGCGCCGCGGGGCGCGTGGCCGCGCCCGCCGTCGTCGACGCATCATCTTCACCATCACCATCGCCCGATCACCGCGACGGGCGCGACGAACCCGTCGCTCTCGCTCGCGGCGACGACGACGCACTCCCCGTCCGCGCTTCGCGGCATCGCGTCCTCCGCGGAGATCGAGCACCGCGCGAAGGCGTCGTCGCTGCTTCGGACGACGACGACCGCGCTGCAGATGCCGACGCCGTGCGCGATCGCGGCGTGGACCATGGCGCTTCGGTTCTACGCGAAGCACCCCGTGGACGCGCACGACGTCCTGGACGTCGTCTCCACGTGCGTGTACATCGCGTCGAAGCTGGAGGAGTGTCCGAGGCGGATCAGCGACATCGTGAACGTGGCGTGGAGGGTGTTGAGGCCGAAGCCAGGGGACCCGGAGTCGATAGCGAAAAAGTTTGGCATCGTCGGCGCGACCTCGGCGGCGGCGGCGGCGGCGGCGGAGGGGGAGATGCGAGGCGGCGGCGGCCACGGCGAGGCCGCGGCGAACGACGCGCTTGAGTTCATGAAGAACGCGACGGACGAGGAGAAGGTCGCGGTGAAGAACGGCGCCGCGGCGGCGGCGCAGGCGAAGGCGGCGGCGGCGTTCGCCGCGGCGATGCGGAAAGAAGAGACGGGGGAGACGACGGGGGGGAAACCGGTCGTCGCCCAAAACGCCGCGTCCGCGAGCGTTACAGACGCGACAGAACCAAGCGTGTACGTCGGCGAAGCGTACTACCAAGCCAAAGATCGCGTGCTGGAGCTCGAGCAGGAGGTGCTCCGTTGCATCGACTACGCGTTGAACGTCCCTCAGCCGCACAAGTACCTCCTCAACATGTGCGCCGCGGTTCGCGCGCCTCCGCGGGCGGCGCAGTTCGCGTCGGTAACGCTCACGGACGCGGCGTTTCACACGACGTTATTGCTGCGATACAGAGCCGGGGAGATCGCGGCCGCGGCGTTGCGACTCTCGGGGATGATGCACGGGTTAGAGAGTAGGTGGGAGGCGGAATACGCGGACGCGCGGCGGCGCGGCGGCGACACCGGCGGCGGCGGCGGCGCGGGAGGCGGGTGGTGGACCGCGTTCGGGTACGACGCGCGCGTCCTCGACGACATAGGGTGGGAGATGATGGACGTCCTGGAGCGGACGCCTGAGTCCGAGGCGGCGGCGGCGGCGGCGGTGAAGGCAGAGTAGTGCGAACGAACGAACGGTAGTGAAGGGAGGGTTACTAGCTAGAGCCCGCCCTCGGGGGCCGCTCGCGGGAGTCTACACTGAAACTCTCACTCGAAGCGAACGCCCTCGTCGCGAAGCCGTTTTCTTCAGGGCATTTTGCACTCCGGACACCCGCTGGGTTTGTCGCTCGTCGTGCGGTGGTGCAGCCTCGCGTGCCACTCGTGCGAGCACCTCCCACACTTCCACAGCGCCTTGTACCTCGACGCTTTCGTCACCGCTGTCGGCAGCCTGTCTGGGTCGACGTACTCACGCGACAGCTTCTTGCCGAGCTCGCCGTTCTTCTCGCACCACACGAGGAAGTTGTTCGTCTTGCTCGCCGGCGCATTATTCGCACACTGTGGGCACCCGCCGGGTCTGTGGCTCCTCGTGCGGTTGTTCACCTTCGCCCGCCACACGTGCTTGCACTCGACGTTGCTGCACTTCCACTTCGCCTTGTAGTGCGACGCCTTCGTCACCGCCGTCGGCGGCTTGTCCTTGTCGACGTACTCGCGCGACAGCTTCTTTCCGAGCTCGCCGTTCTTCTCGCACCACGCGGGGAAGTTGCTCGTCTTGCTCAGCGACATGCGATTCGCGCACTTCGGACACCCGGTGGGTCTGTCGCTCTTCGTGCGGTTGCACACTGCGCCCGCCACACGTGCTTGCACGTCAAACACTTCCACTTCGCCTTGTAGTTCGACCGGTACGTCAGCTCCGTCGGCAGCTCCTCGCGGAACTCGTTGGCGAGCTTCTCGCCGCGCTTCCCGTTCTCCGCGCACCACTCGAGGAAGGGTTTGCCAGGACGTCCGAGCGGCATGATCGCCGTGCGAGACGCGGCGTGGCGGCGCGCAGCGAGAGTGACGTCGAAAAGCTACGACGCCCGACTGGACGGTCCCGGAATTGACGCGGGACGCCGCGACGCGACGCGCGACAGCGCCGCCGCACGTGCTCGAATTCGTGGTGTTTCAGACGACGGACGGCGGCGAGGGAGAGGAGGCGTAGACTCCGCGCTCGGAGCGAGCGACGAAAACTGACGACGAAAGAGTGGAAGCGACCCGACGACGGAAGAGTGTTTCGATACGATACGATCTCACCCCTCACGACACCAGAGAAAATATGTAAGGCGCGCGCGCGCGTCGTAGCTCTCGTCGTTCTTCGAACGTGATGACGTGCTTGCAAACTAATCACGCGGCTGGGGTGAGTGTTCGGAGTCTCTCTGCCGCGAGAGCGTGGCCCTTCTCCGCAGCTTTCGCGTACCACTCGATGGCCTTGGAGATGTCTTTCTTCCCGCCGTCTCCGTCTTCGTAGAGGGATCCAAGGCTACATTCCGCGAAAGCGTGGCCTTGAGCGGCCGATTTAGAGCACCACTTGAACGCCTCCTCGTGTTGCCCCTTCTCGTGGTGACAGAGGCCAACGTTGTTTTGTGCTGCGGCGTGACCCTTCGCGGCTGCCTTCGCGTACCACTCGATGGCCTTTGAGATGTCTTTCTTCACGCCGCGTCCGTCGTCGTAGAGGAATCCAAGGTTATATTCCGCGGCAGCGTGGCCTTGAGCGGCCGCTTTAGTGTACCACTTGAACGCCTCGTCGTAACGCCCCTTCCAGGAGTGATAGATGCCAGCGCTGTTTTGTGCATCGGCGTCACCCTTCGCGGCTGCCTTCTCGAACCACTCGATGGCCTTTGGGATGTCTTTCTTCACGCCGTCTCCGTCTTCGTAGAGTCGCCCTAACATCATCTCACACTCAGTGTTGCCATGCCGTGCTCCCTTCTTATACCACTCCAGCATCTTAAGGTTGTAGTCAAACCAGGCCGGCAGCGAAGACGCGACTTTCGACGCCCCGCGCCACACCGTGTTCACCAGGGAAAGGGCGACGCGCGTCCGAACATCCGTGACGTGCGAGAAGACCACGCTCGCGAGCTGCTCGTTGACGTCGAACGTCGGGTTGATTGATTTGACGACAACGGTGAGCTCGGCGAGCGCCCTCCGCGTCGCCGTGAGCTCCGCTCGCGTCTCCACGTTCTCCTCCCTGACGCGTTTGAGTTCTTCTTCTTGCCTTTCTAACCGCGCTAAAAGGTGGCCGAGGGCGACACCCTCAGAGTCGCTGCCGTCGACGTGAACGCTCGGCGCTTCGCGCGCGGGCGGATCAGCGTGAAGGCGCTCAGGTACGTTGCTCATGGTGCCCCTCGAACGTGCGGCGGCGCGGGAGGAACTGGCGCGGGGACGAGGACGTTCCCTCCGAGAAAATAACGGCGGGGACGAACTGAAGACCTCTCTTCTCGAAGCTCTGAGTGTTTATCGACCTCTCACCCCTCGCCAACACCAGAACGCCCCGCGCGCGCTCGCACTCTGGGCGTCATGCCGTTCATGGACGCGCTCGGGGAGATCTCCGACGACTCCTCCTCCGACGACGACGACGTCGCGGCGGCCGGCCGCGCGGTCGCGGCGTCGACGACGTCGATGCCGTCCTACGAGGAACTGACGAGTTACGGGATGCGCGGGGGCGGATCCCTCGTGGACACGCCGGAGTATTTCGCCGCGGGGGAGCCCGCGCGCGCGGCGGCGGACGCGGACGCGAAGGCGGACGCGGCGCGCGGCGCGGGCGGGTCCAAGCGCGCCGCCGCGAAGGAACACGGCGCCTCGGACGACGACGACGACGACGCGTCGCGGCCAGAATTCATCAAGAACGCGTTCGGGAAGTGGGAGGTGTCGAGGCACAAGCGCGCGAAGCGCGAGGCGCAGCTCGCGGAGGAGGCCGCGGAGAGACGCGCGAACCGCGGGCCGACGTGGGGGGAGCAGCGCGGGGAGCTCCTGCGGCGGCAGGCGGCGACGAGGAACGTCGCGTCGTTCGATCTGACGCGCGCGTTCGGCGCGGCGGCGCGAGAAGACGACGCGTCGTCGCGCGCGCGAGAGGCGCTCGCGCGAGGGGGGGCGACGGCGGGAGGGGGAGCGCGCGGCGCGACGTCTGCGCCGAAGCGGAGTCGACACGACGACGCGGAGGTGTTGGTCGCGGATTAGGACGCTCGAGAGCGAGCGAGCGAGCGGCGCCGTAGGTAGAGCGATAGTCGTTAGTGAAAATGTTTAAGTATGTTTCTCATTGGTTCTCAAGTCTACGCCGCGGGACGTCCGTCAGACGCGTTCGAGGCCGTCGCCGCTCTCCTCCTCCTCGTCGTCCTCGATCCGCCGCGCGTTCCCCTCCTCCGCAGCCTCGAGCGCGACTCGCAGCGCGGTCTGCGGATCGTCCGGGTACCGACGCGCGGCGGCGGCGCGCAACGTCGCCACCGCGGCGGCGATCTCCTCCTTCGCGTAGTGTTTTTTGTTCGGGTTGATCCCTTCCGCGGCCGACGCCGTGTCCGACACCGTGTCCGACACCGCGTCCGACACCGCCGACGCCCTCGCGGCGTTCGCCGGCGACAAAGACCCGGAAGCGCTCGAACTACTCGGCGCGTCGTCCCGCCCGTCGTAATACTGAGACGGAAGACCGAGCCAGTGCTTCCACATCTCCAACCCGCGACTCCACTCCGCGTCCGCCCCGGGAGCGCGCCGCGCCGGGACGCTCGCGCTCGCCGCCGCCGCCGCCGCCGCGCGCTCTTCGTCCTGCTTCGACCTCGGCCGCGGGCCCCACGAGCTCGGGATCGGGCACCCGGCTCTGGGGTCGAGCGGCCCGACCGCGCCGACGAACGCGTCTCCGCCGCCGCGCGACGACGACGACGCCGACGACGACGACCGCGCCGATCCGCCTCTCTTTTTTAACGACCGCGTGCCGCCGCCGCCCTTGCTCTCGAGCTTCCACCGCCCTCGAATATCCGCAGCCTCCGCGGCGGACTTCTCCCCGCCCTCGCGCGCGACGTCGCGCACGACGCGCTCCACGATCTCCTCGCCTAGCTTCGCCGACAGCGTCGCCGACGCGACGCCGCGGCCGCACGCGACGACGAGCGAGCACCGCATCCGCGCGTCCGGCGCGACGAGCTCGCGCGCCTCGCGAACCGTCTCGCGCACCTCGACGACGACGTCGCCGTCGTCGTTCGCGGGTCGCGCGTAGTACGTCCACTCGCGACCTTCGCCCCCACTCGGGCCTAAGTCCATGAGCGCGTCGTACAGCCCCGCCGCGGATCGGACGTCGCCGACGCGGCAAAACCCGTCGAGCAACGCGCCGTAGGTCCGCCGGTCCGGCGCGCACCCTCGACCTGTGGGTGAAGCGATCGGTCAGTCGACCGTCTTACCGGTCAAACGTTGAAAGGGAAGCGCGGGTGAAGAGTGACGACGGGAAAAGTCCTTAAGGAACGGCGTGCACCACGCGAACGGGGTCGTATGGGAAGCAGTCTCACCTCGCATCCGCCGCACGCACGACGCCGCCTCCGCCACCTCCCCCGCCTTGACGAGCGCGTCGATGAGGCAGTTATACGCGCTCGCATCCGGCGCGACCGCGACGTCCGCCTCCATCTCGCGCGCGAGCCACCTGGCGGCGTTCGCGTCGCCGGCGCGCGAAAAGTGTTTGAGGAGCGTCGTGTACGTGACGACGTCCGGGCGGTGTCCCGCGGCGACGAGCGCGGAGAGGACGCCGAACATCGCCTCCGTGGGCTCCCCCGCGCTGACGCACGCGTCGATGAGGGTGTTGTACGTCACGACCGTCGTGCTGACGCCGGACGCGCGCATGGACTCGAGGACGCGTCGCGCGCGATTGAGAGCGGCGGACGCGTCGGCGTCGGCGCCGGGCGGCGGATTCAGCCGGTCCCGGTCCGTCGTCGTCTCGATGGAATTCGAACCGTCGTCGCCGCGCTCGACGGCCTCGAAACCGGTGGAAGAATTCGAACCGTCGCGCCCCCCGCGCAGCGCGTCCGCGGGCGTCACCCCCGCGACGCACGACTTCAACAGCGTGTTGTACGTCACCGCCGTCGGCTCCACGCCGTTCGCTTTCATCTCTCGCAGCGCCGACTCCGCGGCGGCGGCGTCCCCCGCGCGCACCAACCCGTCCACGATGGTGCTGTACGTGTGCGCGTTCGGCGCGACGCCGTCCGCGCGCATGACGTCCAGCCACCCCCTCGCCTCGTCCATGCGGCCGCTCCGCGCGAGCGCCTGCACGAGCGCGGTGTACGCATAAACGGTGGGTTTATTCCCAGCGCGCGCGTCGGCGCGCCCGGCGTCGAGCGCCTTCTCCGCGAGAGCGATCTCGCCGCATCGCGCGTACGCGGCGACTCGCGCGCCGTGCGTCGCTCCGTTGGGCCGCACGCCCGCCGCGCGCATCGCGCGCTCGGCCGCGCGGACGCCCTCGATGTCCCCCGCGCGGCCGTGCGCGGCGATGAGGGTGTTGTAGAGACGCGGCCCCGCGTCGATCTTCTCGCGGTTCATCTCGCGGACGAGCTTGTTCGCCTCGTCCGGTCGGCCGGCGATCATGTACGCGCCGACCGCGGCGGTGTACGCCGCGCCGTCGACGCGGAGCGACGGGTCGGTGGACGACGCGGCGCGGAGGGAGAGCCAGACGTCGACCGCGGTCCATGAAGACGACGCGTCGGAGGAGTCGACCGATTCCTCGGAGAGAGCCGCCGCGCCCGCGCCCGCGCCCGCGCTCGCGCCCGCGCCCGTTCCCTGCCACCGCCTCGCCGTCGTCGTCGTCGTCGTCCCCGCCGCCGCCGCCGCGTGCCTCTCGCGCCTCTTCTCCCGCTTGCTCAGCTCCAAGTCGCGCTTGCTCAGCGACGATATCAGATCCGTGTACGTCCGCAACGTCGGCTTCCCCCCCGCGGCTCGAAACGCGCGCGCCGCCGCCGCCGTCTCCGCCGCCCTCCCCGCCCTGGCGCCGTGCCTGACGAGGCGCTCCACCGCCGTCGCGGACGGCCGCACGCCGAGCTCGAGGGCTTCGCGGAGGAGGCCGTTCGCTTGGAAGAGCATCCCGGCCGCGCACAGGGCGTCGAGGAGGCGCCCGAGGAGGACGTTGTCCACGTGATTCGCGGCCGTTGTCGCGTCGTCGTCGTCGTCGTCGTCGTAGGACGCCTGTCCGGTGCCGCCGAGGAGGATCGATCGGAGTCCTCCCGGGGCGTTCCTCGCCGCGCTGAGCGCGCGTAAGATCGCGCTGGCCTCGCGTCGGAGCTCCGTGAGCGACGTCCGCGGGCGCGCGCCGCGGTCGGGATAACCCGCGGGCGGCGGACTGATCTTTAATTCCCCGCGCGACGCCGATCGCGACGGCGACGGCGACGTCGGCGACGCGCCCGTGCCGCCGCTTCTCGCGCTCGCGAACATCGCGGCCGTCGCGCGCGTCGACCTGTTCGCCGATCGTCGCGTCCGCGCGTCGCCGCCTCCGCCTCCGCCGCCCTCTCCCGCGCCGCGCGCGCGTCGCCCCCCGCGTGATTCGACGGCTTTATCCCGAACGACGACGCCGCGCGAGGACGACGATGGACGCTGCGATGACGTCGCCGCGCGTCGTCGCGCGGCGTCGCCGCCGGCGTCGTCGTCCACGCTCCCGACGCCGCCCGCGGCCGCGCGGCGTCGCGCGGTCGATCTCTTCTCTCTCGCGCCGCCGGCGCCGCCGGCGCCGCTCGCGTCCCTCGCGTCCCTCGCGCCGTCGCGCGACGCCGCCGCGCGAGGCGTCGTGTTTGTCGCGACGCGAGCCGTCGACGTCGTCGGCGGCCGCGGCGACGGCGACGGCGCGAGGACGCGCCACGCGAGCGACGACGCCGCGCGCGCGACGTCGCGCCTCCGCGCGTGATTCGACGCGACGCATCGCATCGACGCCATCGCGCCGCTCCCCGCGAGCGCGCGCGCCGTGTCCATCGCGCGCGCCGCCTCGCCCTCCGCGCGCGCGCCACCCAATGGACGGACGATGCGATGTGGCTCCTCGAGCGCGCCTCTCTTCTCTCGCCGATAAAAAACGAGTGACGTCGAGCGTGCGAGGACGGCACCGTGACTATTTCCGCATACGAGGTTTCGCGTATCGTAGTACGTGAACTCGCGGCACGGCTTTCAGTGTTATTACTCGTACGAAGGTATTACTTCCGCCTCGTATGTCGTACTCGTACTGTCGTTGCTTTTCGGCGCAGTCTTCCCCGCGCGGCGGCACGCGTCGACGACTGACGAGCGAGGCGATCATGGTGAAGAAGCGAGGAGTGAACCAGCGCACGGGCAAGCCGTTCATCGAGTGGTGCGCGGAGAACGGGAAGCGCGGCGAGAGGCTCGCCAACGAGTTCCGCGAGGAGCTGCCGACGGAGCTGACGAAAGGGTCGAACTACAAGGCGAAGTGGAAGTGTTTGACGTGCAAGCACGTGTGGCGGGCGAAGGTGAACAACCGCACGAGGAGCCACAAACCCGGCGGTTGCCCGAAGTGCGCGAAACGTGCGCCGGCGAGCAAGACGAACAACTTCATCGTGTGGTGCGAGAAGAACGGCGAGCTCGGCAAGAAGCTGTCGCGCGAGTACGTCGATAAGGACAAGCCGCCGACGGAGCTGACGTTTGCGTCGCACTACAAGGCGAAGTGGAAGTGCAGCAACGTCGAGTGCAAACACGTGTGGCGGGCGCAGGTGTGCCACCGCACGAACAGCGACAGACCCAGCGGGTGTCCGAAGTGCGCGAATCAACTGCCGCTGAGCAAGACGAACAACTTCCTCGAGTGGTGCGAGAAGAACGGCGAGCTCGGGAAGAAGCTGTCGCGCGAGTACGTCGATAAGGACAGGCCGCCGACGGCGGTGACGAAAGGGGCGGACTACAAGGCGCTATGGAAGTGTGGGAGGTGCTCGCACGAGTGGCGTGCGAGGATGGCCCACCGCACGACGAGCGACAAACCCACCGGGTGTCCGGGATGCCACCCCAAAGGACCCAAGAAGCGCCAGCGCGTCGACTGAAAAAACGACGCAACGACGACGACGACGACGACGACGAAACCGTGTAAAAACGAACGACCATCGAACAACAGGAAGGTAGAGTGTTGTGATTGAACTCTCTCTCGTCTTGCCAAAAAATGTCATCGCTCGCGTCTCTTCTTCCTTCCCGCTTTCTTGCCTCAGCAGCACGCCCCCCCCGCCGGCGCGTCCCCTCCCCCGCCGCCGCCCGCCACCGGGCTCGGCCCGCAGTCGAACAGCCCATAGTGCACGTCCCGGTTCCCCACGATCTCGAAGTGTTTCCCCAACCACGTCTCTCCGAGCATCGACGCGGTGTTCCCGCACACCAAGAACGGCTTGTTCTTCTCTATCCTGTGGTGATCGTCCAGGGAGTACGCGTTGGGGTGCCCGTCGATCGTGCCCTTGTACAGCGCGTACTGGCCGTAGTCCTCGCACAGGGACTCCAGCCGGCCGGGAGGGAGCTTGAAGAGGCGGTAGGTGATGGAATAAAATTTCGCCTCGCCGAGCAACGCCGCGAGCGCCTCGGGGTCGTTCCATACGATCGAACGTCGGGGTGGAGTTGAAAGGCGTCAGACGGAGTTGAAAGGCGTCGAGGTGTGTCGGGATTGAAACCGAGGTGTGGGCGGAGAGATGCGCCGGGAATAAAAGTCCTTAAGGAACGGCGTTCACCGCGCCGACGCGGTCGTATGGGAACCAGTGCGACATAGAACGCGCCTCGTCCTTGATCTCAATCTCGTGGCCCTCCAGCACGCGCGGGTCCGCGAACCCGGTCGCGACGCACAGCCGCTTGAAGTCCTCGACGTACATCGCGCCGCCGAGGCACTCGCCGAGGAGGATCTCGTGCGACCGCAGATCTTCCGGAAGTCTTCGGTCGCAGTAGACGTCGCTGAAGTAAAACTCGCCGCCATCCGCGAGCGCGCGCATCGCCTCGGACAGCACCGCGGGCTTATCCGGGGAGAGGTTAATCACGCAGTTGGAGATGATGAGATCCACGGAGTTATCCTCGACGTTCGCCGCGCGCAGGTCCTCGATCGTGCCCTTGCGGAACTCCATGTTCCCCGGCGCGGCGTACCCCAGCGCGTCCACGCAGTACGTCTCCGCGTGCCGCCGCGCAACGTCCAGCTGTGTGAAAAAAAAAGCATCGGTCAGTTGAAAGGGGACGCGATCAAACGTTGAACCTATGGGGTGGGTGAAAAACGCGAGTGAAGCCACAGCACGCACCTGCGCGTCCGTCATGTCGATCCCGATCACGCTCCCGCTCTCGCCCACGAGCGCGGCGGCGACGTAGCAGTCCCTCCCGCTGCCGCTCCCGAGGTCCAGCACCCTGAGGCCGTCGATCCCGAGCGGCGTGGGCGATCCGCAGCCGTAGTACTTCGCCTTGACCTCGTCCGGGACGCTCGCGAGGATCGACTTGATTTTCTTCGGAAGAAGGTTCGGCGTGCAGCACGCGGACGTCTTCAGGTCGTCCGACGTCTGTAGCGTCTCGCCGTAGTACTTGGTCACGGAGTCGCGGACTTCCGCGTCGCCGCCGCCGTTCGGGGCGATGATCTTCGCGCCGAGGAGCTCGTCGAGCGCGGAGGAGGACTTCGCGGCGGCGCGGACGACGGGGACGGGGCCGGCGCCGGGGCCGCGGCGCGACGACGACGACGACGTCGACGACGTCGTCGATCGAATCGACGCGACGTCGCGGCGGACGCTCGAGGCGGGGCGGTTCGCGCCGCGACCGAACGTCGCGACGGCGGCGGAGGAGGACGCGAGCGCGGCGGCGGCGGCCATCGTGTGCGTGCGCGGGTCTGTGAGGAGGGACGCGCCCGGCGCGGCGACGACGTTTGGAAGGAATGGAAGCCGCGAGATCTGTGACGTCGTCGTGTGTCATGTCAGACTCTGTCCCCGTCACACCGCGACGCGCGATGGCTGCCGCGGCGCGCCCCGTCGCCCCCCGCGCGCGTCTCGCCGCGCGCGCGGCGGCGACGACGACGCGCCGCGACGTCGACCGCGCCGTCGCGCCGCCGACGCGACGGTCGCTCCTCGCCGCGACGACGACGACGCTCCTCCTCGCGACGACGGCCGCGGTCGCGCGCGCCGCGGAGGAGGCGGAGACGGATGACGGCACCCGGGTCATCATCTCGACGTCGTCCGCCGCGACCGCCGCGGTGGCGTCCCCGCTGGAGTGCGCGTCGGACCCGTCGTGCGTCGTCGCGCGCGACGCGAGCCTCGCGGGGGGCGGGTCCTACGCGCCGCCGACGGAGTTCGTGGAGGAGGACCCGGACGGCGCGCTTCGACGCGCCATCTGTCCGCGGAACCCCACCGCGGACATCTGCCGCAGCGTGAAAGACCGGAAGAAGATCAACGACTCGCCGTGCCTCATACCCATCGGGCTGGCGTGCGCGATGTGGAAGAAGTGATTTATGATGAGTACGTGTAGTAGGGTACGGTATCGTATCATAGAAGAAGTAGGGCTGGAGAGAGAGGGGGAGAGGAGACGACGACCGCGACGCGTCGATTGGACGTGTGGCGTATTCATTTATTGATCGTTTTCGTATTAATCGTCTGCGGGAGCCCTACGTCGCGTCCGCCGCGGCGGAGGGCCGGCGCTTTCTCCGAGCGTCCGCGTTCGTTCGTTCGTTCGCTCGTTCGTTCGTTACAAGCACGTTCTCTCGTCGTCACATTATTAGCGCCGCGGACATGCGCTCGCAGCCACTCCGTCACGTGCGGCGACTCCTCTGTTTAAGTCGACTCGTCCTGCGGAGCGCCGTTCGCGCGCGCCCACTGCAGCACCTCGAGGTGACCGCCTCTCGCGGCTTCGGAGCAAGTCTCCTCGTCCCAAGGAGCGCCGTTCGCGCGCGCCCACTGCAGCACCTCCAGGTGGCCGCCACCCGCGGCATTGACGCAAGTAACCTCGTTCCACGGAGCGCCGTTCGCGCGCGCCCACTGTAGCACCTCCAGGTGGCCGCGATGCGCGGCATAGGTGCAAGTCCACTCGTTCCACGGAGCGCCGTTCGCGCGCGCCCATTGCAGCACCTCCAGGTGGCCGCCAAACGCGGCACTGGCACAAGTCCACTCGTTCCACGTGGCGCCGTTCGCTCGCGCCCACTGCAGCACCTCGAGGTGACCGCCTCTCGCGGCTTCGGAGCAAGTCTCCTCGTCCCAAGGAGCGCCGTTCGCGCGCGCCCACTGCAGCACCTCCAGGTGGCCGCCACCCGCGGCATTGACGCAAGTCCACTCGTTCCACGTGGCGCCGTTCGCTCGCGCCCACTGCAGCACCTCCAAGTGGCCCCTACCCGCGGCATAGGTGCAAGTCCACACGTCCCACGGGCAGCCGTTCGCTCGCGCCCACTGCAGCACCTCCAAGTGGCCGTGTTCCGCGGCACCGGTGCAAGTCCACGCGTCCCACGGAGCGCCGTTCGCGCGCGCCCACTGCAGTACCTCCAGGTGGCCGCATTTCGCGACTGCGGCGCAAGTATTCTCGTCCCACGGACACCCTCGCTCCTTCGCCCACGCCAACCTGCTGACCGACCCGACGAAGTTCGGCATCCTCCCGAGCTCCCTCCTCACCGCCGCGACGTCCCTCACGTCATGGTCGACGGGCGAATCGAAGACGACGTCGCGCATCTTTCGGTTCACCGTCGCGAGCACCGCGAGGTCGCCGCTGTCGAGCCGCGGGAGGATGTTCGCGTTGAAGACATCGCGCGTGCGCGCGTCCGCGGCGAGTCGTTCCGGGAGCGGGGCCTCGTCGTTGAGATCTGCGGAAGTCGATCCGTCCCCCGCGATATCGTCGACGCCGCCGCGATTCATCCGCCTTGGAGACAACATCGCGTCGTGTCGATCGCGGGTACGCGAGCACTTCGCGACGAGGCCGCGGAGGAGGAGGAGGAAGAGGACGCGTTGTCGTCGCGCGTGTGGCGAGTGCCAGATCTCGGGGCGTTTTGTCCGTTTTGCGTTCGGGACGATTATTTGTCCGGTCAATTCATCACTGTCAGACTGTGTTTGAAAGGTGTGTTTGAAAGCGCGAAAATGATTTCATCCGCGGTGCTGGTTCGTCACGCGAGACCTCTTCTAATAAGCTGCTGCTACCCCGTCGCCGCCGTCGTCGTTCGCGGGGTCGACGCCGAGGCGGCGCCTCCCCCGCCACCCCTCCTCCCCCCCGCTCTGGGCCGCCCCGAGGACACCGACGCCGTGTCCTTCCTCCGCAGCCCCTGCCCCGCGGGCTTCCCCCCCAGCCTCTTCATCCCCGTCGGGTCGTCCCAGTGCGGCAAGCTCGCGCTCGCCTCGTTCACCGCGTCCACGAGGAACCGCACGAGCTCGTTGTCCATCCCCGCGGGCGGTCTCGTAAGGTTATTCTCCGGCGCGCCCTGCGTCCACGTCCTCTTGTCGAACCGCCACTTCCCCATCTTGCCGGGCGTGAACGTCCCGTCCAGGTCGTAGTCGTTGCCGTACGTGAAGTGCAGGATGTAAAAGTCGGAGACGGACTTATCCCACGGCGGCTGCGCCTGGAGCTTCGGCCGCAGATCGTGTCGGACGCCGCTCAGCCACGACGCGATCGTGTACCCGTACATCTCCAGGACCCACCCCCACTCCTTGTTCGCCTCCGGGTCTCTCTTGATCTTCACCGTGACGTCGTGCCACGTCGGCGCGATCTTACGGAGGTCGTCCTTGTGGATGAACACGGGGGAGGAGCCGATCGGGTCCATCGCCGCGAGGTCCGCGTCCGTGATCGTGACGTCGCCCATGAACCTGCGCACCAGCGTCGGGAACTTCGCGGGCTCGATGTAGAAGAACGGGAACGCCGCGGGGGTCCGGCCGTTCATCAGATTGTCCAGCGGGCGCAGGTACAGGTGATCCGGCTCCGCCATGAGGATGTAGTCCTCCTCGATCTCCGGGCACTTCTCGAAGAACTGCTTAAACGCGTTCGGACGCGACAGCACGACGAACCCCATCTCGTCGTCCAAGCGATCGACGACGCACGTCGGGATCTCGTCCATGAGCCCGTCCGGCTGGTCGTGCAACACGCGCGTGAACCCGCCCATCTGCCCGTCTCTCGGGTCTTGCTTCGCCTTTTGTTTCAGGTACCAGTAGTGCATCGTCCGGACCTGCCACGCCTGGTACGGGTTCGCGTTCGTCGTGACGACGACGTGGAACCGCTTGTGGACGCCGCGCTCGCCCCTGACGTCCGCGGGCGCGGCCATGCTGCCGGACGTCCACGGGTTATCCGGCGCGTCCGCGGGGCCCGTCGGGTTCTCAGGCCGCGGCTGATGCTTCAGCCAGCACGCGCCTCGCGGCTCGCGGCCCCCCGCGCAGCCGCCCGCCGCGGGGCAGAAGACCCACACGTTGCACGGGCGCGGGGTGGCGTCGCGCATGGCGTCGCACGCGTCGTGGCACGCGCGCGCGTTCTCGACGAGGTGCGTCGTGCCCCACTTGACGACGTCGCCGCCGTACTCGGTGTGGAGTTTCGGCGCGAACGATGATGATAACGCGGTCGGCGACGGCGGCGGCGGCGAGGGGGACGACGGCGACGGCGGCGATCGCGGCGGCGGCGCGGCGGCGACGGCGGCGGAAGGCTCGGCGGCGGCGGCGGCGTCGGCGTCGGCGTCGTCGATCGGCGTCGGCGTCTCTCGGACGCGATCGACGTCGGCGTCGCCGTCGCCGTCGAAGCCATCGCGTTCTTCGACCCTTTTCTCGTCCTCCTCCTCCTCCTTCTTCTCCTTCCCGTCGTCCTTCGCCGCCGCCGCGAGCTTTTCCCGCCGCTGCCGCTCCTCGAACGCCCTCACCCACTCGCGCTCGCCGCCGTCGGCGTCGTCCGCCGTCGCGCCGCTCGTCCCGCCGCTCGTCCCGCCGCCGATCGCGGAAGAGTCATCATCCAACACGAGCAGGCCCGCGCTTCCGCGTCGCGTCGGACGCGGCAGCGACGACGCGCCGCCGTGGATGCTCCACCACGCGAAGACGTTGAACGACACGAAGAACGCGACGAAGAACGCGCACGAGCGCGCGATGACGCGCCTGCTGCTCCGCGAGGAGGCGCCCATCCTCCGCGGCGGACGCGGCCTCGCGCGCTGTCGGTTCTGACGTGACCTGCACTGAGAGTACGGTTTTTTTATCGGTCCCGCCTCTCGGCTATCGGCTGGTTCGCGCGCGTCCTCGACGACATAGGGTGGGAGATGATGGACGTCCTGGAGCGGACGCCCGCGCCCGAGGCGGCGGCGGCGGCGGCGGTGAAGGCGGAGTAGTGCGAACGAACGAACGGTAGTGAAGGGAGGGTTACTAGCTAGAGCCCGCACTCGGGGGCCGCGCACGGGAGTCTACACTGAAACTCTCACTCGAAGCGAACGCCCTCGTCGCGACGCCGTTACCTTCCAGGCGTTTTGCACCCCGGGCACCCGGTGGGCTTGTCGCTCTTCGTGCGGTGGTTCACCGTCGCCCGCCACTCGTGCGAGCACCTCCCACACTTCCACAGCGCCTTGTAGTTCGACCCTTTCTTCACCGCCGTCGGCGGCTTGTCCTTATCGACGTACTCGCGCGACAGATTCTTCCCGAGCTCGCCGTTCTTCTCGCACCACACGAGGAAGTTGCTCGTCTTGCTCAGCGGCATGCGATTCGCGCACTTCGGGCACCCGCTGGGTTTGGCGCTCTTCGTGCGGCTGTGCACCTTCGCCCGCCACACGTGCTTGCACTCGACGTTGCTGCACTTCCACAGCGCCTTGTAGTGCGACGCGTGCGTCACCGCCGTCGGCGGCTTGTCCTTATCGACGTACTCGCGCGACAGCTTCTTGCCGCGCTCGCCGTTCTTCTCGCACCACGCGAGGAAGTTGTTCGTCTTGCTCAGCGGCAGTTGATTCGCGCACTTCGGACACCCGCTGGGTTTGACGCTCCTCGTGCGGCTGTGCACCTGCGCCCGCCACACGTGCTTGCACTTCAAACACTTCCACTTCGCCTTGTTGTTCGACGCTTTCGTCACCGCCGTCGGCAGCTCCTCGCGGAACTCGTTGGCGAGCCTCTCGCCGCGCTTCCCGTTCTCCGCGCACCACTCGATGAACGGCTTGCCCTTACGTCTGGCTGGCATGATCGACGCGCGAGACGCGGCGTGGCGGCGCGTAGCGAGAGTGACGTCGAAAAGCTACGACGCCCGACAGGAAGAAAACACCGACTGACCTGGGGACGGGCTGCAGGTCTCGTGCCCTAGGTTTTTGATCGGTCCCGCCTCTCGGCTTCGGTTCGTTTTCATCGCACGACCCGTTCAATTAATCGCCTCGCGGCAATTTTTGCGCTCGATTTGTAGGCGTGTGGCACGTGTTGGTTTTTGGTTTTTTTTGGCAATTTTGGGCAGGTTTATAATTTTTTAATTTACCTTTTTTTCCATCAAATCCTAAATAACGCGTTCTCCAAGAGAGCTAACCCGAAAACTAATCGGTTAGACTCGACTTGAAAGAGTGTAGATCACTCTGTTCCCTTAGCTCAGTTGGTTAGAGCGCGGTGCTAATATAGGTTATGGGCCTCGCGCCCTCAAAAGCTTAAAGCACAAGGTCTGCTTCACAGCAGACTGTCCGCAGATACGCCGCGGTCATCGGTTCGAACCCGGTAGGGAACACTTTTTTTTGCCATTTTGAGCATGCAGTCATCGTCCACATGATGTAGGGAGCCTCTCCACGAAGTTTCACGTCGATCGAAGCGGTTTTGACGCTACTGTGGTCTCATCATCGTCGATCGTGGTGCACGTTTTGGAAAAAGTTTTGGCAAAGGAGGACGCGTCCGTCGCGACGTTCGGGACGCGGACGATACACGCGGCACGGTCGGGTCGAATAGGGTCGGGTCGTACGTGTAGCACGGTCGGGTGGAATCGGGTCAGGGCGATGCGGGTCGCGAGGACGACGCGCACCGTGCACGGCTCTCGTCGCGTGCGATTTCGCCGCCCGACCCCGGCGCGCCGCTCGCGCGCGTCCCGAGGCTGTCGAAGTTTCGGCAAGCGCGCGCACGCGCCGCGCGCGCTGCGCGCGCGCTGCGGCGGCTTCGCCGCGGCGGCTCGCGGCTCCGCCGCCGCGGCTCCGCTGCCGCCGCCGCGCCTGCCGCGGCTCCGCTGCGGCTTCGCCGCCGCAGCGCCTGCCGCGGCTCCGCTGCGGCTTCGCCGCCGCAGCGCCTGCCGCGGCTCCGCTGCGGCTTCGCCGCCGCAGCGCCTGCCGCGGCTTCGCCGCGGCCGCGGCGCTGCCACGCCGCCGCGGCGCTGCCACGCCGTTGCGGCTTCGCCGCCGCAGCGCCTGCCGCGGCTTCGCCGCCGCCGCGCCTGCCGCGGCTCCGCTGCGGCTCCGCCGCTGCCGCGCCGCGGCCGTGCGACCGCGTCGCCGGTCGAGGTTATGAATACCTTCGAGAACGACGCGTCCTCGGCGCGCGGGATATCCCCGACGGGACCTGCAAAAAAGAGGCTGGAGCGTTCGCGGCGGCGAGACGGGGACGGCGGAGCCGCGCGCGAGCACGTGCGCGTCGAAGACATCGCGCGCGTCCGCGGCGAATCGTTCCAAGCGCGAGCCCGCGTCGAGATCTGCGGAAGTCGATCCGTCCCCCGCGATCTCGTCGACGTCCCCGCTGTTCATCCGCGGTGGAGGCGACGTCGCGTCGCGACGATCTCGGGGTGCGCGAGCACTTCGCGACGAGGCCGCGGAAGCGGAGGAGGGAGAGGAGGAAGAGGACGCGCCCGTCGTCGCGCGCGAGGCGAGTGACGAGACGGGACGACGCGAAGCGGGCGTTTCTGTTCGTGCTCGAGCGGACGAGCTCCGGGACGGACACGCCCGCCGCGCGCCTTTTCTGGAGCCAGTCTACCAGCAGACCAGTCACGCGCAGCAGCAGCAGCAGCGGTCAAAAACGCGGCGCGCGCGCTCGTCGACCCCACCCCCGCCCCTCTTCCACGCAGACCATGCCTCCTAAGAAGGTCGTCGAAGAGGAGACGCTCGGCCCGTGGGCGCTCGGGCGCTTCTCCAGCAACCTCAAGGTCCGTGTCGTCGTATCCGAGCCGCCGCTCGATCGATCGTCCCGCGATCGAAGAAAGAAACAAACGCCGTTCGATCGTCGATCTCGTCGATCTCGTCGCTGACCCCCCCTCCTCCTCCAATCCTCCAATCCTCCTCCACCCACACAGGTCGGCCTCGTCGGGATGCCGAACGTCGGCAAATCCACGCTGTACAACGCGCTCTCCAACTGCAGCATCCCCGCGGAAAACTTCCCCTTCTGCACGATCGACCCGAACTCGACGCGCGTCCATGTCCCAGACGAGCGGTTCGACTGGCTCGTGGATCACCACAAGCCCAAGTCCGTGGTGCAGCCGTTTCTGGAGATCGTCGACATCGCCGGTCTCGTCAAGGGCGCGAGCACGGGCGCGGGCCTCGGGAACGCGTTCCTGAGCCACATCAAGGCTGTGGACGGCATCCTCCACGTGATGCGCGCGTTCGACGACCCGGACGTGATCCACGTGGAGGACCGCGTCGACCCCGTGGGCGACATCGACATCATCACGTCCGAACTTCGCATCAAAGACCTCGAGTTCATGAACGCGCACTTAACGAAGATGAAGAAGGACGGTCAGCGCGCGGCGCAGAACCCGCAGATGGCGAAAGCGCACAAGACGGAGCTGGAGTGCGTCGAGAAGGTGATCGCGTGGCTCGAGGTGCGTTCTATCTCACACTGGTCCCCATACGACCCCGTTCGCGTGGTGAACGCCGTTTCATAAGGACTTTTCCCGGCGTGTCTCTCCGCCCACACCTCGCTTTCAATCCCCGACCTCGACGCCTTTCAACTCCGACTGACGCCTTTCAACTCCACCCCGACGTTCGCTCGTATGGAACTCGCCTCAGGACGGGAAGGAGATTCGCAACGGGATGGAGCAGTGGAGCACGACGGACGTGGACTTTTTGAACACGTACCAGCTGTTGACGTCCAAGCCGGTCATCTACCTCGTGAACCTCACGGAGAAGGACTACGCGCGGAAGAAGAACAAGTGGCTCGCGAAGATCCACGCGTGGGTCATGGAGCACGGCGGCGGGACGATCATACCGTTCAGCGGCGCGTTCGAGTGCGAGCTTCAGGACGTCCCCGAGGACGAGAAGGCGCAGTTCCAGAAGGACAAGGAGATGACGACGATCCTGCCGAAGATCATCAAGACCGCGTTCAGCACGATCCACCTGATTTACTTCTTCACCGCGGGCCCGGACGAGGTGAAGGCGTGGTGCATCCGGAAGGGGTTTAAGGCGCCGCAGGCGGCGGGGGCCATTCACACGGATTTCGAACGCGGGTTCATCTGCGCGGAGGTGATGGCGTTCGAGACGCTGAAAGAGCTCGGGAGCGAGCAGGAGGTCAAGGCGAAGGGGAAGTACAAGCAGGAGGGGAAGACGTACTTGGTGAACGACGGCGACGTCATCTTCTTCAAGTTCAACGTCACCGCGAAAGGGAAGAAGTAAAATAAAATGAATAATGGGATCGACTCTGGAGAAGGTATTTTTACTGTATGACGACGCTGCGCCCGACGAGCGACGGACGACGACGCGAAGAAGAAGCGAGTGAAGAAGTTATCATCGAATATCATCCATCATCCACGTCATCACGAGACGTAGTACGTCTTCTGTCTCATCATCACGCCATCGCGCCATCGCGCCGCCTCCATCACATGATCACACGACGGCGTATAAGATCACCCCCTCCGTCGCCACGTCCACGAGCTTCGTGGAGCCGTGCGCCGCCAGCTCGGACAACCCCCGTCCCCAGTCCACGTCGTCCGCGCTCGCGCCCTTCACGATGAACACCTTCTTCTCCGGGACGTCGCACTGCGTCGCGACGATCTTCCGCGCGAGCGTCACCGTGGCGGTCGCGGGGACGCGCGCGAACGGCGTCTCGAGCGGCCGCACGGACTCCGCGGTGTTGGCGCGGCGGAGCTCGAACGCGATGGCGTCCGGGTCCGACGGCGTCGGCGCGTCGCTCGCCGGCCACGCGCGCGTCTCGAACCTGTGGTTGTCGTCCAGGACGCGGACTTCGTATAACCCCGCGAAGTCGTCGGGCATCTCCACGACCGCGCCGGGTTTGAGCGCGGCGGTCGGTTTGGCGCGCGCGACGGGCGGCGGCGTCGCCGCCGCCGCCGCCGCCGCGGCTTTCGACGCGGCTGCTTTCGACGCCGCAGTCTTGGACGCCGCCGCCGCCGCAGCCGCCGCCGGAACCGCGGACTTTGGTCGGCCCGGCCCGGGTTTCTTCTCCGCGGACGCCTTCTCCTTCTTCGACGCGGACTTCGGCGCCGCCTTGGGCGTCTTCGCCGCGGCCACGGCGGCGACGGGCTCGCCCCACTCGTCGTCCGCGTCCTCCGCCGCGACGACCTCCTCCGCCGCCGCCGCCGGCGGCCGCGCCGCCGCCGCCTCCGCCGCGGCCGCGACCGCCTTCCTCGCCGCCTCCTCCTGCTCCCTGATGTACTGCTCCCTGACCGCGGCGGCCTGCTCCTTCCGTCGTCGCTTCGCCTCGCGCTCCTTCTCCTTCTCCTCCCTGTCCTTATCCTTTCTCCACTCCGCGACGCCGGTTGAAAACGCATTCTCCTTGAGGTCGTAATCCCCGGCGTGCTCGTACGCCGCGGCGACGATCGCGTCGAAGTCTGGGTCTTCGCGCAGGACGCGCCGGGACGCCACGGGGACGCGGCACGTCGGGCAGTGGTTGTTGCTGGCGCGGAGTACGGGACGGAGGGACGGGGACGTCAGGGACGGGACGGATCGCGGCGGCGGGGCGGGCGCGAGAGGACGAAGACGCGCGCGCGGGCGAATTGATTATTCGATCGATCGAACGATCGACGGTCGACGCGAGCGGGGACGCACAGTTTACGGATGTGCTCCTCGATGCACGCGCCGCAGAACCGGTGCAGGCACGGCGACACGACTTTGACTTTCTTCAGCGTCCCCCAGCACACCGCGCATCGCGTGTCCGGGCGGACGTCCCCGAGCTTCAGCGTCGACGACATCGATCGAATGTAATTAATCGTCGAGATCGCGGTGAGTAATTCTCCGTCGACGACGACCGGACGACGCGCGGGTGCCCGGCGCGGTTCGCTCGCGCGATCGAGCGATCGCGCGCGGACGACGCGGGCGCGAGGACGGCGCGGCGCGAGCGACCGCGGGCGTGGACGCGCGGGGGCGTGGACGCGGCGCGCGGGGCGTCGATCTGTGACGAGCCCTCGGCGCGGGCGGCGGACGGACTTCGAGCGAGCAGCGCCGCATTTGCATTTTCTCTTCAGCAGCGGCAGCGCTCGCTGGAGGGAGTTTTTCTCGCGCCGGGGGCGAACGCGGACGCGCGGGGAATGGGTATTAGGAAACGTTGCGCTCGAGAGTTCGTTCGTTCGTACGTACGTTCGTTCGTTCGTTCGTTCGTTACAATCGCGCATCGTCGTGTTCGTGCTGTCGTGGTTCAGTTCGATACTTCTCTCTCCATCGCTTCTCTCTCCATCGCCGCCTCCTCGCGGAGCCGCGCGAAATACCCCGGAGGCATGATTCCGTTCACGGCGCGCGAGCACGTCTCTCTGTGCGGCGGGTGCGGTTCGGTTCCGCGGGCCCCGTCCTTCTGCTGGCAGCGTATGTCGCAGTACCGCACGCCGCGGCACAGCTTGCATCCCAATCGCGCGTCGCGCTTGCCACAGGTGACGCACGCTCGAAGCTTCACGAGCTCCTCGGCGACGGCGGCGTTGTCTGGGTAGTAAATTTCGGCAAGTTTGAACGCCTCCTTTGCCATCCGAAGGTTCTTCTCGAGTCCGCATCTCCCGTGAAGGAAGCAGAGCGCGAGATGATGGACGCGATCTCCAGCCTTGTGGTCACGAAGCGGCCCGCCAACGAAGAGCTCCACGGCGGCGTCGCTGATGTTCGCACTGGTGTCTTGCACGATACCAAGGAGCGTTTCCCTTTTTGCAGTCCACAAATCACCGAGACGGTCCACGTAGTGACTCACGTAGTCACTGCCGCCGCCACTAAACTTCGAGCGCTCGAGAAGCATCTTCTCGTATGCTACGTAATCGTTTTGAGCGATGGGCTGCGGGGCAGCTTCGGTGTGTGTGAGCTTCAACATAGTCTCCGATTTTTGGCATCCATGCTCGACTGCCTGCTCCCACCACTCCCGCGCCTTCGCTATGTTTCGCTCGACGCCGCGGCCTTCGTCGTAGAGCAGGCCGATATTGCACATCGAAGATTCGTCGCCCTGCGCCGCGGCTCTCTCGTACCACTTCAACGCGTCTGCGTACCGTTCCCTTTCAAGCTCGAGATAGACCCCGTAGTTGTGTTGAGCGCAAAGATTCCCCTTCAACGCCCCTTTCAAGTACCACGCCGCAGCCGTAGACTTGTTTCGCTCCACGCCGTGGCCGCTGTCGTAGAGAATCCCGAGGTTGTTCATGGCATCATCGTCGCCCTGCGCCGCGGCTTTCTCATACCACTCTCTCGCGGCTGTATACTGCTTCATATTACAGTCGAGAAAGATTCCGTAGTTGCATTGAGCTTCTTGATCCCCCGTCAACGCCGCTTTCAAGAACCACGCCGCAGCCGTAGACGTGTTTTTCTCGACGCCCTTGCCGTTCTCGTAGAGCCGCCCGAGCTGTATCATGGCGTCGGCGGAACCCTGCGCCGCGGCCTTCTCCCACCACTTGCGCGCGGCTTCGTACTCGCTTAGTCTGTAGAACACAGAGCCGAGATCTCTCTGCGCGTCAACGTGCCCGTGCTCCGCGGCCTTCAAGAGCCACTGACTACAGAGCTCCTTGTTTTCCTCCACGCCGCCGGTCCCGTCGCGGTAGTGCCCGGCGATCGCCTGCGCCGCATCCCCGCACCCGCCGTTCGCCTTCTTCGCGAGATCGCGGAGCTTCCGCGGCAGCTTGATCTTCGGCATCGCGACGTTCGCGCGACGTGCGGCGGCGCGGGAGGAAGTGGCGGCCGGCGCAGTCGTGGCTTTCAAAAAAAGGCGGGAAGGGAAAGCCCGCGTAGCGAGGCAGCCTCTGTTCGTCGACCTCCGCGAGAAGAACGCGCGAAGAGAGAGCTCTGCTCTGGGGGCGGACGGCGACGCGCAGAGGGAATCTATCGACGACGCGATGACGGAGACGACGACGACGACGAACGCGCACGTCAAAACCTAGGATGATGCGACGACGACCACCACCACCACCTCCGCCGACGACCTTCCCTTCCCTCGCGCTCACGCGGCGGCGTCCGCTGCGGCGATATTTTTCGCACTCCGCCTCCGCGGCAACAACGGCTCCAACGCGCCGTCCTCCCCCGGGTTGATCCTCCATATCGTGTACACGAGCACGGTCGCGATCGTGATCCACACCGCGCTCGGCGCGATCAGGTACCCCGCCTTGGCGCTCACACTGAAGTACTGAAACACGAGGTTGTACACGGAGAGCAAAACGCACCCGACGCCGAGCACGGCGGTGCCGAGCCGCTTCTCCACGTTGTTGATGTTGTTCCACGTGTCGCCCACGGATAGGTGGAGAAACATCGCGAAGATCGCGGGGTGGTTCAGCGTCCCGCCGAGCGCGTTGAAGACGACGACGCTAGACGCGGCGCGGAGGACCGCGATGGAGGTCCAGATGATCGGGAACGCGATCCCCGGCGGCATCCACGACGGACGCTTTCGCTGTTGAGTCGAAAGGCGGAGTCGAAAGGCGCGTCAGACGGAGTTGAAAGGCATCGAGGGTGGGGATTGAAAGCGAGGGGTGGGGATTGAAAGCGAGGGGTGGGCGGAGAGACACGCAAGGCAAAGTCCTTAAGGATCGGCGTGCACAACGCGAACGCGGTCGTATGGGGACCAGTGCGACGCGCCTCCACCTTCGCCGCTCTCTCGTCGGCGAGCTTCGGGCGCGACGCGTTCAGCGGCGAGAACGTCCGCGACTTGAGCGCGTTGAACGCGAACCACACGAACACGATGACGTTCTGATACTTCATCGGTAGGCCGCTGTTGTTCAGGCCGCCGTTGAGCCAGAGCGTGAACCACACGAGAAGGGCGCACTGCGCGGCGGTGGCGGCGAAATAGCGTCCGAGGGCGGTCCAGTCGATCGCGGCGTCGTCGTCCGCGAGGGAGGACGTCGGCGCGTCGGAGGACGCCGCGGCGTCCGCGCGCGCGACGACGACGACGCGAGCGGGCGTCGTCTTCGTCGTCGTCGTTTTCGTCGTCGTCATCGTCTTCGACGTCGTCGCGGAGAGGCGCGCGGACGCGACGCCCGCGCGGTGTTCCGGGGCGAGGCGGAGCGACCATCTCGTCGACGACGACGACGGCGACGGCGCGACGGCCGCCGCGCGCGGCGCGACCGGGAGGCGCGCGCGCGCGCGCGCGACGCCGCGACGCGCGGCGCCGAGCGCGATGGCGGACGTCGTCGGCGAGGACGACGACGCCGTCATCGCGGAGAGGTCCATCGCGACGGCGCAGCGGCGGACGCGAGGTCCGAGAGTGACGTGTCGCCGTCTACCCGTCTCGCGCTCGCGCTCGCGCTCGACGGGCGCGCGCGCTCGATCGATCGGCGGGAATCGCGCGATCAAATTTTCGTGCCGTGGCTGACTAGACTTTGTCCGTTTTCGCGCCTTGAATTCCCGGCGCGCGTCTCAGAAACACGCGCGCGACGGTCACGTCCGCACGTCTCAAAGGTGCGAACACGCTCGTCGCGAAGCACGTCGCTCCATCTCGCCAGCGCGCGCGCGCGCGCGTCCGCGCGCGCGGCGCGCGCGAGCCCATGAGACCGTTCGAAATTTGGATTTTCCTTCCGACCCCCAATCCGCCAATTCATCTGACATTCATGTCCGCCACTCCTCCTCGTCTCTCTCTCTCCGCGATACGCAGTCTTCTCGCCCCCACCTCTCTCGAGATGGTGAAGCTCAGCAAGATGAACAAGTCGCAGAAGGTGCTCCTCGCGTACGCCGCGCTCTACGCCGTGTACAGCCTCTTCTGGCTCGGCGAGATGGTCGGCCTTCAAGACGCGGGCTTGAAATTCTTTGGCAAGCGAGCTGGAAAGATTCAAGTCTCCGCCGCGACCTGGGGCGGCGTCGGCGGCCTCACGCTCGCCCTCGACCACGTCTTCGCCGCGCTCAAGTGCAGCAAGGACGTCGCGCAGAGGACAGTCCTCGTCACGCTCCTCGGCTGCTTCTTCCGCCTCGGCGCGTTCGCGAGCCAGGCGCGTTCTCCTCACACTGGTCCCCGTACGACGGCGTTGGCGTGGTGAACGCCGATCCTTAAGGACTTTTGCCGTCGTCTCTCTCCGCCCACCCCTCGCGTTCAATCCCCGCCCTCGACGCCTTTCAACTCCGCTTCTGACGCCTTTGAACTCCACACAGGGGTCGCAAAAATGGGGCGGCGCGCTCGTCCACTCTGAATTCGTCGCCGGCGGCGTCATCACGATCGGGATGATCCTCGCCGCGATGGAGTGCCTCCGCGGCGGCCTCACGTCCGGGAAGCACCCGATCTTCGGCTGCAAGGGTCTGACCCACGGCAACCTGATTCTTCTGTGGGCGATGATGTTCTTTTACGTCGTCTCTTTCATCTTCACCGATTTCATCGGCGACAACTACGTCTGCGGCAAGACGAGCTGCAGGATTTCGGAGCCGCGCGCGTACGACCAGATGGCGTGGACGATCTCCATGTGGGTCTCCGTCATGGTCCAGATCCCGATGATGCTCTCCGTCGCCACGAAGGCGGAGCAGCAGAAGTTTGCGCTGCAGAGGCTCCTCTCCATCGTGTTTTCCATCTATGTGATGCACTCGGAGAAGGACATCTCCGTTCCGTCCAAGTACCTCGAGAACCTCGTCGCCATGGGCGTGATGTTCGTGCTCTGCCTCACCGCCGGGCTCGGCGACAAGATCATGAAGCCGAAGAAGGCTAAGCGCGCGGCGGCGGCGAACAACACCGCGGTCGGACGCCGCAAGCGCCAGTAAACGGTTTTGGTTTCCAACCGACGAAAAACAAATTTAAAAAAAAAAAACACGCGGCGGGGGCGACTGCGCGCCCGCGCGCGTCGCCAGTCACGCGTGACCGCTCACTGCTTGCGACTATAATAACACATAATATCGCGCGCGCGCGCCGCTGAGTACCACCAAAAACAGCGGCGCCGCGGCTTCGGGGAAAAACTACCGTTGTAATATTTATAACGAAGAAGTGAAACGAACGACACGCGACGACGTCTGACACTTCTCTTCTTCATCAAATCGCCGCCACACCGCGCCTCGAATCCATCATTCCTACACCGGAAACAGCGTCTGCATGACCCCCCCCAAGTGCGGGATGACGTCCGTCGTCAGGACGCTCCGTTTCTTCTCCTGAAACGCCCTCCGCGCCGCGAGCCGCGTCACGACGCACGCAGCGTGCGCGCACAACGCGTTCAACGCTCCCACGTCGTCGTCGCACATCTCCCTCGGCGACGCCGCCTCGTCGCCGCGCGCGCTCGCGCTCCTCCGCGCGCGCGCGTCGTCGTGCCACGACCTCTCCCCCGCGCCGGTCTCGGGTGGCCCCTCGTCCGTCAACCTCCGCAGCGCCGTCTCCGCGGCGGCCGGGTCTGAGTCCGCCCACGCCAAAAACGTCGCGACGGCGCCGGCGAGGACGTCGCCCTGCCCGCCGCACCGCCGCGGCATCCCCGGCGCGTCGCACGTCCGCGTCAGGACCGGGCACCGCTCGACGACGTCATCGAAGTGGTCGTCGTCGCGTCCGTCGCCGCCCATGGCGTGAACGTTATGCGGTCTGTCGCGGCGGTCGAGGGAGCCCACGGAGCGAATTTCATCCGTCGCGCCCTTGCTCACGACGGTCACGCCGAGCTCGTCCGCGAGCGCGCGCGCGGCTTTCCTCCTCCACGCCTCCGGGTCGCCGGGAACGGGCGCGTATCTCTTCCCTTTCCCGCCGCGGTCCGCGTCCGCGTCGTCGCCGTCGTCGTCGTCTTCGTACCCGGGGACCTTCACGCCCGTCTCGTCGCACAGCCGCCTGACGTGGGTCGTTCCATACAAGCGAACGTTGGGGTGGAGTTGAAAGGCGCCGAGGGCGGGTATTGAAAGCGAGGGGTGGGCGGAGAGACGCGCCGGGCGAAGTCCTTAAGGATCGGCGTTCACGACGCGAACGCGGTCGTATGGGGAGCAGTGCGACGACGAGCGCGCGCCTGAGCTCGTTGACGTTTGGCGTCAGCGTCGCCCTCGAGTACCCCCTCACGAGCTCGGGCTCCTTCGTCAGCATGTACAGCCCGTCCGCGTCGAACACGATCGGGAGGTTCGACTTCATCGCGTGGTACACGACCAGCTTCGCGGTCAGCTGCATCGATCGATCGCGTCCCATCCCCGGCCCGACAACGAGCGAGGACAGCCGCGGCATCCAGCTGCGCGAGGGTCGCGAGGCGACGTCGGGGTGGAGTTGAAAGGGCGCGTCAGTCGGAGTTGAAAGCCGTCGAGGTATGTCGGGGATCGAAAGCGAGGGGTGGGCGGAGAGAGACGCCGGGAGAGAAAGTCCTTAAGGATCGGCGAGCACGACGCGAACGGGGTCGTATGGGGACCAGTGTCATGTCAGTACCTGAGAATCTCATCCGCGTCGGCGACCGCGGCGATGGTCGTCGGGTGCTCGTCCCCGACGCTCCGCGGCGGGTCCCTCTTCACGTCCGCGCTCTCGCGGACGACCCCGTGGACGATGAGCTCGGGGGAGTACGACTTGATCACCGGCGCGGCGCCGCGCGAGCAGAAGACGTGCGTCATGTCCGCGCCCACTCTGAGGGTCGTTCCATACGAGCGAACGTCGGGGTGGAGTTCAGGGGCGTCAGGCGGAGTTCAAAGGCGTCGAGAGCGGGGATTGTGAGCGTGGGATGGGCGGAGAGATGCGCCGGCAAAAGTCCTTAAGGATCGGCGTTCACCACGCCGACGCGGTCGTATGGGGACCAGTGTATAGAACGCGCCTGATGGACGCCATCGCCGCGAAGAAGGGGGCCCCCGCGTATTCGGCGCATCCTCCGAGGACGCCGACGACGCCGCACGCGCCCTTCTTGCGCGCGAGGCTGAGCGTCGGGACGAGCGCGGCGACGGAGGGCGGGAGCGCGTCCGAGGAGGAGGACGACGCGGCGGCGGCGTGGTCCGTCGCCGCCGTCGCCGTGGGGGACGCCCTCGGGGGGGAGGCGACCCCTCGCGACGCGACGAACTCGCTGTATCGCATGTTTCTCGATTGTGACGAAACCGCGGGGGTGAGGCGACGCGCGCGCGGCGAGGGGCGCGGAAGGACGCGACGAGCGAGAGAGATCGCCGCGCCGGTTCCCGGGCGCATGCGCGTCGAGCTGTCGCCGCACACGACGCCGCGCGACGCGCGGAATGACGACGGGCGCGCGTCGTTCCGGAGGTAAAAACCTGTAAAGTATGACTCTGGCGTTTGTCCGACGGTTTAGGAATGACATCTCGTTCGACCTCCGAGGAGGGTGTCGCGAACGTCGAGGGCTCCGCAAAGACGTGACGCGGTGCTCAGAGCACATCGCGTCGTGTGTGCGTACGTGCGTGCTTTCGTTCGTTACAATCGCGTATCGTCGCGCTATCGTGGTTCAGTTCGACGCTTCTCTCTCCTTCGCCGCCTCGTCTCGGAGCCGCGCGAAATACCCCGGAGGCATGATTCCGTTCACGGCGCGCGAGCACGTCTCTCTGTGCGGCGGGTGCGGTTCGGTTCCTCGGGCCCAGTCCTTCTGCTGGCAGCGCTTGTCGCAGTACCGCACGCCGCGGCACAGCTTGCATCCCAATCGCGCGTCGCGCTTGCCGCAGGTGACGCACGCTCGAAGCTTCACGAGCTCCTCGGCGACGGCGGCGTTGTCTGGGTGGTAAATTTCAGCAAGTTTGAACGCCTCCTTTGCCATCCGAAGGTTCTTCTCGAGTCCGCATCTCCCGTGGAGGAAGCAGAGCGCGAGATGATGGAGGCGATCTTCAGCCTTATGGTCAGGAAGCGGCCCGGAAGCGAAGAGCTCCATGGCGTCGTCGCTGATGCTCGCACTGGTGTCTTCCATGATTGAAAGGAGCGCTTCCCTTTTTGCAGTCCACAAATCACCGAGACGGTCCACGTAGTGACTCACGTAGTCACTGCCGCCGCCACTAAACTTCGAGCGCTCGAGAACCATCTTCTCGTATGCTACGTAATCGTTTTGAGCGATGGGCTGCGGGGCAGCTTCGGTGTGTGTGAGCTTCAACATAGTCTCCGATTTTTGGCATCCCTGCTCGACTGCCTGCTCCCACCACTCCCGCGCCTTCGCTATGTTTCGCTCGACGCCGCGGCCTTCGTCGTAGAGCAGGCCGATATTGCACATCGAAGATTCGTTGCCACACGCCGCGGCTCTCTCGTACCACTTCAACGCGTTTGCGTACTGTTCCCTTTCAAGCTCGAGATAGACCCCGTAGTTGTTCTGAGCGCAAGGATTCCCCTTCAACGCCCCTTTCAAGTACCACGCCGCAGCCGTAGACTTGTTTCGCTCTACGCCGCGGCCGTTGTCGTAGAGCTGGCCGAGGTTGTTCATGGCATCATAGTCGCCCTGCGCCGCGGCTTTCTCATACCACTCTCTCGCGGCTGCGTACTGACCCATCTCATCGTCGAGAAAGATTCCGTAGTTGAGTTGAGCTTCACGATCCCCCGTCGACGCCGCTTTCAAGAACCACTCCGCAGCCGTAGACTTGTTTTTCTCGACGCCCCTGCCGTCCTCGTAGAGCTGCCCGAGCATCTTCATGGCGTGAACGTCGCCCTGCGCCGCGGCCTTCTCCCACCACTTACGCGCGGCTTCGTACTCGCTTAATTCGTAGAACATAGAGCCGAGATCACTCTGCGTGCCAACGTGCCCGAGCTCCGCGGCCTTCACGAGCCACTGACGTGCTAGCTCGTCGTTTTCCTCCACGCCGCCGGTCCCTTTGCGGTAGTGCCCAGCGATCGCGTACGCCGCCTTCCCGCACCCGCCGTTCGCCTTCTTCACGAGCTCGCGGATCTTCCGCGGCAGCTTGATCTTCGTCATCGCGTCGCGACGTGGCGGCGGCAGGGAAAGTGCCCGCGGCGTCGTGGCTTTTTGCCAAACTGAAGAGACCCGCTGACCTCTCTGTCCTTTCTTTTCGCTCACTGGCGGATGACGCTGCGCTGCCTTGCGTGATGAGGCACCGAGCGCGGGTCGAACGCGGCGCAGCGCAGACGGCTCGCAGCGAGCGACTCCCCCGCCGCCGCCAGTCCGCGCCCGCGCGAGGCCACGCCCTCAGAACGAGCTCGACGCGTCGAATCCGTCCTCGTCGGCGTCGCGACGCGCGATCGGCCGCGGACGCGCGCGCGCGATCCGATCGCGCGCGGAGCCGCCCGCCCGCGTCGTCCTCTCATCGGACACCTCGCCTTCTTCTTCAAACGCGACGAAGAAGAAGAGGGAAGCGCGCGCCGCGATGCCCGGCGACGGCGAGACCGCGGTGACGGTGGACCCGCCGAAGCAGGAGGACGCGCCATCGGCGTCCGCGCCACCGAAGGAGAAGAAGGAGCGAGAGCCGCGCCTGTGGGAGGAGTGGCCGGGGAAGGACGTGCGTTCGCGCCCGATCCCTCCCGCTCGCCGCGCCCTCTTTTTTTGAAAGCGCGCGTCGTCCCTCCCTCCCTCCATCCATCCATCCATCCGACCTCCTCCCCATCCCAACCCACCCCTCCTCTCCCCAACCCCGTCCACAGAGATTCTTCTGCGACGGACGATGCATGACCGGCCCCTCCCCCGGCGCGCTCCTCGGCACGACGCTCACGATCTCGATCCCCGTGATCCTCTTCCTCGCGTTCGTCGTCCCGGACGTCGCGTCCGAGCACGGGGCCGCGATCTGGGTCTTCGCCGTCCTCCTCCCGGCGTGGAGCGTCACGAACCTCGTGATCACTGGCACGAGCGATCCGGGGTACCTGCCGCGGCTTCCGCACCCGGGTCCGACCCCGGACGGGCGCGCGCGGCCGCGTTACCGCGAGGAGATCGTGGAGGGGACGGGCAAGGCTGTCACCGTGAAGTGGAACGACACGTGTAACTTTTACCAGCCGCCGCGCGCGCACCACTGCTCGGTGAACGACGACTGCGTGGATAAGTTCGACCACCACTGCCCGTGGGTCGGGACCACGATCGGGGGGAGGAACTACCGGACGTTTCTGTTCTTCGTGTTCGGGACGCTGTTGATGTGTGTCTATGTCGTTTGCGTGTGCGCGTTGCAGATTCAGATCAAGCGCGACGACTTGGCGGCGGGGACGGAGAACAGGACGACGAAGGTGCGTTCTATACACCGGTCCCCATACGACCGCGTTGGCGTGGTGAACGCCGATCCTTAAGGACTTTTCCCGGCGTGTCTCTCCGCCCACCCCTCGCTTTCAATGCCCGCCCTCGACGCCTTTCAACTCCGACTGACGCCTTTGAACACCACCCCGCCATCGCTTTGTATGGAACGACCCTAAGGCGATCGAGAAGGCGCCCGTGGCGATGCTCGTGATGATCTTCGCGTTCGTGTTCTTTTGGTTCTTAGGGATAATGACGTGCTTCCACGCGTACTTGGTGCTCACGAACCAGACGACGTACGAGAGCTTCAGGGACGGGTACGGCAAGGACGAGAACCCGTACTGGCGCGGCCGGCTGGGGAACTGCGCCGAGGCGTTTTGTTGGCGGCGGCCGCCGAGCCGGTTTAACTTTCGAGGGACGAAGGATCAGCAGCCCAAGCTTGACGACGCGTGGGTCGCGCACTTGCAAGGGAGCGTCGTGCCGCTGCCGCCGCGCGTGGACCGGAAGAAGAAGAAGACGGCGAAGGGCAGGGCGGAGGAGCACGCGGAGGGCGGCGGCGACGACGGGAGCGACGGGAGCGACGAAGGGGAGGAGGGGAGAGGCGAACGGCGCGGCGCGGGGTCGCACCTCGCCGAGCTCGCGGCGATCAAGCTCGAGGAGAAGACGGCGGCGGGCGGCGCGGACGGGGAGGACGCGGACGACGAGAGCGGGTACGACGCGGAGGCGGAGAACAAGGTGTGACGCATGGCCCGGAGGCCGTAGCACGCTCTCATCATAATATTCTGTTCGAACACCACCAGTTACCAGTGCTGACTGCAGCGCGACCGACTATTTCTTCGTCGTCCGCTCCGACGCCGGATCTGAGCCGCAGACCGACGCCGCGCCGCGCCCCGGGGCTCCTCCTCATGGAGCCCCCCCCTCTCTCTCCCTTCCCACCCCCCGCCCCGCCGCCGCCGCCGCCGAACGCGCAGACGCCGCACCTCATCCTCGGCTCGCTGCGGTACACCATATGCTTCGATCTCCTCGTCGCGACGCCGCTCGTCCTCCTCTTCTTCTTCAAACGGATGGACGACTACGTCCCGATGGTCACGTCGCGCGCGCGCGGGCTGCGCGGCCGCGCGAGGCAGCTCGCCGCGGTGTGGGGCGCGAGCGGGACGGAGGTCACGTCGCGGTGCGGCGCGGACGCGCGCGATTACCTCCGCGTGCAGCGGCATCTTCTGGTCGCGCTCGCGGTCGTCTCAGGCGCGTCCCGTGCACTGGTTCTCCCCATACGGCCGCGTCGGCGTGGTGAACGCCGATCCTTGAGGACTTTTCCCGGCGTCTCTCTCCGCCCAGGGTCCCTCGCTTTCAATCCCGACACACCTCGGCGCCTTTCAACTCCACGAAATGACGCCTAGAACTCCACCCCGACATCGCTTCGTATGGAACGACCCTCAGCGCCCGCGCTCCTGATCCTCCTCCCCGTCGCGTGGCGCGCCGCGCCGTCTCCCGGCGCGGACGCCGCGCGCGACGATCGCGCGAATCAAGACGCGAATCTCTTCGCGCGGGGGACCGTGCACCACCTTCCGAACGGGTCGCCGTGGCTGTGGGTCGTGGTGTTCGTGTCGTTCGTCGTCGTCGTCGTCGTGGAGACTGTCGCGTCGAGACTGCATTCTAATCTCGTCGCGCGTCGATACGCGAAGCGCGAGTTAAACGCGTCCGTCGCGCGCGTGACCGTGCTCCTGAGGCGGCTGCCGCGGTGCGTGACGTCCGCGCCGCGGGTGCTGGAAACGGCTCTGGGTCGTGCGTTTCCTGGGCGCGTGCACGCGGTGATCGTGCCGAGGGACGGGAGAGAGGCGACGCTGCGGCGGCGCGCGCAGCTCGCGAAGCGGAGGCTGCGGGTCGCGAGGAGGAAGTTTTCGCGCGGCGGGAGCGCGTTCGGCGGCGGGAGCAGCGGCGGCGACGGGTTCGGCAGCGGCGGCGTCGGCGTCGGCACCCCCAGTGGCACCCCCATCGGCACCCCCATCGGCACCCCCGGCGCGTCGAGCGCGCCGAACGACCGCGCGCGGATGGAAATCTCGCGGCTCGTTCGCGACGTCTCAGGTGCGTTCTATACACTGGTCCCCATACGACCGCGTTGGCGTGGTGAACGCCGATCCTTAAGGACTTTTGCCGGCGTCTCTCTCCTCCCACTCCTCGCTTTCAATCCTTGCCCTCGACGCCTTTCAACTCCAACTGACGCCTTTCAACTCCACCCCGACGTTCGCTCGTATGGAACGGTCCTCAGCCGCGGAGGACGCGCTCGCGGCGTACAAACGCCTCCCCGCGCGCGATGTCCCGAACCCCGGGTGCGCGTTCGTCGTGTTCAAGGACAGGAAGACCGCGGACGACGCGCTGGAGGCGCTGACGCCGACGGTTCGAGGCGTCGGCGTTTGGTGTCTGAGAGCGGCGGGCGCGGCGACCGCCGACGCCGCCGCGGCGGCGGGCCCCGGGTCGATCGTCCATCGTCGTAACCGCCGCGGACGGGGCGTTACAGGTGCTGCCGCCGCTGCTGCGACGACGACCGAACTGGAACCGGAACTGGAACCGTCTTCTTCCATCTCGGTGGAGTCGATACGCCTCGCGATCGAGCACGGTGTCCACGCGTGGCGAGCGGACCGCGCGCCGCCGCCGTCGGGCGTCCTGTGGAGAAACGTCGGCGTCTCAGGTGCGTTCTATACACTGGTCCCCATACGACCGCGTTCGCGTGGTGAACGCCGTTTCATAAGGACTTTTCCCGGCGTCTCTCTCCGCCCACCCCTCGCTTTCAATACCCGCCCTCGACGCCTTTCAACGCCAACTGACGCCTTTCAACTCCACCCCGACGTTCGCTCGTATAAAACGACCCTCAGCGTCGGAACGCGTCGCGAGGCTCGTGACCATCTACGCCCTCGTGTTCCTCGGGCTCGTGTTCGTGTCCTCGCCGCTCGCGCTGTTCTCGTTCGTGAACGACCTCGCGAGGGCGCTGAACCCGAAGATGGACACGCACGCGATGTGGCTCTCGTGGGCGAAAGGCCGCGGTGCGCTCTCCGGGTTTATCTTTCAGGTGCGTTCTATACACTGGTCCCCATACGACCGCGTCGGCGTGGTGAACGCCGATCCTTAAGGACTTTGCCCGGCGCATCTCTCCGCCCACACCTCGCTTTCAATCCCCGCCATCGACGCCTTTCAACTCCACCTGACGCCTTTCAACACCACCCCGCCATCGCTTCGTATGGAACGACCCTCAGTTTCTCCCGCAGCTTTGCGTGCTTCTGATGATTTACGTCTTGATACCTTACGTGTTGGAGCGAGCGACCGCGGCGGAGAAGCACCTGACGCGCTCGGGCGCGTTCAGCTCGCTCGTGTTCAAAGAGTTTTGGTTCTTCCTCGTCAACTTGCTGCTGCTTCTCGCGCTCGGGAAAGCCGCGCTGAGCGCGACGGCGCAGCAAGTGCGGGAGTGTCGGTGGCGGCAGAGCCCGGACGCGTGCGAGTTTAAGTTTTTCAAACTCCTGGGCGACGCGTTCGTCGCCACGAGCGCGATGAGCGTGTTCGCGTTTCTGTGCTCGTGCTGCACGATCGGTCCGGCGTGGGAGCTCCTGGCGCTGTTCTCGTGGATCGGGAGCAGGGTGAAGGAGAAAGCCGCGGAGGCGGCGGCGGGAGGCGGCGGCGGCGGCGGCGGCGGCGGCGCGACTGGCTCCGCCGGCGACCTCCTCTCGCTGCTCCCGTCCGCCGGCGCCGCCCTCGTCGAGGACGCGCACGACGACGAGCACTTCGACAACCCCGCGTTCGCGTCCCCGGCGCCGGACGCGATCACGGCGGGGGGGACACGTGGAGACCGGGGATTGGACGACGTTCGCCTGACGCCCGCGCCGCTCGCGCGTCGGGCCGCGACCAAAAAAGTCCGCCCCGCGTTCGACCTCCCCGGCCAGCACGCGTTCAACGTCACCGTCCTCGCGTGCTCGCTGTCGTACGCCGCGCTCGCGCCCGTGCTCCTCGTCCCCGGGACGCTGTTCTTCGCCGCGCGGTACCTCGTGCACAAGCACAACTTGTTGTGTTTGCATTTGGACGCCGTCGCCGGCGCGGGGGACAGCGGGCTCTTCGGCGATCACGGGGAAGACGGAACGTCAACCGTCGCGCCGGCGACGGCGCGCCGGAAGATGACTTCGGACGGGCGCCTGCTCGGGACGGTCGTGCACCTGATCCGCGTGTCCGTGTTCGTGCACGCCGCGGTGATGGTCGCGTTTATGAACCTGCGGGGGGATCCGACGCAGCGCGCGTGCTCGGATGTGATTTTTTTGCTCGCCGTCGTGCGCCCGCGGGTCGAGGCCGCGACGGGGCGCGCGATGCGGCGGCGGCGCCGCGCCGGCGGCGGGAGCGGCGCGGACGTGCACGTGGACGCGGCGGAGGCGCTGCTCGGGGCGGGCGCGCGGAGCGCGGCCGACGAGGACGCGGAGGACGGCGGCGCGCACTGGGCGCGAGACGACGACGACGACGACGACGACGACGTCTCCGCGGCGACGCTGATCGACTCGCGGAGGTACGCCGGCCCCGCGGAGGACGGCGGCGACGCGCTGAGCTCGTTTCGAGCGGAGAGCGGGTGGGCGGGGCCGGGGAGCGCGAGCGGGGAGTCGGTGCAGTCGCCGACGGGGGCGAGCCCGAGCCCCCGCGGCGGCGGCGGCGGCGGCGGCGGCGGCGGCGGGGGGGGCTTTCGAGGCGGCGGGTGGACCCCAGACGACGACGGACTCGCGGAGCCGCTGCTGCTCGAGGACGACGAACAGGAGGACGCGAACGAGGCGAACTAAACTACCTAGACTAGAGCTACTGCGTTACATGACGAGAACGTGCGAAAGAGAGGGCCCTTCGTTCCCTTCCCTTCCCGCGGCAGGGAGGTGATATCTCGGACGAAACGAGAAAACGAGAAAACGACGCAGACGACGTGGCCTCGTTTCGTTCACTCCCCGCCGCGCCGGGACCACGCGATAAGATGCCGACGATCGACGACGTGAACGAGGCTGCCGGCGTCGTGAAAGAGACGTACACGACCGTGATGGCCGAGATGGCCGCCGCGGACGACGAGCTGAAGAGGAAGCGCGACGCGCTCGAGGCCGAGAAGCAGAGCATGAAGGGCGCGCACGACGTCCAAAAGTCAAAGATAAAACTTATCGTCGGAGGCGCGACCTTCGTGACGTCGCTCTCGACGCTAACGTCGATCCCGGGCAACTTCTTCGCGGCGATGTTCTCCGGAAACTACGAGATGCTCCCGGACGACGACGACGGCTCGTACTTCATCGACCGCGACGGGACGCACTTCCGTCATATCCTCAACTTTCTTCGCGAGCCAGACTCCACGTCCAATAAGACGTGCTACAACGGTCTGACCAAGTCGGAAAAGTCCGAGCTCGACAAAGAGCTTCAGTTCTACGGACTCTACGACAGGTTCCACAGCAAGGATTGGAAATTCAGGGAACTGAGCCGCGAGGAAGCCATCGCGGTGAAGTTCCTCGAGAACGCGCTCGAGAAAGACGAAGGGTACCCTTGCGATAAGGCTGCGATCGAGTCGGCGGTTTCTTTCGCTCGAGCACTGAGCTTCACGATGTGCGGCGACCTCCTTAAGAGTTCGTACACCAACAGACACTGGATGATCACCGAGGATATCATCGAGGGCGCCCCAGTGTGGAAGACGACGTTCGGGGACTGCGATACACTTTTGATGTATCGTAAGAGTCCTTACAACTACTGCGTGCATCTTTCTGTAACCAATTGGGAACTCATTTGGAACAGGGCACCGCGTGCGCACACTCCCGTCGCTCCCACCGAAGTGCCAGTGGATTCATGGAGAAGCGGTAAGACCGCGACGGATGCTACCTACCATCACTGCTTCGGAGGCGATGCTCGGCTGATCCCACAAATACGCTTCATCGACGTCGAAAAGCTCCCTGACGACTACCCGGTGATGCAAAAGGCGCTCGCGCGTCTCGCGGAGCTCGCGTGAGAACGAAAAAAAGAGAGACGAACGAACGAACGGAATCGAAGCGAACTAGACTACGTCTACTGCGTTACAAAACGAGAAGGTGCGAACGAAGCGTGCACGCGAGGTCTCTCCCTTGCCTAGGACGACCGCGTCGCTCGCTCCGCGCATCCCTGTACACCGTCGCGCGACCGCTCGTCTACATGAACAGCTCCTCGGACTCGCGATCGGCGACGCGAAACAAATCCGAGAGGTTCTCCGTCGACGTCATCCCCCCCGGAGTGTTCACGCCGCTCATCGCGCCGCTCCCTCCGCCGCCGTTCACGCCGCCCCCGCCGCCGCCCGCGCTTCCCGCGTCCGCCCACAAGTTCGCGTCGAAATCCCCGAGCGAGTCCACCTTCGCGAGCGACGAGCTCCGATACACCCCCGTCGGGTTTAAATCTCTCAGCGGCGCGCGTCGACCGTCCGGGCTCCTCCGTCCGTCCGCGCCGCCGCCGCCGCCGCTCGACGCCGCGTACGGCACCGCCTCCGCGCTCGACGGCAGCCACCCGGGCCCGGACACCATCAGCCCGCCGCTGCCGAACGTCGTCGGCGACGGCTCCGGGGATGAATCCCCGCCCAGCGCGGACGACGGCGTCGCGCCCCCCGCGGCGCCGTCCAATCCCAGCCGCCGCATCCTCGCGCGGAACCCGCTGCCGACGTCGCCGCGCGCGCCGTCGCCGTCGCCGTCGGCGTGGAGGTTCACGCGGTCGGCGTGGTCCACGGGGGTTTTCATCGACATCGCGAGGGTGGCGGCGTCGCCTTGCCGCATCGCGCGCTCGATGTGCGCGCGGAGGAGGAGCGCGTCGTCGTCCGCGGCGGAGGACACCGCGTAGGCGTCCTCCACGGCGCGGCGCAGTAACCGCTCGACGGGGGACGCGGACAGGTCACCGCCGTCCTCGACGTCCATGTCGTCATCGTCTATCGCCTGCGTCTCGTACCTCTGCGGCGGCGGCATCGGCGCGACGAGCGCGTCGTAGTTGGACGGCGGCGGAGAGCCGCCCCACCGCATCGCGTGGTCGGTCCAATGCGTCGTCGTCGTCGTCGTCGTCGTCGTCGGGTTCGACTTGGTCGGGTTCCGCGCGCGCTTCTTCGCCGCCGCGGTCGTCGCGGCGGTGGCCGCGTGTCCTCCGTTCGCGCCGCCCGCCGCTGCTGCCGCAGCCGCCGCCTTCTTCGCGGCCGCCGACGGCTTCGCCGACCCCCCCGCGCCCTTCTCGGCTTTCTCCGCGGCGTTCGAGGCGTCCCCCCTCGCCGCCGTCGCCGGCGCCGGCCGCGGCGCCAGGTCCTGCGGGTGCGCGCGCTCGTACTCCAAAAAGTACTTCTCGTACGTGTTCAGCAGCAGCGTCCCGATGTCCGTGTACGTGTGCCCGTCGTAGTGGTTGCTCATCTCTCGGAACACCTCCACCATGGAGAGGTTTTTCCGCGCCGTCGGCCGTTCGACGAAGCCGCCGCGATTGGTAACCTGCGTGGGTGAAGCGATCGGTCAGTCGAACGTCTTACCGGTCAAACGTTGAAAGGGAAGCGCGGGTGAAGAGTGTCGACGGGAAAAGTCCTTAAGGAACGGCGTGCACCACGCGAACGGGGTTGTACGGGGAGCAGTCTCACCGCGCGATAGAGGCCGTAGGTGTCGAACGGCTTGTTCGTGCGTTGGAGGCGGCGGTTGAGGGTGTGCGCGAGCTTATCGAAGTTGACGCCGTTCGCGACGTGCATCTCCTGCGCTCAGCGGAGAGGGGTGGGGACGTGAGGATGGAGTGATGGAGGGAGGGAGGGAGGACGGGGAGAGAGAGTCCTTAAGGAACGGCGTCCACCTCGCGAACGGGGTCGTATGGGGACCAGTCAGATTCGATTCGATTCGCTGAAAACGAACGATAAAACGACGGTCCGAGGTTGTTATTTCCGAGGAGACTCGAAGCTCCCGCGGCCGGGATCTCGCGCGCCGCGCCGCGCCGCGCGCTTCCGCGACGCCGCGCCGCCGCCTCCGCGCGCCTCGACGACTCGCGCACCTTGAACTCGCGCTCGAACGTCTCCCTCGGATCGTCCATCTCTCGCAGCGGCGGTCGTCCGCCGCTCGTCGACGCGAGCGCGTACGCGTCGCGCGCCGCGCCGGCTCTTTCCCCCCCCAATCCCACGTCCGGGGAGAAACTCGCGTCGCGTCCTCCGCGCGACGCCAGCGGAGGCGGCGGCGGCATGAGAAGCGTCTCGAGCGCGGCCTGCTCGAAGTCTTCGAGATGCGGCGGGTTCGTGACGTGCGGCATCGCGTGCGCGTCGTACGCGTGATGGTACTCCATGGCGGCGGCGGCGCGCGCGCGACGACGAAGTGCGCGCGCGCGTCGTCCGTCGATCTTTTTTTTCGCTGACGTGTCCGTTAGATCCGTGACGCGGACTCTTTTCAACGCACGAAAACGGTCAGGTCCTCGACGAGTCGTCCTTCCCGCCAGTTCGCGACGGGAAAAAATCGCATCGCGCGCGGCGTCAGATCCGCGCGTCCGTCGCGCGCCCTCCCCTCCCTCCCCCCGCCCGCGTCATGGCGCGCCCGCTGCACGAGGGCGTCCTCGAGCGCCCGGTCACGTCGCTCGTCGTCGCGACGTGCGCGGCCATCACGTGGTACCTCCACGCGCGCGGGCTCGGCTACGACGACGTGGGAATGTCGTACGCGGCTGTCGTGCGCGAGAAAAAATACCATCGATGCGTCACCGCGTCGCTCTCGCACGTGTCCGTCCTTCACCTGCTCTTCAACATGTCCACGCTGTGGAGCTGCGGCGTCGTCGAAGCCGCGGGGGGGCGCGGGGTGATGAGCGACGCCGAATCCGCGGCGGGGTACCCGTGGGGGTCGGCGTGGTACGCGCGACTCTCGTTGCTCATGCTGTTGGGGACGTGTGGCATCGTCCTGGCGACATATCACGTCCTCCTGACGCGCTTTCGCAGAGAGGAATACGAGCGCGTGACCGCGGTGGGGTACAGCGCGGTCGTGTTCGGGTGGATGACGATCTTATCCGTGAAGCGACCGACTTCATCGCTGGTGTTGATCGGCGGCGCGGTGAACCTGCCGGTCAACCTCGCGCCGTTCGCGTCGTTGGCGTTCACGTCGATCGTCGTCCCGCGAGCCAGTTTCGTGGGGCATCTCGCGGGGATAGTGATGGGGTATCTGATCGCGTGGGACCTGTTCGCGTGGTTCAACTGGAGGTGGTGCGTCGCGGTCGTCGTCGCGATCGGGATGCTGGCGGCGAGAGAGAGCGGGGTGGTGGGCGGGGTCGTGGGGCGACTCGCGGGCGGCGGCGGCGGCGGCGGAAGTGAGGCGCGTTCATCTACGCACTGGTCCCCATACGACCGCGTTCGCGTGGTGAACGCCGATCCTTCAGGACTTTGCCCGGCGTCTCTCTCCGCCCATCACCCATCGCTTTCAATCCCCGCCCTCGACGCCTTTCAACTCCACCTGACGCCTTTCAACTCCACCCCGACGTTCGCTCGTATGGAACGCACCTGAGGCGGCGTTCGCGGGCGTCGGTCGACGCCTCGGCGGCGGCGAGAAGGACGAGAACGACCCGCGCGCCATCGCGCGCGCGCTGCGAGGGAGCGGCCCCGGCGACGTCGCGGACGAGTGCGTGTAGCGCGAGCATCAGTAGTAATACAACACGCCATCCGTCTAGCTAGAAAATACCGTAGTGATACACGACATACACATCCGTCACAGCCGCGAGGCCGCGACGACCGCCGGCGCGACGCTCTCGCGTTCTTCGCCGCCGCCGCCGCCGCCGCGCCGGCTCGCCCCCGCGGAGCCCCGCGCGTCCTCCTCCCGCTCCGACGCGCCCGGGGTCGTCGTCGCCGCCGCCGCCGCGGCGCGCGACACGACGAAGTCTACGATCGCGCGCGTTACGACATCCCTCGTCGCGCGCTCGTGCGCGATGAGGTGCCCGGCGTTCGGCAGCGAAGCGAACGTCTTGTCCGTCGAGCCCGCCTCTCTCACGAAAATCTCGCTCGCGCCCGGATCCGTGGCTTCGTCCTCCGCGCCGTGCAGCACGAGCAGCGGCGTGGTTATCTCTCCGTAGCGCTTACGCAGCGACTCAAACCCTGAGGCACGACGCGACAGCGCGCGGGAGGGGGGGGGGGAGGAGAAGAAGGCGAAGGTCAGCGAAGGGACGAGAGGCGTCGACTATCGACGCGACGCGAGCGCCAAAAAAAACCAAAAGAAAAAACCAAAAAAAACCGCCGCCGCCGCCGCCGCCGTCGTCGCACCTTTGAGTATCTCGTACCCCGCCTTCGCGCGGACGTTCGCCACGGTCACGAGCGGGTCCCTCGCGTACTCCTCAACCGCGTCCTTATCGTCGCTCAGACGCTCGGGCGGGACCGCGGGTATGAGCCGCCGGTCCGGCGCCGCGCGCGCCAACGCCGCGCCCGCGAGCGCTTGCGCGCGGAGCGTCAGATTCCATCGCACGTCGATCGCGGGGGCGATCAGCGTGAGCGAGGACCAGGACAAGTCCGGCGATCGCAGCACCGCGTGCGCGGCGACGAGGCCGCCGAAGGACGCGCCCGCGAACGCCATGGGGATCTCGCGCGGGTGTTCGCCCCGGACGAGCCTGCGGACGGAAGGAGAGACAGGAGGGCGAACGAGTGAGATGAATTAGACGTCGTGATGACGCGGATCGATGTTGGACGACGACGACGACGACGACGACGACGACGCGCCTGGCGTACTGCACCGCGTCGTCCACGACGCCCTCGAACCCGTCCCTCCCGAACTGATGCCGTAGCTCGCCGCCGCTTCGCCCGTGACCGACGTGGTCCCAGCCGTACACCGCCACCTTCGCGCGCGCCAGCGCGGTCGCGAGCGCGTCGAATCGTCCGACGTGCTCGTGGATGCCGTGCGCGAGGAGAAGCAACGCGCGCGGGGGAGACGCGTCGCCGCGCGGGAGCCACGCGCGCGTGAAGAGCTCGTGACCGGAGGACGCGCTTCTGAAGGTGCCGTCCACGACCTTCTCGCGGTGATGTGGCGACATAAAGCGCGCGGGCGGCGGGCGCGCGGAGAGAGTGAGACCAGCCGCGCTTCGGGGGCGGACGCTGACGATGACGCGGCGCGGCGCTCGCGAACGTCATTTTCCCGTCCGAGGCTCGGGCGGCTCGGCCATCACAGCGCGGCGCTCCGCCGCGATGACCGACGTCGCGTGCGATACCGGCGGGTGGGTCCCGTCGACGCCCGGGGGCGAGCGCGCGTCGCCCGCGGCGTCGCCGATGAAGCCGCCGTCCGCGTCGTCGCGATCGCGCGCGTCCTCCGCGGTAACACCCGACGCGCGCTCCGCGGATCGTCCGTCCCCTCGTCGCGAGGACGACGACGGCGTCGGCGCGTCGATCGCGAACTGGTTCTCCGGCGTCTTCGGCGGCGATAAAGACGAGGGCAGCAAGGTCGAGGACGAGGACGACGCCGCCGAGGAGAAGACGCCGCCGTCGCCGCGGGACGGGCGGCGCGAGAAGCGATCCCCGAACGAAGACGACGACGACCACGACCACGATCGCGATCGCGGCGACGACGCGAACGCCGCGTCCGACGCGACCGCGACGGACGCGGCGACCTCAACGTCCGCCCTTCCGTCAGCAGCGCCCGCGGCGGACGTCGCGCTCGCCAAGTTCCGCGCCGACGTCGCCGTCGCGCTCGCGATCGCGCGCGACGCGCTCCCGCGGCGCGTCGCGCGGAACGCCCAGCTCGTGGCGTCGCTCGAGGATTTGAAGACGTTCGCGGACCGAGACGCGGTCCTCGCGATGGCGGACTGGCGCGTCGCGGGCGGCGGCGAGGACCTCGACGCCGTGCAGGTCGCGGACGTCAAGGTGGTGGTGGAGAAGGAGGAGGAAGAGGGAGAGACGCTGACGGCGGTGCCGCTCGAAGAAGAGACGACGACGACGACGGACGCCAAGACAGTCGGTCAGAGTTGGCCGATCCGGCTGCAGCTCCCCGGGCTCGTCGAGCTCGCGCACGAGGACGAGCCGGGGACGCTGTCGTCGTGGACGTACTGCGACGCCGCGGCGTTCGCGGTGTCGGCGTCGGCGTTCGGCGGCGGCGGCGGCGGCCGCGGCGGCGCCGCCGCCGCCGACGACGTCGCGGCGGTCAGACTCGCCGTGCGACAGGTCGGCGCGGACTCGTGCTTCGCCGTCGTCGTGGGGGACGAGAAGCGCGCGCGGAAGACGACGAAGACGCTGACGGAGACGTGCGGGATGCGCTCGAGGCACGTCGTCGTCGTCCCACCGAACGCCCGCCCGACCGCCGGCGGCGGCGGCGGCGACGACGACGGCGGCGGCGATGACGACGAGCCGCCGCCGCGGCCGACGAACGAGGTGCGTTCTATCTTACACTGGTCCCCATGCGACCGCGTTCGCGTGGTGAACGCCGTTTCTTAAGGACTTTGTCTCCCGGCGCGTCTCTCCACCCAGGTTCCCTCGCTCGCAATCCCGACGCGCCTCGACGCCTTTCAACTCCGCTTCTGACGCCTACGAACTCCGCCCCGACGTCGCTCTGAACGATGGAACGACCCCGAGGCGGTGGCGCGGTGGACGACCGACCTCGCCGACGCGCTGCTCCGACGGCACCGACGCGTCGCGCAGATCCGCGAGGACGAGTTCCGCGCGCTCGGCGCCGCGGTCGACGCCGCGGCCGCGGAGAACGTCGGATGGGGGTTGCCGTCGTCGCTGCGGACGGCGGCGGACGCCGCCGCCGCCGCCGCCGCCGCCGCCGCGTCGGTCCCCGTCGACGCGGCGATGCGAGCGAGCGATCTTCTCGCGCGTTCGGGGATCGAATCCTCGCTCGGCGCGGCGACCGACGCCGCCGACGGGCTCGGGCGGCGCGTCGGGAGCGTCGCCGCGAGCGTCACAACGCGCGCGAGCGAGCTCGGCGCGGGCGTCGCGGAGACGACGGCGGGCGTCGCGTCCGCGTTGGGCGTCGGCGCGAACGCGGCGTTCGCGCGCGCGACGGCGGCGGTGAGCTCGGTGACGACCGCGGCGACGCAGCTCGTGAGCGGGGGCGGAGGGAAGGGGGGCGACGACGACGCCGTCGAGGTGTTGAGCGGAGGAGGAGGAGGAGGGGGGAAGGGGGCGCCTGCTGCCGACGACCCTAAAAAGTGACTCAATCAATCATCTACACTTCGGCTTTCCGAACCGACACGCACTTTTCCACCGTCCGTCCCGCTGTCTCGAGGTGACCCACCGCTCAGTTTCAACATTTGATCGCGTCTCCTTTCAACTGACCGGTGAACTTTTTTCGTACAGAACACGTCGTCGACGAACGGACGGAACGTCGTCTCGCCGCGGACGTCGCGGCGGCCGCGCAGAACGCCGCGCGCGACCGATCGTCGCCGCACGCGCGCCCCCTCTCCCGCTCTCACCATGACCGCCGCCGCGTCCGCGTCGAAGATGACGGTCCCGCAGCTCCGCGAGGAGCTCAAGTCCAAGGGCTTGGACGCGACCGGGCTCAAGGCGGAGCTCGTCGCGCGCCTCGAGGCGTCGCGGAGCGGCGGCGACGACGCGGGTGCGCCGCGCGCGATCTCTTCTCTTCCTCCTCCGATCGACCCGAGTCGCGCGCCCTTCCCGTCGTCCTCTCCGCGTTCGGCGGCGCGATCGACGCGCGCGGGGCGCTTTCGCCGCCGCCGCGCTTACCCGCGGCGCCGCGCGCCCGCGTCGCGCGTCGCGCGCGTCGATCGCGCCATCGCTCGATCGGTCGATCGCGACCGGCGAGGGGCCACACGGGGCGTCGCGTCGTCGCCGCCGCGCGATCGATGACCCCGCCGCGCCCCAACACGCCGCGCCCCCGCCCGCGCGATCGCGATCGCGCGCCCGCGCGCGCCCGCGTCCCCCGCGAACGTCATCCCTGACCGTCCCCCGCGCCCCCCGAACCGCCGTCGCGACGTCGATCGCCGCAGGCACCGACGCGGACGCCGCGCCGACGGCCGCCGCGGACGACGCGGAGACGAAGGGGGACGAAGAAAAAGACGCAGCCGCCGCAGCCGCCGCCGCCGCCGCCGACGACGACGACGAGGACGCCCCCGCGGGGAAGCGGAAGCGCGCCGACGCCGCGGAGACGGAGGACAAGGACGAAGAGGAGGTCGCCGCGAAGGCGGCGAAGCGCGACGCCGACGCCGCCGCCGCCGCCGCCCCCGAAGCCGACGCCGCCGACGCCGAAGCCGCCCCAGACGCCGCCGCCGCCGCCGCCGCCGACGTCTTCTGGGAGACGGACGAGGCGACGGGCAAGGCGTTCTTCGAACTCCCGTGCGCCGGTCACGAGGGCAGGGTCATCGGCCGCGGCGGCGAGACGATCAAGTACATCGAGAACCGCTTCTCGGTGAAGCTCGACATGAAGCGCGACCGCGGCGTCGTGCGATGCGCGGGCGCGCCCGCGTCGCTCCCCGAGTGCCGCCGGATCGTCACGGAGGTGATCGACACCGGCGACATCAAAGACCGCCCGTCGGCGGATAACTTCACGCTCGGCGGCGCCGCGGGGATGGTCGCGCAGCTCATCGCGGCGGCGGCGGCGAACGGCACGTCCGCGCTCGGCGGCGCCAACGACCCGGATCTCCCCGAGCACCTCAAAGGGTCCGATCCCGACGAGACGGTGGTCGTGGACGTGCCGTGCCCCGGGCAGGAAGGCCGCGTCATCGGGAAGGGCGGCGCGACGATCAAGGAGATCGAGCGGCAGTCCGGCGCGGGGATGAAGGTGGAGAAGGGGTCGGGGAAGTGCAGCATCCACGGCGCGTTGGCGCGCGTCATCGTCGCGCGTCGCGCGGTGATGGACGCGATGAACCTCGTGCAAGATTTCAGGCGCGTTTTATCTTTCCCGCACTGGTCCCCATACGACCCCGTTCGCGCGGTGAACGCCGATCCTTGAGGACTTTGTTCGCCCGCGCCGCGCGCATCTCTCCGCCACCCACCCCTCGCTTTCATCGATCCCCGACACACCTCGACGCGTGCCTCACAACTCCGCTTCTGACGCCTTTCAACTCCACCCCGACGTTCCTTCGCTTCGTATGGACAATTTCCCTCATCAGCGTCGCCGAGGCGGCCAACGCGCCGCCGCCGGGGATCCAAGGCGGCCCCACGCGCGCGGGCGACTGGACGTGCCCGCAGTGCCGAGGTCTGGTCTACTCCGGGAAGTCGAACTGTTTCAACTGCGGCGCGCCGCGGCCGATGAACGCGGGCGTGATGGCCCCCGCCGCCGGGTACGCCCCCGCGATGCAAGCTGGCATGATGCAACAGGGCGGGTACGCGATGCAACCGATGATGATGGCGCCGCCGCACGCGATGTACGGCGGCGCGCCCGCCGTCAACCCGATGGCCGCCGTCGGCGGCGGCGGCCCGACGACGTCGATCGAGGTGCCGTGCGCGGGGTGCGAGGGACGCATCATCGGGAAGGGCGGCGACATGATCAAGTACCTCCAGGCGCGTCCCACGCACTGGTTCCCACACGACCGCGTCGGCGCGGTGAACGCCGATCCTTAAGGACTTTTCCCGGCGCATCTCTCCGCTCATCCCTCGCTTTCAATCCCGACACACCTCGGCGCCTTTCAACTCCGCTTCTGACGCCTTTCAACTCCACCCATGATCGAGTACCTCCAGTCCGTCACCGGCGCCAAGCTGGACATGAAGCGCGACGTCGGGACGGTGATGATGACGGGGTCGCCCGAGGCGGTGCAGGCGGCGCAGGAGCTCGTGCTCGAGGTGATGGAGCTCGGCGATACGCGGAGTAAGGGCGGGTTGATTCCGAAATTTGGCGGCGCCGCGCAGCAGCAGCAGATGATGATGGTGCCGATGCAAGGGCAAGGGTACGCGCCGGCGCCGGGCGGGTACGCGATGATGCCGCAGCAAGGCGCCTACGCGCAGCCGGCGCAATACGCGCCGCAGCCGGTGCAATACGACCCCTACTCGCGGGCGGCGCAGCCGGGCGCGGCGGCGGCGTACGGACAGCAGCAGCAGCAGCCGGCGGAGCAGGGCGCGGTGTACCAACCGCAACCGGCGCAGCACGCGGCGGTGGCCGCCGCGGAGTGGGGGCAGCAGCAGCCGGCGGCGGCGGCGGCGGCGGACGCGGGCGCGGGCGCGGGCGCGGGCGCGGCGGGGGGCGCGACCGCGGCGGGGGAGTGGCAGACGCACTACTCGGAGGGGAAGCCGTATTACTACAACACCGTCACGGGGGAGACGCGGTGGGCGTGATGATGTTGAAGTAGTATAACGCTCGAGATGTGTGCGTTGTAGGATACAAATAAACATAAGAGAAGAGGTTGGCGGTTGTTCATATTGCGGAAGTCGCGTTCGGTCGCTCCGCCTCCGCCGCCTCATCCGCCTCCGCCGCTCGTCAGGGAATCAACAGATCGTAGTGGTTCTGCCCGTTGTACAACAACCGCACGGGCTTCCGTCCCTTCCCGGTCTTATCCCCGCTCCCCCCTTTCTCGAACTCTCTCCCGTACGTCTGTATGGGCACGTACCCGGACTGCGTCCCCGCGCGAATGTCGGGGTGGAGTTGAAAGGCGTCAGAAGCGGAGTTGAAAGGCGCCGAGGGCGGGGATTGAAAGCGAGGGATAAGCGGAGAGAGACGACGGCAAAAGTCCTTAAGGATCGGCGTTCACCACGCCGACGCGGTCGTATGGGGACCAGTGTGAGATAGAACGCACCTGCGTCCCCGCGCTCTTCACCTTGGCCGCGGGGATGTACACGACGATCGGCCGCCGCACGATCTTCGCCAAAACCAGCAGCTCCGGCTCCCCGCCCCAGAAGCTCGGCTTCAGCAGCCGCTGGCAGTACGTCTGCAGCGTCATCTCGTACGAGATCGCGGTCGTCGCCTCCGGGAACTGCTTGCGCTTCTCCGGCGCGCGGCACAGGCTCTCGGCCACGGCGAGTCGCAGCTGGTGATTGTCGGGGTGGAGTTGAAAGGCGTCAGGTGGCGTTGAAAGGCGTCGAGGGCGGGGATTGAAAGCGAGGTGTGGGCGGAGAGATGCGCCGGGAAAAGTCCTTAAGGATCGGCGTTCATCACGCCAACGCGGTCGTATGGGAACCAGTGTATAGAACGCACCTGGTCCGCGTTGCGCTCTTCGTCCGCCGCGGTGAGCGTCTCGCGTCGGATGTGCGCGAGGCCGACGGCGAGCGAGCGGAACATGCAGCGGCCGTCGCCGCGGACGCGGATCACCTTGAAGAACTCCGCTTTCGTTTTCGTTTTTCTGCGGTGGGCGCGGAGCGGAGCGCGCGCGGGCGGGGGGAAGGGGCGGGAGCGTCAGACGCGATCCGAGAGAGGGTTCCGTCGCGCGTAGGGTTTGGGTGCGCGCGCGCGCGCGGGCGACTGATGACGACGACGGCGGCTGGCGACGCACTTGAGCGCGACGTCGAAGAGCCGCGTCGGCGCGCGCGCGACGGACGCGGTGGCGTCCACGATCGAGTCCGCGAGGCGCGCGAGCGCGAGTCGCGTCGGTCGTCGCGCGGCATCGCTCGCGCGGTGCGAGCGACGATCCGCGTCGTTGTCGTCGTCGCGAGGCGCGGTCCATCGCGACGCCCACGCGCGTCCGCGGTGCTGCCGCTGCGGCGACGACGACGACGCCGCCGTCATCGCGGTCACGGCGAGACGAGAGAGGGAAAGCCGCGCGGTGCGTCCGTCGCGCGGCGAGCGATGCCGCGACCGCGTCGGAGGCGAGCGAACGTTCCTCCGCTGCCGAGTCAGCCTCGCCTACAGGTACAGGTACTAGCTAGAATCGCTTTCAAGAACCGGATTTCATCGGGGAAGTTTCACCGGGCTACACGTACTGTAACGATGAACTAGAACCGCGGCTCGATCGGCTGAGACGAAGTCAAGCCGCGAACGTGAAAAGTTCGTTGTTTTCGAAATCCATTTATTGCGGATGGCGCCCCCAGGTCGACCGCGCCGCGCGTCCGCTGACGTCGCGGCGTTGAAAATCGCCACGCAGTCCGCCGAACAGTCATGTCCTAATCGCGCGCGCAGCGCCGCGGCCGCCAACGCCGTCAGGGACGCGCGCCGCGTCGAGGGGGACGAGGTGAAACGAACCTCCGCCGAGATCGCGCGACCCCGTCGCGGCCCCTCGTCGTCGCGCGCGCCCCCGCGCGCCATCTCCGCTGACACCACGCTCCCCCGCGCTTCCCCAACAAGCGCAGAACGCGCCGCCGCCGGCGAAGAAGAAGCGTCGGAGCCCGGGGAAGCGGAGAGACACCTCCGCGAACCTCGGCGCGCACGCTCAGGCGCGTCCCACACACTGGTCCCCATACGACCGCGTCGGCGTGGTGAACGCCGATCCTTAAGGACTTCGCCGCGAGCGTTTCTCTCCGCCCACCCCTCGCTTTCAATCCCGACACACCTCGACGCCTTTCAACTCCGCTTCTGACGCCTTTGAACTCCACCCCGACGTTCGCTCGTATGGAACGGCCCTCAGCGTCGTCGGGTCGATCCGTCCGCGCCCGCGCCCGAAACGCCGGACGTCGACGACGACCGCGCCCTGGGCGGCGGCGGCCTGGCAGCGCGCGTCGACGAACTCGAAGACCTGCTGAGAGCCACGAGGACGGAGCTCGCCGCCGCGAGAGCGACGATCGCGGAGTACGCGGAGATGCACCCGACGTTCGACGCGAACGAACAGCTCGCGAGCGTCGTTTTCTCGCACGTGACGGACGTCCGAACGCGCGTCGCTCTCGCGCAGGTGAACACGGCGTGGAGGAAGGCGTCGAAAGTCGCGTCTTCGCTGCCGCCCTCGCTCGACTTCACGGGGTGTCCGGTCAAGGTGAACGCGGATAAGCTGTGGACCACGAAGTGTGAATACGTCCTTGGGATCGAAGGCGTGCTCGATCTGCCAGAATCGCACTTTCACGGCCTTCTCGAACAGGCGGGGGCTGACTTGTCCACCAGTGGAAAGCAGTGCAACCTCGGTTTTTTCTATGACCGCGCGGAGCGTTACGACAAGGCGCTGGAGTGGAACATGAAGGGAGCGCGTCAGGGCTGCAGGAATTGTGAGTTTAACATCGGAGTTTTCTACAACGACGGCCGCGGCGTGGAGAAAAACATCGACACGGCGCTGGAATGGTACACAAAGTCGGCCAAGAAGGGTCACGCCAGAGCACAAAGGCAGGCCGGCAACATCCACTTAGGCAAGGGACGATATGAAGAGGCGTTCAAGTGGCTCACGAAATCGGCCGCTCAAGGCGACACTATCGCGATATCAAACCTCGCGACGTGCTACGAGTTAGGCAAAGGCGTGAAGAAGGACATTCCCGAGGCGCTCAAACTGTACGCGAAAGCCGCCGAGAAGGGCCTCGCTACGGCGAAAGTAAACCTCCGTCGTCTGATCGATGAGATGCGGTGAACTACGCGCAACAACTTAGACGCGACGTCTCCGAGTCTGATGATATAAAGTCGCTATCTTATACCTACCCCCGCCCTCTCCCCCCCTCCCTTTCATTCATCACAACCTAAACGAGCACCGCGCGCCGTCCAAGCTCGAGAACCGCTCCTCCCTCACGAACCACGCCTCGTTCACCCTCACCTTGACGCCCTCGATCCTCGCGCTCCACCGCTCGCACGCGGCGCTCACGCCCCTCGCCGCCGCGTCTCTCACCCGCTCCCTCCGACCGTCGCTCCCCTCCCGCTCCCCATCCTCCTCCGGCGCGCTCGGAAACGCGCGCAGGAGCGTGCTGTGCGCGATGTGCGTCTGCCTCGTCGTCGCCCCCGGGAACGTCTCCGTCAGCTTCGCGCGCAACTTCGCGAGTCCGCCCGCGGGGTCGCGGAAGAGTAACAGCAGCGTCCCGCTCGACGCCATCTGCAGGGCCGTTCCATACAAAAATAGTTCACCGGTCAGTTGAAAGGAGACGCGGTCAAGTGTTGAAACCGATGGATGGGTGAAACACTTTTGTATAGAACGCACCTGCACGCGATCCACCTCGAGCTCGATCGCGCCGCCGTCGACGACGCCGCGGAGCGTCTTCTCGAGCGTCTTCTCCTCTCTCTCGTGGTCGGGTTCGAACGAATTGAGATCGAACGACGACGACGTGCCGGAACCGGCGGCGCCCGCGATGCGCGCGGTGAACGGGTCGTCGATCGGCTCCTCCGGGAGCGACAGGAAAAACACGGAGACGTGAAACGAGCTCCGAGAGACGTTGAACGCGGGGATCCCCGCTTTGCCCAACACGCTGAACACCTCCCTCGCGGCCGCCGCCGCCGCGGCCGCGACCGCGGGGGACTCCTCGAGCGTGAACGCGACGAGCCGCGCGCAGTCTTTCGGGAGATGGAGAGAGACGTACGGCGGCGGCCAGACGCCCACCGCGGGGGGCGGGTCGAACCGGAACCAACGCCGGCTCGTCGTCGCGGCGATCGCGTCGAACCCGCTCGCGTCGAACGCCGCGCGCATGTCGTCGTAGACGGCGACGTACCCCGCGGCGATGTCGACGGGGGATCGACGCGCGGGAGCGGGCGGCGGCGCGGGGGGCGTCGGGCGCGCGCGCGGCGGCGGCGGCGTCGGCAGCGGCGGGGGGGGGGCCGTCGACGTCGCCGCGGTTTTTTTTTTCATCTTCGAGGCGCTCGCGCGCGACGGCGACGGCGACGGCGACGCCGTCGCGGGCGACGCGATCTCGACCGCGTCGGAGACGCTCCCGGGGGTCTCCGCGCTGGGCGCGGCGTCGCGCCGCGCGCGCCGCTGCCGCCGCTCGCGCGTCCTCGCGTCGTCGTCGTCGTCGTCGTCGTCGTCGTCGCCGCCGTCTGACGACGACGTCGCGCGCGCCGCGTCTCGCATCCGCCGCGCGGTCTCGTCCGCGCACCAGTCCACGCCGGCCCAAAACCCTTTCGTGTACGCCTTGGACGCGCCGTACGCGCACAGGCTGAGGACCGCGGCGGCGCCGAGCGCGGCGACCGCCGCGGCGCGTCGACGCCCGCCGGCCATGCGTCCCTCGATCTGAACAGAACCCGCGGGCGCGGCACCGACCGGACGAGCGAGAGGGCCGATCGGTCAGTTGAAAGTAGACTCGATCAAATGTTGAAACCGAGAGTGGGTGAAAAACGTTCGGTTATCGATGCTGATGACACATCATTCGTTCCGCTGGACGGATAGGCTCGCAGTCGACGCGTCGCGTCCGACGCGCTCGAGACACGCGCGAGAGACCGCGCGAGGGACGACGCGCGCGATGGCGTCGATGACGAACGCGACGTCGGGACCCGCTCGCGTCGCGCGGCGCGCGCCGCGGCGCGGCGCCGCGCCCCGGCGCGTCGCCGCGTCCGCGTCGTCGTCCGCGAGAGATCATCATCGTCACGGTGATCTGACGACGCGTCGCGTCGTCTCCGACGACGCGCAGCGGTGGCGATGGCGTCGCGCCTCCCCCGCGCCGTCGCCGTCGCCGTCGTCGTCCGTCCGCCGCCGTCCGCGCCGCGTCGACGCGAACGACGCGGCGGCGAACCCGAACCTCTCGTACTACGAGGTCGACGACGCGGAGCTCAACGCGCGCGGCGACGGCGACGACGGCGACGACGACGGCGTCCCGGAGATGTCCTCGAAAGAGATGTTCAAGCGTCTCGTGCGCTTCACGCTGCCCACGATGGCGATCTGGGTCTGCGGGCCCATCCTCGGGATGATCGACACCGCGGTCGTGGGCAGCGCGTCGACGTTGGAGCTCGCGGCGATGTCCCCGGGAGGCGTGTACGTGGACTATCCGAGCTATCTCATCTCGTCCGCGTTGGCGGTGGCGACGACGACGCTCGTGGCGCAGGACCGGCTCGCGGAGAAGCGCGAGCGGAAGAAAGCGCGGCGGAAAGTAAACGATAACGGCGGCGACGGAGGCGTTACTACCACCACAACCCTGGACGTCGGTCAGCAGTCCAGCGTCAGCAGCGCGAGCACGACCGCGGACGGCCTCGTCATCGCCGCCGCGTCGGGCGCCGTGATCGGGCTGATCCTCGCGGTCGTCTCCAAGGCGTGCATCGCCGCGTTCGCGGGCCCCGCGTCCGCGGCCGTCGTCCCCGCCGCGGTGACGTACGCGACGATCCGCCTCGTCGGCCTTCCCGCGGCGATGGTCATCTCCGTCGCGCAGAGCGCGTTTCTCGCGTGTCGGTCCCCGGCTCAGGCGCGTTCTATACACTGGTTCCCATACGACCGCGTTCGCGTGGTGAACGCCGATCCTTAAGGACTTTTGCCGGCGTGTCTCTCCTCCCACCCCTCGCTTTCAATCCCCGACCTCGACGCCTATCAACTCCACCTGACGCCTTTCAACTCCACCCCGACATTCGCTTGTATGGAACGACCCACAGCCGTTGGTCGCGGTGCTCGTCGCGGGCGTCGTCAACTTGGTCGGGGACGTCGCGCTCGTCGTGGGGTTGGGGAAAGGGATCGGCGGCGCCGCGCTGGCGACGATCGGGAGCCAGATCACGATGGCGGGGGCGCTGGTGTACGCGCTGCTGAAAGCTGGCGCGGCGAAGCGACGAAACGCCGAGGCAGCGGCGGTTACCGCAGCCGACGCCGACGCCGACGAGGACGAGGATAAGATCGAGCTCCCGACCCTCGACTCGATCCCTCGCGCGTTCCCGTCGTTCCAGACCGCGATGCGGTTCCTCAAGATCGCCGGCCCGGTGTGCTTCCTCAACGCCATCAAAGTCTTCTTCGTCGGCTCGCTCGTCCAGGGCGTCACCGCGATATCCCCCGAGGCGTCCGCGGCGAACGGCGTCATGACGGCGATTTACTTCTTCTTCGCCGTCATGGGCGACGGCGTGTCGCAAGCCGCGCAGACCTTCTTACCCCCGGTGCTGGGCTCGCGGCGCGCGATCAAGACCTCGCTGATGCTGCTCGCGTCCGCGATGTGCCTCGGGCTCGCGTCCGCGATCGCGTCCTCCGCGATCGCGACGTACGGCCACGGGATATTCACGACCAACGCCGCCGTCGTCGACATCATGCTTCGGTGCGCGCCCGTGATGTCGTTCGCGTTGTTTTGTCACACCGCGTCGATGGGCAGCGAGGGGTGCCTGCTCGCGGCGCGCGATACGAAGTTCATGACGCTGTGCTACGGCCCGAACGCGATTCTCGCGTACGCGACGATGAAGGTGGTGTGCATCGGACGATTAGGGATGGGGGCGGAGGCGCTGTGGGTGGCGTTGGCGCAGTTTCACGTGTGTCGGTTGGGGGCGAACTTTATTCGGATGTTCGCGGATAAGAGCAAGGGGTCGCCGCTGCGGAGGCGGTTAGTCGCGAGTTGAGACGAGGAATCACGGGGAGGGGAGGATGGCGAACGAGGGTATAGGATAGTAGAAGAGCGCGTTGGTGTTGTTCGATGGTCGTTCGTTTTTACACGGTTTCGTCGTCGTCGTCGTCGTCGTTTTTTCAGTCGCGTTGGCGCTTCTTGCATCGAGGTCTTCCGCGGGGGTTGCACCCCGGACACCCGCCGGGTCTCTCGCTCCTCGTGCGGCTGCACATCTCCGTCCGCCACACGTGCTTGCACTCGACGTTGCTGCACTTCCACAGCGCCTTGTAGTGCGACGCTTTCGTCACCGCCGTCGGCGGCTTGTCCTTGTCGACGTACTCGCGCGACAGCTTCTTCCCGAGCTCGCCGTTCTTCTCGCACCACGTGAGGAAGTTGTTCGTCTTGCTCGCCGGCGCAGTATGCGCGCACTGTGGGCACCCGGAGGGTCTGTCGCTCTTCGTGCGGTCGTTCACCTGCGCCCGCCACACGTGCTTGCACTTCAAACACTTCCACTTCGCCTTGTAGTTCGACCCTTTCGTCAGCTCCGTCGGCAGCTCCTCGCGGAACTCGTTCGCGAGCCTCTCGCCGCGCTTCCCGTTCTCCGCGCACCACTCGATGAACGGCTTGCCCGTGTGCTGGTTCGCTCCTCGCTTCTTCACCATGATCGCCTCGCTCGTCGGTCGTCGACGCGTGCGCCGCGCGGGGAAGACTGCGCCGAAAAGCTACGACTACGACAGGAAATAACCGGGCCATAACCTCACGTATCATCATCTCTCGTTTTTTCGCTGTTAAAACCGGTGAACCGCGCGAGCATCACCCCTTTTCCAACGCGCACACGAAGCGCAGTCGCCGGCAACACACGTCGACGGTACGTTCGCGCTTCCTTCAGACGCCCACGACCGCGCGCGCGCCGCGCGCGCGCGTCCTCGCGCGTCGACGGCGACGTCCTTCGGCGTGCCCGCCGGCCGGATTTCCCCAGCTCGGAAAAAAAAACACGACGCGCTGGACGCGCGCGCGAACGATGCCGCGGCGTCGTCGCCGCGCCGTCCCCCGCCGCGCCCGACGCCGCGAATCGATCGCGTTGACGGCGTCGCCGCGCCGTCCTCGTCGCGTCGTTCGCGGCGTCGTCGCGTCGTCGCGCGTCGCCGCCGTCGCGACGCGCCGGCGCTTCGATCGAGGTTTTTTAGGGTTTCCGCGCGCTCGAAAAAACATAATCCAACCCCCGCCGCTCACCTCCCTCCCTCCCTCTCGTCGCGCAGTCCAACACCATGGCTGATCGTGGAGGAGATCGCGGCGGCGACCGCGGCGGCTTCGGCCGCGGCTTCGGCCGAGGCGACCGCGGACGCGGCGACCGCGGACGCGGCGACCGCGGCCGCGGCGATCGCGGCCGCGGCCGCGGCCGCGGCCGACGCGGCGACGACAAGGAGGCGGGCTGGACGCCGTGCACCAAGCTCGGCCGCCTCGTGCAGCAGGGCAAGATCAAGTCCCTGGAGCACATCTACCTCTTCTCCATCCCGGTCAAGGAGTACCAGATCGTCGAGCACTTCATCGGCGCGCAGCTCACGGATGAGGTGATGAAGATCATGCCGGTGCAGAAGCAAACCTCGGCGGGGCAACGCATGCGTTTCAAAGCGTTCGTCGTCGTCGGCGACTCCAACGGCCACATCGGGCTCGGCGTCAAGGCGTGCAAGGAGGTTGCGCACTCGATCCAGGGCTCCATGATCCTCGCCAAGCTGAACATCGTCCCCGTGCGGAGAGGATACTGGGGCGGGAAGCTCGGCGCGCCGCACACCATCCCGGCCAAGTCCACTGGGAAGTGCGGCTCCGTCACCGTGCGGCTCGTCCCGGCGCCGCGCGGCGCCGGGATCGTCGCGGCGATCACGTCCAAGAAGGTGCTCGCCATGGCGGGCGTCCAGGACGTCTACACGCAAACCACGGGGTCTACGAAGACGCTTGGAAATTTCGTCAAGGCGACGTACTACGCGTTGAAGAAGACGTACGGGTTCCTCTCCCCGGAGCTGTGGAGGGAGACGACGTTCACGAAACCCCCCGCGCAGGAGTTCACGGACTTCTTGAGCATGAAGAAGGAAATCTCGCACAAGACGCACGACGACGATCGGTACTGAGCCTGAGCCTGAGCGGCGGCGGCGGCGGCGCGGAGACTCTCGACTAGCGAGACGACGAAGAGAGCGAGCTACGAGACGCGTGGCGGGGTTTGGAAGGGCGTATAGACAGCCTTGCTTGGAATCCAATCGCGACTTAAGTACGCTAAAACGAATACGGATAACCTATTCTACAGTATGTAGGCGTCACTCGTTCATCGCGCGAAGAACGCGGGCCCGCCCGTCGTCGGCGTCGAGTACGTCGACCGCTCCCCCCCCGCGCCGCCGCTGATCGGACTGCACTCGCGACTCTTCGTGATTGACCGCCGCAGCTTCAGAAGCGTCCCGTACATCTCCTCTCGCTCCCCGCGCGCCGCCTTCGTCGCGGTCGACAGCGACCCGTCCAGACGCGCGCTCCACAGCTCGAGCGCCTCGACCCTCGACGTCTGCTCCATCAGCGACGCCGCGAGCGCGCGGTTATGCGCCGTCAACGCGGAAATCTCTCGCTCCTTCTCTTCGATCTCCGCGCGCGACGCGGCGACGGCGTCGCGCCATCGCGCCGCCTCCGCCGCTCTCGTCTCCGCGGCGAGCTCCTCGACGGCGACCCTCGCGGCGTCCGCGGCGGCGGCGGCGGCGGGGTCCGCGCGCGGGCGGCGACCCGGCTGATGACCCTCCGACGCCGCTCCGAGTACGTCGAACGACGACGCCGTCGCGGGGGACGACGCCAGCGCGACGCCGAGCGCGTGCGCGAGCGTCGGCGCCATCGTCGACCCGAACTCCCCCGCGGGCGAAGAGACCGGCGTCGCCGCCGCCCTCGTCGTCGTCGTCTCCGCTTCGACGCCCGCGACGACGCGCAGGTGCTCCATCGCGTCCGCGGCGAACGCGCGCGCGGCGTCGCGCCCCGCGGCGAACGCGTCGGCGTCCGCTCTCGCCGCCTGCACCGCCGCCTCCGCGCGCGCCACCTCCCGCGCGGCCGCAACGACGTCGCCCTCCGCGCTCTCCCTGGCGCTCGCTTCCTCCGCGCGCGCGAGCTCGGCCGCGGCCGCGCGCGCGGCCGCGCGCGCGGCGTCGTCCGCCGCGGCTCGACGCGCCGCCTCGGCGACGCGCGCCGACGCCGCCGACGCCGCCGCGACCGCGACCGCGGCGTCTCTCTCGCGCGTCGCCCTCGCGACGTCGTCCCGCCACACGATCGCGCGGACGCTCTCCGCGTTGTTGTTTACGCCGCCGTCGTCGTCGTCGTCGTCGTCCTTACCGCCGCCTCCGCCGATCGCGGAGACGGCGCGCAGCATCGCGTCTCTGGACGCTTCGGCGTCGGCGTCTGCGTCCATCGCGCGCGCCTCCGCGGCGTCAACCTCTCGCCGCGCCGCGTCGACGGCGTCGTTCGCGCGCCGCGTCGCCGCGCGCATCTCCTCGCGCTCCGCTGCGACCGCGGCGAGGACGGCGTCCACGCGTCGCCGCCGCGCGGGGTCGTCGCGCGCGCGCGCCATCGCGACGAACCACCCGCCGAGCGCGCGTCGGGCGTAAAAGTCGCGCAGTCGCCGCGTCGCTCGCGTCGCGCCGCGCCTCACCCGCGCGCTCTCCGCGGTCGCCCTCGTCCAACGGTTGAACGCCCTTCGCGCGCGCTTCGCGTCGCGCCGCTCCAATTGGTCTGTCGCGAACCACTCGCGGAAGAGCGCGGGCGACGACGCGGGATCGAGCACCGCGTTATTAGCGGCGGCGGAATCGCCGCGGGCTTTGAGCGCCTCCGCCTCCGCGACGTCTCGCCGGGACGTCGCCGCGCCGGCGACCCACGCGGCGAACGCGTACGCCCTCCGCGCGCGGATCGGCCCGCGCGCGGTCTCCGCCGTCGCCGCGCGCAGCTCGAGCTCGCGCGCGGTCTCCGCGCGCCACGCGACGACGCACGCGGCGAGGAGACCCGCGGCGCGGACTCTCGCGATCGACGCGAGCGTCGCGCGCCACGCGCTCGCGCGCATCAAGACGAACGTCGCCCACGCCGCGTGCGCGCGCCGCAGACGCCTCCCCGCGGTCCTCCGCGCGAGCCCGCGAACGCGCGCGTCGTGCGCCGCGCGCGTCGCGTCGGCGCGCCGCGCGCGCGTCGCCTCTCTCGTCTCTCGTCGCCATCCGCTGAGCGCGCGTCGCGTCGCCGCCGTCGCGACGCGCGTCGCGACTCTCCTCCCCGCGGCTCTCCTGCGCGCCTCCGCGGTCGTCTCCGCGCGCCACGCGCGCGTCGTCCGCGTCAGCAGCGCGCGGCGACGCGCGACGGACGCGCGGCGCGCGGCGCGGCGCTCGACGGCCGCCTCCGCGGCGACGAGGCTCCACGCCGCGAGCGTCGTCGCGAGCCGCGCGCGTCGCCGCCGCACGCGACACGCGCGGTCGATCGCGTCCAACGTCGCCGCGCGCGCCGCCGCCGCCCTCCACGCGTCCAAGTGCGCGCGCGCCGTCGCGTCCTGCGCGCGAATTCGCATCGCCGCGGCGGCGTCGCGCGCGTCCTCCGCGTCGTCGACGGCGTCTCTCCACGCGCGGAGCGACTGCAACGCCGCGTGGTAGTCCCTCTGCGCTTCGACCGCGCGGTTGACGGCGCGCACGCGCGCGACGTATCGCCACGCGCGGAGGACGCGGATCGCGCGCGCGGCGCGCGTGACGTCGATGGCGTACGTCGCGAACGCGCGGTGATGCGTCGCGGTCGTCGCGTGTCGATGCCACGCTCTGACGGCGCGCGACGCGATGGATTTGACGCGCCTCCTCCCGATCCACGGGAGCGCGCGCGAATGCCACGACGGCGCGTCCGCGAAGTCGTCTCTGTCGAGCATCTGGCGCGGCGGCGGCGTGGCGCGCGCCCGCGCCGTCGTCGTCGCCGTCGCGTCGTCGTCGTCGTCGTCGTCGTCGTCGGGTCGCGTCGTCGTCGTCGTCGCGTGGAGAGACGAGAATGATGGCGGGAACGTCCCCGACGGGAGATCCCCGAGCGACGCCGGCGGGTCCGTCCCGCGCTTCGCGCGGTCCGCGAGGTACATCGCGACGACGAACTCGTCGAGCGTCATGTCCCCGTCCTCGTCCGCGTCCGCGAGATCCCATAACTTTTTCAGCGTCGCCCTCTCCAGCCCCGCGTCGAGGAGCTCGGAGACGACGCGATCGCCGCGCAGTCGGTCCGCGCGCGCGTCGTCGCGAAGGGCGTCGAACCGGTCGCGGTACCGCTCGAGCTCGCGCGTCTCGAGCGGCGGCCACGGCGTAGAGGAGGAGGACGCGACCGCGTCGCCGTCGCCGTCGCCGTCGAGCGCGCGCTCGTGGTCGCGCGGCATCGCGGGCGTCGCGCGCGCGGGACCACTGGCGACGACGACGCGAAACTCGAATCGTGGTGGGCTTCTGTTGCTCTGCCTTCCAGGAAGCGTCGACCGGCAGGGAGATTCCAGGTTCGATCCCTGTTTGCTTTTTGAGCCCGGAATCGAACCTGGAATCTTCGGTTGAAAATTTTTTGAGCCCGGAATCGAACCTGGAATCTTCGGCTTCGACGACGCGCGCATCTCGCAGATCCTCGGCGCGCGCGGCGCGGAGCGACCGGCGCGGAGCGACCGGCGCGTCGTCCGTCGGACGGGATGGACGCCGACGTCGCGGCGGACGACGACAGCGAAGAGGAGGAAGGCGAGGTCCCCGCCCTCGACGCGCGTCGCGCTCGAGGAGCGGAAGACGGCGCGCGCGCCGTCGGCGACGACGGATCGAAGAAACGCGGCCGCGACGACGCCCCCGCCGACGCCGATGCCGCCCCCGCCCCCGCGCCCGCCGCCGACGACGGCGGGTTCGGGTTCGGGATCGACATGAGCGACCTCCTGAAGACGTTCCCCGGGCACGCGTTCGTCCCGCTGGACGAGCGAGAGCTGGTGTGCGCGGAGAAGATCGCGAAGTGCGTCGACGAGAAGAAGAAGCACCTCATCCGCCTCCTCGTGAAGCGCTTCGGCGTGCCGCTCGCGGAGGACGCGCTCCGAGAGACGATGAAGGTGGAGCGCGCCGGCGGGTCGTGGCTGGAGGAGCGGGGGAGGCCGCCGCGGCGACGGAGCGCGGGGGGAGTGTTCATATCGCTCGTTCGGAAGCGCGCGGAGGCGCGCGACGGGGGGGGGCGCGCGTTCAAGGCGGTCATGAAGCAGAGCGCGGGGATCGATAAGCTGCTGCGCGAGCAGAAAGAACGCGACGAGCGCGCGGGGGGGGAGAAGCGGGCGAGGACGAGCGGCGGCGGCGCGGGGGTGGGGGCGGGGGTCGCGTAGTCGGCGGTCGCACGTTAGTTAGGAGCCAGCGAACAGATGGAAAAAAAAAATCTGTTTTCTGTTTGGTGCTATTTTTTTGCTTCCACGACACCCCGTCCGCGTCCGCCGGCGTCGCAGTCTCGGACCGCGCGGAGCGTCATGGCCGCCGCCGCGACCAACGCGGCGGCGCCGCGCGTCGCCCCACCCCTCGCCCCCTCCGCGACCCGCCGCCGCGCGACGACAACGACGACGCGCCGCAGCTCCGGCGACGGCGTGGAGGGCGTGCCGCTCGCGGATCGAGGCGCGTCGTCGTCCCGTCTCCGTCGCATCGCATCCCGTCCCGTCCCCGTCGCATCGCATCCCGTCCCGTCCCCGTCCCGTCGCATCCCGTCCCGTCCCCGTCCCGTCGCATCCCGTCCCGTCCCCGTCCCGTCGCATCCCGTCCCGTCCCCGTCCCTCGTCCGCCCGCCGTCCTATCGTCCATCGCGTCGCGTCGCGACTGACGTCTCCGCGCCGCGACGACGCGACGTCCACCACCCACCCACCCCGTCCAACTGCAGCCGTCATCCACTTCTGGCACCTCTGGGCGTCGTCCCCCGCGTGCCGCGCGGCGGTGCAGCGCTGGGGCAAAGGCAGCCCGTTCCGCGACGCGCCGCTCCTCGAGAGCCGCGTGCGCGCGCTGACGCGCGTGTTCGACGCGCGCAGCGGCGTCGACGTCCCCGCGCTGCTGACGCGCGAGCCGGAGCTGCTGCTGCGGGATTTTCGCGACGTCACGCGCGCGGTCGTGGCGGTGAAGGCGGCGGCGCCGGAGATGGACGGCGCGGCGTTGACGCGCGCGCCGGGGCTGTTGCTCTGCGACGCGGAGGACCTGGCGCGAGCGCGGCGGGCGCTGGAGGGGGAGGTGGGGAAGCGCGAGGCCGCGCGCGTCATCCGGAAGAGTCCGGAGGAGCTCATGAAGCGGACGCGGCGCGCGGCGGAGGAGGACGAGATGCGCGCCGCGGTGACGATGCAGTACGGCGAGGCCATGGAGCCGCCGTGACGCGACGACGCGACGACGACGCGGTGAGTAAGTTGGTGATGAGTAGTAGCACACGTAGCGATACTGTAGTAGTACACGTACAACAGATCGATTCAATTTGCGCGTTCGCTTCGTTACATCGTCTACGTGCGCGTGTATGTGTGCGTTCTACTCGTTCGCGTTCGTTCGTTCGCACGTTCTTCGTTCGTGAGGTCACGTCGTTCCACAGAGTATTCAAAGAAGCCGCTTTGCCGCGCGTTCAAATGCCCCAACTAGATTCCCACGGCATGCCGTTCGCGCGCGCCCACTGCAGCACCCGAAGGTGGCCGCCAAGCGCTGCTTCGTGACAAGTCCTCGCGTCCCACGGAGCGCCGTTCGCTCGCGCCCACTGCAGCACCTCCAGGTGGCCGCCTTTCGCGGCACCAGAGCAAGTATCCGCGTCCCACGGGCAGCCGTTCGCTTCCGCCCACTGCAGCACCTCCAGGTGGCCGCCTTCCGCGGCCCAGGCGCAAGTCCTCTCGTCCCACGGAGCGCCGTTCGCGCGCGCCCACTGAAGCACCTCAAGGTGGCCGCCTCCCGCTGCTCTGTTGCAAGTCCACTCGCCCCACGGAGCGCCGTTCGCGCGCGCCCACTGCACCACCTCCAGGTGGCCGCCTCGCGCGGCCCAATCGATATACACCGTGTTCCACGGAGCGCCGTTCGCGTGCGCCCACTGCAACACCTCGAGGTGACCGCCTCCCGCGGCATAGGAGCAAGTGTACTCGTCCCACGGAGCGCCGTTCGCGACCGCCCACTGCAGCACGTGCAGGTGACCGTGTTTCGCGGCATAGCGGCAAGTATACTCGTTCCACGGAGCGCCGTTCGCGACCGCCCACTGCAACACCTCGAGGTGACCGCCTCCCGCGGCATAGGAGCAAGTGTACTCGTCCCACGGAGCGCCGTTCGCGACCGCCCACTGCAGCACGTGCAGGTGACCGTGTTTCGCGGCATAGCGGCAAGTATCCTCGTCCCACGGGCAACCGTTCGCGCGCGCCCACTGCAGCACCTCGAGGTGACCGAATTCCGCGGCTGCGCGGCAAGTATCCTCGTCCCACGGGCAACCGTTCGCGCGCGCCCACTGCAGCACCTCCAGGTGGCCGCCTTCCGCGGCTTTGGCGCAAGTATTCTCGTTCCACGGACACCCTAGCTCCTTCGCCCACGCCAACCTGCCGACCGACCCGACGAAGTTCGGCATCCTCCCGAGCTCCCTCCTCACCGCCGCGACGTCCTTCACGTCGCCGACGGACGACGTGAAGACGACGTCGCGCATACTCCGGCTCACCAGCGCGAGCATCGCGCGGTCGCCGACGCTGAGCCGCCTGAGCACGTCCTCGTCGAAGACATCGCGCGCGTCCGCGGCGAATCGTTCCAAGCGCGAGCCCGCGGCGAGATCTGGGGAAGTCGATCCGTCCCCCGAGATCTCGTCGACGTCCCCGCTGTTCATCCGCGGTGGAGGCGACGTCGCGTCGCGACGATCTCGGGGTGCGCGTGCAGCACTTCGCGACGAGGCCGCGGAGGCGGAGGAGGAAGAGGAGGAAGAGGACGCGCCCGTCGTCGCGCGCGAGGCGAGTGACGAGACGGGACGACGCGACGCGGGCGTTTCTGTTCGTGCTCGAGCGGAGCGGCAGGACTGATGTCACCCGCGAGTTCTGGTACCGAAACAATGCCGAGGTATCGCTCATGGCCAAGTGTTTATAATTCTTCAAGTCAACGAAATCATCATCGATCATCTCCACAGCCGAATCGCTGTGTTATTCCGTATCAACCCGAAAGGGTCCTGTGGCCCAATGGACAAGGCGCCGGTCTACGGAACCGGAGACTCCAGGTTCGATCCCTGGCAGGATCAATTTTGGTTTCTTTAACAGCTCTTTTTTTTGCATTACACATCGGGATCATCATCTATATGATGTAAGGAACCTCTCCACAAATTTTCAGGTCGATCGGAGCAGTTTTGAGGCGGTGGTGGTCGCGTCAATCGAGCATGGTGCATGTCACTGAAAAAAAAACGGGGATTCGTGGGGAAGGGAGCCCACAACGATGGCGTCCGCGTCGCCGGCGTCGTCCGCGGCGACGACGGTCCGCGCGACGGCGCGATGGCGACCGACGAGACGCTCACTTTCTCTGTCATCGACCCCTCGCGCGGCCCTCCGCGCGAGAGGTCGCGGTCGACGCGGCGGCGGCATCGACGACGACCCCGCGATTCGCCATCGTCATCGAGGGAAAAAAGGGGTGGGCGCCGCGACGGAAAACGGAGGAGAGCACGCCGGCGGCGCGAACGACGACGACGACGCGTCGCCGCTCCCGCCGCCCAACAACCTCATCCTCATCGGCGGCCGGGGCTGCGGCAAGAGCGCGCTGTGCCGCCGCCTCGTCGCGCTCGAGCCGCGCTTCGAGCTCTTCGTCCTGGACGACATCGTCGTCGAGGACGCGGGGAAGTCGATACCGAAGATCGTCGAGGAGGACGGATGGCGCGCGTTTCGAGACCTCGAGTTCGACGCGTGTCGAAAGACCGCGATCGCGGCGGGGCGCGGGTGGTGCCTCATCGACGCCGGCGGCGGCGTCGTCGTGGACTTGGACGAGCACGGGAACGAGGTGTACAGCGAGCGGAAGGTGCGCCGAGACGCCGTTCGATCGATCGGTATCGTTCGATAAAAAAACTAACATCCGTCGTCGCCCCCCGCCGCCCGCCGCCCGTCTGTCGTCTGTCATCAGGTCGACGCGCTGAAACGTAACGGTCAAGGAAAGATCGTTTACCTCAAGCGCGCGGTGTCGTACCTCACGCGCCGCATCACCGGGGACAAGAACCGCCCGAGCCTGTCCGAGAAGTGGACCTTCGGCGAGATCATGAGACGCCGAGCCCCGATGTACGAGAGAGCCGCGGACTACGTATGCGACGGGAGCGGCGGCGCGCTGGAGAAGGACGTCAAAACGAAGAACGAGATTAAACGGGAGGTGATCGAGTGGTTCTACGACGTCAGCGGGAGTGGGGTCTTAAGAGCAGAGGGCGAGAGCGGCGGGGAGGAGTTATTCGGAGGGGGGTGAAACCCATCCACCTTCGCGCTGGCGTCTACAGACGGTTTGTAAGAAGAGTCCTACCTAGTCTACCCTAGCTAAAGAAGACGAAGAAGGAGGTCACAACCTCGCGCGCGGCGGCAACACCTTGTACGGGTTCAAAATCCCTTTCGGATCGAACACGTCCTTGATGGCTCGCATCAGCTCGATCGCCGCCGCCGGTTTCGAGCGCGACACCTCGTTCGGTTTCATCGCGCCGACGCCGTGCTCCGCGCTGACGCTCCCGTCGACGCTCGCCGTCCACTCGTACACGTGCGGCTCGATGATTCGCTCGAGGCGCGCGTCGTACCCGTCCGGAGAGCTTATGTTCAGGTGTAAGTTCCCGTCGCCGAGGTGGCCGTACCCGAGCACGGAGACGCGCGAGAAGTCGAACGCGCCGGCGGCGCCCGCCGCCGCCGCCGCCGCCGCGCTCGCGACGCGCTCGCGCATGACCTCGACGAGCTCGTACATCCGCGCCGTCGGGAGGCTCAGGTCGTACTTGTACACCGCGCCCGCGTGCTTCAGCGCGAGGGATATCCGCTCGCGGAGGTTCCACAGCGCCGCCGCGTGCTTCGCGTCCGCGCCGACGACGCCGTCGACGACGCGCCCCCGCGTCTTCGCGTCGGCTAAAAACCGGTCCAACCGCGCTCGCTCCTCCGCCGCGCGCTCCGCGCTCCCGCTCGTCTCCATGACGACGTAGAACGGCGCCTCGCTCCCCGGCAGCGGGTCCCTCGCGCCTTTCATCTGCGCGCACACGAGCTCGAGACTCGCGCGGTCCAGAAATTCGAACGCCTGAAGCGACTCCGAGAGCTCCGTCTTGGCGGCGACGAGCGTCTCCACCGCGGCTTGATGAGGGTGATTGCCCATACGACGCGACGTCGGGGTGGAGTTGAAAGGCGCGTCAGATGGAGTTGTTGTGAGGCGTCGAGGTGTGCCGGGATTGAAAGCGAGGGGTGATGGGCGGAGAGATGCGCCGGGAGAGAAAGTCCTTAAGGATCGGCGTTCACCACGCGAACGGGGTCGTATGGGAACCGGTGTACTACGATGGACGACAAACAAAACGCACCCGAGAACGACGGCGCCGCCGCGAACGTCACGTCCACCCTCCTCGGCTTCCTCGGCGCCAACAGCGCGACTTTCGTGACCACCCCCAACGTCCCCTCCGCGCCGATGAACAGCTGCTTCAGGTCGTACCCGGTGTTATCCTTCCGCAGCGTCTTGAGAAGGTTCAAGACTTCGCCGCTCGCGAGCACGACCTCGACGCCCAAAACGCTCCCGTGCAGCGATCCGTGACGCAACAGCCTGAGTCCGCCCGCGTTCGTGGAGACGTTCCCGCCGATCTGGCACTTCCCCTTCGCGCCCAGGTCCAGCGGGACGGTCATCCCCTCGCGGTTCAGCGCGGTCTCGAGGTCGTCGAGGACGACGCCCGCCTCGGCGACGACGACGCCCGCGGATGGATCGATCGACACGACCGACCGCATGCGCTTCATGCCGAGCACGACCTCGTCGTGGACAGGCACGCCGCCGCCGACGAGGCCGGTGTTCCCGCCCTGCGGCACGACCGCGAGGTTCCGGTCGTTGCAGTGGCGCACGATCGCGGCGACCTGCGAAGTCGTCCGCGGCAGAAGCAGCACGCGCGAGCGACCTCTGTACGCGCGCGTCCAGTCCTCGTTGGCGTCCGCGAGGGACTTTTCGTCCGTGAGCACCGCGCGCGCGACGTCGCCGGGCGTCGACTCGAGGATGGATCGGAAGCGCGCGACGTCCGCGTCGGTGAGCGTCGCGAAGCTCCCGCGCGGGGGGAGGTCGCCGCCCATCGCGGAGGGGCGGGGGGGGGGAGGGCGCGGCCGAGATCTGAGACGTTAACGCGTCGGAGTAGGAACTGTGACGCTGAACGCGAACGAGCAGTGACGAGGCCGTCAAACTTTAGGGATCGGCGCGGCGACGGGCATTCGCGCGGGCGCCATGAAGACGCGCAGGCAAGGTCCGGTGACGCCGCCGTCGTCCGCGAAAGCGGGGACGACCCCGGGGCGTAAGATCGCCGCGAGAGCGTTCGGCGGCGAAGGCGGCGAAGGCGGCGAAGGCGGCGGAGGCGCCGCGAAGGAAAAGGGCGAGAGAGAAGAAAAAGCGACGGCGCCCCCGGACGCCGCCGCCGCCGCGGACGGCGTCGAATCCGAGGACGACGCGTCGTCCTCGGACTCGTCCGACTCCGAGGCATCCTCGGACTCGGACGCGTCCACGACGGACTCGGACTCGGACGCGTCGACGTCGGACTCGGACTCGGATTCGGACGACGACGACGACGACGGGACGAAGAAGAAGACGAGCGACGGATGGAACGCGCTCGACGACGCGACCGCGGCGTACGTCGCCAAATCCGTCGAGACGCACATGCTCTTGAAAGACATCGAAGCCGCGGAGAAGGCCGGGACGCTCTTCGCGTCCGAGGAGGAGGAGAAGGCGTTCAAGAAGCGCGCGGTCAAGGCGCTGTTCCGCCAGGCTGCCATCGACGCGGCGGTGGAGAACGGCCAGTCCGTCCGCCAGGCGTTCATGAACGGCGTGCACTCCTCCACGTCCAAGTACGCCAACGAGATGAACTCGCTGTTCGGCGGGCACCTCCGCGGGTGCGACGACCTCACGGAGAAGCTCCCGGAGATGGCCGCGGACAGGCTCGCGACGGTCGACGCGCTGCCGACCGCCAACGCGCATCGCAAGCGCACCGCGGCGGGACGAAAGGCGCACGCGAAGAATGGCGGCGGCGGCGGGGGGAAGAGCGCCGCGTCCCTCCTCGGCGCGAGCGATCCGTCCGCGCAGGGCGGCGTCCTGAGCGCGCGCGAGCTCGCGGATAAGGGCGCGGGCATCCTCCTCGCGCCGCTCGACAAGACGAAGCTGCGGCGAGAGGCGAAGAAGCTCGGGCGGGGCGACGCCGGGCGAGGGTGGTTCAACATGCCCGCCGTGGAGTACACGCCGGAGCTGCGGAGGGATCTGAGGCTGCTGAAACTGCGCGGCGCGTACGACCCGAAGCGGTTCTACAAGACCGAGGACACGACGAAGCTGCCGAAGCACTTCCAGGTCGGGACCGTGATCGAGGGCGCGCAGGATTTCTACTCCGCGAGGTTGACGAAGAGAGCGCGGAAGAACACGCTGACGGAGGAGATCGCCGCGGACGCGGAGATAAAAACGGTGCGGAAGAAGCGGTTCGCGAAGATACAGGACGCGCACGCGGGGACGATGGGGCGGAAGCACAAGCGGAAGCTGGGGGGACGGGCGAGGGGGGGCGGGGGGGTGAACCACGGCGTGAAGAGCACGAAGCGGACGAAGCACTAGCGAGCGAGCGTTTGTACGAAGAACGAGTGTAAAGTTGATGAAAAAATTTGAACGAGAAAAAGCGCCGGTGAAGTTTCTCGGGGCGACCGAAGACCTCCCCGCGCCACAACCACCCGCGCAGCCGCACGCTCGCAGTCTCGCACCGCTCCAGAACGCGATGAACGACGGATCTAAGCATCCTCGGGTCGATCCTTCCGCGCCCGATCTCGGCGACGACAGCGCCCGGGGCGCCGCAGCGCGCGACGCAGAAGCTGCGGCAGCCGAGCTGAAAGCTACGAGGTCGGAGAACAAGCGACTAAAGGAGAAGCTCGCCGCCGCGGAAGCGAAGAACGCGAAGTACGCGGAGATGTATCCGACGCTCGACGCGAACGAACAGCTCGCGAGCGTGGTTTTCTCGCACGTTACGGACGTCCGAACGCGCGTCGCTCTCGCGCAGGTGAACACCGTGTGGCGAAACGCTTCGAAACACGCGTCTTCGCTGCCGCCCTCGCTCGACTTCACGGGCTGCCCGGAGGTGGATATGACTGAGGGCATGTATAGATATTGGAACACGAAGTGCGCCTACGTCTTTGGGATCGAAGGCGTGCTCGATCTGCCGGAGTCGCACTTTCACGGCCTTCTCGAACAGGCGGGGGCTGACTTGTCCCGTTCGGTTCTCAAAGTACTCGCATTATCCTACGAGATGGGCGTCGGCGTGGAGGTAAATGAAGCGAGGGCGGTCGAACTGTACGTCAAGGCGGCGGAGCTGGGTCAAAAAGAGGCCGCAACGGAACTCGGGAACAAGTACAGGTACGGCACGTGCGGCGTGGCGGTGGACAAAAAGGAGGCGCTGAAGTGGTACCGCCTCGCGGTGGAGCTCGGCGACACCAGCATCGACGCAGAAGAGAGGGTGTATAATGTCGAGGAAGAGATCCGGACGGGAGTGTCCGTCGCCGACTTCGACGAGGATGGGTATGATACATCGTGAGCTTCTGACGACGATCCCCGGAACTGGCCCGAGTCACGGCTGCGCCGCGCGGACGCGCTCTTCTTTCCCCCGGGATGAGCCGCCGCGCGTCGACGCCGCCGCGACGCGCCGCCCTCGCGCGCGAACGCACGAACGCACGAACGCACGCACGCACGCACGAACGAATGAACGAGTGAACGAGTGAACGAGTGATGAGAAGTTGTGACGTACGAGCACGCGTGACGACGATCGATCGAAGAATAATCCGCCCGCTCCAACCTCTACTTTGGATTCGTCAGCCCGCCGAGCCCGCTCCACGACCCCGACAGCGCCGCCGCCGCTTCCTGCCTCGCGACCGCCTCCACCGCCGCGATCGCCTCGTCGTCCGCGCGCGCCTCCTGCGCGCTCCGCGCGTACCCGCCCGTCATCCCGTACGACAACCGATACAACAGCGACCCCGGCGGCGCGCCCGCGTCGACGATGACGTCGCGCTCCGACACCCCGCCGCGGTTCACCGCCCCCGGGCCCGACCCGGCGACGCGCTCCGGGTGCGTGTCGATGTCCACGCCCGAGTTGGACGCGTCCGAGGAGGCGAGGTCGGTACTCGCCGCGGCGGCGGCGGCGCTCGTCGTCGAGGCGTGGTGGCTCGCGTCGTGATGATGCCGCGGCGTGAACACGGCGCTCTGGACGTAGGCGAGCGCGGCGGCGGCGGAGCCGCCGCCGCCCGCCGCCGCGGAGATGCCGAGCAGCGCGCCGCTGATGCCTAACCCTCTCGAGGTGGTAGACTTCGCGGTCGCGGTCGCGGTCGGGGTCGCGTCGACCGCGTTCGAACCGCCGCCGCCGCCGCCGGTCTTCTCCGGCGCCGCGCCCGTCGCCGGGTTCAACTCCGGGGGCCCCCCGACGCGATTCTTCGCCTCGAGATTCGCCTTGCTACCCGGGATGTTCACGTCCGCGTGACGCGCGTACGGCCTCCCCGGTCGGCACCTGTCGTACGACCGCCGCAAGCTCGCGAACGTGCGCTTCCACGTCAGACCCGTCGTGCTCTCTCTCGCCGCCGCCGCCATCTTCGCTCGACGGTCGGGGTCTCGCAGCAGACCCGCGATTGTCTCGACGTAGGACGTCACGTCCGCGGGGAGCGGCGCGGTGTCCTTGACGAGGACGCCGGTGACGCCGTCGCGGACGATGGCGCGGTTGACGCCGACGTCGTCTGTCACCACCGCGAGGCCGCTCGCCATGGCTTCGATGAGGTTGTTCGGGATCACCTCGGTTCGCGACGGGAAATAGAAGATGTCGCCGCTCGCGTAGATCCGCGAGAGCCGGCCGCCGCCGGCGTGGCCTAAGATTTTGACCTCCGGGAAACCCTCCAGCTGCTTCCGCGTCCACGGCAGGTCCGGGCCGTCGCCCGCGATGACGACGCGAAACGGCGGCAAACCCTCGATGATCCCCTTGTTCTTCCCCTGAAGCAAAGCCGCGATCGTCCGCACGAACGTCCCCAACCCTTTCTCGCGCACGATCCGCGCGACCCACAGGATGACGACCTCGCCGTCCTCCGTCCTCGCGAGCTCCTTCAGCCCGCGCTGTTGTCGTCGACTCCCTCCCCCTCCTCCTCCTCCTCCTCCTCTCCCGCCGCGTCGACCGCCGACGCCCATGACCTCCTTCCTAAACGTCAGCGACCGCTGCCCGGGCGAAAACTCCGTGGTGTTGATCCCGCGCGGGAAGAACCCCATCCGCTCGCGCGGGACGCCCATCTCCGCGAGGTGCTCCGCCGCGGCGTACGACGGCGTCGCGACGACGTCGCACGACGAGTAAAACCCGCTCAGCATCTGCCGCAGCGGCGCCGCGAGCATCCCTACTCTGTAATACTGCAAATACGTGTCGTACGCGGTGTGATACGAACACACGGAGCACACGCCAAAGTCCGCGGCCCATCGAACCGCTGAGGGCCATTCCATACGAGCGAATGTCGGGGTGGAGTTCAAAGGCGTCAGGTGGAGTTGAAAGGCGTCGAGGTCGGGGATTGAAACCGAGGGGTGGGCGCAGAGATGCGCCGGCAAAAGTCCTTAAGGATCGGCGTTCACCACGCCGACGCGGTCGTATGGGAACCAGTGTATAGAACGCACCTGAGTGCCCGAGCATGTCGGGCGCCGCCACGTGGACGACGTGCGGCGCGTACGTCTCGAGCGCGGCGCGTTGCCGCGCTTGAAGCGGCGCCGCCATCTTGTACTCGGGGCGTCCGGGGACGGGGATCGCGGGGACCTCGCTGACGTGGAACCGGTGCGAGTTGGACGCCTCCGCGAAGTCGCTCTCGGTGAGATCCGGGGACATCACGAAGACGGACGAGTCCGCGCGATTCTTGAGGTGCGACGCGAGTCGTTTCATCGTCCGCGAGACGCCGTCGACGTGGTTCCACACGGTGCTGAAGATGACGACGCGGCGTTCCGGGCCGTACCCTTTCAGGGCGTTGCCATTCCCGACGCCGTCGCCGTACAGCGTCGGGATGTGGTTCTTCTTCTGCTGTACGGCGGAGGAGGCGGAGTTGGCGCCCGGGGCTGACGGCGGCGGCGTCTTTTCCGCCGCGGGCTCCGCCCCGGCGCGGTAGCACGAAATCTCCGGGCACACCTTGTCGCTCATCACCTCCGAGTTGGCGTAAATCCGCGCCAACAGCCGCGTCGTCTCGCGCTCTTGCTCGAGCAAGTTACACGCGGCGTACTCCCGCGCTCGCCTGGTGAGCTGCGTCGTCGTCCGCTCGTGCCACTGGTAGTGATTCACTTTCATCGGAATCGGATACGCGTTGACGTGATCGCGCGTCAGGCGACTCGCGGTCACGACGTCGTCGAGCCCAAAGTCCTGTAACGTCCTAACGTCCAGGATGGGATGCAACGCCTTGTGCGCGTACACGCGCTGACCGCCGCCGACGACCCCGGCGAGGGTGCTGTAGTGCCTCAACCCGTTCAGCGAGGACTCGCCGACGCCGCCGCCGCCGCCGCCGTTCGGCCCGGGGCCCTTGACGTTATCGTAATCCCCGGCCGACTCCCCGGTCATTTTGCCCTTGACGTCGCACGCGTTGATCGTGCACTGCAACGGGAACGCGTCCGACATCGGCGACGACGAACCGGAGGGGTTCGTCTCCGGCGGCGGCCACGACGGCTCCGCGCGCGGCGGCGCGATCAGCGCGCCCCCGTCGCTCACCCTGTCGATCCAATCCCCGTGCACCAACGAGTACCCCAACGCGTCCACCTTCCCCAAGAACTGCGGCAAGTTCATCCCCTCGTTCGTTACCTGCGCGTGCTCGTCCAGATCCGCGAGGACGACCCAGTCGTTGTCGTCCGCGACGTTCGCGAGGTGGTGCTCCCAGTGATGCGCCACCGCGGAGAAGAGCAACGCCTCGCCTTCCCACACCTCGAAGAAGACCCCCGCGGCTTCGCACAGCGCGACGAGCTCGCGCGTCGCCGCCGCGTCGTCGCCGCGCTCGCCGCCCCTGGTGTGGATCACGACGAGGACGTGCGATGCGGGGACGCCGCCGCGCGCGACGTAGTGCGCGAGGAAGTGCGAGAGGAGATCCGCGGTGCCGGGCGTGGACGCGGAGGCGCCGGTGAGGAGGAAGACGCGCGCGGCGGGATGCGCGCCGCCGCCGTCCTGCCCGGGCGCGACGCGCGTCGGCCCGGGCGCGAAGACTTTCTGCTGGCCCAAGAACGACCCGCGCTTGATCGGCGTTATCGTCTGCGTCGTCGTCGTCGTCGTCGTCGTCGGAGCCTCCGACGCCGCGATCCGCGCGCCTCCAGATTCGCCCCCCGCGCCCTCGTCGTCCTCGCGCAGCGGCGCCGCGCTGCACAACAGCCTGCGCGCGCTCGCCATCTCGATCTCGCCCTCGCGCAACACCGCGGGCAGCTCCGGCGCGGTGTGATGCCGCGGTCGGACGCGATACTTCCCGAAGTACACGCACAGACCGACGACGTAGACGAGAACGATGGAGAGCAGAACGCGCGGCAGCACGCGCTGCGCCTTTTTGTACCGCCGGCCGACGCGTATCTTCTGCGGCGTGCTCATCGTCGCCATCGCGGCGATGTACGGGCGGCGCTTGTACTCCAGCGAGCTCCGGTGGTTCATGAGCGGTGGCGCCATGGTCGCCGGGCTGGGGCCGCCCGCGCGCCGCGCGCGGAAGACTGGCGCGACGACGACGACGCCTCTCTTCGATTCGAACGAGAAGAACGCGTGGTCTTGTGTGGTCCAGCTGCAAGCTGTCTCGCGCGAGCTGGCGAGAGATTCAGGAGCGGTCTCAACGAAAGTGGTTCACCCATCCCTCGGTTTCAACATTTGATCGCTTCCCCTTTCAACTTCCGATGAACTTACTTTTTTCCTCGCGTGGCATCGCCGGAATCCACCGACCCTCGATATTTCCGGAGCGATGCGAGGGCGCGTCGTCAGACGGCGCCGCGCCGGGCGAGGGGAAGGATGGGCCTGCTGTGGGGCGTGCGGCGCGCCCTGCGCGCGCTGCGAGCGCCGCTGCGAAGGCCGCTGGAGCCGCTGCTGTGGGTCGCGGCGTCCATGTCCGCCAAGGACGTCTGGGTGCGTCCTCCCCCGTGCATTCCATTCCTCCCATTCCTCGGTCGCGACACCTCACCACGAATTCCCCGCCCGCCCTCCCTCCCTCCTCTCTCGCTCGCCGCTCACCTCGCCGTCCTCCCCCGCGCTCCGCCGATCCGTCCGTCCGTCGCAGTGCCTGCCGTCGACGGCGTCGGACGCGCTCGCGCTCGCGGCCGCGCCCGCGGAGGACGCCTCCGACGCGCCCCCGATCGTGACGTTCGTCCTCAGGTGCGTTCTACACACTGGTTCCCATACGACCGCGTCGGCGTGGTGAACGCCGATCCTTAAGGACTTTGCCCGGCGCATCTCTCCGCCCACCCCTCGCTTTCATTCCCCGCCCTCGACGCCTTTCAACTCCACCTGACGCCTTTCAACTCCACCCCGCCATTCGCTTGTATAGAACGGCCCTCAGCCTCCTCCGTCGAATCCCAATCGTGGGCGCGACCGTGCCGAGATGGCCGCGCTGGCTCGGCGGAGGCGGCGCGCCGTCCGCGTCGTCGCGCGCGTCGCCTCTCCGTCCGCGCCCGCGGCACCCCCTCGGCCGCAGAGGCGGCGCGCCGCTGCTCATCGTCGTCATGCAAGCGCGCCTCGACGGCGCGCGATGGCAGGTGGTCCCCGCCTACCTCGGCGCGCTCTCGTGCACGGCGGTGTCGTTCGCGGGGCGGCACCTGCGCGTGTCGATCCACCCGCTGCTCGCGAGGCTGACGGCGTGCGTCGGCGCGGCGGGCGCGGCGTCGAGCGCGGCCGCGGGGCTCTTCGCGCCGGTGTTCACGATGCCGAAGCCCACGGGGCCGTACCGCGTGGGGAAGACGACGCGGCTGTGGATCGACCGGAGCCGCCGGTCGTGGCTGCTGAAGAATAAGGCGCGTTCTATCTCACACTGGTCCCCATACGACCGCGTCGGCGTGGTGAACGCCGATCCTTAAGGACTTTCTCTCCCGGCGCATCTCTCCGCCCAGGGTCCCTCGCTTTCAATCCCCGCCCTCGGCGCCTTTGAACTCCATCTGACGCCTTTCAACTCCACCCCGACGTTCGCTCGTATGGACAATCACCCTCAGCCGAAGCTGGGGATGCAGCCGGAGAATCGGATGCTGATGGCGAACGTGTGGTACCCGGCAGCGGTGGGGGTGGAGGGCGAGGAGGGCGAGGAGGGCGGCGGCGGGGGCGAGGGGGGTATCGCGTCCGAGCCGCGTTGGCGCGACGACTTGGACGACGTCGCGACGGCGTCGCTGTTTTCATTCGCCGGCGCGACGGGCGGGAAAGCCCTCGCGGCGCGAAGAAGTAAGCAGCAGAAGAAGCGCAACAAGAACAAGAGGGCGCACTGGCTCGACCCGAAGATGGCGTCGACGCTCGCGGAGAGCTTCGCGATGCCGGCGTGGATCGTGAATTATTTCCGCCTCGTGAAGATGGAGGCGATCGAGGACGCGAACGTCGCGGACCCGCCGCCGGTCGCTGACGCTGACGTGTCGTCACCCACGGGCGACACGTCACCGTCCGACGCGGCGGCGGCCAATACTCAATGGAGCGGCGGGTTCCCCGTGGTCCTCTTCAGCCACTCGTTCACCGGGATGAAGGAGCAGAACAGCGCGCTGCTGCAAGAGCTCGCGAGCTGGGGGCACGTCGTCGTCGCCGTGGACCACCCGCACGACGCGGCGTTGGTCCTGTACCCCGACGGCAGCACCGCGGACTTCCGCGGGTACGACATGCCGAGAGAGTCCGAGCCTCGCAACTGGTGGCGGTTCCGGCACGAGCACGCGCGATGGAGGGCGTTGGACCTCGCGCACGCGCTCGAGAGGGTGGTGGACGCCGCGGGCGATCCGGCGTCGCCGTTGCATCGCAAGATCGACCTGACGCGGGTGTGCGCGCTGGGGCACTCGTTCGGCGGCGCCGCGGCGGTGATGCTCGCGCAGATGGACCCGCGCATCACGTCCGCGGTGCTGTTGGATCCGTGGATGTGGCCGCTCGGGAGGGAGGCGACGGAGATGGGCGTGCCGTGCCCGTGCGTCGTGTTGGAAGCGCCCGAGTTTCTGTGGAACCGCGACATCTTCTGCGTGACCAACGGGGAGATGTCGTCGTTGCTGTGCGCGGCGACGGCGCCGCAGGCGCTCCGCGGCGGTGGGAAGCGCGCCGTGGGGGGCGGCGGGGTATCTCGCCGCAGACGCGACGGGACGCTGGCGCCGAAGGCGGCGGCGGCGGAGACGGAGGACAAAGAAGAGGTCGTCGTGTCGCTGGAGGACGACGACGACGGCGGCGGATTCGGCGGCGGATTCGGCTCCACGGAGAAGACGACGGGATCCGACGACGACGAGATCGCCGCCGACCACCCGGACGACGAGATGAACCGCGTCGGGTCCGGGTCGTTCGTCACCGACAGCGTCGAGGGCTTCGCCGGCGTCGGATTTTACAGCGAGGATGGGTTCTACGCGCGCTCCGACCCGCCGACGTCGCCGCGGAGTCTGCGCGCGGGCGCGCTGTCGCGGCCGCAGCACCCGCGAACCGGCAGCAGCGAGAACCTCGCGTCTCTGCTTCAATCGCACTCGAGGAGTCTCGGCGGGAGCGTCGGGTCGTCGTCGCTCGACGGCGCGCTCTCCGACTCCGCGCCGACGACCCCGGACGCCGCCGCATTCGCCGGCGGCGAGTCGTCGACCGGCGGCGGCGCGAGCCCGAGGGACGGAGGGCTCCCGCCTCGGCACCCGAGCGGCGGGACGCTCACCCGCTTCGGGTCGTCTTCGTCGCGAGAGAGCGCCTTGTGCGACGCCGGGCCGACGACGCGACAGGACGCGTCGACGACGGAGGGATCGGCACCCTCGGCACCCTCGGCACCCTCGGCACCCTCGGCACCCTCGGCACCCTCCGGCATGGGCGCGCGGACGTCGTCGTGGGGCTCGCTCGCCGCGCCGTTTCGCCGCGCGCGCAGCGACAGCGGCGGCAGCTTCGCGTCCACCGCCGACCTCGGCGGATCGATCATGCAGCGCGACCCGAGCGGCATCGCGTTCAAGGCGGTGTTGAACGGGACGATGCACTTCGACTTCACCGACCTCGCGGTCGTCGCGCCGCTGACGACGACGATGCTCGGCATCGTCGGCGTCGGGGGAAGAGACGTCCACGACATCATGTCCGCCGCGGTGTTGCGGTTCTTGCGGCAGTTTAATCATCCGCGCGCGGTGGACGCGGCGTCGCCGCCGGCGCCCGAGCTGGAACGTCTGCGCGCCGGGTTGTTGTCGCACACGCCCGTGGCGATGGTGACGCCCGCGGAGCGGTGGGGGTTCTCGGGAGGGCACCACTTCGGGCACCCGAAACTCGGCCGCGGAGGTCGCGGCGGCGGCGGCGGCGACTCCGCGAAACCGGCGCGCGGGAAGGGGCATCACCACCACTCGCACCACGGACACGGCGCGTCGTCGTCGTCGCATCATCATCATAATCATCATCATCATCATCACGGTCACGGCATTCCGCTCGGGCGTCTGAAGCTGCCGCGGATAAAGATCCCGAGCCACCGCGGCGACCACGCAAAAGGCCGGCGCCACGCGCGCGACTCCCACCACAGGCGGTCGTTCGACGACACGCACCTGCACGAGCTCGGGATGGAGCTGACGCCGATCCCAGCGAGCCCGCACCCGGGGGGCGGGACCCCGGTCAGGGAGTTCTCCCCGGAGTTGCGCGGCCGCGCGGAGGAGGAGAAGGAGGAGGAGGAGGAGGAGGAGAACGATCTTCTTCGCGGCGTCGCAGGTCCGCGCGGGCCCGGCCCCGTCGTCGCCGTCGAATCTGATGAATCCGGATCCGCCGGGCCGGACACGCCGACGAATTTGGACGCGTTGAGAGCAGCGTCTCCCTCCCGCGCGCCGCCGCCGCCGTCTGCCGATAGCTGCGCGGGGAGCGTCGTCGTCGTCCCAATCGTCGTCGCGGACCCGACCGCGGTCGCGGTCGCGGTCGGACCCGCATCCGCGTCCTCGTCGGACGTCGCGCCGCCGGCGGAGTTTTCGTCGCCGCCGCCGGGCCCGCCGCCGCCAACGGCGTCGGTCGTCTCGACGCCGATCGCGTCAGCGGTCGCGGCGCCGTTCGTGGACGACTCCGCGGTGATGGCGCAAGAAGAAGAACAAGAAGAAGAAGACGCGGAGAATGATCGAGACCCGCCGACGCCGGCGTCGCTCCGTAAGACAGTCGCGGGCGGCGGCGGCGGCGGCGGCGACGGCGGCGACGGAGGAGGAGACCCGCGGTCGACGGAGACGCGCCGCCGCCGCCCGCCGCCGCGACCGGAGGGCGCGGCGTTGTCCCCGCGCAAGGAAAAGAAGACGCTCGCGTCCTCGCCCTCATCACGGGCGGCGGCGGCGGGCATCCCAGACGTGGACCCCGAGGATCAGATCGGGTTCTTGAGCCCGACGAGGAAGAATTTGAGGTGCGTTCTATACACTGGTTCCCATACGACCGCGTTGGCGTGGTGAACGCCGATCCTTAAGGACTTTTGCCGGCGTGTCTCTCCGCCCACCCCCCGCGTTCAATACCCGCCCTCGGCGCCTTTCAACTCCACCTGACGCCTTTGAACTCCACCCCGACGTCGCTTTGTATGGAACGACCCTCAGCGGCGGCGGCGCCTCGCGTCTCGCGCGAACCTCCTCGCAGGGCAGCCTCAGCCTCGTGAGCGGCGTGAGCGGCGCGCACTCGCTCTCGTCCGTGGGGAGCGGCGCGCGGACGCCGCCGAGGTCGCCGCAGCCGCTCATGTTCGGCGTCGTCCGACCGGCGTCAATCAACCCCGACGGCGACGACGACGGCTTACGCGACGAGCAGAACCTCGAAAACGTCACGGTAACCATCTCCGGGGGCGACGCGGGAGGAGACGGAGGAGGCGGAGGCGTCAGAGAGAGCTTCGGCGGCGGCGGCGACGGCGATGGCGATGACATCGAGACGTTCGGGTCCGCGGGATCGGACGCCGCCGCCGCCCGCCGCCTCGGCGTGCGGCGGCGCGTCATGGAGGTGGCCACGGGCGCGGCGGCGATGGTCCCGATGCTCGGGTCGCCGCCGCGATCGCCGCGGCCGTCCTTCTCCGCGTCGACGTCGTCGTCGCGCGGAGGACCCGGACCCGGACCCGGACCAGGACTCGGGCTCGTCGTCCTGGACGAGTCGTCGCACGACCCTGATCCTACCGTCGTGGAGGCGCGGCCGCGGCTCGTGAAGTGGGTGAAGAGCGACGAATGGATCAGCGACGACGCGCGGGAATGGACAGAGGAGCAGCGTCGGGAGATGCGTTGGCTGATCCACGAGAGCGATCGACACGATAAGCCGCTGCAGCCGTCCGACCTCGTCGCGATGTTCCCGAGCTTCAGCGCGCGGGCGATCGAGCGGATGATGACGGAGGAGAGGGCGACGATCGAGTCGCATCCGACGCCGAAGCCGCTGACGTGGCTGTCGCAGTATCCGCTGGAGGACGACGGCGACGGCGGCGGATCAGGTGGGGGCGGGGACGGGGCGGGGGTCGGAGCGCGCGACGACGCGGCGGCGTAGACGGAGAGCGAGAGCACTCAGTTAAGAACGCGATGAGAATTAAACGAAGAGTAAGAGAATCGGCGGCGTCGTCGCGACGGACGGCTCCTTCCCGCGGCGTCGGGGTTCGTAGAGGGGGAAGACTCGAAAAAAAAAAAAAAAACTCGAAACGCACGCCACGAGCCGCGGTCGGTCCCAGGTCAACGGAAAACTACATTGGTTGGTGACATCAACGCGATAACTCGGGACGCGAGGACGCGCATCGACGCACGTCGCGCGCGCCGCACGCATCGCATCGACCGCATCGCACCGCGCGCGCGCACGTCGCGCGCCGCCCGGACTCGCGCGCAGAGCGCGGACAGGACCCCCCCGGCCGGCGTCGTCGGACCCGAGGCGGCGCGAAAAAAAAAGCGACAGATCCCTTCGCACGTCGCGACGACTCAAGCGGGTGTCGGAGCGTCGGGCGACCGCGCGGACGTTCGATCGCCGCGCGCGTCATGAAGCTTCTCTCCAAGGCGACCGCGGCGTCGAACAATGACGGCGGCGGCGGAGCGGTGCGCGTCCCTCGCGCGCGGCATCGCGCGCGACCACCGCGGCGCGGCATCGCGTCCCGGCGTCCGCGGTCCCGCGGGCGGCCTGAGCCGTAGCCGTCCGACCCCTCTCGACCGACAAGACATGCATCGTTCGCGTTCCGTCCTCCGTCCTCCGTCGGCGACGGACGCGGCATCCCGTCCAAGCCCGTCTCCTCCCTCGTCCCTCCTGACCTCTCCCCGCGCCCTCCCGATCGTCCCACCGCGTCCGTCGATATCGACAGAGCGACGCCGCGACGAACGGCGACAACGCGCGCGGCGGCGAGAAACGCCTCGACCAGATCGCCGAGCTCGTGGACGCCTCCATGAAGGCGCGTCCCACACACTGGTCCCCATACGACCGCGTCGGCGTGGTGAACGCCGATCCTTAAGGACTTTGCCCGGCGCATCTCTCCGCCCAGGGTCCCTCGCTTTCAATCCCCGCCCACGGCGCCTTTCAACTCCAACTGACGCCTTTCAACTCCACCCCGACGTTCGCTCGTATGGAACGACCCTGAAGTTCACGCGCGTGCTCAAGCGTAAGGGCGTCTCGCAGGCGACGCTCAACGTCGCCGTGCGCGCGCGGCCGCTGTCCCGCGCGGAGATGAACGCCGGCGCGCGGACGATCACTCGACTCGTGGACGAGAAGTGCGTCGTCATCATGGACCCGGACGAGGACGACGCGGAGACCTCCGCGGCGCCGGGGAGGCCAAAGGTGCGTTCTCATCACACTGGTTCCCATACGACCGCGTCGGCGTGGTGAACGCCGATCCTTAAGGACTTTTGCCGGCGTGTCTCTCCGCCCACCCCTCACTTTCAATCCCTGGCCTCGACGCCTTTCAACTCCAACTGACGCCTTTGAACTCCACCCCGACATTGCTTTGTATGGAACCGAAGCCGACGCGAAGGAAAGAAGTCGCCGCCGGCGTGAGGAAGAGGGAACGCCGGTACGTGTTCGATAACGCGTACGACGGCGACGCGTCGAACGAGCAGGTGTACGCGGGGACGGTGTTGCCGCTCATCGCGGGTGTGTTGCGCGGGACGAACGCGACGGTGTTTGCGTACGGCGCGACGGGGAGCGGGAAGACGCACACGATGGTCGGCGACCAGGCGCGTTCTATCTCACACTGGTTCCCATACGACCGCGTCGGCGTGGTGAACGCCGTTCCTTAAGGACTTTCTCTCCCGGAGCGTCTCTCCGCCCATCCCTCGCTTTCAATCCTCGCCCTCGATGACTTTCAACTCCAACTGACGCCTATGAACTCCACCCCGACATCATCGCTCTTTGTATGGAACGACCCTCATCAGACGGACCCCGGGCTGATGGTGTTGTCGCTGCGCGACGTGTTTCGATACATCGCGCGAGATTCGCACGATAAGGACTACACCGTGGAGTGCTCGTACACGGAGGTGTACAACGAGCTCGTGTACGATCTCTTGGTGCCAAACAGCGGCGCGCTCGAGCTGAGGGAAGACCCGGAGAAGGGACCGACGGTGAGCGGTCTCACGCACGTCAAGGTTGAGGACGAGAGACAAATTTTCTCGCTCTTGCGGGAGGGAAACGCGCGCAGGAAAACGGAAGAGACGGGCGCGAACGCGGTGTCGTCGCGCTCGCACGCGGTCCTGGAGATTTGGGTCACGCGCTCGGAGCGCAACCACTACTGCAAGAGCTTCAGCACGGGCAAGCTCGCGCTCGTGGACCTCGCCGGCGCGGAGCGGGCGTCGGAGACGAACAACCGCGGGCAACAGCTCCGAGACGGCGCCAACATCAACAGGTCGCTCTTATCGCTCGCGAACTGCATCAACGCGCTGGGCAAGCGGAAGAAGAAAGGGTTCGTGTTCGTGCCGTTCCGCGACTCGAAGCTCACGCGGATTCTGAAGGACGGTCTCTGCGGGAACTCGCGGACGGTGATGGTGGCCACGGTGAGCGGATCAAGCCATCAGTACGAACACACGGTGAACACGTTGAAGTACGCGGATCGAGCGAAGGAGATCAAGACGCTCGTGCAAGAGAACAGAGGGACCGTGGAGACGCACATCGCGGAGTACCAGCGGATGATCGACGCGCTGCAGGAGGAGAGGAGGGAGCTCAAGGCGGAGGTGTCGAGGCTGAGTAACGGCGGCGGAGGCGGCGTTACCGGCACCGGGGGGGGGTCTTCGACGGCGGGCGGCGGCGTCACCGGGGTCAACGGCCGGGGAACGACCTCGCACGCGTCGCAGTCGCAGTCGCAGTCGAGCCCGGAGAACAGCGCGACCTCCACGTACATGTCCGCGCAGGAGGTGGAGAAGTTCGCGCAGGAGCTCGCGGAGGCGACGGACGCGTGCGCGAAAGCGCAGAGGGTGCTCCTCGAGAGCATGCACGAGCCGGAACCGTCGACGCCAAACGTGGGACGCGCGTCCAAAAAATACGCAGCCGCGGCGTCCGCGCTGGAAGCGCTCGCGCCGGTGAATTTGGCGGTCGACGTCGCGATGATCACTCACTCCGGTGCCGGGGCGTCGTCGCGGTCGAGCAGCCGCCCGAGCACGGGCGGCTCACGGGCCGCCGCCGCGCCCGTGAGCGCGAGCGATCTCGCGGTTCTACACGCGCGCGCGGCGCTCGCGGTTGCGGCGGATTACGACAACCTCGCGTTGGACGCGCGCGATAAGCTCATCGAGGACCAGCGGCAGACGATACAGTATCTCATGCGATTGCTTCAGACGAGGGCGAATATCGTCGACGAGGATGATTTGGATCTGCCGGAGAACTGCGGGATATCCCAGCTGGACGCGCGGTACCGGGCGTTGACGCGGGATTGGGAGAGCAGTAAGAGCAAGAAGAACGGGAAAAAGGGGAAAAAGCAGTCGGAGACGACGACGCTCGCGACGGACGGCCACGGCGCTTCCGTCGTCCCGCTCGGCGCGATTCGCATCGAAGCCGAGGCGCTCGCGGCTAGGGCGAGAGCCACGGAGAGCAACGGCGTTGTCGCGAACGGGGGTAATAAGCACTCGCGGAAACATTCATTCGGCGGCGGCGGCGGGTTCGAGCTCGAGTACGACGTCTCGGAGCTGAACCTAGCAGAGGTGGACTCGATCGACGACTCGATCAGCGACCGGAGCGGTTCATCGCGGAGCGTGTCCCCGCCGGGCGGGGTCAACGCCGCGATCGGGGCACCGAACGGGTGTCTGAGCCCCGTGCACGAGAACGTCGCGAAGAACGGAGGAGGAGGGAGCGACCGACCGAGAGGCGGCCAGAAGGCGGCCAAGGCGGCCAAGGCGGCGACCGCGGAGAAGGCGCACGCGAAGCCGTCGCCGTACGCCCCGGGCGGGGGCGGGGGCGGGGTTGGGGGCGGGGCGTCGCGGCGAGATTCCATCGCGAAGCGTCTGAACCGCGTGATGACGAAGCAAAAAGCGCGCAAGGAAGCCGCGGCGGCGTGAGGCGAGACGCGAGTGAGAAGTACGAAAGTAATACACAGAGGGGGGCGGCGGCACCCCGAGCGAAGAGAAAGAAAAAAGAACTTCGCCCGGGGTCGCACGGCGCGCGTCGTCGCGCCGTCTGATCATGGAACACACGCCACGTGTGGTTCTTTATTTAAAAACAAATTCATCCGCCAACGCTCCCCCGTTCCCCCCCGTCCTTTCCCTTCCCCCCGCCCCCCAAAAAATCCAACCCGTCCGCGAAGACTTTCGCTCGTCTACTTATATTAGAGTGAAAAAACAGTCGACGCGACGCGACGCGACGCGACGCGACGCACCGCGCGCGTCAGTCGCGCGACGGCGGCGACTCACGCGGCAACTCACGTACTGTACCGTATTCGTAGTCGTCCGACCGTCGGCGGTCAGTAGATGCGCTCGAGGATGTACTGCACCATGTCCACCAGCGATTGCTTCGCCTCTCCTTCCGGGAGCCCCTTCAACGCGGCGAGCGCCATGTCCGCTTCCTCCCTCGCCAACGTCCGCGCGTCCTCGATCCCAACCTCGTTCACGATCGCGATCGCCTTCTCCAGGTCGCCCTCGGTCTTGAACTGCGACTCCACCAGCGCGCGAAGCGACGCGTCGCGTCGCAGCGCGAAGATCGTCGGCGCGGTGAGATTCCCGCTCGCGAGGTCTTGCCCCTGCGGCTTCCCGAGCTGCTCCTCCGTCTGCGTGAAGTCCAAGATGTCGTCCACGACCTGAAACGCGAGGCCGAGGTGCTTCCCGTACTCGTACATGTCCACCTTGATGTCCTCGCTGACTTCGGAGAACACCGCCGCGGATTTGCAGCTCGCCGCGATGAGCGACGCCGTCTTGTTATGCGACTTCTCGAGGTACCCCTCTAGGGTCACGTCGCAGTTGAACAGCGCGCCAGCCTGGGAAATCTCCCCGTCCGCGAAGTCCGCGATGACTTGCGAGATGAGCTTGATCACCTCGAGGTTGTCCAAATTCGCGAGATACCACGACGACTGCGCGAAGAGAAAGTCCCCGGCGAGAATCGCGACGCGTGTCCCGTACAGCGTGTGAATCGTCTGCGCGCGAACGTCGGGGTGGAGTTCAAAGGCGTCAGTTGGCGTTGAAAGGCGTCGAGGACGGGGATTGAAAGCGAGGGGTGATGGGCGGAGAGAAACGCCGGGAGAGAAAGTCCTTAAGGATCGGCGTTCACCACGCCGACGGGGTCGTATGGGAACCAGTGTGAGATAGAACGCACCTGCGCGCCTCTCCGCGTGTCGCAATCGTCCAACACGTCGTCGTGCACGAGCGACGCGGTGTGAATCATCTCCGTGATCTCCGCGAGTCGCCGCTGCCGGTCCGTGATCTCCGGCATATCCATCAGCTGCGCGGTCGATCGCGCGACGAGGAACACGAGCACCGGTCGGAGCCGCTTGCCCCCCGCGCCGAAGATCTGATCCGCCGCGGCGAGCAGCAGCGGGTTCTTCCGTCCGACGATGTCGCGCAGGTTCATGCGCATCTGCTCCATGTCCGCCATCACGGGCGCGGTGATGGCGTCTATGTCCATCGAGCACACGCCGTCCTTGCAGTCCATGCTAGAGCTGCGGCGCAGAGGGGAGAGAGGAAGGGAGATGGGGGGGAGACGGAAGGATGGATTATTCAGTCGTCAGAATTTATTTATACCGCGCGTGGATTTGGAGCAGAGATCGGGCGCGCCAGCGACGACGGGCCAGGGTTACGTGTCTCGCCGCGAGCGACGCGACGCGCGATCGCGCGCGCTCCCGCGCGCGCGCACCTGTGGTCGAGCTCGTCCATGCTCGCGAACTGGACGTGCTCCGGGTCCATGTCCATCTCGTCGATGGACGGCTGCGAGCGCGGGGTCGCGACCGCGCGCGCTCGCGCGCCCGGACGCCGCCGAGCGCCGAGCGTCGTCGTCGCCCCGCCGGTGGCGAGGCCGACACGATGGTGGTGGACGCTCGCCGCGCGAGACGAGCCGCCAGAGGAGCTCGTCGTCGCGCCGGACGCGCGCGCGAGGACGGCGCCGCGCGGCGCGCTCGCGCCCGAGGGCGCGACGCTCGCGCGACCGCCGCGCGCGCCGCGCGCGGGCGCGATGGCGCTCGATCCGAGGACCTCGGATCCACCGCTCGTCGTCGCCGCGGGGGAGCCTCTCGTCGCGGCGACGCCGAGGCACGCGCGCGCGCACGCCGACATCTCGTCCGCGCGCCTTTTCCTTTCCTTTCCGTGTCTTCCCGAGAACGCCCGGCGCGTTTCGCGTGCGTGGGGTGAGCGGAGTCGCGAGGGCGCGCGTCTGCACGCGCGGCGCTCGGAGGTGTGTCCGCGCGTGCGGCGACGACAGGTGTCGAGCGAGGCGAGCGCGAGAGATCGAACACGTCACTCAAGGAAAAGGACTCGTCGACGACGGTCTAATTTTGAAGATAAGGTGACCTCGAAGGAGACTAAAAAGGCATACGGAGTACGACGGATCGCGTACTACGTGGTGCGACCGATCGATTTTTCGCGTGCGACGAAAAATTACAGCACAGCAGCTCCTCGTGCGTGACGACATCAATCACTAATAAGAACACGCCGCCGCCGCGCGCGACGCACCTCGCGCCTCATCCCGCGCGTAATTGTAATTACCACCCCATCTCGTCTCCCCGCGTCATGTCATTCACGTCGCGTCCTAACGCGCCCCCACGCCGCGGCGCTTGTACAAGACCTTGTCGATCACGCCGTAGTCCAAAGCCTTCTCCGCGGTGAGATGGAAATCGCGTCGAATGTTTTCCTGAATCTCGCTCGCGGGCCGCCCCGTCGCGCCCGCGATCATGTCGTTAATCTTCGCCCGGATCTTCAGTAACTCCCGCCCCTCGTTGTTGATATCCGACGCCGCCCCTCTGGCCGCCCCGGACGGGTGATGCAGCATGATGCACGTGTTCGGCAGCGCCGCGCGTTTCCCCTTGGCGCCGCACGCGAGCAGCATCCCTGTGGAGTTGATAGGCGTAAGAAGCGGAGTTTAAAGGCGTCGAGGGCGGGGATTGAAAGCGAGGGACCCTGGGCGGAGAGATGCGCCGGGAAAAGTCCTTAAGAATCGGCGTTCACCACGCGAACGGGGTCGTATGGGGACCAGTGTGAGATAAAACGCGCCTCCCATCGCGCGCGCGGATCCGAACCCGACGCATCCGACGTCGCTCTTGATGTGCTTCATCGTGTCCAGGATGGCCATCGTCGGGACGACCTCGCCGCCCTCGCTGTTGATGTACAGGTAGATGTCTTTCCCGGATTTATCCGTGGTGTCCAGGTAGAGCATCGTCGCGACGAGCTGGTTCCCGAGCTCGTCGTCGATCTGTTGGCCGATCCACACGATGCGCTCGCGGTAGAGGCAGTTCCAGATGTCGACCCACTGCCACGAGTTTTCGTTCGGGGTCTTGTACGGGACGCGCGGGACGCCGATGGGCATCATCGTCGCGACGGACCGCGTGCCTTTGCCGTTCGACCGCGACTGCGCGCGCACCGCGTCGCGCAGCGACGCGACGGTTTTCGTGAGCCCGACGGGCGCAGCCTTGAGGCCGCGGAAGGACGCCATCTCGCGCGGCGGCGACGACGTCGGCGCTCTCGCGGGCGCGCGCGTCGGCGTCGCGAGCTTGCGCGAGCGGACGCCGACGGGCGCGACGGACGACGCCGCGGCGGCGATGGAGAACGCCATGGCGACTCCCGTCTATCTATCGATCCGATCCCCCTCCGAACGACGGACGGTCTTTTCTTTTTCCTCCGCGAGAACCCTAACCCGCGCGAATGCGCGCGCGACGACGCGCGAAGACGGGGCGATGCGCCGTGCGTTCGCGTGGATCGCGTGGATCGCGATGCCTACCGCGGAGATCGCGCGTGTGCGTGCGGAGACGACGCGCGGATCGCTGTGACGCGCGGTGGCGTCGCGCCGGTGCCCCCGAGCGAAAACCCAATAGCTACCTTCGTACCTGTAGAGCTAAGACGGTCATTAGTGGTAAATATCGGTCAGTTGAAAGGCAACGCGATCAAATATTGAAACCGAGTGGTGGGTGAAAAACGTTTGGAGTGACCGACACCACGTCGCATCGCAGCTCCAGTCTGCCAGTCCGCGGCAAGTCGGATCTCTTTCCCGCCGCGTTCGGGGGGGAGGGTCGCGCGCGGCGCAGTCGTCCGCGCGCGCGACACCGGCGATCGTCGCGAACGCGAAGCGCAGGCTTCCTTCGATCGCGCGCACCGCGCGGGGGCCGTCCATCGCGCGCGCGCGCACGTCGTCGCGCGCGGTCGGACGCGGATCTCGCGGCCGAGCGCGGCGCGCGTGAAAAGACAGACGGAGCGCGTTCATCGGCGAACCGTCGAGGTCGACTCGAATCGATCGCGGAGCCGGACGGAAGGCGGCGAAAGCCTTCTCGTCTCGTCGATCGCTCCCACCGCGTCGATCGCAACGCCACCATGGGGAACGCGGTGACGTCCATGAAGAAGGCGTTCGACAAGATGTTCGGGAACAAGGAGATGCGCGTCGTCATGCTCGGCCTGGACGCCGCGGGCAAGACGACGATCTTGTACAAGGTGCGTTCTATACACTGGTCCCCATACGACCCCGCACGCGTTGTGCTCGCCGATCCTTAAGGACTTTTCCCGGCGCATCTCTCCGCCTACACCTCGCTTTCGATCCCCGCCCTCGACGCCTTTCAACTCCATCTGACGCCTTTGAACTCCACCCCGACGTTCGCTCGTATGGAATGGCCCTAAGCTTCACATCGGCGAGGTGCTCTCCACGGTCCCCACGCTCGGGTTTAACGTCGAGAAGGTGCAGTACAAGAACGTCGTGTTCACGGTGTGGGACGTCGGCGGGCAAGAGAAGCTGCGGCCGCTGTGGAGGCACTACTTCAACAACACGGACGGGCTCATCTACGTCGTGGACTCGCTTGACAGAGATCGCATCGACCGCGCGAGGGCTGAGGTGCGTTCTACGTCACACTGGCCCCCATACGACCGCGTTCGCGCGGTGAACGCCGTTCCTTAAGGACTTTTCCCGGCGTTTCTCTCCGCCCAGGGTCCCTCGCTTTCAATCCCGACGCACACACCTCGACGCCTTTCAACTTGAACTGACGCCTTTGAACTCCACCCCGACGTACGCTCGTACGGAACGGCCCGGAGTTCGAGAGCATCATCAACGACCCGTTCATGAGGAACTCCGCCATCCTCGTCTTCGCGAACAAGCAGGACATGCGCGGGTGCCTCACCCCCGCGGAGGTCGCGGAGGGGTTAGGGATGCGCGAGTTGCGGGCGCGGAAGTGGCACGTCCAGAGCGCGATCGCGACGCGCGGGGAGGGGTTGTACGAGGGGTTGGACTGGCTGTCGAGCACGCTGAAATCGATGCAAGGGCGGGGGCAGGCGACGTCGGTGGGGACGTCGGGGGAGAAGCAGAGCAAGGGGTTCTCGCTGTTCGGGGTGAAGCTGTGACGCGACGTTTAACGTCGGACGCGAGGACGCGGCGTTTGAGGCGGCGGCGGGGCTGGTGGTGGTGGCGGCGACGACGGGGCGGGGTTTGGTTTCGACGACGCAGAAGACGACGTTTGTCTCGATTCAACATCTCATCGCGACGCGCTTCCTTCCTTCCCTCCGTCCGTCCGTCCTTCGTCTCGTCGCCGCCCTCCCCTTCCCTCGACCCCCCGACCAACCCTCACGCGCGAACCGGCGCGTCCCCCGGCGCGGGCAACGCCAACGCTCCCGACGCGATCGACGCGTCCGCGAAGCGCGCCTCCTCGCCCTCGCGGTGATGATACCCCTCGTATCTCCGCACCCAGCTCGCCGCGGGCGGGAGCCACACGCCGGCTCGTTCGCGACACGCGCCGCAGCCGCGCCAGCCGTGTCGGCACTTGGAGCACCCGAGCTCGACGCCGTGCGGGAGGCGAGACGCGAGGTCTTCCTTCGTGCGGACGCCGGCGACGTCGACTTGGAACAACGCGAGCGCGACGGCGAGGGATTCGCTCGGCGCGGCTTTCGATTTGAACCCAGAGCCGGCGGATTTCGGCGGAGAGACGCGAAGCGCCTTCGACTTCGCCGCGCCGCCCCTCGTCCTGGACGACGGCTTCAGCTTCCGCGTTGACTTCGGCGTCTTCGGCGTCTTCGGCGCGCGCGCGGCGGCGGACGTCTTCGGTCGCTTCGAGGTGGCCGCCGCCGCGGGCGCCGCCGCGGCTTTCCTCTTCCCCCCGGCGCCGGCGCCGGCGCCGGCGTCGGCGTCGCGTCCGCCCGCGCCCGGCGCCGGCAACGCCAACGTCTCCGTCACGCCCGCCTTCGCTCGACACACCAGGCAGCCGTACCGAGCGTACCGGCACTTCGAGCACCCGAGCTCGATGCCGTCGAGCTCGACCGCGTTGATCGCGAAGAGCGGCGGCGTGCGTCCCTTCCCGCAGTACGTCGACGGCAAGACGACGCCGGTATTAGTAGTGCGCTTTCCTCCTCGCGTCGCGCGCGCATTTTTTTGCGCGCTGAGCGATTTGACAACCGCCTTGGCCGCCGTGGCGTAATCCGCGGCGGCGCCCAGGCGGCTCTTCGCCTTCGCCGCGGGCGTCTTCGGGGTGTTCTCCTGCGCGTCGTCTTGGTCTTGGTCGTTGTCTTGGTCTTCCTCCCACGGGTACCGCTTCTGATGCGTCGTCGCGGCGTTCCTCGCGGCGACGTCGTTCGAGGACAGCGACCCGAGCGCGGCGCGGCGGCTCCCCGCGGCGCTCGTCGGTTTCTTCTCCGTCTTTGATTTCTTCTTTCCCTTCTTCGCCGCCGCCGTCCTCGCGCCGCCGCCGCCGCCCTCGCGCGTCGCGGCGTCGTCGTCGACGAGCCACTTCGCGCACTCGCTCAACACGAGATCCTCCTCGTCGCCGTCGTCGTACCGCACGAACGCGCAGGTTTCGTACGCGCCGAGGTCGTAGTTCTTCACCGCCCGCGTCTCCACGACGACGCCCTCGTACCAGTCCCCTCGGCGTCGCTGGTTCTTTTTCTTCGCCGCGGGGCGTCCCCTGCCGCGCTTCCGCGGCGGCGGCGACGGCGTGTCGTCGCCCACGAGCGCGAACCACTTCCTCACGCGCTTGCCCGTCCACGCGCCCGCCACCTTGGCGGCGGCGGCGTTGGCCGCCGCGCGCGCGGCGTTGGCGTCAATCTCCTCCTCGGAGTCGTACGGATCCTCGTCCGCGTCCACGTCATCTTCCACGTCGGCGTCTTCTTCGTCCATGTAGTCGTCCACGTCCACATCGTCGTCCACGTCATCATCTTCGTCGACCTCGAGGTCCGTCCCCGTGACGTCCGCGTCGTCGCCGAAAGACGCGTCGAAGTCGTACGGATCGGGAGCCCTCGGCGTCGGCGCCGGCGCCGGCGCGGTGCCGCCCTTGACCGCGCGCACCGCCGGGTCTTCGTCGTCCACGTCGTCGTCATCGTCCACGTCCACGTCAGCACCGTTCACGCGCCGTCCGGGCGTCGGCGCGACGAGCCCAACGCCCGCGCTCCGCCCTCGGAGCGACTCCGCGGCGAGCCCGAGCCGACGCGTCGTCGTCGCCGGCGCGTCCATCGCGTCCTGATCGATCGACGCCGACGGCAACTCCTCGCGCGGCGGCGGCGCCGGCCGCGCCGCGTGCAGCGTCGAGCACCGTCTCTCCTGCACCGCGCTGACGTCGATCACGAGACCGTGATCGCCGCGAAACGCGGTGAGCTCCTCGACAGCCTCCTCCGTCGTCCAGCGGAGCGCGGCGTCCACCCACGGCGCCGCCGTGCGCAGCAGTTCGTACGTCGCCTCGCAGCCGTCCTCGATCTTGCCGTCCGCCTTGAAGATGATGTCGGGGTGGAGTTGATAGGCGTCAGTCGGAGTTGAAAGGCGTCGAGGACGGGGATTGAAAGCGAGGGGTGGGCGCAGAGAGACGCCGGCAAAAGTCCTTAAGGATCGGCGTTCACCACGCCGACGCGGTCGTATGGGGACCAGTGTACAGAACGCACCTCAAACGCGCGCAGGACGCCGTCCACTTTCTCCTCGTGCCCCGCCGTCGCGGCGAGCTTCTTCTCGAGCTTCAACTCCGCGATGGCTTCCTCGAGCTGACAGTCCACGACGCACTCCACTCTCAGGCACATGGACGCGGCCCACACGAGGAACGCCCACATGTCCGCGCCGTAGTCGTACGTCGGCCCTCGCGTGTCCGGGGCGATGTACCCCGCGGTGCCCGGCCCGTGGAGCGTCATCCGGCGCTTGCCCTCCTCCGGGAGTTTCACCGCGGTGCCCCAGTCGGTGAACGCGACGGTCAGCTTGACGACTTCGCCCGTGCGGCCGCGTTTGGCGTCTCGAACGAGGAGATTTTTCGCCTTGAGGTCTCTCCACACGACGCGCGCGCTCTTGAGTCGCTCCAGGCCCTCCGCGACTTGCAGCATGACGTCGAGCTTCACCGCGGGCGACAGCGGCGCGCCCTCGGCGACCATGAAGTCCTCGAGGTTCCCGTGCGGGCACAGCTCGGTGATGACCGCGAGGCAGCCGCGATGGCGTTTGACGCACGAGTCTTTCTTCGCGGCGTCGTCCGCGGCGTCATCATCCGCGGCTTCTTCATCCGCGGACGGCGGCCGATGTTCCGTGGTGTACCCGTACACGCGCGCGGCGATCGCGGGGAGCCCTGTCGCGCGGGAGGAGGGGGAGGCGGCGGCGGTCAGAGACGCGCGCGGCGGCGGCGCGGCGACGAGGCGGGGGGGGGGGCGCGGCGGCGGGCGCGCGGCGCGGCGGATGAAAATGCATTCGATCATTCTCGACGCGTCCGCTCCGTGACGGACAGCCGAACGCGTTGATGACATCGGGGGCCATCGAGCGCGGGGGGAAGGACGCACCCTCCACGGTCGCGACCTCGGACACCGCGGTGGAGACCCTGTCCGTGTCCACGACTCTCGCGCAGACGTCTCGACCTGTCGTGGACGGCGCGCGCGCGGACGGGGATGGGGAGCGGTCCGTCAGCGTCGCCGCGCGGGGCGGGGGGAACGGGACGAAGAGGAGCGATTTCGCGAGGCGCGAGCCATCGCGAGCGGAAGGACGAGGGATAGGATGGATGGGGGCGACGACGCACCGTTCCACTCCGCGCGATACGCGGTGCAGAACCCGCCCTCGCCGAGGCACTCGTCCCACTTCACGCACACCTCCGCGTTCGAGAACCGCGTCAGGTCCGGCCGTCGCTCCGCGATGCGCGCGACGCACTCGTCGAGCTGCGCGGCGTCCATCGCGACGATGTGCCGTTTATTCCGCGCGAACGAATCTGCGATGCCGCGCCGCGTGCAGACGACGACGCGCTCGATACGCGCTTCGAATCGCCGCGCGGATGTGACGTGCTCGGTCGCGTTCGCGTCGTTCGCGTCGCGTGCGCGCGCGAGGTGTGGGCGCGCGGTGAGCTGTGGCGGTCGCCGCGGCGCGCGGCGTCGAATCAATCTGACGGAAAAAACGGGAGAACGGGAGAGTTGTACCCCTGGTCCGAGCGTCGTACTGCGCAAACAGTATGAAAGTACGCGCGAATCGTACTACGTGGTCGGTTATCGGTTATGGGTCACGCCGCGCTCGCGAGCTCGCGTTCTGTCACAGCTCTCCCTCTCCCTTCGCGCCGAGTTCTTCCTCCACCGGACACGGCGACTTCTTCCTCCGCGTCTCCCACACGCACAGCGTCCTCACGATGTCGACGAACGACGGGTCGTCGTCGGCGTCGGCGTCGTCGTCGTCGTCGTCGGCGGCGTCGTCGGCGTCGTCTCCCGCCGCCGCCGCCGCCTTCGTCGTGCCGACGCGCATCGTGCCGTCCATCAACGCCCTCACGACGACCTCCTCCCTCTCGTCCACGACGCTCCCGCAGTACCCCGTCAACCTCTTCCCGTCCGCCTCCACCTTCGCCTGCGCGAAGTTTCCGCCCAGCATGTCCGACAGCGAGTCGCCGCCGTCGCCGCCGCCGCCTAGATTAATGTGCACGGTCTGCCTGCGATCGCCCTGCAGCTTCACCCACCCCTCCTCTCGCGTGCTCGCGAGGACGCCGACGCCGTAGTCCTTCATCCCGTCGCACAGGCCGTCGAGGACGTCGTACGCGCGCAGCTCGCTCTGGACGTACGGCACGACCTTCCCCACGCGGTTCCCGCGCGGGTCCAACCTATGGCGAAGGTCGACCGCCGGCCTGCCGTCGACGTCGCCCTCGTCGAGCAGACGATGGTAGAGCTCGCGCGCGACGGCTTTGCACGCGCTGCACTCGTGCTGGATCGCGCGCGCGGGGTGGGCGGCGGCGAGGACGAGCGCGAGGACGACGACGAGGGGGGCGAGGAGGGGGGAGGAGGAAAGGCGGCGCATCGCGCGGGCGGGCGGCGTGCCGCGGCGCGGAGGCCGAGTGACGAGATCGCGCGGGCGGATTTTTCTTTCTTCCTTCTGCTTCGAATTTCATCGCAGTCATCAACTCCTCGCCGCGGCGGCGGTCTCTTCCGCTCTCTTCCCGGCGCCCTTCACCTCCAACCGCTCCAGCGCCGCGATCTGCGCGAACGTCGCCACCTGCGAGAACCCGTCCGGCCACGAGATCTGCACCGCGTAGTTCCCCACCACGTTCGTCTCCGACGGCGCGATGTCGTCCGGAATCGGCGTGACCCCGTCCGCGAGAAACTCCGCCTTTCGCGCCTCCCCCGGCGCCGCGGCGCTCTTATCGCTCTTCCGCACGTCCGACGCGCGGACGTAGAACGGCAGGCCGCCCTCGTCCGCGAGCTGCACGCGCAGCGCTTTAACGCCGTGAGTCTCCATCGCGCCCGCGACGTCGTCCTCGTCGATCGCGAGACCGCCCTTGGGACCCGCACTGAGGGTCGTTCCGTACGAGCGAACGTCGGGGTGGAGTTGAAAGGCGTCAGTTGAAGTTGAAAGGCGCCGAGGGCGGGTATTGTGAACGAGGTGTGGGCGGAGAGAGACGACGGCAAAAGTCCTTAAGGATCGGCGTTCACCACGCCGACGCGGTCGTGTGGGAACCAGTGTATAGAACGCACCTCAGCTTCGCCACCTCCTGCACGACTTTCGCGGCGACGGCGCCGTAGGCGCCGGAAACCTCCCCCGCGGGATCCGCCAACACGAGCGGCTTCCCGCTGTCGCCGCACGCGCTCAGCTCCGGGACGATGGGCATCTGAAACAAGTTCGGGACGCCGTACTCGTCGCATATTCGCTGGCCGCTGCCCTCGCCGAACGGCTTGTGCCTCACGCCGTCGACCTCGAAGTAGCTCATGTTTTCCACGACGGCGACGCACGGCACTCGGAGCTTGCTAAACATCCGCACGCCCTTCTCGACGTCTATGAACGCGAGCTTCTGCGGCGTCGTCACCACGACCGCGGCGGTGATCGGGACCACCTGGCAGATCGTGAGCTGCACGTCGCCGGTGCCGGGCGGCATGTCGATGATCAAGTAGTCCAGCTCGCCCCAGTCCGTCGTCGTGAGCATCTGGTTTATGAGCCCGCTCACCATGGGGCCGCGCATGATCGCGGAGCCCTGCCCCGCGAACCCGAACGAGACGACGCCGACGCCCTCGTACTCCGTCGGCGTGATCGTTCCGGTCTCCTTGTTCATCTGCAGGACCGCGATCTCCGGGGACGTCATCGTCGGCAGCGACGGGCCGTACACGTCCGCGTCGAAGATGCCCACCCTGGAGTTGAAAGGCGTCAGAAGCGGAGTTGAAAGGCGTCGAGGGCGGGGATCGAAAGCGAGGGATGGGCGGAGAGATGCGCCGGGAAAAGTCCTTAAGGATCGGCGTTCACAACGCCAACGCGGTCGTATGGGAACCAGTGTGAGGAGAACGCGCCTGGCGCCCATCTCTTTGAGCTTGTACGCCAGATTCACGCTCGTCGTGCTCTTCCCGACGCCTCCCTTGCACGAGCTCACGGCGATGATGTGCCGCACGTTGCGCAGGCCCTCCACGGTGTCCGGCGCGTCGTTCGTCACCTCCTGCGCGGTCATCGCGACGTTGCACGATTTCACCCACGGGACCGCGCTCACGTGCTGCTTCGAGAGACGGTCGAACTCTTCCTTCACCGGACACGCCGGCGTCGTGAGCTCGAGCGTGAACGTCACGTCGCCGTCGTCGGTGATGCGCAGGTCCTTCACGAACCCGCAGTTCACGACGTCTTCGCCGAAGTCGGGGTCGATGACGTTGCGCAGCGCGTCGAGGACGTCCGCCTCGCGCGATCCCTCGGGCGCGGACGTGATGGACGGCGAGGAGGAGGAGGACGCGCGGACGGCGACGTCGACGACATCGCGGCGGCGCGGCGCGCGGCGAGCGCGCGTCGCGGCGAGACGCGCGCGCGCGAGGGATGGGCGTCCTCGCGACGACGACGGGATGGACGTCGACGCGGCGGCGGCGGCGGCGGCGGCGGACGCGGCCATCGCGGCGGCGCGTCGAGGATACTGCGCCGCAGTCCGCCGACGACGAGATAACGTGAGCGGCGACAGGACGAGATCCATTTGCAGACTAAAAAGTCACGTGCCCGAATACGTCATAATCCTGCATGACACCTGCAGGTGCCATCAAACCAAGTTATCCATGGTTTCAACATCCTTCGTCGGGGGAAACGGAGAGGCGTCTACTCGTAGGAACGTGCCTTACGTTTCATGGTGTACACTACAACTCGGTCTATCGTCACTGTTTTACACGCCTCGCCACCTTCAGTACGCGAGCTGCGCCAGGCTCGGCGCGATGCCGGACGCCCCCGACCTGCACTCCGGCCTCGCGTTCATGTGCTGCATGAGCGCCTGCATCGTCCGCGTCTGCCTACCGCAGCACGGGCACCGGTAGTTCAACCCGTTTGGATCGAACGACGTTGTGTGCACGCTGTCCCACCCGATCTGCTGAACCACCATGTGCGACCCGACCTGGTTGACGAGTCCGTGCACCGCGCGGCACGCGTCTTCGCGGTTCGGGCAGTTCGGGCAGCTCCCGCTCTCGAAGTGCTGAACCGCGCCGAGCATGCCTGAGCGAGTGAGAGTTGTGGACGCGCGCGGGGGGTCAGCGCGGGTGCGAGATGAGCTTACTGTACGTTAAGTGTCGGGCGGACGCGCGGGGACAGTCGTGATGCGCGCGGAGGAACTAACGTACCGCGGTGCATTCTGCCGCACGAAGGGCACGGGGTGTTCCGGTCGCCGCGCCGCTGGTACGGCGTGTTCTGGTCGCCGCGCCTGTGGTACCCGCAGCCGGTGTGCACGCGCGGGTTGTTGAAGATGTCGTGAAGCTCCGAGATCTGGGTGTTGTCTCGGCGGAAGAGCTGCGTGCGTTGTTGCGCCCTGGGGTGCTTGATGTACGTGCCGACGGTGCCGGTGCGGTACCAGACGCGGACGATCTCGGAGTCGCCGTTGGCGTCCGCGCGGCGAAAGTCGAGGACGCCCTCGCCGCGCCCGTGCTGGCATTGCGTGTACCCGTAGTCGCGGGCGACACACTGCACGTCGTAGACGCTGAACGCGTCGTTGTTGGATGAGTCGGTGTAGAGTAGCCCTACGTGCGCGGTCGTCGCGTAGTCGTCGGAGTCGGATGAGGAGTAGTAACCCATAGCGCCGATATTTGTTTGGCGTGCGCGTGGGTGCGTTCCGAGGATGCCCGTGGGCGTGGGTGCCTCTCGACGAGGGCCCTTGGAGACCCGCGGCCTCGGATGTGTCTCCGAGATAAACGCCTTCGAAGTGTCGTTGTCCAGCCAGCTGCTCGGGATTTGTCGTACCGGGGATTTGGCGCCGATACCAGCGAATTGAGCTGGCTGGCTGGTTCTGATACAGTAGTGGTGTTTTCTTCCTGTCGGGCGTCGTAGCTTTTCGACGTCACTCTCGCTGCGCGCCGCCACGCCGCGTCTCGCACGAAGATCATGGTGAAGAAGCGAGGAGCGAACCAGCACACGGGCAAGCCGTTCATCGAGTGGTGCGCGGAGAACGGGAAGCGCGGCGAGAGGCTCGCCAACGAGTTCCGCGAGGAGCTGCCGACGGAGCTGACATATGCGTCGAACTACAAGGCGAAGTGGAAGTGCAGCAACGTCAAGTGCAAGCACGTGTGGCGGGCGATGGTGTGCAGCCGCACGAAGAGCCACAGACACACCGGGTGTCCGAAGTGCGCGAATCGCATACCGCTGAGCAAGACGCACAACTTCCTCGTGTGGTGCGAGAAGAACGGCGAGCTCGGGAAGAAGCTGTCGCGCGAGTACGTCGATAAGGACAAGCCGCCGACGGCGGTGACGAAAGCGTCGCACTACAAGGCGAAGTGGAAGTGCAGCAACGTCGAGTGCAAGCACGTGTGGAGGGCGCAGGTGAGCGACCGCACGAAGAGCGACAAACCCCGCGGGTGCCCGAAGTGCGCGAATCATGGGCCGCTGAGCAAGGCGAACAACTTCCTCGTGTGGTGCGAGAAGAACGGCGAGCTCGGGAAGAAGCTGTCGCGCGAGTACGTCGATAAGGACAAGCCGCCGACGGCGGTGACGTACAGGTCGACGTACAAGGCGCTGTGGAAGTGCGCGGAGTGCGACCACGAGTGGCTGGCGACGCTGAACCAACGCACGACGAGCCGGAACCCCAACGCGTGCCCGGCGTGCGGAGCTCGCAAGTCCGCCGGCGACGAACACGCCGCCGGCTGACGAAACTGTACCGAAAACGCGCCGACGAGGGCAGCGAACGAACGAGCCCGACGATCGATACCGAAGTAAGTGAACACGCATTAACTCGATACCGAAGTAAGTGAACACTGCGTTCTAAAAGAGTGTTTCGCCCACCCCGTCGTTTCGACATTCGATCGCGTCTGTACCCTTTCAACCGACCGACGAACGCGTCACGATCCCGCCGGCGCGAACAGCGCCTTCTCCTCTCTCCGCAACCACGCGCACAGCCTGTTGCACACGCTCACACCCGCCTCCTCGCTCGCGTCCGCGCGAAGCAACACGAAGAGCTCGAAGTCGGACCCGACGCACGCGATGACGACGCCGTCGTCACTGCGTTCGTAGTGCACCCTGCGCCGGACGCCGCCGCCGACGCGAGGCGCAGCGGTCTCACCGCCGCCGCCGCCGCCGAACAAGCCGCCGAACAAGCCGCCGCCGCCGCCGCCGCCGCCGCCGCCGCCGCCGCTCCCGCCGCCGTCGTCGTACTCCCACGCGTCCGCGTCGTCCGCGATCGCGGACGCGCGGACGCGCGCGAACCGCCGAATCACTTTTTTCCTCGCGCGCGCGTCGTCCGCGAAGACGCCCTCCCACGTCGGCGCGACGAACTGCCCGAGCGGCGGCCGGTGATACAGGAAGTGCAGCAGCGGGGTCTCCCCGGGAAGTCCGCCGCCGGCGCCTTTTGGGAGGTGCCGCGAGATCGCGATCGAGCCGGCGCCGGCGCCGCCGCCGTCGCCGTCGCCGCCGTCGAGCCCCGGCCCCGGCCCCGGCCCTTCCGCGCGCGTCATCACGTCCGCGATCGCTCCCTCCTCTCGCAGCCGCGCCTCCGCTTTCACCCTCGCCGCCGCGAGCGCGTGGAACGCGTCGTCTGCGGTTGACACCAGCACGAGACACAGCCGGCACTCGCTCGTCTCGCCCTCGCCCTCGCCGTCGCCGTCGCCGTCGGCGGTACCGTCGCCGTCGCCGTCGGCGGTACCGTCGCCGCCGCGCGCCGCCATTCCCGCCGCGCACGGTTCGAGATCCGCGACGTACGCGTAGACGAACGCGTCGGCGTCGAACTTCGGCAGACACACCGGCGAGAACGACTGCGTGTTCCTTCGAAACGACTCCGACGACCGCACGAACGTGCTCAACGCGATGACGTCGTCCGGGTGCAGCGTCGTCGACTTCCCCGCCGCGCGGACGCTCAGGCGCCGCGCGCCCTCGCGAAGCGCCGACATCCCGCCGCCGCCGCCATTCCCGCCGCGCCCGCTCCCGCGCCCGCCGCCCCCCGCGGCGACGACCGCGCCGTTCGCGACGACGGCGACGACGTGGTCCCTCGTAAGCAGCAACCCGCACAGCGCGCCCGCGGCGGCGCACTCTTTCCCCCGCAGCGCGTCCGACAGCGCTCTGACGACGCGCTCGCGCGATCGCTCCGGCATCGGCAGCGGCGCGAACGCGCCCAGCTGCGCGCCGTGGTCGTGCGACATCTGATGGGCGAAGGGCGGAGTTCAAAGGCGTCATTTCGTGGAGTCGAAAGGCGTCGCGGGCGGGGATTGGACGCGAGGGACCCTAGGCGGAGAGATGCGCCGGGCAAAGTCCTTAAGGATCGGCGTTCACCGCGCCGACGCGGTCGTACGGGGACCGGTGTGGTACTCCAACGCGCCTGATGGGCGAGCGCGCCGAACGTCGGCTCGACGCCGCCCAAGAGATGCCGGACGTCCATCCTGGACGATCTCCGCAGCGCGCGCTCGACCGCGCGCGTCAGCACGCAGATGAACTGCGCGTGGAGGAGCTCGAGCTGGCGTCGAAGGCATCGCGTCGGCTCGCCCGTGGACGAGACGCAGACGAGGTAGATCGGTCCGCGGATGAGAAACACGACGCGCGCGGTCGCGGGTCCCACGGTGATGGATCGCAGGACGTCCGCGTCCTCGGGTTCGCCGCGTTCGTTCGCGGCGGCGGCGCCGCCGCCGCCCGCGGCGTTCGACGCCGCGGCGACGAGCGCGGCGAGCGCGGCGGTGAACCCCGCGAGCTTGGCCTCGTCGCCGTACCGCGCGTAGATCGGCTTCCCGGCGTCGCTCAGGATGAAGAGGTGCTTCCGTCGCGCGCGCCACGACGCGTCGACGTCGCTCTCGTGCGCGCGGCGGCGCCCGCGGTGCCATCGCCACGGCGGTTTGGAAGGCGGTTTGGAAGGCGAAGGCGCCGACGCGTCCGGGGCGCGCCGCGATGACGCGGCGTCCTCCGCGGCCGCCGCCATCGCGCGGCGCGCGGCGATGTCACCCCGCGTCGCGACGCGTCGCCTTCAGTTCGGAACTGATGAAAAAACCAGGAAAAAACCTGGAAAAAACGCCGTTTGAAGTTTGCACCGTGTGCTGTTCGACGCGCGACGGGAAAGACGAGGGGTCGCGGCGTCCGTCGCGTCGATCGCGCTCACTTCCGCGCGCGCGCCGACCGTCGTCACCCGGTCGATCACCGCACCGCGCAGAGCGCATCGCACGCGCGCCGCGTCGTTCGCCGCCGACCCGACCCGACCCCGAGTAGTCGCGGACGTCGCCGCGGGCATCATCAGATCTCGCCGCCGATCTGCGAGGAGATCTCGCGCGCTCGGCACTAAGTTGTTCTTACTCGCGTCGCTCGCCGTCCGTCGCCATACCCAAGCGAACACACAACGCCGCGATGTCCTCCACCGTCACGATCGGCGTGAAGTGGGGCAAGGAGTCGTACTCCGTCGACGTGGACACCTCCACGATGAAAGGGCTGGACCTGAAGACGTCGCTCTTCTCGCTGACGGGCGTGCCCCCCGATCGCATCAAGCTCCTGGGCCTCAAGGGCGGCAAACCGCTGAGCGACGACGCGGACCTCGCGACGTGTGGGCTCGCGGAGCTCGCGGCGAAGAACAAGAAGCTGATGATGATGGGCAGCACCGCGGAGGCGCCGAAAGCCCCGGAGGGGGGTGCGATCGTCTTCGTGGAGGACCTCCCGGAGGATGAGCGCGACGCGGCGACGACGGCGAACTTTTCCCCGGGGCTCGCCAACCTCGGCAACACGTGTTACATGAACTCCACGATCCAGTGCCTGTACGCGGTCCCGGATCTGCGCGACGCGCTCGAGGCGCACTCGCGAGGAGGAGGCTCCGGAGACGGCGGCGGGAACGGCGAGGGTGGCGCTCTAAACGGCGGAAGGGCGCTCGTGGACGCGACGCGGGATCTCTTCGGGGAGATGACGCGAGCTAAGACCGCGGTGACCCCGTTTCGATTCCTCGCGCTGCTGCGACAGCTGTTCCCGCAGTTCGCGCAGGTTGGCCAGGGCGGGGTGTACTCGCAGCAAGACGCGGAGGAGTGCTGGTCGCAGGTGCTTCAGACGCTCTGCCGCGAGGTCCCGGCGGTGGACGCGTTGTTCGGGTTTGAGTTGTCCAAGTCCCTGCGTTGCGAGGAAACCGGGGAGACGCGAGAGGAACGCGCGAGGGAGTATTCGTTCAAGTGCAACATCACGATCAACGTGAACCACCTCTCGGACGGATTTAAGGTCGCGCTCGCGGAGGAGCGAGAGCTGCGCTCGGAAGCGCTCGCGAGGGACGTGCTGTACAAGGGAGAGAGCAAGTTGGCGTCTCTGCCAAAGGTGCTCAACGTGCAGCTGGTGCGATTCTTTTGGAAACAAAACACGGGGCCCGACGGCGGCGGGAACAAGGCGAAGATCATGCGCGCGGTGACGTTTCCGACGACGTTGGACGTGTACGAGTTCTGCGACGACGCGTGCAAGGCGGGGTTAGACCCCGCGAGGAAGGCGAAGATCGACAAGGAGGAGAAGGAAGCCGCGGAGCGATTGACGGCTGGACGCCCAGACGCGGATGAAAAGAAGGACGAAGACGCCGCCGCCGCGGAGGGCGGCGCGGAGGAAGAGAAGAAGGACGCGGAGATGACGGACGCGGAGGAAGAACCCGCTCCTCCCGCTGCGCCTCCCGCGCCCGCCGCGAAGGACCCGGCGCCGTGGGAACCCGCGGCTGGAACGCGCATGACGGGGTTCTACGAGCTCGAATCCGTGCTCACGCACAAAGGCCGGAGCGCGGACAGCGGGCACTACGTCGCGTGGGTGAAACAGAAAGATGGGTCGTGGACCGAGTTCGACGACCACACGCCGAACGCGAAGACGACGGATCAGATCCTCGCGCTGAAGGGCGGCGGGGATCACCACATGGGCTACCTCCTCGTGTACAAGGCGTGCTACATCTGATTCTGATTCTGATTCCGATGAGAGACTCGCGCGAAGCGACGACGACGACGACGACGACGACGCGGGGGACTGGGGGACGAGCGACCGCCACCGCGACCGCCCGCGCGATGAAATCACACGCATTCCCTCGTCCGTCTACCCACAACCGCGCGGCGCGGCGCGGCGCGCGTCAAATCGACCGACCGACCGACCGACCGCGATCACTCGCCCCCGCCGCCGCCGTCGCCGTCGCCCCCCTCGAAGACGGACCCGTCCTCGAAGCGTTCGAGCGGCGCGCCGTCGTCCTTCGACCGCTGCCGGTCGCTCGAGGGTGTTTGCCCATACGACCCCCGCCTCGTCTTCGTCCCGCCGCCGCCGCCGCCGCCGATCGCGTTCCTCGGGTCCCGGAACACCCACTTCGGGAGCACGTACTTGTGCCCCATCGTGTCCCAGCACGTCGTCATGTTCGGCGCCGCGACGATGATCCCCGCGCTGTCCACCAGCAGCCGCGCGGTGTCGAGATCTCCACGAGGGTGATTGTCCATACGAGCGAACGTCGGGGCGGAGTTGAAAGGCGTCAGAAGCGGAGTTGTGAGGCGTCGAGGTGTGTTGGGATCGAGAGCGAGGGACCCTGGGCGGAGAGATGCGACCGCCGGGAGAGAAAGTCCTTAAGGATCGGCGTTCACAACGCCGACGCGGTCGTACGGGGACCAGTGTAAATGCGACATCGATGAACGCACCTCCGTCCTCGCGCATCGCCTCCACCGCCGCGCGCAGCGCGGTCCACATCGACGCGTCGCCGCCGTAGGACGGCTGGACGTCCCAGAACTCGAGCCGCATCCGCTCGAGCGCTTCGCTGCGACGTCGAAGAGAGGAAGGGAAGAGAAGGTGGGGTGGGGGCGGGGCGTGGACGCGAGGACGAGAGCGGGGGCGATCGAGATTCGAGAGGGATCCGAGCGCGAACGCGCGCACGTCGTCGGCGGCGGGTTCATGTCGAACGGCCTCGGGATCTCGAAGTTCGGGTAATGCGTCCCCCCCGTGGAGCTCGTCACCGGGACGTTCCTCGCGCTCTCGCTCGACTGCGTGCACCCCATCGCGGCGGCGAATGGCGCGCGGCGTGCTTTGTCGGACATATCGAGGAAATCGTTTTGACGCGACGGCTCACGGGGGCGTGGCCCGCGTAGTACGATACAGTACGCGTATGGGCAAACGGTGTAGCGCGGGTCCCGCTCCCGTCCAGCCAGGCCGACGTCACGGCGGAGTGCCGACGTCACGCCCTCGTCAGTGCCGCTCGCGCCGCCGCCGCGCTCCGCGCGCCTTCCTTCCCACTCCCGCGCGAGCGAGACAGACGCGATGGGCGCCGCGCAAGGAAAGCCCGCGTCGTCGTCGTCGTCGCCGGCGTCCGCGCCGACGGCCCCGCCGCCCGGGGCGACGTCGGAGATCCCGTGCGCGGGCGGCCGCGCCGCCGCCGCCGCGGGCGCGGCGGGCGCGAACCCGATGGCGGACGCCTCCTGCCCCGTCCCGGAGGAGTACCGCGGCGTGCACGGCGTCTTCAACGTCTACAACCAGAAGATCGACCCGCGGAACAACATGCCCGTCGCCGCGTCGCAGTCGATGGCGCCGGGCCAGCGTCGAAAGATCTCCACCGAACGCCAGCGATCGACCATCCCAAAGTCCGGCGTGTCGTCCGCGGAGGCGTCCACGTGGACGTACCCCTCGCCGCAGATGTTCTACAACTCGCTCGTGCGCAAGGGCAAGGCGACCGACTGCACCGAGGACGACATGGAGTCGGTCGTGAGCGTGCACAACGCGATGAACGAGGACACGTGGCGGCGCGTGGTGGCGTGGGAGCGGTTGCACGTCCACGAGTGCCGCGACCCGATGTTGCTGCGATTTCTGGGGAGGCCGGACGACCTCTCGCCGCTCGCGTGGGCGCGGTACTTGACCGGGGGCGGGAAGCCGTTCGACCGGCACGACTGGTACGTCGATCGGTGCGGTCAACAGGTGCGGTACGTGATCGACTACTACTTTCACGAGGACAAGGCGGGGACGCCAGGGCAGTTCGACCTCGTCGTGCGGCCGGCGGCGGATTCGGTCGGGGCGGTGGCGGATCGAGTGAAGATGGCGATATACGTCGGGTGCGCGATGTTGGGGGTGCCGTGTCCCATCTCGGGGAACAACGGTGAGATTGGGAGGGAGGCGTCCGCGGCGAACACGACCGCGCCGGAGCGGTAGCGCGCGTGGGGGGAGAGGGAGGGCGGCGGCGGCGACAAGTGGCGCCGATACGGACTTGAAATCATCAGCAGCAGTGAGATTTTTTCTTTCCTGTCCGAACAGAACAACGTCGAACAAAATAGATCGATCGCGCGATCGCCCCGCGCGTCACTCGCGCGCGCACCGCCCTCGTCCATCCGCCACCGCACACCCCCCATCCCACCCACCACCCTCGCGACATGGGCTGCTTCGGAACCGAGCCCAAGCCCGAGAGCGAGCAGATCCAGAAGATCGTGGAATCGCACAAGGCGGAGCTGAGAAAGGTGGAGCAGGATCGCGATCGCGAGAGCGTGGAGAACCTGTTCCGTCTGTACGCCATCATGGACGTGGACAACAGCGGACGCCTCACCCCCGCCGAGCTCGGCGTCGGGCTCCGCGTGCAGCCGCGCCTGATGAACACGCTGTGCGCCAACGCCGGGATCGAGCCGTCGGAATTCAACGACGATTACGACGCGATGATCGCGGCGCTCGTGAAAAAGATCGACGCCGACGGCGACGGCGTGATCCAACGCGGCGAATTCGAAGCCGCGGTCCGAGGCATCATGGCGTTCGACAACGTCGACGTCAACACAGTCGAGAGCGACCGCGAGCATCAGCTCAAGGGCGCGGCGGAGCGCGCGAGGATCGAAGCGGAGAGGTCCGGGGGATACGTCGGGCTCGCGGACGCGGAAGAGGCGCGACGCATCGGCGAAGCCGTCAAGCTCGGCGGCGTGGCGATGTCCTTCGACGACGACGACGAGGACGAGGAGACGAAGAAGAAGAAGGCTGCGATCGCCGCGAAGCGCGCGGAGAAGATGCGCGCGCGGCTCACGAAGCCGAAAGACGACGCGCGCGGTCTCTCGGACGCGGAGTACCCCGAGGACGCCTTCGAGAAAGCCGTCGCGGTACGGCGGCATGCGCTCGAAGCCGCGCGCAACGAGGCGCGCGCGAAGGAGCGCGACGCGCGCGGGAAGTTTCAGCGCGCGATGAGACATAACAGGAATCTCGCGAGCACCAGGCACGAGACGAAGCTGGAGCTCGGGGAGATCGTGAGGAAGAAGGAGACGAACTCGGACGGCGAAGAGACCGAAATCGACGAGTACTACGACAACTACGGAGACTACTACGATGAAGACCTCGAAGACGAGATGACGCAGATCGACGCGCGGCTCTTCTTCTTGCGCGGGCGCGCGACGGCGAAGTTCTTCGCGGACCACGGCCTCGCGTTCGAGGACGCGTACGACGTCAGAGCGAACGACCGCGCGCTCGCGGAGCTCTTCGTGAGAGACGCGAGCGCCGTCGCGGCGTACGACGCGATGCAAACGTCGGGCGTCTTCGCCGTAGTCGTGGACGCCGTGAAAGCCGCGGCGACATACGAGGGAAGGACCGGGCTGACGCCGAACCCCGGGGCGTGGTCCGCGGCGAACAGAGAGATGAAGAAGGCGCGCGACGCCAGGGAGGGCGCGTTCGTTGAGAAGCTCAAGGAGGCGGGGGCGTTCGCCGCGCTCGTGGAGGAGAAGGCGAAGGCCAAGGCGAAGGATATCGAAGACGGGGAATACCGCGAGTGGGACGAGGACTGGATAAAGGAGAATTACCAAGTCGCGTACGAGGTGGATAAGCTTATGTACGACATGGACGGGATCTGCGCGAAGGACGCCGGCGTCGCGCGCGAGTTCGAGGCGCTGTTGAAGACGGATCTGGAGGAGCGGATCTTGAAGCTTCCGTTCGTGCGCGCGGCGTGAGCGCGGCGGCGGCGGCGGGGGGGGGGGGGATGGGTTCTTCAATCCGTATTTATTGTTTTGTTTCTCCGTCTCGCGTCGCGTCGCGTCTATTCGTCGCGGTCGCGCTTCTTGCGTAAGTTTTCTCCGGGGGGTGGGCACGCCGGACACCCGGTGGGTCTGACGCTCTTCGTGCGCTCGGTCATCCTCGCGCGCCACTCGTGCGAGCACTCCTCACACTTCCACAGCGCCTTGTACCTCGACGCCTTCGTCACCGCCGTCGGCGGCTTGTCCTTGTCGACGTACTCGCGCGACAGCTTCTTCCCGAGCTCGCCGTTCTTCTCGCACCACGCGAGGAAGTTGTTCGTCTCGCTCGCCGGCGCGTAATTCGCGCACTGTGGGCACCCGCTGGGCCTGTTGCTGTTCGTGCGGTTGCACACCTTCGCCCTCCACACGTGCTTGCAGTTCAAACACTTCCACTTCGCCTTGTAGTGCGACGCTTTCGTCAGCTCCGTCGGCAGCTCCTCGCGGAACTCGTTGGCGAGCCTCTCGCCGCGCTCCCCGTTCTCCGCGCACCACTCGATGAACGGCTTGCCGCCCGTGCGCTGGTTCGCTCCTCGTTTCTTCACCATGATCGCCGTGCGAGACGCGGCGTGGCGGCGCGCGAGAGGAAGTGAGAGGCGACGGAAAAGCCACGACAACTTCACAAAACTTCAAGTCGTCGAGTCGTCCCTTCCGAGGGAGCGCCTAAAACGTCGCGTCCTCGCCGTCCGCGTCGCCACACGTTGCCCCCCCCTCGCGCGTCCGCATGTCCGCGGCGGCGGCCGCGGCCGCGGGGATGACCGGCGCGAGAGCGGTGCGTCCCTCCTCCGCGCGCGGCGTCCTCCGTTCGCATCCTTCGCGCGTCCCCGCACTCGGCACCTCAACTCTTCTCAACCTCACCCATCCCTCGACGCCCCACCCCAACGCAGGCGACGTCCGCCGCGGTCAGGGTCCTCCTCGAGCGCAGCCCTTACGTCCTGTGGGCCGCGCAGCGAAGCGCGTTCGCGCGTCCGGTCGTAGACGGCGTCGTGCACCCGGACCTGCCGACCTGGGGGGACGGCGACAATCGCGGCGACGCGATACCTCGCATCGCGCGTTTGTCCAAGACGGAAGCCGCGTCGACGCCGTCGTGGCACGCGCAGACGATCGCGGGGTCGAGGACGGCGACGATGGAAGACGCGCGCGAGAAGATGATGCTCGCGTCCGCGTCGGGCGCGTCCGCGCTGATGCTCGTGTCCGGGGACGGCGGCGGCGATGGAGGATCGAACGAGAAGTTAACATCCGTCGCGTTGCTGCGAGAGGCGTCGAGGTTGCGCGACCGCGGCGACATCGACGCGGACGTCCTCCTGATGTGCGCGGCGAACCCGGCGATGGATGGCGACTCCGTGCGCGCGTTAGAGGAGAAGCTCGACGCGGGCGCGCGCGTCGTCGTGACGCAGCCGTGGGGCGTCGCCCCCGCGGCGGCGAGGCGGTGGTGGGGTGAGTGAGACCGCGACCGCTTCCCGTACGGGAGTTAAGGTTATCCGCCGCGCGACGCGACGCATCATCGAATCTGATAGCCTACCACGCTGACCGACCGCATCCTCCCGCCGCCCGCCGCGCGCTGCAGATTCGGTGAAGGCCAAAAACCTCGACGCGGACGCGGAGATCATCGTCGGGCTCCACCTCGCGTCGTCGAGCGCGTCGCTCGCGAGATGGATCGATCTGTGCGGGCTCGCGGAGGATTCTGATGATGAGGATTCTTCGCAAGCCAAAGCCGCGGGGACGCTGCGCGAGTGGGAGGCGCGCGAGCGCGACATGGACGCGTCGACGTTTCGCGCGTGGGCGGACGAGCGATGCGAGCTCCATCTCGCGGAGGCGCTCGCGGACGACCGCGTGGACGGCGTGCATCTGATGCCGATCACGATCGCGGGGTACGCGGCGGCGGTGAGGATCTTCGGCGCGGCGGCGTCGCTCGCGTCGCTGCGGCGCGGGCCATAGCTCAGTTGGTAGAGCGTGCGACTGTTAATCGCAAGGTCATCGGTTCGACCCCGGTTGGAAGAGTTTTTGCGCCGCGCGTGGGAGTGATGAGAGTGGACGCTCTCTTCGTTCGTCATATTCCATCACACCTTATAGCGCGCATCCGTAAAACTTCTCGCGACGACGAACGCGATCACGCCGCGTTCGCGGACGCGCCGCCCTCGCGCGCGTACCGATCCCTGAACGAGTCGTACGGCTCGTCGCCCTTCGTCACCGCGGAGATGCAGAACACCTTCACGACGGCGAGAACGAAGAACAGCACGCAAGAGATGAACCCCATCACGTACGTCGCCTCGTAGGTCTTCTTGTCGTCCGATTCCCAGTGGTATTCCGCGGGGAGGGACTATACGAGCGAATGTCGGGGTGGAGTTCATAGGCGTCAGACGGAGTTGAAAGGCGCCGAGGTCGGGGATTGAAAGCGAGGTGTAGGCGGAGAGATGCGCCGGCAAAAGTCCTTAAGGATCGGCGTCCACAACGCCAACGCGGTCGTATGGAGACCAGTGTATAGAACGCACCTTAATCCACGACTCGTGCTCCATCAACAGCGCGGAGACTTGCGCGAGGGCGAAGAACATGTGCACGGCGCTGCCGATGATGACGCCGTACATGACCCCCGCGCCGCTGTTCGCGGTCGTCTGTTTTGTTTGTCGCGGAGGGAGGAGGAGGGGGAGGGCGCGTGAGTGAGACGGCGGCGTGAGACGACTGACCGACGAAGGCTGAAAAAGTCGTTGAGCGAACGACGCGACGCGGCGGCTCTCGACGAGATAAATCGACGAGGGCGATCGCTCGCCGCGGACGACGCGCGACGCGACGCGGCGTCGTCGCCGTCGATCACGCCGCGCGACGTGCACAAACACACAACACGCACCTTGCGGAGGAGCACGAGGAGGGAGAAGGTCCCGTAGATGATGCACATGACGACGCCGTAGGCTTGCGTCGTCACGATGGCGGTGATGAGATCTTCCGTGGATGAATCCCCGAGCCCGTGCGCGTGGTCCCGAATCTTATCCACCGCGCTCGCGTTGACGATCGCGCATATGCAGAACAGGAACCCGAAGACGAAGTTGATGATCCACGCGATCCATAATGTCTTTTTCGCGCCCATGATGGACGTCGGCGGGGGCGGGCGTAATGCCGCGCCCCCGGAGCGGTCGAACGGAAAAAACCTGATTCTGCATGTAGGACGACTTCGAAATCCGCCAAGCTGTCAACTGATGAGAAGTCTGGCTGGTGTAAGTCGGCGTCTACGGCCGCCGGCGAAGCGTCGAGAGACTACGTACTGTACTACTCTGTCCGCGCGATTAAGAACCTAGTCCGCGGACGCCATCACCCCATGCGATCGTACGCGTCGCGCGCCGCCTTCATCGCCGCCTCCGCGTTCGCTCGTTTCCCCTCCTCCGCCGCTCTCTCCGCCGCTCTCTTCGCTCGCTCCACCCCCTCTCGCACGCTCGCGGCGACGTCGTCGGAAGTGAAACCGCCGCCGCCGCCGCCGCCGCCGGCCGCCACCGCCTCCCTCGCCTTCTTGATCGCCGCCGCGATGTCCTTCGCGGCTTTCGCGGCGTTGCCGCCGCCGCCGCCGCCGCCGCCGCCGCCCGCGAGCGCCTCGATCGACGCCTCCTCGTCCGTCGTCATGAGGTTGTTGTACGCCTGCTGAATCTCCAAAAACTTTTTCGACGCCGTCTGCGCGCGAGGACGGGTGGTGATTGGTCAGCGCGTGATTCGATTCGATGACGTGTAAAAACGAGTGGTCGAGAATCAACGATCGACCGACCGATCGCGCGCGGAGGAGAAAAGAGAGAAAGAGAGCGCCGATCGATCGCACCTCCTTCGCGTCGCCGTCCGCGTGCTTATCCGGATGCCACCGGACCGCGAGCTTCCTGTACGCTCTCTTACACTCCTCCTTCGACGCGCCCAGCGGCACCTCCAAGACGTCGTAGTCCTTCTTATGCCGCAGGTGATACATCTGCCGCTCGCGCTCTTTCCGCTTCTTCGCGAGCTCCTTATCGTCGCGCCGCTTCTGTCGCTTCTCCTCCTCCGCGCGGTCGAACAAGTCGCGAATCATCTTCTTCGCGTGTTCCCGCTCGTCTTTCGACCCGAACAGCATGAACGTCGTCATCCCGGGGACCACGGGTATGGGCGTGCCGTCCTTCGTGACGCCGTCGCGGCGCCCCCCCTCCGCGGCGAAGACGCCGTCCTCCCACTCCGTCGCCGTCACGCCGCCGAACCCGCGATTCATCACGTCGTCCTTCCTCCGAACCTGCAGCCGCGCGTTGGACTTTTTCTGAATCTTCTTGACGTTCTCGCCCCCCGCGCCGATGACGAGCTTCACCTTGTTGTCCGGCACCTCGATCACCTCGTCCGGGACGTCCTCCTCGTCCACGTCCTCGAGCATCGCCGCGTCCTTCCTCGCCTTGACGTCCACGCCGCGCTCGCGCGCTGATTTGATCTCGTTCGCGCGCGCGAGCATCGACGCCGTCTTCGCCGCGCGCTCCTCCGCGACGCGGCGCGCCACCTCCGGGGCCACCTCCGTTGCCATGAACGCGTCGAGCGGGTCGACCTCCTCCTCATCATCCTCGCCGGGGCGCGGCGCGGCGGCCGGCGCGGCGGTCGGCGCGGCCGCCGTCGCGGGGGTGACCGCGGCTTCCGCGAGCGTCGTCGGCGCCGGCGCCGTCCCGTTCGCGCGCGCGTCGGCGCCGCGCGCCGCCGCCGCGCTCTCGTCGAGCGTCTTTTGCTTCTTCTTCTGCATGAGCGACCGCGCGGCCTCGAGGCGCTTGCGCTTCTTCTCCGCCTCGTCGTCCGCGGGCGCCGCCGCGGGCGCCGCCGCGGGACGCCTCCCAGGATCGTGGTCGTCGTCCCGCCGGTGCCGTCTCTCGTCGGACCCCCCGCGCGCGCGATCGCGATGATGATCTCGACTCCGGCTGCGGCTGCGGCTCCTCCTCCGGCGGTCGTCGTCGACGCGGCGGCGGTCGCGGTCTCTCGACCGCGACCGCGACCGCGACCGCGGGCGTCCCATGGCGTCGTCCGACGCCGCGCGCTCGCGAGTGGCGCGGAGGTGGTGGGGGCGCGGGCGTTGCACAGCTGTATTTTTATGCTGGTCTGGTCGCGGTCGGTCGAAAAAAGAGCGCGAGCCGCCATCGAGACGAATCTAATCTGTCGGCGCCGCCGACGCGGGGGGCATCGCGCGACGCACGGGGCACGTCCAGAGGAGGAGCACGCGCGCGCGGCAGGAGCGCCGCCTCGCGTCTCCTCCGAGAAGACAGACGCGCGAGACGCGCGCGGCGAGGCGGGGCGACGCGGACGAGGAGAACCCGCCGCGACAATGTCGCGCGTGGATCTGCTCGGGCTGCAAGGGAAATGCAAGCGCGACCCGGAGGGATACCGCGACGACGTCCTCATGCAGCTCCAGCACTTCAACGCGCTGCACGGCCTCTTCATGCTCAAACCCGGGAAAGACTTCAAAGAGTTCGCGGACCTGGTCTCGTTTCTCGCGCAAGTCGCGGCGTCGTACCCGAAAGACATGCCGCGGTTCCACGTCGCTCTCGTCGACCTCCTCGAGAAGCACTACGCGCACCTCGACCCGTCGCTGCGTCGGTCGCTGACGTCCGCGCTCATCCTCCTGCGCAACCGCGGCAGCGTCCAAGCCACCGAGCTCCTGCCGCTGTTCTTCCGCCTGTTCCGGTGCCAAGACAAGCAGCTCCGCGTGCTCATCTTCCGGCACGTCGTCGCGGACGTCAAGCGCGCGAATAAAAACAAACGCGACGAGCGGCTGAACCGTTCGGTGCAAAACTTTCTCGCCGCCACGCTCAAGGACGAGAACGAGGCGGCGGCGAAGAAGGCGCTCGCGGTCATCACGGAGCTGTATCGAAGGAACGTGTGGAGCGACGCGCGGACGGTGAACTTGGTCGCGGACGCGTGTAAGCACCCGGCGCCGCGGGTGATGGTGGGCGCGTTGAAATTTTTTCTCGGGCAGGACGAAGCCGCGGAGGCGGCGGCCGAGGCGGGGGACGAGGACGAGGACGACGAGGACGAGGACGCGGTGGGTAAGAAGGCGAAGACGGGGGTGGGGACCGCCGCGGGGACGAGCAGCGGCGTCAGCAAAGAGGACGTGTACAAGGCGTACAACAAGGTGGGTTTGGGTTTGGGTTTGGGTTTTTTTTCTTCTCTTTTTTTTCTCCGCTCGGCTCGGTCCGCGGCGTTCCCGGTCCCGGTCCCGGTTACGTTCTCTCTCGCGCGCGTCGTCCCTCGCCCGCGGGTCCGTTCGTTTCGTCCGTCGTCTCGTCATTTCGTCGGTGGCCGGTGATGTATTGATATATTTGCTACTCTCGAGGTTCAAGCGGTGACGACACTCGATCACCAAGATCTCTGAGGCCACGGACCGACGCGACGCGACGCGTCTCGTCTCGTCTCGTCACGTCGCGTCTTCATCACACGCGATCGCACGGACGCTGACTTCCAAAATCGAATTCAAACTCAAAATCTCATCCACCACGGACGAACGCGCAGGGCGTGTCGAGGACGAAACAAAAGAAACAGGCCAAGCTGAAGCGCCAGATGGCGTCCATACGAAGGGCGAACAAAAAAGAAGACGGCGGCAGAAACGGCGAAGCGCGATTCGCCGCGATGCAGCTCGTCAACGACCCGCAAGCGTTCGCGGAGACGCTGTTCAACCGCCTGCAGTCCGGCAGCGCGCTCAAGTTCGACACGAAGATGCTTCTCATTCAAGTGGTATCCCGCGTCGTCGGGTTGCACCGGTTGCACTTGCTGCACTTGTATCCGTTTTTGCAGCGATACGTGCAGCCGAATCAACGCGAAGTCACGCGGTTGCTCGCGGCGGCGGCGACGGCGTGTCACGAGCTCGTGCCCCCGGACGCGCTGGATCCGCTCTTGCGGCAGCTCGTGAATCAGTTCGTGCACGACCGCGCGCGTCCGGAGGTGGTCGCCGTGGGTATTAACACCGTGAGGGAGATTTGTTTAAGGTGAGCGGCGCGTTTGCGTTTCCCTCCTCCCCGGACCCTTTTTTTTTCCGACCTCTCTCGACGGGTCGCGCGTCGCGGCAAACGGTCGGTGGATGATGAGCAAATAATTCAGCGGAGAGCATTCACAACATGACTCATACGAATTAATCCGCTTAGTAATTGACACCACCGAGGGCGCGGCGCGTCGAGGGACGGGACCTTTTGTTTTCGTTTTCGTTTTCGTCTTTGTTTCGTTTTCGTTCGTCTCTCTCTTTCCAAACCAGCGAGCGACTCGCCGACGACTGACTCGCTCGCGCTCGACGCAGGTGCCCGCTCGTGATGAACTCGGACCTCCTTCAAGACCTCGCGCAGTACAAGCGCGCGCGGGACAAACCCGTCGCCACCGCGGCGAGGGCGCTCATCTCTTTATTCCGCGAGCTCGCGCCGAAGATGCTGGAAAAGAAGGACCGCGGCCGCGGCGCCGACTTGGACCGCGACGTCGACGCGTACGGATCAGAGAAGGTCCTCGATCGCATCGAAGGCGCGGAGCTCTTACAGCGCGAGGAGTCGCGATTAAGGAAAGAAGAGAGAGCCGCGGAGAAGGCGGCGGCGGCGGCGGCGGCGGCGTTGGAGAGCGACGACGAGGCGGAGAGCGGGGGGGAGGACGACTCGGACGTCGAGGAAGCCGCCGACTCGAGCGACGACGACGACGACGAAGAGGGAGAGGAAGTGGCAGAGGAGGAGGACGGTGAGGGCGTCGGCGACGACGAAGAAGAAGAGGAAGAGGAAGAGGAAGAGGAGAGCGCCAGCGAAGACGACGACGACGACGTGGAGGAAAGCGACGACGACGACGACGACGACGACGACGACGACGACGACGACGACGACGACGACGACGACGACGACGACGACGACGACGACCGCGTCGTCGACGCCAAGACTGGGGTGAAGCGGAAACGCCTCGCGCCCTCGATGACGATGGACCAACGCCGCGAGCTCGCCGCGAACGCGGTCAAAGAAGCGGAAGCCGCCGGCGCGCCGCTCCCGAAAGTCCGCAAGAACGGCGTCTTATCCCTCTCTGAGCTGCGACGGCGACACAAAGAGGCGACGCGGCTGCGGAGAGAACGCGAGGAGACCGAGGAGAACGGCGACGACGGCGACGGCGACTCGGACGCGAGCGACTCGGACGCGGACGCCGCCGCGATCGAACGCACGCGCGTGCTCACCCCCGACGACTTCAAACGCATCAAAGCGCTGCGCACCGCGAGCCAGCTCTCCGGCGCGATGCAAAAGGGCGGCGGGAAGAAGGCGGACGCGACCGCGAACGACGAACTGCGCGCGTTGATGCGCCGCGCGGACGCGGAACGGTTCGGGTCGTCGACAGCGGACCGAAGGGTGAACCCTGAGGCGCTCGCCGCGATCGGCCTCCGCAAGGCGCACGACAAGGCGTCCAGGGTGGCGTCGATCATGGCGGGGAGAGAGGAACGCGGCGAGTTCGGGTCGTCGCAGGAGAGGAAGAACAAGAAGACGGGCGGGAAGTCGAACAAGGAGAAGGCGAAGAAGAAGAACCTGCCGCTCGCCGCGCGCGTGCGGGCGGCGCACAAACGCCGGACGGGGGGTGTGGCGAAACGCGTCAAGGATAAGCAGCAGAGAGGGCACTTCCGGAAGGGGAAGTTTTAGAAAAAAGTTCGTCGTCTACGGTACGTGTAGTCTATCATATCACCACGCGAGATGCTCGCAGTGGTGCTGCTAACGAAGGCTAATGACAAACGACGCATCACGCCACGCGCTCGTACAGCAACGCCGTGGACGTCGCCTCGCACGACCCCGCCGTCGCGACGAGGTACGCCTCCGCCTCCGCTTCTCCGCCGCCGCCAGCTGTGCCGCCGCCAGCTGTACCCCCGCCAGCTGTACCCCCGCCGACGACGACGATCGCGGCGGCGTAAGGAACCCCCGGGTGTCCTCGCGCGCCGGTCGTTCGCTCGCGCAAGCTCGGGGACGGCGACATCAGCGTTTTCATGATCGCGCCCGACGGGACGGCGACGCCGTCCAGCGCGACGACGCCGGTGTTTTCGAACCGCGTGGACACGAGCGACGCCATCTTCCGACGCGTCGTCGCCGTCGCGTCGTCGCCGCCGCCGGTTTCTTCGGCGAGTCCGACGACGCACTCGGTCACGAGGTCGCCGACGACCGCACCGTCGCCAAAGTCCACGCGCACCCTCGACGTCATCATTGTCGTCGTCGTCGTCGTCTCGCCGTCGCCGCCGCCGCCGTCGTCGCCGTCGTCGTCGCCAAACTCCAGGGTCGCGTCTCCGGCTCGGAACGCGACGGCGAACCCGTTCAGAAACGATTCAATCACTCCGAACGGGAACCCCGCGCGCACTTCCCTCTTCCCGAACGCGTCTATCCACATCTCCCCCGTCTTGGGCGCGTCCATCCCCGCGCTAAGGCGCGCGGCGAGCTTGAACGGCGGGAACAGGTCCGGCGCGGACGTCGCGAGGCGGTAGCTCTCCTGTTGCGCCTCCTTCGCGATCCAGAAGAACGGACTCGCGAGCCACGCCCCGGGGGAGGGGAGCGTGCGCTGCGCGCAACCGAGCAGCCGCCATCGCGTGTTCGCGAGCGACGACGTGGACGTGGACGTGGACGCGGAAGTCGTCGTTCGCGCGACGACGGCGTCGACGAGCGCGTTGAACGCGGCGACGTCGGACGGCGACGCGTCGACGCCGCGCGAGGTGGCGTCGCACCACGCGCGCATCCGTCGGATCTCCATCTCGTCGTCGTCGTCGTCGACGTCTCTCGTCGCGTCCGCGTCGGCCGTCGTCGCGGACGACGCGCGCGGCGCGCGCGCGAGGACGCGGCGACGGCGCGCGCGAGGACGCGCGCGCGAGGGCGGCGGCGGCGCCCCGCGGGTCGCCGCCGCGGCCGACATCGGAGTGACGGCGTCGTCCGCGACGAAGCGAACTGAAGGAAGACGTGAGTTTCGTAGCGCTCGTCTCGGAGGACGCATCAGAATCCTCCGCGCGCGCGCGCCGCCCCCGGTCGCCTCCGCGACCGCCCCCCCCCCTTCTCCCGCCGCGCGAGGACGATGGGGTGGTACCTGTGCTACTTCATGCACCGGCACTTGGACTTCCGCCGCGCGGAGTTCCAAGCCCTCGCGGACTTGAACGGGTTCGGAGACGCCGTCGAGTGGCGCGCGCCGTTCGGCGGCGTGGAGCACTCGCCCTTCCATTACGTGCGTCTCCCCTCCGACGACGCCGCGCGCGCGATCATGAAGCGCAGCATCCTCACCAAGGGCATCGTCGAGCTGTGGGGCGAGGGGAACGACCAGGACGAGCTCAACGCGGCGATCGCGGCGTTCGACGCGGAGACGAAGGCGCGATACACCGCGGAGGGCAGCACGTTCAAGGTGGAGCTCGAGGACTTTGGCAAAACCTTACACGGCACCCGCGACGACAACTGGGGCCCCGCCGTGCGACGCATCGACGCGCTGAAACCCGCGGTGGAGTTCAACGGCCGCGCGCGCATGAAAGGCGCGGAGCATCTCTTCTGGAGCATCGAGTCCGCGGAAGGGAACGACCTCCGCGGCATTCCGTCTGACATTCCGTCGCGGCATTATTTCGGCCGCGTCGTCGCCGCGTCCGCCGCGCGCGCCGCCATCAACACGTACGACCTCAAGAAGCGCCGCTACCTCGGCCCGACGTCGATGGACGTGGAGATGTCGCTCATCATGGCGAATATGGTGCACGCGGGACCCGGGAGGGTGGTGTGGGACCCGTTCTGCGGCACCGGCAGCGTCCTCATCGCGGCGGCGCACTTCGGCGCGATGACCATGGGAAGCGACATCGACGTGAGGCGCGTTGTCCTCACGCTGACTGGTTCCCATACGACCCCGTTCGCGTTGTGCACGCCGATCCTTAAGGACTTTCTTTCCCGGCGATCGTAACTCTCCGCCCACCCCTCGCTCACAATCCCGACACACCTCGACGCCTTTCAACTCCGCTTCTGACGCCTTTGAACTCCACCCCGATATCATCGCTTCGTACGGACCCTCGACCGTCATCAGAGTGATACGCTGGGGGAAGAAGGACAAGCGGACGGGCGAACACGTCGACGTGTGGACGAACTTTAAAGATTACGCCCTGCCCCCGCCGATCGCGCTTCTCCGCGCGGACCTCCACAAGCCGCCGTTCCGAGGCGCGGCGGCGTCGGGCGCGGCGTCGGAGCGCGGCGCGTGCGAAGGGCACCTCCAGGGCGTCGTCGGCGACCCCCCCTACGGCGTTCGCGCGGGCGGCCGAAAGAGCGGAGGACGCAAGCGCTTACCGGACGGCACCGCGCGCGCCGTCCCGGAGCAGCACAGGGAAAACCACATCCCGAGCACGGTGCCGTACCCGTTCCACGAGTGCATGGACGACCTGATGGAGCAAGCCGCGCGGCTGCTGAGCGTCGGCGGTCGTCTCTCTTTTTTCGTCCCCGGTGAGACTGGTCCCAATACGACCCCGTTCGCGATGTGAACGCCGTTTCTTAAGGACTTTTCCCGTCGTCGCGCTTCGCCTGCGGTTCGCCCGCGCTTCCCTTTCAACGTTCGTTTCGTTTGACCGGTGAGACGCACGACTGACCGACGCGTTCGTTCGTTCACCCGCAGCCGCCGCGGATCCCGAGGACGCCGCCTCCGCGGGCGTGGACAGCGTGCCGTCGCACCCGATGCTGACGCTGCGCGCGAGCTCGATGCAGCTGCTGAGCACGCGGTGGGGGCGGCGGCTCGTGACGTTCGAGAAGACGAAGAAGTACGATCACGAGGCGGCGGAGGAGGCGAAGGCGGCGTTGACGGAGGCGAGGAAAAAAGGCGGGAACATGGAGGATCTGCTCGAACGCATGCGCGCGACGGTGTACCACCACGGGGAGAATGTTGACGACAAGGACGGCGAGGACGGCGTCGGGGGCGGGAGGGGGGACGCGGAAGATAAGAAGAAGAAGAAGAAAGAGAAACCAAAGGACGGCGGGAAGTTCGCGCGGCGGAGAGAGCGGCGACGGCGAGGGGTCGACGGCGAGGGGTCGACGGCGCCGTTCGAGGACTCGCACCCGGGGCTGCCGGGGACGCGCTCGAGGGTGATTGCCCATACGAGCGCGGCGGCGGCGGCGGCGTCGGCGGATTCGGCGGGTCGCGAGATCGACGCGGTCGAGCCCACGAAGGACGTCGTCGTCGACCCCGAGCGCGAGGAGGGAGCGACGCTGGAGGTGGGGAAGCCGGACGACGGCGGCGCGGTCGGGGAGCTGCACAGAGCGCACAGCGGTGCGGGCGTGCGCATGGGGAAGGCGTCGAGGCCGGACTTCCGCGGGAAGAACACGTAGTCGTGCTGTAGTGTTGTAGTTCGTTCGTTCGCATAATGATTCCACTCGTTCGTCGATAGGCTTCTGCACCGATGATTCGTCGTCCGCGCGCGCGTCGCTCTTCGCTCTTCGCTCTTCGCTCTTCGTCGCTCTTCGTCGCTCGTCGTCGTCGTCGATCCGTTTCATCGCCCGCGTCGCCCCCGTCACCATCCCGACCCCAACGAGCCGCCGAACAAGACGCCGTCCTCGTCGTCCGCCGCGATCATGCTCCTCCAGAAATCGATCTTCTCCGTCTTCTCCTCCCTGTCGAGGAGGTCGCGGTCGAAGGACGTCGCGTCGCCGTCGTACGAGTACGCGCGCGCGATCTTCCACGCCTCCTCCGTCGAGACGCTGAGGGTCGTTTTATACGAGCGAACGTCGGGGTGGAGTTGAAAGGCGTCAGTTGGCGTTGAAAGGCGTCGAGGGCGGGGATTGACACCGAGGGCTGGGCGCACAGAATCGCCGGGCGAAGTCCTTAAGGATCGGCGTTCACCACGCGAACGCGGTCGTACGGGGACCAGTGTATAGAACGCACCTAAGATCCTCCGTCGCCTCCGGTATCTCCTCGACGTCGCCGTCGTCGAACGATGCCGCGAGCGACGGCGTCGTCGTCGCCGTCTTCTCTGTCGTCTTTTTCCTGAGACGCACCGGCGGCGCGTAGTCGTCATCGAGGAGCTCCGCCGGCACGGTCGCGATCTCGCCCTCCTCGACGACGTCGAACGGGTACCCGCCCAAGAATGGCGGCTCGCCCGGGTCCCGTCGCGCCCTAGGGATATACGGCTTCATCGCGCCGCGCGCGAGGAGCGGCCGCGGCGTACGCGCGCCGCGGTCTACTTCCCCCTGGACCAAACCGACGACGGGGTGGCGTTGTGAGGGGCGCGTCGGTTGGCGGGTTGGAGATGAAAGGCGTCGTGGAGGTCGGGGATCGAAACTGCCGCGGGATCGAACGCGCCTCCTCTCTCGCGGCCGCGGTCGCTCGCCTGTCCGCGGCCGAGCCAGGGTGCGACCCGTGAAGACACGCGCGGCCGCGCGCGTCCTTGCCGCCGCACGTCCGATTGATCCACCCGCGGCAGACGCGGCGCTCGCACGTCTCCTTCGGTGACGCCGTCGCGCGGAGGCTGAGGACCTCGCGTCGTCGCCGCGCGTTCACGACGGCTTCGCCGCGTTCGTGAACGCTTCGACCCCTCGGCGTGAGAAACGTGGGACCGAGAGGGTCCGCCCGCGGGAATTTCCTATCGAACGAGACTCTCTTATCCTGGTCCGGGCACAATATCGATATTCCCTTGAGCGTCGAGGCTTCTTTGATTTCGTCCATCGCGGCGTCCGTGGAGAACGCGCGGTCGTCGTCGAATTCAAACGGCGCCGTCGTCTGCCACGTGAAGACATTTTCCCACCGCGCCGTTTCCTCGCACTGCACGGCGTGATCGTATCGCACCACGAACGCGACGAACTGCTGGTGCGCGTAGATGTTATCTTCGGGACCGTACGGCGAGCTCTCCGGGTCTCTCTCCCTCTGCGCTTCCAACGCGCGCACGACTTTGACGTCCGGAGGCGGGAGCGGCTTTCCCTCGTTGATGAAGTCCTTGACGTCTGTCCCTCGACGCGCCAGAAAGTTCACGAGAAACCCCCCGCGCTCCGTGATGTCGTCCTTTCGCATCTCGAAAAAGTCCCTGCGCGTCGCGAGGTCCACGTCATCCGCGCGAATCATCGCGTACTCCAGCGCGAATTTTTCCTCCTCCTCCCGCGCGAGCCGTTCGACGTCCGCTTCGCTCGTCGCCGGCGCCTTCTCTCGAATGAAGTCCTTGAGCCGCTCGCGCAAAGCGAGGGCGTCGACGCCGTCCCAGGAGGACGTCAACGCGGACGACGACGACGACGTCGACGACGGGGAGGACAACGCCCCCGCGAACGAGGATGAGGACGGCGCGTCGCGCGCGCGCGCGGGCGACCGCGGCGCGTCGTACGGCGCGACGTATTTGTAGGGGGAGCCGTCGTCGCGGAGGAAATTTCTCGCGTCGTCGCTCTTCTCGAGACCGCGGTCGCCGCCGCCGCGGTCGCGGTCGCCGCGGTCGCTGCCGCCGCCGCCGCCGCCGCCGAAGAACCCCAGGCGCAGCGCGGATCGCGCCGGCCTCGCGACCGTCTTCATCGACCGCGGCGGCGACGGCGACGACGACGACGCGCGCGACGCGCGCGACGGCGACGCCGCGGCCGCGCGGAGGGTGTCCACCGAGCCTCGCGACGCGTCGTCGTCGTCGTCCGCGTCGTCGTCCGCGTCCAAGGTCATCCCCGTCAGGCGACGCATCTCGTCGTCGTAGTCCTCGAACGCCTCGATCCCCATGGTCACGCGCGCGCGATCGAGCGAGTCGTCCGTCGCGTCGTAGCTCGCGTCGTCGTCGTCGTCGTCGTCGTCGTCGCCGCCGCCGCCGAAGCGCACGCGGACGGCGGCGCCCGCGCTCCGGGAAAAGTCCCCGAGGTGGAAGGAGCGCGACGCGGGGGGGTCGACGCCGTCGTCGTCGGAGGAGGACAAGGACGACATCGTGACGCGGTCGTCGACGATGTTCGGGAGGTCGTCGTCCTCGAACGACGCTATGCGCGTCATGACGACCGCGGCGCGAATGGAGTGGCGCGGGAGCGCCCTCGCTCGTTCGAACTTTTCCCAGACTTTTCCCAGACTTTTCCCAGACTTTCCCCACCCAGATCTAGGGTTCGGTCTTTTGGAGAAAGAGGCGTCGTGGTCGCGGTATCTTCGCGCGCGCGCCGTCGTCCACCGCACGCGCGCGATGCCGTCGCGCCCGAAGAACGTCAAGGACCTGATCAAGAAGGCCAAGGGCGGATGCGCGGAGTCCGCCTTTGAGCTGTACATGCACTTCAACGTCGGGACAAGAGGCGTGAAGCAGAACGACGCGGAGGCAGGGTCGTGGCTCGAGAAAGCCGCGCAGCTGGGCCACGTCACCGCGCGCGCGATCTGTGGCGATACAAGAGATGATTGGGGGCAGTGTCCAGAGAACATAAAGGCTCTCATGTTTAAGGCCACGAAGCAAGACTGCGGTGCGTCCGCGTGGGAGCTCGCCCAACACTACGAACTCGGGACCGGTGGCGTCGGGAAAAGTAACGCGACGGGCGAGTACTGGTTGTCGAAGAGCTACGAGCTGAAGCACATACCCGCGCAGTTGGCAGTCGCAAAGAACGATTACAGAGCGGGCTTAGACATGTCAAGGCCTACATCTGAACGTACAAATGACTCCCAGGCGTTCATTTCGGAGATCTTCGCGGATGTCGCCGAGCGAGGCGACGCCAACGGCGAGTTTTGGCTCGGCGCGGTGTACCTACACGGCTACGGAGTCGAGCGAGACGAAGCGAAATATATCGAGTTGTGTCGATCAGCGGCGGAGAAGGGCGATCCAGAAGCGCAATATTGGTACGGTAAGGCGTACCATCGCGGTATTGATGAATGCCTCCAAGCGGACTGGGTGAAGCACGAATACTGGGTCGCGAAGTCTGCCGGCGGCGGATATGCCGCCGCTGTCAAAGAGTTAAAAAAAATGAGGAAGGTAAAGACGGAGGTTCTCGACCTCATCGTTAGTATCACCGGCTTGAGCCTCAGCTCCGAGGCCAGAGTTGCGTTTGTGTTCGGATCTCCTCCCGAACACAGGGCGGTGAACGAGTTCCACCACGTCGCGTTGTGTTTTCTCCACGGCCTGTGCGGCCTCGAGAAAAACATTCGACTTGCGAAGGACATACTCAAAGTCGCATTGTTCCGGATGGAGAAAGGCAGCGACGATGTTAGACGTGACGTCACTGAAGATGCCATCACGGAGGTCAAAGCACTCCTGAAGCAGCTCCGCCGCTGCTCCGGGTGCGGAAAGTACGCGTACTGGACGTGCAAGCTGTGCCGCGGCGTAAGGTACTGCTCGCGAAAGTGCCAGAAGTGGCACTGGAAACACGGCGACGGCGAGCCGCACAAGGTTCACTGCCCGCGAGTGGTGACGACGATATCTGAGAGTCTCCTGGGAAATTGATCGAGGGCGTAGATTGAATTGACGTTGAATGCACCACGCACGAACGCCGGTACATCTCGCGCGCGGTCGCTCGTCGCCCCTCCCCTCTTCGCGCGTTTTAATTTTTTTCTCGAGCCAAATGAATTGTCAACTCTCTACTTCTCGTCGTCGTCCTCATCGATCGTCACGCGCAGACCTTTGCTCGCCGACCGCAAGAACGCCCTCCTCTCCAGCGGCGTCGCCGGCGTCGTCGATCTCGACTTGGACTTGGACGCCTTCGAGCTCGACCCGCCGCCGCCGCCGCCGCCGGTAGCAGTATTCTTCGGCGACGGCGACGCGAACCGCGACAGTCCCACCGCGACCCGTCCCGCTCGCTCCGCCGTTCGCAGCCACGCGTCCGCGTCCGGCAGCGAGCTGTTCGACCCGTCGACGTCCGTCGTCGTCTCGTTCACGCACTCGCGCCCGTTCCCGCCGGTGTTCAAACCGTCGCCCCCGGAAGAGGAGACGACGCTCGCGACGAGCGCGGAGGCGCCGTCCGGCGTCGCGAACGTGCCCGAGGGGCTGCCGTCGCCGCGATCGCCGCCGCGATCGACGCAATCGCCGCCGCCGACGCGGCTCCCGGTCGTCGCGTCCACGGCCGCGAGCGCCGCGCACAGCGGCGTCGCGTCGTCCTCCTCTTCGTCGTCGCAGGACTCGACGATCCGCGTGTCGTCTGCGACGCTCCCGACACCCTCGGCGCGCTCCCGATCGTCGTCCATCACGAGCGCGTCGTCGAGGTTCGTCGCGACCGCGGCTGGTCTCGCCGCCGCTTTCAGCCTCGCGATCGTCTCCGCCTGCGCCGCCATCTTCTTCACGAGCTCCGCGCGGTCCTTCTCCCACTCCGGGACTCGCGGCGGGGTCCGGCCGGGACCGCCGCTTGAGGGCGAGGGTGACGTGTCGTCCGCGTCGGCGCCGACGCGGTGCCGCGGCGACGTCGATCGGCGCGTCGACCTCCACTTCTCTTCGTCCTCCGCGGCGGCGGCGGCGGCGGCGGCGTCCAGGTCGAGCACGGTCGCCTCCAACTCCGCGCGTTCGGACTCGAGCGAGCTCACCTTGGCGCGGAGCTTATCGATCTCGTACACGGACTCGATGAGCCGCTGGCGCAGGCGCACCTTCTCCTCCGTCTGCGGCGGCGCCGGGGAGGAAGCGTTCGCGTTCGCGTTCGCGTTCGCGTTCGCGTTCCCGCCGCCGCCGCCGACGGCAAAGCTAAAGCTGCGCTCTGTCGCGACGACGGACCGATCCATCGTCAGCGCGGTGGACTTCTCCGGCGTCGCGTGCGACGACGACGTCAGCGACACGCGCGGCTTGACCAGCAGCGTGACGTCCGCGTCCGCGAGGGACGTGGACAGCGACGCCGCCGCCGCCGCGGCGGCGTTCCGAAACGGGCTGGGGGCGTCGTCGTCGCCCTCGTCGCCCCGCCGCCGCCGCGGCGTCATCGCCGCCGCGAGCACCTTCACCTGCTCCGCCTCGAGCCTCGCCTCCTCCGCGCGTCGTCGCTCGCGCTCGAGCTCGGCGCGCGCGCGCTCGAGCTCTTCGCGCATCGCGAGCACCTCGCGCGGCGTCTCCGGCGTCCGCGGTGTCGCGGGAGAAGCGGCCAACTCGTCGGCGAGCGGACTCGAGGACGCGTCGCGCGTCGTCGTCGTCGCCGTCGTCGTCGCCGTCCTTCTCGTCTTCTGCGACGCGCTGTCATCAGCCGGCGGCGACGCGGAGAAGTCCCTCCCGAGCATCGCGTCGCCCATGAGCTCCGCGACGTGCGCCTGCGCGTCCGCGGCGTCCTCCGCGGCGGCCGACGCGCGGTCCCTCGAGATGACGAGCTCCGCGGAAGTCTCTTCGAGCGCGCGTTCGAGCGTCGACGTCCTCTCCTTCGACGCTTCCAGAGCGCGCTCCGCCGCGCGCGACCGCTCCTCCAGCCGTTTCATCTTCGCTTCCACGTCCTTCAGCGTCTCCACGCTCTTCTCCGCGTCCGCCTCGTGCGTCTGCAGCGCGGCGGTGAACCGCTCGCGCTCGGCGTCGAGCTCGTCGCGGAGTTTTCTCGACGTCAGCTTCGACGCCGCCGCGTCCTGCTTCGCCGCCGCCTCCGCCGCGCGCGCCGCCGCCGTCGCCGCCTCCGCGCGCGCCGCCGCGGCCATCGCGTCCTCGCTCGCCCTCCGCGCGACGTCCAGGTCGTTCTTCAGCGTCCTCGCCGCGGACTCCTTCGTCGTCGCGAGCTTCGTGAGCCGCGCGTTGGCGTCGTCCAATCGCCGCTGCAGCTCCGCGGTGGCCTGCGCGGCGGTCTCCGCCTCCGCGGCGCGACGCGCCCGCTTCCACTCCGGCGTCGCAGGGTCCGGGTCCTCCTCCGTCTCCCTCTCTCTCTCCCTCTCCCTCTCCCTCTCCTCGGCGGCGGCCACCTCCGCCTCTCTCGCCGCCGCCGTCGCCACCGCCGCGAGGTCGTCGCGTATCGTCGCGTTTTCCTCGCACGCCGCCGCGAGGTCTTCGTTGACGCGGATGAGCTCATCCTTCGCGGCGACGAGCTCGCGCGCCGACGCGCGCGCCGCCGTGGCGGCGTCCGCGGCGTCGTGCCTCGCGTCCGCCGCCTCCCCCATCAGCTGATGCGCCTGCCGCTTCGTCTCCTCCGTCTCCTCCGCGAGCTCGCGTTCGCGCTTCTCCGCGGCGACGCGCGCGCGCTCGCTCGACTTGAGCTGAAGCCTCAACGTCGTAACCTCCGCGCGCGCGTCCCACGCGTCCTTCTCCGCGGCCACCACCGAGCGGCTCGTCTCCGCGTCGCGTTCTCTCTCGCGCTCCACGTAGCTCGCGACGCACGCCTCCGATTTGGCGACGGCGCAGCGGAGCTCGTGCTTTACCTCCGCGAGCTCGGACTCGAGGGAGGAGACGGTGGCGCGCTCGGCGTCGTCACGTCGCTCGGCGTATCGCGCGTTTATGGCGGACGCCGCGAGCTCGTCTTGGAGCGCGTTTAGCTTCTTCTCGAGCGTCGTCTTCGCCTCCGCGGCGCCGATCGCTTCCGCCTCCGCGCGTCGCGCGCGCGCCTCCGCCTTGTCGAGCGCTTCTCTGAGCTTCGCGAGGATCTCGTCGCGTTCCGCGCGCTGCGCCTCCGTCTCCCCGGTGGCGAGACGCAACTCGCGTTCGAGCTTGTTGATTTCCATCTCCGCGTCTCGGAGCGCCGCGCGCGCGCGGTCGCGTTCGAGCGTCGTCGAAGAAGAAGAAGAAGAAGAAGCCGCGCCCGCGCCCGCGCCCGCCGCGGCGTCCGCGTCCGGGAGGTCGTCGTCCGCCTTCTCTTCGCCCGCTTCTTCTTCATCGCCGTCGCCGTCGACGTTCCGCGCGAGCTCGTTCGCGGCTTCGATCGCGCCGGAGATCTTCTCCGCGGTCGCCGCCGCGACGACGCGTTTCAACTTTGCAATCTCGACGTCCTTCAGCTCGCACAGCTGTTGCACCGCGGCGGCGACGCCGAGGACGACGTCGCACTTGCCGCACCCACCGCCGCCGCCGCCGCCGCCGCCGCCGCGCGGCGACGCGGACGCGCTCCTAGCGGCGTTCGACATCAGCGCCCTCCTCGCCATCGTCTTGGGGATGGGACCCCCGCCGCCGCCGCCGCCGCCGCCACGGTGGATGACAGCCTCGGACGCCGGCGAATCCGCGTCGGCGCCGTCGCGCATCATCGCCTCCGCTGCGGCCGCCGCCCACGCCTCGACGGACCCGGGCGTGGTCGTCGGGTTCATCGCCGCGGCGGCCCACGAGCCGTCGTCTTCTGACTCGGACGCGCCGCCGCCGTGGGCGCGGGGCGAGCGCGACCGGAAGGACCGGCGCGCGCGAGCGGCGTATCCGGCGGCGTCGTCGTCGTTATTGTTGCCTCCCGCCGGCCGCCACGCCGGGCGTCGCTCGATCGCGACGCGGTCGTCGTCCGAGGACCACCCGCCCGCGCTCCCCCTCGCGACCGGGGAGGCGGAGTCGCGACGCCACGCGCGCGACGCCGCGGTGTGTCGCGTCAGCGACCGGCCGCGGGTCGTCGTCGTCGTCGTCTCGTCGGCGTCGGCGTCGGCGTCGCGCGCATTCTCGTCGTCTCCGCTGCTGAGATCCGAGGACGTGCGGAACGAGAGCCGCGCGGCCGCGGCGCGGCGTCCTATCGGCCGCGGCGCGGGCTTCCCNGAGCGTCTCGCCTTGGACTTCGTCTTCGCCGCCGCGACGACGAGCGGCGCGCTCCACGTCGCGTCCGCGAGGATGCGCTCCGCGAGCGACGACGCCGTGGACGGCTTCGCGAGGGAGAGGAGCGTCGCATGATGCTTCGGACTGGCCGCAACGAGCGGGGGGACATTTTCGTCGTCGTCGTCGACGCCGACGTCGCGCGTCGTCGTCGTCGTCGTCGGACGCGCGCCTCCGTCGCCGGCGTCGACGCTGTGCCGCTGCAGCGCGCGCAGCGGCGGTCGCGCGCTCGTCGCGACCATCGGAGCGCGCGGGGGACGTGTGCGTCGTCTCGAACCATCCGTCATCATCCCCCCGGGGCCGTTTTTCGTACAGCTGTCAGCTCGCCCCAACGGTCCACTCTCGGAAGTCCCGAACCGGAAGGGGAACGCGTCAAACAAAAACGGAGCGGTCGTCGCGCCGCGAGTCAGATCGCGTCCGCGGCGGGGTCGGCGGTCATGTGGCCGTCCGCGCGGGACCGGCACGTCGACGAGCGGCCGCCAGGGTGCGTCCGCGCGCGATCGCTTCCGTCGTCGCGTCTCCGCGCGTCCCCCGCCGTCGTCGTCGTCGTCGTCGTCGCGCCGCGAGATGATGATTATTTTCCCATGATGCGATTCCTCCGTCGCCTCCGCGACGAGACGTGCGCTCATCACAGATCCCTCTCCCTCTCCCCGCCTGGTCCCGTCGTCCACCCCAGGGTACCGCACGCGAAGCACCCGACGCTCTCCGCGTCGAACATCGACGCGCGGTTCTTCGACACCTCGCGCGCCGGGCGCGTCGTCGACCCCGCGGAGCTCGTCGCCGCGGACGCGTCGCTTCGCGCGGAGGAGCGCCGCGCGATTCGACGCGAGCGACGCGACGCGCGCGATATCCTGCGCGAAGACAAGCGATGGCGCGCGCAGAGCGCCATCGCGCGGACGCTCGTCCGGACGATAGACCACCCCGCGACCGCGACGGAGGTGATACGCCCGCACGGGCACCGCGCGAAGGACGGGCAGCGGCTCGTGCGCACGGGCGGCGCGTTCGCGCCGGGACGCGGCATCGCGCCTCCCGCGACGACGACGTTTTCGACCAAGGAGAAATCCAAAAGCGCCGCGACGACTACGACTCGCGCGCGCGGCGCGGACCCGACCGGGCACGCGAAGAAGCTCGAGACGCTCCCCGCCGGCGACCCCCCGAACGCGATCGGCGCGCTCCCCGTGCGCTTCAAGGTGAACACGGACGAGGAGTACAAGCTGCACGTCGCGCGTAGAAACGTCGAGACGCGCATGGAAAAAGAGCGGAAGCTCCGAGAGGCGCTCCGCGCGTCGTCGTCAGGTGCGTTCTATACACTGGTCCCCATACGACCGCGTTCGCGTGGTGAACGCCGTTTCTTAAGGACTTTTCCCGGCGTCTCTCTCCGCTCATCCCTCGCTTTCAATCCCCGCCATCGACGCCTTTCAACGCCAACTGACGCCTTTCAACTCCGACATTCGCTCGTATAGTACGACCATCATCGAGCGCGGCGTCCGCATCCGGGGGGCTTCTTCTCTCGTCGAGCCCCGGCGACGCGCGACGCGCGCGCGTCGCCGCCGGGGTTACTAACGATGAAGACGACTCGGACTGGGACGACGACGGGCTCGCGCCGTCGACGCCCGGCGGGACGCTGCGCGCGGAGGTGAGACCGCCTCCCATACGACCCCGTTTGCGTGGTGAACGCCGATCCTTAAGGACTTTCTCTCCCGTCGTCACTCTTCACCCGCGCTTCCCTTTCAACGTACGTTTGACCGGTACATAAGACGTTCGACTGACCGATCGCAAAATCACCCACGCAGGCGGCGCGGCTCGGCGCGCTCGCCGGCGGCGAGGCGATAAAAAACCAAGCCGCGAAAGCCGCGGCGGAGCGCGCCGACTCGAGAGCGCCGCCGACGCACGAGCCGTTCGCGGCGACCGCGCTGAGCACGCGAAGTGGGCTGACGATGGTGGACTTCTCCGTCGTCGGGAAGCGTCTCGGGGGACTGCGCGGCGGCGAAGGCGACCCGAAGGACGTGGGACGAGGGTGGGTCGGGGTGATGGAGCGAGGGAAGAAGCCGCGGCGGCCAGCCTCCGCGGGCGACATCATCGACGCGGGAGGAGGGAGACGCGGCCTTCGCGGACGCGATGGGATGGGCGCCGTCGCCGCGTCGATCGCGGCGAAGGCTGCGGCGTCGCCCGGGAAGCTCGTGAAGAGCAAGGCGAATAAGGCGGGCGGCGGCGGCGGCTCGCGGCCGTCGTCCGCGCGGCCGGCGGCGACGTCGACGAAGTCCGTGACGCTGTCCGTGACGCCGACGCTGACGACGACGACGGCGGCGGCGGCGGCTAGGGCGGAGGACGACTCGGAGGGCGGCAAGCTCGGAGGGATCGGCGCGGGCGCGAGCGCGAGCGCGAGCGCGCACGCGGTGGCGCCTCGGCCGGTGTACGGCATCCACGGCGTCCGCCCGTCGTCCGCGGCTTCGGGTCGGCGGCTCCAGCGGCGAGACCCGCGCGAGCTCGCGAAGGGGTACTCGCGCGCGGAGCCGCCGAATTTCGTCCTCGGCGCGAGCGGCGGGTTAAAA